CCATCATATTCATCCTGATCTTCAAGTACATTTAAATGTAAGACCTCATTATTGATTTGAAATGTCTAATTAACTTTCTGCTTTTCATCAGATTTAATTGAACTATTGTCATCATCTTCCTCCACCTTAACTATATCTATCTCTTTCGATATGGCTTCCTTATTGAAGTCAAAAGTGTGTTTAAAACTAGGTGTCTTTCTGGTTGGAGATGGAAATTAGGGCGATCGTTTCGACGATAACTACTCTTAACTAATTGAATTGATCTTTTTCAACAGTAAGGTTTATCCATGCTTTAGACTTTTTATAGTCAATTGTTTTTCCTTTAGGATTTCTACAAAGTCTTAAGTTGCCTCTTTTAGATTCTGCTCCAAATTCTAAGCTACAACCTAATGCTCCTTTATGATCAGCATTTGTTCTATGTTTTTTGATTGGAATTCTATATATTTATCGTTAAGTTTTGTAAGGTACTCTTGCAATTCTTCATAAACCCTTTGCTTAATTTTTGATTTATTAATAGTTTCGATCACAAAGTCTTCTTGAGCAATTGAAATAGATGTTGCACACCTTACAATTTAAGTGGATTCTCTATATTCATCTTCTTTGACTTAATCGAAGATAGCTTTCACACCATGATTAATGAAATTATGAATAAATTCATTCAAAATAGGTATGCTGCTAAAAATCATTTTATCAGTCTGTATTTATTCTAAAATAATACAAATAGATACTTTCATCTAAGATTACATTCTACATCGCATTTGATTTTCTATGATATTTTTGTATTTTAATTAATTGAGAATCCTCCATGTTATCAAATTCTAGTTGTAATTGTGACAGTGGAGTTTTGCTTTATTCGTCATCTGAGGTCTTAAGAATTTAGATGGGAGACAAGCTTTTATTTTTCAGTTGGATGGGAATTTAAGCCTTTTTGGTCATAATATGTGAGACTATGGACTTTCCTTCTTGAATACTTTGCAAATGCTTAAGTTGCATATTGGAAAATCCATTTGGCAATTGAGTTACGACATCAGTGGATTGAGGTTGATGATTTTGATGCTTCTTGTATTCTTGTGAAATTTATTCTATTTTTTAAAAGAGTAATGAGATTTCTTCTCTTTGCTTCTTAATTCTGTCCTCTAGAAATGTGTTTTTCTTGTCCAGTGCCTCTTTCTCAATTTTAAACTGTTGGAATTCTTACTATAAAGTTAGATAGTCTTATTGATAACTTTTTTGGGTTTAATTTAATTATTAAGATTATTAAATATTTTTTAACTTTTCAAGGTGTTCTTAATTGGTTTTATTAATATTTGAAATTAAATCATCAATTAAGACAATGTAAGAATTCCAAACCTTTTCAAGTAACTGTCCTCTCTCTTTGCAATCCAAGGAAACCTATCTGATTATCTCTTTTAGACATGACGAATAGATAAGAGAGATCTCTTCAGCAATTGTTTGAGTGTTGTTATTCTCTAGCGAGACTGATTGCTTAACTTTTGTAATCATGTAATCAAACCACAACTATAAGTCTATTGCCATCTGTCTATTAGGTAAAGTTGAACTCTATTAAATCTTATCACTTTATTGTTGAATAATCTTCTTCAAGTAAGTTTATAATTACGAGGATTTTACATTCTTGAGTAATGGATTCAAATCCAAGGTGCCATCTTTAGAATCCAATTCTGTGAAGTTGGTTTTGTAGGATGTCATGCTCTAAGAATTTCTATACATAGTTCCATAAAAATTGGTTTTTAATCTTTATTGTGTCTTGGCTAATACTAAAACATTTACATATTCATGAAGCTTTGGATCATCCACTAAGCTGCTTAACGATGTTGGAACAACTGTTTTCTATTGCAAATACGAAGTATCTTGATATCGGGTGATCCTTGTTTTTGTGAGATTTAATGTCAAATTGGCAGAAGTACCACTTTGTCTCATCGAACTTCCCTCTATTAGAGACATTTGAGAGTTATTTTTGTTTGATTGACTGTTTGTTATAACAGGAGCTTGGCAAGAGTTTGATAGTAATGGAAGTTGATTTTTATTAAGCATAATGATTTTAATTGATTTTTATAGTTAGTCATATCAACCGACAGTAACTGTTTTGGCAAGGTTTCTGGGTTTGTCAGGGTCAACTCCTTATAAATAACATATCTCCAAAGACAACAATTAGAATACGATGACACTTAATAACCAATTTAACTATTCTCCAATTTTAGGAATCTAGATCAAATGATCAATCTTGTTCATAGTGTTTGACAAACTCTATGCAGAATCAGTGATTACAATGGTCCTGGCATTCCTGGAATGAACTTCACTTAAAGATAGCTTCATGTCTTAAAGGAATTCATCATCCAGAATGATCAAAATGATCGATGTTTCCTTTTCCTTAGATGAATCAATCAATGCCAAAGGACCATGTTTCATTTCCCCTGAGGCGAAAGCTTCTGCATGAATATAAGTTAGTTCTTTAATTTTCAAAGCTCCCTCCTTTGCAATTGCATAATTTGATCCTTTTCCCAATATATATAAACTTTGTTTGGTTTGCAATATCTTGGCAACCAACTTGACACTCGCCTAACACTCCACTATGCCCTAACCAAATACCATTGGAAGCATTCTTAATTAGTTGACATATTTCTCTCTTAGAGGTTTCATCTTTGTATTTTAAGGCAAATAATTGTTCTTCTCCTTATAGTAACTAAACCACAATCCAATTAATATTAAAGCTGTCACCTAAGAAGTGAATGACTTTGATGCTGCCACGGCTACTTCTCTTCCTGAATTCAAGTAAACTCCACAATCAACATTGGTTGCTATTAATGATCCCACCACATTTACACTAATAAATTAATATCATATTTTTACACTCCTATTGTAGTAACTCCTTATTGTTTCGCCAGATTCAAAACTCTCACTATATCTTTAGTTTCACCAGATTATGTAATGAATATTATCCCTACTGATGAGTAAGGAAGGTCGTAGATATGAAATTCACTTGCTTCAATCGCCTAAACACTTTCAAAAGTTCTGAAGCTTTTATAAATTGGTAAAACACTTTGAGCTGCATTGAAACTACTTCCACAGCCAATCAAAATTAGATGCTTAATTTCACAAAGTTCCTTCTCCTTCATATCCAAACCTCCTAACTTTGCACAATCAGTAAAACCTGCTAGTCTTGCTCCATTTCCCAAACATCTCAATAGACTATTTGGTTGTTCATGTATTTCCATCTCAAAAAATGTTTAATAAGGTTGTTTTGGTTTCAAGTGTACTTATTCAACTTCTTAATTTTCATTAAAAATTAATCTATGCTTTATCTGATTATATAACTAATTTCTATTCTCTAATTACAATAGCATTACTTCACCATCCTATAAGGCTATGTAATTCTAAGTATATTTTTCAAATGCAATTTTTTCACTTGCTACAAAAATACTATTTGCAGCATATCCAACCAAAAGTGGACTTCCTTATCTACATACAATCATCTAGGCAGGATTTTCTCTATCAATCACTGCTAGACCCCATTACCCTCTCAATCTGGTTAAGACAGATTCAACAGCCTCTAAAAAATTATGCTTTTAAATTTCCAATCCTATCAATTAGGCGATCACTTCTGAGTCTGTTTCAGAAGAAAATTAAATCCCTTTTTAAATAAGCTCCTCTTTTAATTCTACATAATTTTCCAATGTCCCATTATGAACTAAGGCTATCCTTTTGGTGATGTCAGAATGGGGATGAGCGTTGTTATCAGTTTTGCTTCCACAAGTAGCCCATCTTGTATGACCTATTCCTACTTAACTTTGAATATGTTTCTATAATTCTTGATTTAATTTCACAAAGCAGTCGACCTTGTTTATTTAATCACTTGCATGCTTTGATATTATCAACTAATTTATAAATTTATTTGATTACCTCCTTTTATTTATTGATAGTACCAATTCCTGCAGAATCGTAACCTCTATTTTATAATAATTGCACTCCTTCAAAAATCACTTTTTCTGCATTATCCTCTGTTGTTAGTACACCAACTATCCCACAACACTTAATACTATAATTTATTAAGCTTCCTCCTAGACCTAGAGCAAATAATTTTTTGAACATTTTATAATTCCAATCAAATTTGAAATGCATTCATATATACTATGTATACAAAATTATGTGTCACAAATTTGAGAAATAATATTAATTAATTTTTATAGACACTATCAAAATATACATAAGCATCAAAAGATTAACATCAACGTTATTTTGAATATATCCCTTATGGTGATATATAATATATATTCAAGACAAAATGTTAAGTAAGATTTACAATTGATTTTTGACTAAAAATGGAAATTTTGCAATCTTGATTCCTTAATTTTGAGGAAAAACTAAAGTTTATTTGTTAATCTTAAGGTGTTATTATAATTTAATTATTATTATAATTATTATTTGCATAAACCAGAAGATGAACTTTGTGATCTTGAAACTGTTCAGATACAATATTATTCATTTAGTCAGATCAATATTTTCAACAAAGTTTTAAAAATAAAGATGATTTCAAAAATAGAAATATAAAATTTTACCGATTTTTATTGAGTTCATCTCAAATAAAAAAATGGCATAAAATTTTGATTATTTTATTATTAAATTTTCTTTAAGAAGTATTTATAGATATATTAATTAGAAATAAATAAAATGATAATAATTGAGATGTTTTATCGAGAACATTGTATATGTGTGTTTAATTATTTTTCTTACTTATCTGTACTTATTTCAGAAATGATTTTTTATTTCAGATACTAGAAACTGATTGGCATTTTCATAAAATCACTATATAACTTAATTGATTTGATTAATATCTCGATTAATATAATATATTACAAATGGGTATTTGTGCTGCCTCAAAGTCTTAAAAATCAATCAATAATGGTGAACTACATGAAGTCGTTGCATAGGTTAAGCTTTCCCAAGATTTTGAATCTATTTTAAAATAAAGAGCTAGTTAATCATCATATTTAAATCCCTTCAAAAATCCTATTTTAAATCGAAGATTAAAGGAAATTCCGACTTCGCCTTAACCACTAACCTAAATTGAATGATATGTTTAATTATCTATATTGTTTCATGTATATTGTAAAATATGAATAAATAATAATTTTTTTTCTGTTTATTCGCTCATTTCGTCATATATATTTTAGAGTTAATGGTTTGAATGTTTCATGAATATTAAAAATCGAAATGTAATTTTTTAATCACATTCTAAAAACCAATTTAAAATGAAAATCAGAAGATAATTTATTAAATAAATTATAATGGGAATCTGCCATGGAAGCACAAAAAACAACAATGGGTAGTTGAAGTAAGTGATGGCCAAGGTCAGAAAATCTTAAGATATTGACATCATCTTAAAGGAGACAACCGAAACTTATACTACATATAACCCATACATGAATCCCATTCTCAATCGTCGTTTGAGGGAGTAATCCACTCCAACTTATTCAAATGTTCAACAATGATTGAATAATTATTTTGTGTTCATTCTTATTTCACTAAAATTAGTTAATAACGATATACATTTTGTTTTCCAAAATTAGTTCAACGACAAGTTCAAAGGAATTATTTTCTCGAAAAATACTCAATCATCCTACTTTCCCTTTCAACACTTCTAAGTATGAGATTGGCTCAAATTGTGAAGAAAAAATTGATATTGGTGTACCTTACATCATGAAATTATCAACACCTTAATAATCAAGATTTGATAAAATTACACTATCAAATGAATAGTCATCGCATTATCATCAATCAAGTTATACTATCAAATAAATGAAAAATAAAAAATAACAATAGATTACGTTTTTTTGCTTATTTTAGAGAGCAAAAACGCTAAATTACTCCTTAAACTTATCATATAAAACATGAATTTTAATGATATTTTAATTATCTATTAAGTTCGCATCAACTTCCCTTTACTACAAATTAAAAGACTAATCTATTATTAAAAGAGAGTAATTAATATGAAATATTATAATTTTTTATTCAGATATATTCTTTTCAAAACTTATTGTAAATTTGTAAGCAAATAAGATTCCTTGATCTAGTTTCTTAGACAATATTGAATTAAAAGAAAAATTCTGAATTTCTTGATTTCCCTTTAATAAATGGTTTTGATAAAAAAATAATTAAATTTTCAATATTTATATTGTATCATTTTTCATCTTCCTCCTCTATTTAATCGTTTGCAAATTTACTATTTTTTTTTTCATTAGGACTTCCATTGACATTAGGATCAACATGATCGAATTCAGTAGTATTGAATTTTTACATGATTTTACCATGTTGGGGTTCCTTAAATCCTTTGAATGCACAATCCTGGGTGACAAAAGAGCCCTTGTCTATTTATTTTGTATTTTATATTTAAGGTGAATCACTTTGAAATTCTTGAGTTTGAAAATTCTTTCCTCCAGAAGAGAAGAATTGTTTTTTTTGAGTGGAAGTCTATTACAACTTGAGTTCTTGATATTGTGTGTGGCTTTTATCAAAGAATGGGTCCAACAAACATGCACTAGCTTATATTCTTTTGGAAGGGTCTTTTTCAAGCATTCTTTGTATCAAATTAATGATGCTGGGATCTACTTTCTTCATTTGCAAAGGAGTCAAATCAATTTTACATTGTTTATTTAACTTTAATACTAAATTAAATCCTACACCTGGGAAGAGATCTTTGCCAGTCAGTCTATCAACTTATAGAATAATAGAGAGTACAATTTAAAGAAGATAACGCCAGCACTAAAGACATCACATACTTTGTCATACTTTTCTGATTTATCAATTAAATTTGCTATCTCTGGTGCAACATAACCAGGAGTCCCGCATTTAGGAAACAAATACCTTACTTTAGATGATTAGTGGTTACTTGTCAATATTGCAGTAGGTTGCCAAACCAAAATCTACTATTTTTAAAGAATTCAAATCAGATTTCTTTTGCAACATTATGTTTTCTGGTTTGAGATCCCGATGCATAATGTTCTTCTTGTGCATGTATTCGATTCCAGTCAGAATTTACTAAAAATTAATTTTTAAATAAATGTTATACCCACATCACATTACGCACTATTTCTTCAGGAAATCCATTTTTGTGGCTATTTAATTCATCGTGCAAACTCTTTCCTTCCAGCAAATCCATTACCATATAGAAAGTGTTGTCGCCTTCGTAAACTGCATGTAATTTGATAAATGAAGGGTGATCCAAGTCATTATTGATAGAAATCTCCTGAAACATCGATTCCTTGATATTAAAATAATGCTAATTACAATTCCATTTTCTGTTTCGTTGACATATGACTTATCTACGCATTTGGCAGCATAATAGAGTTCTGAGTTCTTATGTCTCACCAATAATACTCTAGAAGAAGCTCCTTTTCCCAAGGTTTGGAGAGGTGTGTAGAAATCTTAAATTCTTTGGAAGATTATTTTATTTCTCAGATGTTCTTTTAATTTAGAAAGAGTAACATCATCTCCAAAAAAACAAGTAACCTTAGCAATTTAAGAGTCTCTTATCTGTTTAATCTTAAAATTTAATTGCCACAAATTACTTATTAAAATTTGAAAGACACAATTTTGTAGTGCTTCTTCCCATTAACATTCTCTTCCTCAACCTCCCATTTGATATGAGTTTACAATTAGATGGGTAAGGAATATTTTGGGGCCTTGGCGTTCTCCTGAAATCTATTAAATTAACGTTACTACTTTGTAGAGATCAAGCTTGTTGTTATTTGATATTCCTTTGTATTATTTTGTGCCCTTCTACCCCTTTTTGAAACAATTAAATTCAAAAGTTATTGGACCCTCTAATTACATATTATTTTAATTAATTTTATAAAATTTTATTAAAATGTATATCAGTTTATGAAAATTAATAGTCCCATTCAATAAAACTTCAATCTACCTTGTTCTCCTCTTATTCTTGATATTAATTATATCTCTCTTTCAGGTTTTTAACGAGACGCCTTTAATCATAAATTCTTGAAAACAGATAACTGTTATTTTTGAATCAACTGGAAAACTAGTAATGGTTTGAAAATATCAAAACTTATAGGGTTTAGGTTTAATTCTAAAATGTTTAATGAGTATTTTTAAATAATATGAAAGTAGATTTAACAATTGGCTAAGGATATCAGAATGACAAAGATCAAATTGGAATGAAAACAGGTAAGAACAATGAAGTTTTTATAGAATTGATAGTTTGTAATTGGGTTGAGTTAAAATAAATAAAGCTTTATTTTATTATCATTCGACAAAATAAATATCAACGATTTTCTTTAATCTATCTAAGGTATGCCTGTAAAGATTAGCAATTATTAAAAAGATCAACTGGAATAAGTGACTATATTTCTCTGGCTGTTTTGGATTCCAAATAAAATCTTGCTTGCAATGGAATCCAAACTACAAAATACACTAGAACTGATATCACACAAAATATCATGAATAGTAGAGTAAATTGCAGTTGTAAATCAGAATAATGAGAATTTAAATAACTTTGTAATTCCACTAATAATTGCATGTGACACACTCTTATAAATACCTTTTGCATTTTTCTATTAGCATTGCCACCTCTTGTGTTATAAATATTACAAGTGTAATTTTGACGATGATTTGAACTGATATTGAAGGTTAAATTATTATAAACAGCATTTTTATTATAATACGAGTATTGTTGTAGCATATTTTGAGCATTTTCAAAAAAGTTTGTTATTGCAATTGATAGACCTTCTTATAGTATATTTTTATTAAAAGTTAGGCAGGCTGATGTATTCACAGAAGGGTCGTTTGCTAATATGATATCACATGGGTTTTGAATGTAAATTTCATTAAAGACCTTTTTATATTGATCTGATAGAATCAATTCATTTTTTTAATTCAAAGCATGAAGTTCTGCATCCAAAAGCCTTACTACTTCCAATTCTTTTTGTAACTTGTCTTATGAATTAAACTCATTAAACAAAATGGCACTCTCATCGTAAAGCATCTCCTTAATACTATTGTCAATCAACCTGTATTGTGTGGGCATATAGGATGTTAGATTCACTAAAGGTACTAGGGACTTAGTTTAATCAGTAATGGTCTAAAGTATAATGATATGAATATTTTACAGTTGATGAAAAGTATAAGTAGGAAAAGTAAGAAATTAGTAAAGTAAGAAAGAATAGGAAGTTAACTTGTACTTTTCTGTAATTGTTCATTTCGAATGTTGATTTTCTTTTTTTATTTTTGCTAGATAATCCTAAGTAATAGTCTTATTCTTCTTGTACTTCGGCTTCTTCTTCTATTGATTCAATCTCTAATAGTTATGATATTTACCTCATCGTTTTCATTTAATTGTAACAACTAAATAAAGGTTTAAAACTAATTTATCATCTTCTTAATTTAGTTATCTCTGATCTCCAAATACAAAGAGATAATCTCTTTAACATCTTTTTGATGGGAAAAGATGTATATTTAGAACAATAGAAATATGAATGAAAGACAACATATTTGTATGGTGAAAAATGAATTTTCTTCGACTTATAGGTCATCTATTAAACTAAGAATGTTGTAGTAATAGTAAGCCTGTGAAACTAGTTAATACTTTGGAACTGAATTAAGTGTGTTATGAAGATAATAGTGGAAATCTTCATTATCATCAACGTAAGCTGATATGTTAGAGTTATTTAAAGTGATAGCCTTAGATATCATTTATTCTATGGCTTAAGTAAAAGTATAGTTTTGAAAATTATTGTTTTTTGTAAACATTTACACTTAGGCAGATTCAAAATCATTTAATACATTTTAATATTTCTCGTTAATCTACACATTGGCTGAAGTTAAAATTTGATCAATTTCAAGCAAAATTGCCAATTCATTGCTTAACTCAGCATAATTTATTTGTACATACCTACCTCCTGTTGATTTCATAGTGTATTGCTCAAGATTCAAATAACAACCTCTCAAATCTTATAAATTTGATTAAATCTTTAGAATAGATGCAAATCTTTAGTTAGATGCTGCTAAGTAGGAGATTGCTGATTCAAATTAGCTTTGAGTATTAATAATGACCTCGTACATTGCTATTGCAATAACAAACATTAGGATCATTAAAGAATTCAAAATTAAAATGAGTTTCTTTAAAAGTGGAGAATAAGGAACGCTCAGGAGATGATACATTAATTCTTCCTAATTATTGATCTTGATTTATTGAGGTTACTCTTTATCTTCTTCAAGTTGCAATTTCTGAGTTCGTTCTCTAATCTGTTCTTCCTCCTCATCATCTTAATCTAGATCAATAATTTCCTTTATTTCTCCTTGAAACAATCTCAAAGTCTTAATATCATGGCCTAAACCTTATTATAATTTAAGATTAGTCATCGAAAGAAATTTCTTGCTTGGGATGCTTTATTAAGTGTACAGAGCAACTTTCGGTTCATCTTAGACGTCGCTATCATTCCTATTAGATTCATATTAAGAAGTAGATTAGCTGACATGCTCAACTAATATAATAAATTTAACAATACAGATGTATGCTTTTTATTCAACTGAAAACTTGAATTGATGTTTGACGATGTTTCTTTTGATTAGACAATAATCCTCTTTCTGTGGGAGCACTTCATTCATTTGTACTTTTAAGTAGTATCCATAAATCTATTAGCGAGAATCTCCTTAAGAAAACATGTAATTTTTTGTAGATATTTCGTATAGTTATGCATAATATAACCGCGAGATACATGAGTCATTGTACTTCTCTTCAAGATCTGAATTTTAACTTAGAGAGTGCGTTTGATGTTCAAAAACAATCAAGTTCATTTTATTGATATAATCTTCCTTGTTATACATTAGGTAAGGGAATAATCTTTAAATTGTCAATTAGCGAATTTGCAATTGACGAACGTCCAAATTGAGGATAGATATGCAAGTTGCTGAAATGCTCTCTATTTTGCCTTCTAAATTAAAGATTATATATGCGCAATTGTTATAGCATTTTTCTTATCTCAATCTACAAAACTGAAAAATACCTTTATTAGACATGTATATTGAGTTTATGCTAAAAGTTTAGAGTATGTACTTATTTTTAGAAACCAAAAACTAAGATCTCTCTTCTGTTTCGTTTATTTGATCCTGTCTCAATTAGGAAAAATATGATTCTACAAAAACATTATGCAATTTTTAATATCTATATTATTTATATTTAATTACGTGCTTTACAAGATTAATGATAAAGGTCTTCCAATGACATCTGTTTTGGAGTAACCTAATAAAGAGTGGAAGGCTTAATTGACATTCCTGATTATTGTTGGTTGATTGGGTTTACCAAATAATTCCAAGACTACAACTGGATATGAATACATGCTTAGTTCATCCTGATTTTTTAGATATTAATGATCTGATTATTGAGAAACCACTTTCTGCTTATTTGCCATTTAAAACCCTTTATAATTTTCCAATTAATGAACATACTTAGAAAATTTCTCAATAAGTCTATAGATAGATGAATCTAAAGGAGCATTTCTTTAAATTTTGAATAATTGTTTTTTCAATAAACGAACAGATTCTAGAATTAATATTCCATATTTCTGTATTAAAGATAAATTTGGATTTTCATCTAATAAAGAATTCCAAAATTAAATTTTATAATAGGCACATTCCTCTGCCAACTGCAAAATTTGTTTATATTGGTATTTCATGCTTCTATCCATAGTTTAAATGTATTTAACTTAATTTGTAGTTGCTGATTTCTGGAAATTTTAATCGATAATCTTTCTCATCTTGAATATTAGAAATTGTTAAGCAAAGGATGGATAGCACATATCAGCCTTATCCACTTCTATCAATGCCTTCTAGCCCTACTCTAGAATATCTAGAAGGAAATATGAATAATGCAACTTTAAGTCCACATTAAGCGGATAGGTCTAAAGACCAATCTAATAGATTTAATCAATAATTTCCTTTAAAATTAATCTTTTGTCTGTATATTTGAGGTTGTCTTTAAACTTCTTAGCTAGTTCGATAGATGTTTTAATTGCACACTAAGGATTCATACAAGTCTGCTTATGGACTTCCAAAAAACCCAACACAAGAATTTCATTATTTTTATCCTTCTCGTAGTTCTGACATAGTTCAATCAAAAATTCAGAGAGCTAGATAATTTCTAAGCTGGATAGTTATTAAATCATGTTTGCTTTTAATAAGTTGACCGTTGATCTCTCATCCTACAGGAGAATAACCAAAAGCATAGGCATAGACACAATCCATCCCTTCATGGTGCCTATAAATACTAGGTGTTCGAATGTAAATGTAGTCAATAGCATAAAATTGGTATAAAAAACTAAACCGCTGATGGCTGACCAAATTTTTTAAACATTTCTATTATAAAAAGGCTTTTTGAATCTAATTTTGTAAAAGAAGAGGAAACTTGTCAGCAATTGAATTAGGATCACGATTACGGCGTATTTTGGTAGTTCTATCAAGGAGTAGGAGAACATTGACAATGATACATAAACAAACATAAACGTGTAGGTGGATCCTTCTCTTTGTGAAAATGTATTTTTTTGGTTATTTCTAACTTCAATAAATAATTATGATCCAATAGTTATGATGAATAACAAGACAGCCATTGAAAAGATAACTATGCAGGCATGAATAATATAATTGCCGGTCCAACAGAGTTAATCAGTCGTATAGAACATTCTTAATTCTCCTTAGTTATCTCTCTTACATACCAAAAACTATATTATATTTGTAAAATAGTACGCCCAAATGTAATCTGAGGATTTCAACAAATCCGGCCGTCATGATTAATTTTAATGTAACACTTAGGACGAGCATAAGAAATTAATTATTAAGTAGTTATTTTAAGATGGTTGCCAACAACACAATAATTGCAATTAAGAGAACAATACTGATAGCACAGTACATTGCTATTAGATAGGCGGAAGTTTTCTGTTAGTTAAGCATTCGTATGGAAGTGAAATACTACAAAAACTTTTGGATTTCCCCTGATAATTTGACATTATGCCATGCAAATTAAAGCTATATTTAAAAAGGGAAGTATAAAAGCTGGAGAAATTAGATAAGAGAGAGCAAGCAAGTGGTTTAAAAAGATTGGTTGTTTTAGCCAATAATTTAGTACGCAACACTAGGATTATGAGAAATGCATACTTAAATAGTGATAGCTTCAATTAATCCCAAAGAGTTTATGTAAATTCCTGTTTGAGACTCATATCGAATCGTATTTACTTTTTTTAAAATAATGATAAAGCAATTTTTTTTGAATTGAGAAACCCAAAATTAATATTTGATAATTATTATAATATTAAGAATGTTCAATCGATCCTCATCTGATGTAAATATTTCTTAAATAATCAGATTAGCCAACGAGATAAAATTGAGTATTTACAAGTAAAAAGACAAACATATATATATTAGAGTGGTATACTTGATGATGAAATAGGGCGAGGAATCCCTATATGTTGCCATCACTTTTTCGATTGCGTAATTGCTACAATTAACCTATCTGGCTTTCGGATCTAAAACAATGTACGTGTGGAACAATGACGGAGCTGCAACCGATCTCAGTAATATCCTTTCGTAACTGATTTAAAATAATTCATAAGATACTTCGTCATAAGTGCTCACTTGAAGCATTAGAAATTCGAGCTCTACCTAGCCTTTTTTTACACCTTTTTTGGATTGGTGGTTTTATCAGTTGCACTATTTATCATATTTGCATTCGCGTTTAAGGTAGCAGTACTTCCCCTAATGATACTAAAATCGTTGCTGAAGCTATTTCTGACAATTGGCTTTCTCCCCATTATGCTCTTATTTTTTGGGGTACAATATACCACTATTACATTTTTAGCTTCTGTCATGCAAAGTAAATACCGATGGAATTGAGGTTTGGTCCTACAACGAAGACGTTGAATGTTGGGGCAACGATCATTACATCCACGCTATATTTGCAATCATAGCCATCCTATTATTTCAGATCTTGACCAGCACAACATGTTTAATATACTTCGAGAGTAAATTTGTCTATGGAAATGCATATGCCTAACGATCAGGAAGACCCTACTCCTATTATCACATCAACGTCTTCATCATCATCATGTCATATCAACTCCTTGAAACCCCAAGGTTCAGCTCTCTCTTATTGACCATTTTCACCATCTCAAATTTTTTCCTCTTTTATTAAATTCACACAGAAAAACCCTTCTATAATAAAGTCATCTAAAAGTTGTGGTCCATAATCACCGCATTGAATATGTGGACTTCCATAATGCTAATTTTCGCATATCTTTTGGAAGGCCAATTCTTTAGAGATGTCATCTGGGGTTGGGTCGGAGGTATTCCCCTGATTGTTTTGATCATAATAAATGAGCAATTATTTGAAGTCGACTTATTGAGTTCGAATATCAATAGAGCAATATCAGGATAGCAGATCATCATCCTGTGTGAGTACCTACTATCACTGTTGGATAAGAATGACCAACACTCATCACTGATGTTAGATGGATTTATTGAAGTACACAAACAAACTTGTTATAGGAATGATTGCATATTAAAATCTAAGAAAAGTCTGAATGAAAAAAATAAGCATGCTTCTCTTCACGACCTGGAAAGATACTCTGTATTCATAGAATTGATTAGCCAAATCTTTTATGATGGCATCAAGCAGTTCCCACAGGACGTCTTTTTGAGATTAAATTACTCGTACTTCCTAATCGATAGACTAAAGTTGAAATAACAAGCCTTGAGTGAATTGCAATAAGCAGAATCAAGTGGTCCAAGTTTCGATCACGAATTCATTATCTATCGATATAAGAGAATAATGGAAGACGACTTGCAGGAACAATAGCAAGAGAATTTGAATCAAGTTGATTTGGTCACTGAAATTGCCTTTCAGACTCAAAGCAAATAGTTAATCTAGCAAATAGAGAAAACATCTCTTATTTACATTGACTTTTGGGCTTAATTGCAGGAAGAGGTCCCAGACATTGGTAGAATCAACAATTTGGGATTTAAGATACTGGATTCCGTAAATTTAGTTTAAGAATAGTGGAATAGATTAAAGCGACTAAATTAGAAGGCATCCAAGCTAAATCGTTTGATGGGCAAGTACTACTCACAAATTATGAATGACGAAGAAATGGGATAAAAGTTGATTCAATAAAGTCGCATGAATTAAAATGATAAGTTTAAAGCAATAGATTTAGAAGAAATCCAAAATGAGTGTTTACCTACGATAACCATATTGACTGATGTTGATAAAATTGGTACGATTAGCAATCTGAATAAAGCAGCCTGTAGTTTATTGGGATATGCTAAAACTGACTTAGTCAATAGGAAATTAAATTTGATATAGCCTGACCTGTAATTATAGATATTTAATTCATAGTTTCTCAAAGTACCATGATCATTTCCTTGAGAATTTTCTGGAAAAGTTCCAGGACAACAATCCAAATTAATAAGTTAAAGAAAAATCTATTTACGTTAAGAATAAGTAGGGTTACATCATACCATGTCAATTGAATATCAGAATGATTCAAACTATCAATTCAGGTGTTTTTATGTGTGGGACAATCAAATAGGATATCTATCATAAACCTTTAAGTATATTTTTGTGTCAAACAAATGGTATCATTGAAAATATCAATTCCACTTGCATCAGGATGTTTGGATTGGAGTTGAAATCAATTACTATTAAACCTGTTAACATTTTGGATATCTTTCCAGATATATTTGATCGCAAGGAAGAATTACTATAAAAAGCAGGTGGAATTGTAACCTACATCATTGGAACTCGATCATCGAAGACCAATACATCTCATAATTCATTACAAGATTTAGAAATAGAACATTCATAAATACTTGATCATTAAAATAAATAATAAATTTAATTTTAATGCTACCTTTAAGAAATTAAGTTTTAATGTATAGAAGACGAAATCATCCAAAATAAACTGCAAGGGTATATTATAAAGTTAGACAAAGTTAAATCTGCAGAGAAGATCTAATTGTATACACAAAATAAGAGCATTTAAAATCAATTTTAATTTAAATTTAATTATTTAACTCTAACTTATGTGCTGGATTTCGGAAATGGATTAGATTCCTAAGATCCCACTGTAAAGGTTGATTAAAGTATTATTTGGGAAGATTAAACGAAAATATCACAATAGGTCATTATTGATCCTCAGATTTAAGGAAGTGATTGCTAAACCAATTATGCAGAGGGAATCAAAATCGTCAGATTAATTGGAGATCGAATTGTTGAGATAGAAGAATCTAAGTCAGATGAATATGAAGATGACAATATGCAGAGTCTCTTTTAATAGAATGACAACAATGAAGATGATTAAAAGAATGAAAAAGATACCATAAATCTATATAGATCAAAGAACCAATTGGAATAATTGTTATCTCAATCTAAAATACCGAGAACAGCAATCAACTTCAGAATATTCATAAATATAATGACATTAGTTTTGGTATTGATAACTTTCTTAGAATATTTTATCAACTCTGATTTCAACTAGAATCTATTGGACTCTTTGCCTTTGGTGTCATGGAACAACTAAAGATCCAGTACCTTAATGGGAATATAATCAGTCGTACAGGACTTGAAAAGCGTACATTATGACTAACTTCCTTTGTTGAAAGATCCAGAGTTAGGGTATACGATACTTGAGAAACAGTTTAGAGGGTGGTTGGATAAGGAATTGGCTTAATTGATTTAATTGCAGAAAGATTTGACTTTGGTTTCAGCTGAGATTAATGAAGATTATAAATGGGTCTAGGATTATTATGAAATGGAAAACGTTGAAATGGTTTCTTTGGAGGGAGGAAAATAAAGTTATACTTTTAATGAAGCTTTGCAATCTGCAATAGCTAAAGCATTGTAAATCAATAGTAGTTCTTTGGATGAAATTAATGATAAGAATGGGGACGTTTATTATATTGAATATAATGTTTTCAACTCTTTAACACAAAGTTTAACTATTCCAGCCGAATATTTTAAATACAATATTATATCAAGAGGAGAAATATTAAAAACTTCAGTGACTGCATTTCTGACTGCAGCATCTATCATATTGTTTCTTTAGTATTTAATTACATTATACTAGGATATGTTTGATTATTTTATTCATAATAAAGATCTAAGTAGTAAATTAAGCAGCATTGCAATTATTCTTAGATCTCAATGAGAAAAAAATTAAGTCTATCTATGTTAAGTGTGAGAATTTCATTACAAGTCTTTAAGTTGGGGATGATGATGATGATGTAATCAATGCAATTAATAAATTGAATAGTTCTTCTCAGATAATGATGAAAAGGAAGAGGAGAACGAGAACAAAGAGAAAGAAAAAGAGGAAGGGGATCATTTATTGAATGGCAGAAAAAAGAGGAAGAAGTTTAGGAACTCCAATTAGAATTACAAGCATTTAATATTTGCTTTGTTATTGGTTATCGAAGTCATGGCAGCATATTTTATATATTTATTTGTTTCAGTCTAGGTAAATTCCAATTTATTATTTTAGTCTGAAACTTCTGATATCATAGATTTAATACCTGTGTTTAATTAGACATCCTTCGCAGAGTGCTATTACAGGTATTCTGATAATGCCTTAAGAAAATCATTAGAAGTTGAAAAGTACACTTTTGTTGGCAACTCATCAGTCGAAGTTCTCAACTTTTTGATTGCTGAACTGTATAACTTGGATGCAGCCATACACTAAATCCATTCCTAAAATTAAGACATTCTCAATTCAGACTACCTAGATGTAAAGATCAATTGAAATATTGTAGGTATTTAATAATATCTTCATTTTAACACCTTGTGATTACATAGTTCAAATAGACACGGAAATAACCTATGATATTTGCTTAACCTTTAATGATGGAGTCTTGCAATAAGGTTTATCTATTGGAATGGCGAAATTTTTCGAGAGTTTTCGACAAGTCCTGAACTCTTATAATGCATTCAATGAATCTTAAGATTATGAACTAGTTTACAAAGTTTCTGAAAATAAGAGGACCAATTATATGATCAATTTAATAAATACTAATCAGGCTTACAATATGAGATTGATGTAGGAAAGATATATAAAGGCTGCTTATCAGTATATAAGTTAGGCCTTAATCAGCTCAGTTAAGAACAATGCATAAGACCATAAAAATTTAAAAGTTGCACTATTTATCAGTTTCAATATTTTTGTGTTTTTCATTTACTTTTTTATATGGATTCCTCTAGTATTCCGTATTCTAAGTGATATGCTCAAAAATCGATTAATGTTAACAATAATCCCATTACAAGTAATTCATAAAACTGCATCAATAAGACTATATATTAGAAAAATTATAAATCATTGACATAAATTTATATATATTTTTATATAATGTGATATTCAGTAAGAATTATACACTGCAGAAGATGAAAATGTAATTAAATTTGATTCTCAAAATTTCGATTGATATACATTATTCCTATCTTCTTTCCTAAAGAAGACTATTAGATATCATAATAATAAGGTTAGATTTATAATAAATCATAATTTTACATTATTTGATCTGAATCTAATAATCTTTTTTAAATGTTTAAATTTACTATTTATTTACTTCTATTGGTCCCCACAGTTGAGTTATCTAGAATAGAGTATTAAAATTCGAGTTATACAAGAATAATTCTTACACAAACTGTTATTTTAATTAAATTATTAAAAATATAAAAATAAAAAATCTGAAGACTACGCGAATTGAACGCGCGACCCCTGGACCTGGAATCCAACGCTCTACCCCTGAGCTAAGCCTTCAATGATAACATAATATACGATAATTTGATAATATATCTCATTTATTTTAGACCACAATTTTAATTGCTTCTGCCAATTAAGCTACATTTTTTGAAGTTATTCCAGCCTATATAAATAATAAGAATTAAAACCATTGACATTCTTCCTGATCGAAGTAAATAAACGTGGTGTTCTTTAGTCAATTAATCACATTGTTCTGGTGTCAAGCCTGTGAATGTAAAGAATCCAGTCTATTTAGTGATGTGATCCCAATTTCCTTCAACATTGAGTTTGTCTAATTCATCCTTAAGGAGGGTTCTCATCCTAATAATACGTCCTGTAACAGTGTTCAATTCTTCAACCCACTCCTTGTAATACTTCTCATTGCACAGAATTCTGCTTGCAATTCTCCCTCCAATAGCAGGAGGGCAAGAATACAAAGTTCTGATTACAATTTTGAGATTGCTCAACACTTTTGCAGCAATCTCCTGACTGGAGGTGACAATGTGCAGGGCTCCTACTCTTTCATTGTACAAACCCATATTCTTGGAGAAAGAGTAAGCGACAATCATTTAGAATCCAAGTTCAGCAAACTTGCGAACAGCAAATGCATCTTTTTCAATGCATCCACTAGCAAATCCTTGATAAGCACAATCAAAAAATGGTAGTAGATTTCTTGTTTTGCATACCTCAGCAATTTATAACCATTCGGCTTCAGTTGGATCCACACCTGTTGGATTATGAGCACAAACATGTAATAATACTATTGAACCCTCTTTGGCTTGTGACAGACAATCAAGAGTAGCTGTGCAATTAAATCCCTTGGTTTTTGGATCATAATAGGGGTAATTTATTTAGTTTAATCCTGTCCTGTCGAGAATCTAATTGTGATTACTCCAGGTTGGATTTGAGACATAGACATCTCCTGCCAAATGTCTTTTCACGAAATCAAATCCCACTCTGAGTGCTCCTGTTCCTCCCAAACACTAAGCTGTTACTATCCTTCCACTCTCAAGTAAGGGATTGTCCTTGCCAAATAATAGTCGTTGACAGCCCTTGTTAAAGTCAGGCAAGCCTTCGATTGGCAGATATTCCTTGATAACTCAAAATAAGACTCATACTTTATTCAATGTAATGTCATTGATGATCTCTTGTTCAACTCTTTTTACAACGTCAAAGATGTATGGTTTTTCTTCGTCTGTACGATAGGCTCCCACACCGAGGTCAATCTTCTTGTCAGATGGGTCTGCTTTGTAGGCGTTCATAATTCCGAAGATTGGATCTGGAGGTGCTTATGTCAAAAGGGCAAATGGGTTTTATGGAGTGGAGTCCGATTAATTTGCTTGTTACATTAATTAATACAAATTAACATTCACGTAAATAATTAAGAGTTTACGCATTATTATGATTTTATTCGCAAATTTCGTCATTAAAATATATATGATGATATTTTTAGAATAAATAATGACGATATTACGTATTATTTTATGAAATATCATAATACTCAATACTTGTAATCGGCCACAAATAATGACTCGTTGGATGCTCCTCCCTTTCCCCCTTGGTATTTACCTAAAAATAGGAAATGAATCTCCTACCTAATTAGGCTTCACTATTGGCCTTAGCTCTAGTTAAGAAAGCTTGTTAAGCAGCTTCCCAATTTTCTTATTTGCCAGCCCAAGTCTTAACGGCGGTGTTTTGAAGAGCTCTTCCATAAGAGAATGTAAGAGCCCATGGTTTTCTCACGGTTGTCAATTAATTCATGGCATTCAAGTTCAAAGATGCCTCTTCTTCTGATTGTCCACCTGAAAGGAACTATTTTATAAATTCTAGATTCTTACAGTGACACCAACAAGTGCAGGAGGAACTATTCTACTCAAAGCCAAAGCTGTTCTATATCCAATTTCTTAGGGAGTGACCTTGCTTCTCTCAGAGTTTGTTGATCCTGGAGTGACCATGTTGGGTTTAAGAAGACATCCTTCCAAGAACACATTATTTTCATTCAAAGCCTTGAAGACAGCAGCCAAGACCTTTTCTGTGACCTTCTGGCACACATCGATGGAATGATCACCATCAGCCAAGATTTCTGGTTCAACTATGGGAACGAGACCATTCTCTTGGCAGATGGCAGCATATCTTGCCAATCCCCAAGCATTTTCTTAGATGGCTTATTAGGATGGTAATCCATTGCCAATTTTCAAAACAGCTCTCCATTTGGCAAATCTGCAGCCGACTTTGTAGTGTTCAGCTGCCATATTGGCCAATGAATCCAATCCAAGAGTGGCTGATTCATCTTGAGTTCCTGGAATCACTCCCAAACCCTTGTCTACTTTGATACCAGCCACTATTCCTTTTTCCTTCAATAACTCGACAAAGTTCTTGCCTTCCTTTGTAGCATGTTTGACCTAAAAATATATCTAATTTAAAGTACTGTCTCTGAGAAAAGAATGACTCCACTGATGTAATTTTCAATTCCAGGAGATGTGAACAACAATTCTCTGTAGGCTCTTCTGTTCTCTTCGTTGTTCTCCACATTGATGGTAACAAACTTCTTTCCGATGGTTCCTTAAGACTAACCATGAAATCAGAATTTACTTCGTCTGCTGCCAAAATTCCCTTTCCTGGAGTACAGATCTTTTATGCTGTTTCTGCCAATTCCTTTCTGTAGTCTGCTTTTTATTACATAAAGATATTTAAAATGAATTAATTTATTAAAATTTTAAGTTCATTGATTCGTTATCAATATTCAAAAATTAGGCTTCTAGAATCTACTTAATTAAAATGTTTTATATTTTTGAACTCCAGTCTTGAACATCTCCTCCAAAATCTCTCCCATCACAATACAAAACTTGAATCCATCTATCATATATAATATTATTAATACGTCCAGAACATGCACTCAAAATTATTGTATTCTTGGATCTGGGATCAAAATCAATTGTAAAATTATGATCTCTTGTGCTTGTATAAACACATGTCTCCACTCTCGATACTGCAGCATCCCTCAATTCTGGCATATACTTAATCAAGAATTATTTAATTAAGTTAACACTTCCTTGTTCATTCTTGGTTTGGTCATACAAATCCGGATGTTCTAAAGATGGCCCAAAGTGATGTAATCCAATTTTCACTTCCCCATTCACTCTTGGAAATCCATATACTTCTTATGAGTTATTTTCACTGATGAAAACAGGCAAATTATCAAAGTTCTTATTACATCTAATTAAATTAAGGAATGAGTATCAAACTATTGCACTATATCTGTTTTGAAGAATACAACCTATTGTTTATAAAGGTTGATATCCAAAGGGTATGTGTTTTATAATCTCTTTAATCCCATTCCAAGTGATAAATCAACTTTTTAGACCTAAACACTCCTAAATCGGTATAAACGTGAATTTCATCTCCTTTTTGTACTCATGATTGATGTATCTACAATTATTTACAACTTGTCCTCCTTTTGCTTTGCCCTAATTTATAAAGATGGAAATTGCTATTTCTGGTCTCACAAACCCATCTGATTTATCAAAGTAAAATGATTAATCTTAAGCTGTCTTGATTGGGAACTTGTATTCTACATCCTAATATTTCAATTATTAGAGGTTCGGATTATTGAATTATATTTGATTTCTAAATTGAGCATTACTCTAATCTCCAAATATAATTCCTCCTGAATTCACACATACTTATTCACTGGTTGAGTCTTGTAATTACCTCCATAATTGAAGGGATCTCCTTGCAATATCCACATATTCTCCAGAATAGCCCATCTCTCTTACAATTCTGGTCTCACCATTATGAGACCACTTTGTGTGTGGTGACACATATTGTTCAATGCCTAAGACTTTCATTTTGCCAGAAAAATGTGAAAAGCAATTGCTACCATGAGAACCCAATCCTACAATAATTAAGTCAAATAATGTATCCATTTATTTTATTATAAATCAATTCTAATGTGATATTATATCAACCTATCTATAATGTATTATTTATAACATAGAAATATAGTTCTAATCCAGATCATCTAGAGGTTGCAAATCTTAATTATTTTGGAATTAATTAAAAATTAATATGAGTTTTATAAGAATGAATAGGAATAAATTGAAACAAAAATTTAGATTGAAATAGTGTCTTTATATTTCATATATATTTAGAGATGCATCCTGATTAATTTACTCTATTTCAGACTAATTCAAATAATAGGAAAGTTCAACTCGATAGATGAATATACAGGACAAATTAAAAAACTTACATTCAATTAAGAACATGAGGATGATTTTATAAATAATACTAAGAAAGTTAATTCATTAATTGATCTATTTATTATCATATTTATTCGTCGTTTTGTTTAATGATTGGTGACTCCTATTGTTTAATGAAATTAATATCATAGAAGTCTTATTCCCTTTCATTTTCTTCATTATCATTACAATTATCTACATTGTTAGTTGTCAACCCAACTTGAGTTTCTGGTTGTTATGTACATTTTTTATAATCCTAACTTAATATCAAAGCATCATTCATATTCAAGATATCGTATTTAGTTGAAAGAGTGTTCATATTTCTATAATTAAGAGTTTTCTATTGATTTTGGATACCCTCTGAAATAATAAACGATTCTCCTGAATCTGACAATCTCATAGGAACTTTGATCCCAACTGCATGAACTTTTTCTATTTCTTTCCGTCTCTTGATGGACATCATGATAAATTGAAACCGAGACATTTCATACAATAAGTTTTTATAATTCAATTTACAAGCCATCTAAGAATGAATTTACTTTTGGAATGCTAAGAAACTAGGCAATTCCACTTACACACTATCAAACTTAACTGATTTTATTTTACCCCAAAAGTTTTTAATGATTTTAAACCTCCTAATTTCAGGGTAATATTATCTCATGATGTCATCCAGAACAGATTATCTCATTTAAGACAAATTTAAAATAGTGATGAGATATTTGACTGAAAATAAAATACTGATAATTGATCCAATTGCAGCAAATACTTCACTGATGGATGGGTACCCAATCTAGATAGTATGATATTGTTATTAAAATAATATCCAATAAACTCCATAGGTATTAGGTAAGAAGGTTTTATCACAATATCTCTTGGTACCAAATTAGGGATAATTTAGTGAATTTGAGATGTAATTATGCTCCTCAACATTAGATGAAAATAGAAATGCCTTATTTATTAAGTAATGGTTCAATTAGTAATGCAACGTAATTTAAGAGCACAATTCTGCATCCGAATGGATATAGATTGGATAGGTTCTGAGAAACTATTAAGGCTCAAATGTGGATGGATTTATGGTAGTGAACTCAATATTGGTATACAACATGTTGCCTGATTCGTTAAAGTAACTCTATTATATTTCTTCTGAGGCACATTTGTAGTCGCCAATCAAATATTCGTCCTTGCAAAGTGTAAAGATGATTATAAATTATTTTTCCTTCCCCATCTGGATGTTTATGTCAAGCAGTTGTTCCTCTGTGATGTTGCTAATGAGGGGCTCAAAATTGCCAACATCTAGATCCATTATTAATGGCATCAAGATGATCTCATCACTTTTGAATGGATTAATCTTAGATAATCCATTATTGTCATATGCAATCACCTACATTCTATTATTGATGAACCCGAAATCGGTCTCCTCCTCAAACTTGTTAATGTCTTCAGCCACTTTCGGCAATAACTGGTAGCTCCACCACATGTACATATAGTATATACAATAGATTAAACTTAATGCACCTATTATCAAGGAGATAATTCCACCAATAACACTAGAATGGTTATAGTTGAGTCCATCTGATATGGCAGGAGAGTATGTTACGCTGAAAAAGTCAACATTTCTTAACTGATTTGAAATTTTCTTCATTATTATTTATAATTACTAAGAATTTGGTTTCTACGCTAAAAGAAAAGAACTATGCATTATTTTTCATTTCCATTGTAACATCAAATATAATAATGGTAATTGATATTGGTTCTAAGTAAAAATTAAAATTATCATTAATCTTCATTGTGAAAATATGTCCTTGATGATTTGAATAACGTCATTTATGCATTGCTCTCCATTCGGAATCAAATTATAAAAATTCAAAAATCCATGAGGCATATAGTCATATTTATACAATTTGCATTTCTTCCCTAAATTGCTTAAGCATATTCGAATAGATTACATTAGTCTCCCTAATAATGTCCAAGTGTCACCATGCAAAGGGTCATTCGTTCCTGTCAAAATATAAGTTTGCGGGAATTGTTACAACACCTCATCGATGGCTTCTCCAGGGGAAATCAAGGAGTCCTTGTAATTGAGTGTTTCATCCTAGATGTAGGATTTCACACATAATTTCAAAAATGAATGAGGCAACACTAAATATTACACAATCCAAATTACATCCATCATCTAAGGAAACAAATTGATACATATTGAAGTTCTTTGGATCTAGATTCAGTGCAGGATATGCTAAAATTATGCCAGCAGGCAAGTAAACACTTTCTCGAATACATAAAGCAGTCAAGGCAGCACATAAATTGCCACCAGCACTATCTCCTATTAATATTATTTTCTTCGGTGTTATATCTATCAATCATTAAGATTATTACTGAAATAATGTAAGGAAAAATGAATAATCCAAAGGTAAGCTTGCCAGCAGTCATCTAGAGCAGCAGGGAAGGAATATTAGGGAGATAATCGATAATCAATTGAAAATATAGGCACTTTTAGAGAGTTCGCCCATAATCTAGTATATGTTTAATGAGATCTAGAGGACATTGAAACAAAGCCCCCACCATGAATATGTATAATAATATTTTCATGAGTTGTTTTAGTTGTCTTATGAAACAACCTATCAATAAAACTGGTCCTGGATAATTGAATCAATGGATCTTAATAGTAATTCTATAAACTTGAAGATGGACTGATAGTTAAAGCTTCAGAACTTAGAATTCGAATCTTAACTCTGTCCTCGCCATTCTCAATCAGCTGATAAAATGATAGCAGTTTTGGACTCTTATCAATTAATGGTTAAGGCGGAGTGATTATACCCATATAACGTTTCTAATAGTATTTCACATAGTCAACATTGATCTGTTTAAAGTATCTTGGAATGTAGATGCACTATTTGTATTTTATCGATGGGAATATGATTGGCATCAGATGTTTAGCTAGACCAGTTTCGCCCATATTCCAAACTGCAAAAGCCAATTCCACTGTTGGTTCTGCCATTAATTAATGTGCTTTCAATAAGCCTTGTTTTCGAGCCAACATGTAATAGATAGGCCCTAAGTTATGGATTATGCCTCTGAAGATTTTAGTTTCTGTTTCAGACTTCTTTTGCATCATTGCCTAAGCTGATTGAATGGCAGACAGTATCAATTTATACGCATGCTCAATTTATTCTTTCTTTGCAATTTCTTTGACAATGATATTATTCTTATATTCATATCTAATGTCTTATGCTGCACATGCATGAGGAAAGGCCTCCAAAACACATAAGAATTTAGATAAATTGTAGTGTAATTCAATAAGAATGTGCTTTGGTTTCCTGGAGTGTTTCTTAATGAAAAATTCTTCACACACATGTAGGATTTTGGGTAAGAGATTGATATTCAAGATAGATAGAATTTGATAAACATGATTTAGATTGATATCTTTTGAATAGAGACTAAACTCTCCAATAACGTGGGAATAGTCTTTACTAAGGTTTTCAACCACTGATTAAATCTACAATTAACCTATTAGACATAGCTTAGTCAGTTAAGTTGTTTTTAATGTAAACATGTCTTATAAACCAAATAGTGAAGTCAATTCTGTCGCTATTTTAATAAGTTCATTGTATTTGTTATAAGCTAATTATAATTCAATTATACTTGTTTCCATTGTCTCCTATAACTCAATGTTAAAAGTGCCTTAAATCCCTTCAAAAAGATCTTTATCATTCTGTTATTCCATTTTCAATGACTCTCTATCATAGACAACTATCTGAGAATAAATGGTGTCATCCTATTCCTCTATCCTTTCATCATATTCACGTATAGGACCTAAATCCTAGAAAAGAGCTTGCATCTAAATATTTTAATAATTTATTTGTATATAATATTTAAATATAGTAGTGTGACAGGGGATCATTCAAGCATTTTAGTTGAGTCATAATCATCTTCATATTCACTATGCCATTCAAAAACTATATTAAAAATTCTGATTCCATTTTTTCAAGTTCAAGCATTAAGGATTTTCAATTATAATTAATTTCAATTGATCGATTCTTCTATTTTATACAAGCCTAAAAGTTTCTGATTTCAATAATTTTATTTAAAATATTATGAATCAATAGATTGATTTCGACAACGATAACAAGCTACCCTTTAATACAAACGGCTATACAGATTCAGCAGTTATGATGTGTTTTCATTGTGATCAAATAGGAGAAACCAAGTTAGTATATGAAAGGGGGATGTGGACATACTTGATGTGTATAGCAATGTAATGCATATGCGGGTTATTTAATTGACCTATTCTAAAGCCCATTAGGTTCGGTTGTCTTGTTTATGAATGATTGCAAAGATATCTATCATATTTGTAGAAACTGCAAAGCTGTAGTTGGGATTACTGAAAAACAAATTAAATTTCAATGAACTTATAGAATAATTCATTAAGCGAAAAATTAGCAAATATCTCAATGTCTATGAGTGATTTCGACCGATCGAAGTTAAGGAGTCATCGTCAAGTTGGGAGTACCCATATCACCATACAAGCGACTGGCTTTGTTTTCAAACATTAAGGAATTATTTTTCCTTTGCTTTGCTATTTTTATCAAAGTCACTTCATCTAGTTCAGATCTGCATGCTGGACAAATTCTATTCTTCTCCAACCAATTATCAATACATTACACATGAAAGATGTGAGTGCAATAAGTCAATCTAACTTAATCCTGCTCCTTAATTTTATCAAGACAAATCAGACATTCATCTGTATTTGCCAAACCTGGATATTAATTTAATATTGTTTTATATGGTTGTTTAGGTAAGTACCTTTATATGTCAGTTTTTGGATATAATGAGATTGTAGGAAGTATCTAATGTTCCTCTTTCTGCCTTCTAAAAAAGTAGTAATAGCAAATGATACAACAACATAAACTTATGGATCCTCCAACAGTTGTTACAACAATTATTAAGATAATTTTAGTATTCTAAATGTTTGATCCTTATGAATTTTCACATTCTGTTTCAAAATAAAAAATATAGTAAGAAAATTGTTCAGGACTCAAATTTTAATTATTTATTTTTGATAAACATGACTGGACATCTGAAATTTTTATCTCTCTTTTTTCAATCATATTTTACTATAATAAATACCAATCTTCAGCATAACAAGTTTGTCTATATTAGCCCACATGAGTAAAATTTATATTTAGAGAACAGGAATTTTAGTCACATCCCTTTATATTAAAATAGTAAAATCCATTCTTATGATATTGAGATTCTTGAGTGATATCAAGAGCAACAATACTACAATCTGCACCAAAATATCCTTGCATACATTCACACATTCCGTCTTTACAGATTCCGTCATTTTAGCATAACCTAAAATTTTATATGTTTTAAATACGAGGCGCATTCGGATATATCCAGTGTAGTTATTGTTATGGAGAAGTTTGAAATTGATTTAGAGTAGGTTCCTATTACTTATGGGAACTCGTTAAATTATTTCATAGATAATAACTGCATTTGGTACTTTTCTACTTTGAAACCATGTACTAGCTATATGATTTACGTATTTCTTTTCAGATCAAAAGAATTTACATCGTAAACACAGTTTTCTTTTAGAAGAGTAATTTCTGAATCACAAATCAATAGTTATGTTGAATCGAAAATTTCCTATTCTAATTTTACTACTATTTTGTTGTTTGGTTTTGGGCCTGTTTGAAATGTTTATAATAGATGTATCCCTATTTCTAAATTCAAAAAGGTTTAGGTTTATCCGAGACATTAAAGAAAAAGATGCAATAAAATAAACATAAATCAATTTTAATGAATAATTCTGTTGAGATCATAAACAAGATTAAACAATTAATTTAATTTTATTTAGTATTGATAGTTGCTAGACCCATTTCCCTATTGAACAACCACTAAATCTATAAATAGTGATTGATCATGACGTAGAAATGTCTAAAAATGTTGCTACTCTAAGTAATTCTCTCCTCACACACACACATATTGAATACTCCAATCTATAAGTAATTACTTGCCATACTCAAATGAAGAATAATTATATTTTTTATCTTAATTTTCTATCTATAATGATATTTTTATTGAATTTTACCAAATCTCAAAGATTATCTCATACTTATTATTTAAATAAAATTTTAAATGTGGGATTATAATTATGATTTCTATAAATTTTAAATCATCTATTTATCCTATTAAAGTTATAATCATTACCAATAATTTACATAAATTAATTTATTAAAAATGGGAAGTCAAATCCAAAAATCGCAAGTCAATATGAAAGCACAACTCTCTCGAAAAATTCAAAGGCCTCAGGCTAAGGCAGAGTTTATAGAAGTAAGAGTTAACGATCCAGGAGCACCCATTAACTCTTTTTTAGTTGAATCTAAGAATTCTTTAATTGAAAATACTATGCTAAACACCGAAGATCAAATTCAAAACCATGATAATTCTTAGAATTTTGAACCTAGAAAAAATACTCACAATTCAAACAATGATCATATATAATCAATCAAAGGAATTCTTAAAAATAAATCCAATATGTCTCAATCTTCCTCGAGATATTTCAATGAAGAAGCCAAATTTGTGAGATTTTAATGTAGAAATACTCGCTTCTCTTAGCAAAGAATTAGAGATGTTGAAAAAGTTAAAAAACCTAGAAAAGGCAGAATCTCTACTCTATTATGAAAACATCTTTTTATATTTTTTTGTTTATTATATTCTTTATTCATAAGTAGCATTTCAGATTTTTAAGTGGGAATAATCTCATTTTATTACATTTTTAAAAATCTGAAGTACAGTAGCAAACTTTCTAAGTGAGCATAAATTTTAAATAGTATCAAGAAATATATCAAAATAGCACGTAATAAATAATATATTATTCAAATAATTTTAAACTAAAGTTATACCGTCATTTTAATATCTAATCGTCATTCTTAATATATTATTTTGAAATTTTAATTATATTAATAATTAATTTTTTTTTGAATTAAAGATTTGATTAATAAATTTATAAAGACTTTGTATTTCTTATATTAAAAAAGAGATGAATATAATCGAGCCTATATTTGCTAATATAATTATATCAATTATTAAAGTCAAAGGATTGTTACGCCAATACTAAATTCAATAAAAAATTAAAGGTTTTTAAGACAAAGCTTTGGATTCTTATGGTTTTTTATAATCCTAACATTTGATTTTAAAGTGTCAATTATATTATTTTAATTTTCAGCTACAATCTTGAAATATAATTTTTATATACTCATCAAATGTAATTTCAGATACCATTAATTTAAGCATCTTCACTAAGGATATAAAGCAAAACTCAAACATAAGCATTCGTAATAATTATTATTGTCTATTTTTGTTTGCTTAGAGTTTTTGTTCCATTTTTTATATTGGAAATGTCCTTAGTATAAAAAAGTGTAATGCAATACAAAGTTATAATATTCAAATTCAATCAATAAGCTTAATTGAATGGAATATCCTAAATTAGCTTAAGCTACTTTTAAGACATCAACTTCCTTAACACTGAAATATGAATTTAAGTGTTGTCATTGATTTTAACTTTTTTTTTATTTAATTAGATCGAATTGATTATATTTCCTCATATATTTATTAGATTTTATTTACTATTTTATAATAAAATGAAACCTTATGAATTTGAGGTGGAAAATAAAAGAAACATTTAAAGAGAAGAGCTATTTATTTTGACGATAGTTGAAAGAGTATTAGCAGGACATCTACAATTAATTTCATTTGTGGATTAAGCTTAGTTTTCTGAATTATTGACAAAAAGGTAAACTTAGTAAAAGCCCATTCCTCCATTGCATCTTTAAATTTTAGGCACTGTGAAACGAAACCTTATAAAACACCAGACACCTTTGCTTGAAAAAAAAGTTCAATATGAAATAAGAACTGTTGCTTCATCATCAATTGATATGAGGAAGAACTACATTCATTCATTTAGCAATAGATAATCAAATAACAAGGAATAATAAACCACAGAAATAGATGCATAAATCATAGGACATTTATAACAATAATCAAATAGAAATAGTAACTTGAAATTAGATAAAACTGATATTAGCTGTTTACCTAAGTATCACAGCAATAGAAGCTAAAAAGTAAATAATTCATCTGCTCGATACATTAGTCCCTTCCAAATCAATAGTCCCAATAGTACATAAGCAGAAAATATAAATAAAGAATTGCCATCTCTCAAGTAGTCTACTATCAATGAAAATCTGCCTATTCTGAAAAATGAAAAGGCCGTAATCAATATAGTAAGTCAGGATGGAGAAATAGAATAATAATAAGACTTTATAATCAAAAATAATAACTCCAATATGGAACCGATTGTCAATCAAAATCAATAGCAATTATAAAGAATTGAGAAGCAGGATAGTAATGTACAATAAAGTTACTCTAGAAAATAATCTTAGAAATTACCTATGGGAAGTGACTCTAGCAAAATGGATCTAAAAGAAAAACTCTAAAAATACTATAGCAATGATGAAGACTTTAGCACTCAAAGAAAACCCAGGACTTAGAGTGATCGATTAAATGGCATCAGTTATGGAACAGATCCAAATGCAAATGATATAAAAATTGACAATCAATTATAAATAATTTAAAGTGCCAAAAATTTGGATAATAATAATAAATCTTAGATAATATCATAACAATCATAATAGGTGAAATTTTCATTTATTCCTGGCCAGACTTAGGAACCTGTATCATAGTCAGAGACCTTTTCGAAAGATCAATTGAGTCCGAAGAAAAGCCTTGAAGAAATACATCCTCCTGGAAATTTCCTGTCTCCTCCTTAATCAGCCAGGACTATCATAACTGCAAAGTCAACTAAAAGAAAGCTTAATACATTACAATCGAATGATCTAAAAATATTTGATTAACAAAATCCATAGGAACAATAATAGGTTGAAATCTCAGCATCAAATGAAGAGTCATAAATGTCTTTGTTAGAATAATCCTTACACTAAAATGAGCAAAATCATCATACACATTCAAGTTCATTAAGACCAGCAACTACTCATATTGAGGCTACCAAATAACAAGATTATCCAGTATTTCAAACTCATGACAATCTAGACATAATGAAAAAGTCAACTTAAAAACTGTTGTAATAGTAAACAAGTATCACATCTATTATGCACGACGAGGAGAATTTTTAGAATAATCAAACGCTCACTTAGCATATTAATATTTAGGTGAATTAATGCGAACCAATTTAACCCACCAATAATGTGATAATTGAAGAATCTATAGAAGGTTCACCTAATTGTAAAGTTTAAAATACTTACAATCCCACAGCCTCTTTCTCTCTCCTCAAAATGGAGGATTAAAAATAAATGCCAACCTAAACTAATCTTTAATTTAGGCAGCAATCATCATCACCTAAGAATGGATATTTTCCTTCAAGTTCCTTTATTCCAACCTCAAATTTAGTGTAAGGTTCGTAATCATAATCAAAAATGCTCATACCAATTAATAATACTTAGAATAGTATTAAACCCAATAGGGTAAACAACAAATCTAGATCTTAAATTAAAGATTTTATATAACAATAATAATAATAATAATAAAGATCTGATGATAGTTAACCTGAAAGTAAATTGACAATTGAGTCTTCTTAAGGAGATAAATCAAATAGATCAAAGAAGGGTAAAAATAAAAAATAATTGAAATTACCTATAGCTGCTGTTGCACTAAATTTTGCTAGGAGAAAATCATCTAATCAGATTTCACCTATGGATGTATGTTATTAATATATTTTTAGCCTAAAAAGCTAGAGCAACAAGAAAAAGAGAAATAAAGATAGCTTGAATATTAGAAGTAACTTGAAAAAATGAAATATGAAAGAGAATTAATGGAATAATTCAAAATTCCAGATAATATGCCTTTATTGCAAAAAAGATCAATAATTGAATAATTAATGAAGGAGTTAGAGGTTAATTCAGACTAGGATGCAAAATATTAGATCATGTTATGTAAAATGCAATGATATTTATTTAGATAAACAAAGATAAGAATAAATTTAGAATGCTTCAAAGTTAGAATTAAATTTTGATAATCACCTTTCAAATTGTTATGAAGAATTATCTCAAATATCTGAGCAGAAATTGAAATTATTAGGGAAAGATAATGATCCAACTAAAGTGCAATTTTTAAAGTTCGAGGACCAAGTGTAAACTAATTTTCATAGATAATCAAAGTCTTTCACACAAGATCTTAATTCACCTACCAAAAAAAACCTTAAATTTTTCAGTAAATTAGATCCTGTTGAAATTGAAAATCAAATGAATAGAATAAAAGAATTTAAATAGGAAACTGATATTTTAAAATTCTTTTCTTCTTTTAATAATCAATATGATAAAGAAGTAAATTACAATATTTTAATAGGTGAATTAATGTGACTTAGATTACCCTACTCAAAAAGATCGATTGTTATCGATGGATTTTCAAAGAGGATTCTTGCCAAAAACAATTCATAGAAGAAAAAAAACTAAGAAGAAAAGCACTAAGATAGTTATTAACTCTTATAGGATGGACCCGAAGAAATTAGACTAGGTGTTAGCTTAAACTGAAAAAATAAAGCAAGTTGGTTAATTTTTATTGTGATTATATGCTTTCTCTGAATTTCAATATTAATTCAATAAGAAATTTAGCATTTTAAACTCTATAAAATTTATATAAAAATAACTTTGTTATTAAATTGTTATTTGGTACTTTAAGATATTTAATATAAAAATGATTATTAAATAAGTTTCACAAAGTTTCGAATAATTTATTTAAAGAGCAATCAACTACTCGTGAATTGATATTTTTCATTTTGTTAATTGTTTTCATTTATTTATCAAGGTCAGCATTGAATGCTTATTAAAAATTTAATTTAGATTCAAGTTTTTTTTATTCCGTGTACAAGTCATCCAGAAAGTATTCGTAAACAGACTGTAGAGATAAGTCTGCAGAGATACAACTATCATTATCCTGGATATTGGGTTTGATTTTCTATTATCCCAACGGTTACCTTTTTCTGTGATTTGATAAGACACTCCTTCTGGTTGATTAAGATGACTTTGATACTGTATAGATAAGTAAAAATACCTTGTTGGTTGGCATAAAGAGATCTCCCATCAATACACTTTTATTCGCTTAAGTAATTATATAGGGCGGTATCCTTTTAGGAGAGAGTTGTTTGTTCTTAGGGGTAGTATTCGCCGTTTTTTATGTGATTGAGGGTTTTGTCTTTTTTGAATTGGGCAATGAATTTTTTTTCTTTATCTCTTGAATTAAATTTATTGAAATTTCTAAGGGTTTACTCATCTAAAATTTGTTACATCAAATCGTTTGATTCGTTAATTAATTTGAGCTTAGAGTAACTCAGTGTTTCATGATCTTGTTCGATTGGATTCTTTGGTATAAATAGCATTTACATTTATTTGAACTTCTTTACACTACTAGAGAGTTGAATAGGTTTCTTTTCTTAGATAATATTGACGATTTCGGATCTCTTCTATGATTGAGTGGTTTATTGTAATTATTTTTTGAGGATCTTGGTTTCGATCAATTTTTGGAGTTTCTTCAACTTTGAAGGAGCAGTCTCTTCGTTTTCTTTTTAGTTTTTGATGTATATGGTTTTGCCTCTTTTCACTTTGGACTTCCGTTGGTTAAAAGCAACTATGTCGATCTAGCGAGTATTTTATTTGACTTGAGATTTGAGCATCTCACATTAATCGACTTCTCCATCTAAGAATTTCTTGAACCCTTTTGGAACTGGAGATCCAATAATGAGGGGACTATATAGGAGCAAGGGATCATCGTATCTGCTCTTCTTTTTGGTGAGAGGTATGGTTATTTTCCTTAGAGATGTTATTGGGGAGGGTATTTGATTGAGGGTGATTTGCTATCTTAAATTTAGTTTTGACTTAAATTATTCTGGAGTAATAGAGAATTTGGGAGCGGTTTTAAAGACAACTGTTTTTTTGTGTATTGATATTGGTGATTTAGTAAAATTACTCCAAGTAGAGATCATTTTATTGAATAATAAAAATTATGTTTCTTCATTAAACACTTGATTAGCCATATAGTTAAGTGGGCACTCCTTTGAGCAGAAGGAATGCAACTCCAAGTGATATGATCCATCTCAACAGTCCGTTCTCCACACATAACATGCATCAGAAGGATTACTTAAGAACCCGTGGAAATGTAGGGAGTAATAATTAGCAATTTCAACACAAAACCATAAAGCTTTCATTGCCATCTCGAATTAAACCAAAATAGAAAAGATTACTGAGATAGGATGATCCACTCATCACTTATAGTCCAATCAATTAATTGCGAAAACCACCTACAAATTTGTTTATTAAGTATTTGGATGGTGAAATCAGTACCTAAGACTTGGTATCCCAATCCATTTCAGAAAATCGATTACAAAGTAATAAGGACAAGTCCAAAACTTAAGAAAATAAAATGAAAAAGATTAAAAATGCCAAACTCAATATCTTACAAAGGTTCCTATAGGATAAAATCAAAAAGAAGAATTCTAAACCCACAATCGACATAGATTTTAATTTATCCAAAACTCATATCGAAGTTACATAAACCAATGACTCAGGAATCAAGTCTTCCAACTCAGTCAAAAAACTCAAATAACTATAAATATTGTTTTTTCCAAAGGTGGAATTACAAAAATCAGAGGATCCTGTTTTCAATTACAAACAAGTATTCAATGTGGAATCGGATCAACTTCTGTAGGACATCACTGAAGAACGAAATAGAGTCAATCAAGAGACCTTTCATCAAGTTGGGAAGGAATTAATCATAAAGCTCCAGTCTCGTAAAAATTAGAATCTACCCTTATACATTCCAATGGAGAAAGAGGTTATCATATCAAAGGATGTTTAATTGTACAATTATTTACATGATCATTCAAAAAAGGTCACAACTTCCAATTGTAAGAAGGCTGAAACAGAGAAGGTAGTATTTATGCGTTACAAGGGGACGCAACGGAAATTCGCCACCAAAAATTGTTTAAGGAATCAAAAGACTCCGTACGATAACCCATATTAAATTGATGAACCTTATTCTCAAGAATCTTCTTTAGAATCTGAACAACAATCCTATAACCTTTCATATTTGAGAATATAAGATTCAAAATTTTATGATTAATCCAATATCAATTCATAAACTCCTTAAAGAAGAGAAAATCTGGCTTTAAGATAGTTTAACTATTTATAACCTATTAATAAAACTTAAAATAAATTTAAGTTTTAGAAACCATTCTAAAACCAAACTGAATCTAAAGATTTACTAAACGAACAGTGATTCTTGTTAATTAATTTATAACTTGATAAAATATATTCTTTACCTCTAATCAACATTCTATTATTTTAACTCATATACCATAAAGTATTAATCCCCTTATTCTCCAAAGGATAGGAATACATAAAAATAGGAGTGTCTTTGCATCAGTTAAAATAATACAGTTTCCAAAAATATCATCAAATCAATTTGGGTCAATCGTTTTTTATTTCAAAAATTGAGAAAACTCTATTTACATTTGAGGTTTCCCAATTTTTAAATTTGATTTTTTATCATATAATATTAATGAAAAACTCATTATCAAATAAACCATCAGAGCAGCGATAACAAGGGAAGAATTCTTCAAATCTATCTGATTTAACTGTTTAAGAATCGAGCAATTATCGAATGAGATTCACTCCTTTGAGTTCACCATCGGCCAGACATAAAGGAACAATCTTGATGAAAAGTCATGAAACGATTGTACTGAATATGTTGTCATCTACACATAGACAAATAGATCAACCATTTAAGATTTGTCAAGAATGTAATTCAGAAATTGGTACGGTTCACCAATATTGTAAATGCAGAGGAATTACATATCATGAAAAGTGCATTTAGGATACAGCTCGAAGGAATGCAAAAAAATAAAAAGAATAAGCGTTTATTTGCAAAAATGAATGTGCCTATCCATTCCAAATTGAAGGATACTATATGTATGAAATGGTGTAGAATTAGGAAAAACATCAACACTGTTGGAAAGTGGCTCATTCTTACAATAGTGATTGTCTTTCTTGTGTTACTAATCATGGCAATTAGCATTTTCGTTTATCGAGATACTTTTAATAGTCTTCATATTATCTCAATTGTGATTCCAATGATCGCACTCTTAATTCTAATTACTTTTTTGCTGAATAAACTCAAACTCAATTATTATATATTATACTGGCATCTCAAACCCTCCTTGATCAATCAGAGACTAGAAACCACTTATAAAACAATTGAACTATCAGATCTCTTGCCTTTTATCCTATCTGATAGAGACTCAATTATTTATTCGCCAGAACCAAAATTAGAAGATCAAATTATTGAGTAATGATTTAATGAATCCTACTTCTAAATTGAAATCAAATATATTATTTAATTGTTAAAATTTCACGTTTTACTAACATTCTTTAACTATTTAAACTTTTGAAATTTTTAAGCAATAACTATTTTTTTACTTGAAGGAGTTTGAATATCAAAATTTGATGATACATTTGGAATCCATCAAAATAACCATCTTAATTATTTTATTCTCAAATGTTAAGATCATATTTTATCATTTTACACAACTTTTTGATGTCTTCAAAAGTCACTTTGTCTATTATTGACATTCAAAACTTAAGTTTGTACTTGACCAAAAGAAATAAAAACCTCAAATATTATTAAAAATAAAATACTAAATAAATCTATAATTATTGCATTATATTCTAAGAACAATTTCAAAAATCTGATTAGTAGGGACTTCAACAAAATTATTGATTACTTATTGCAATTACATATATACTAGATAATTTGGATGTAATTTAATTTGAAAAAATAATTCACCTCAGCAAATATGATGACTTAAATTTTATACTCGTATAATTTTTGAAATTTGTTATTAAAATTGAGAATTGAGATCTTAACCATTTGATAAAAACAATTATAGAATAATAGTGGTTTAAATATGGATAATTACTGATTTTCTATTTAATAATATCATAGATTCTAGAAAACTTATATTCATAATTATTATTGTGGTTAACTTACAAAAAATATATATAATATCAGGCATCTAAGGAAGTATTTACACTCATGATATGTCATGGGGGTCACTGCGAAGTGAAAAGTCATCATTAATTAATTCTTTTATTCTTTCTTTTTAATTTAAAATTTTATACAATTAAATAAATATGGGATTGTTTTGATGAATTGTTAAATATGTTTTTTACATATATCCATTCATCCTTGAATTGTAATTAAATTAAATACTATTTTTCCATTATCTTATATTATAATATACCAAATTTATCATAGAATAAAGAGAAATTATTTAGGAACCGAGTAACCATTATTCTCTGTAATTTTTAAGCGATTCTCTTTTACTCCCTTCATTAATTGTTTTCATAATATCCCTTTTTACTTCACAGAAGAACTATGAAGAGTCTTAAGTAAACACATTTAGAAATATCATATTTTAATAAATAGACTCTTTAGTTTTTGATTTACAAGAATATGTATTTTGATATTTGATAATAACAATATAATTTATTGATGTGCACTTATTATTTCAATGAACATTCAAATTTGATCTTGGTGGTTATTATGGCTAGGCTTATTATTAAGGAGCCTATTGATATTAAGGATATGATGGATATTATGGGTATGATGGAATAACTCTTGATGAGACAATTGGGGCAGCATATTATGGTGCATAGGTCAATGGTACAGTTTAAACTGGTTAAACAACACTGAGAGGTTATTAAACAACTTGTTGAACAACTGGTTGAGGAACGACTTGTTAGACAACTGGTTGTTAGACAACTTATTAAACAACTGGTTGTTAGACAACTTATTGGACAACTGGTTAAACTTATTGCTAAAGTATGATATTATTATATACATGAACAACTTATCTTTCAACTGGATAATATTCAACTCTTTCTTAATATCTATCAACTGGTACGTATTCTAGATATTTGTATATTGATGATACCTGTATATTTTTCTTAGAAGACTTATGGGACATATTCGGTCTAATATTCAACTGCATAATAATCTGTGACTTTTCTTTCTCTTGGAACGTATTAAACAACTTCTTATTCTTCGTATTCCATAACAGCCTTTTGATAGGGAATATATTCAATTCTTGATTCTCCTTTAATTGTTGCCTTAAATTTTAGATTTTATTAATCTTACATGGACTGGTTATTAAACAACTGGTTGAGCAATTACTGATTACTACAAAACTGGTTGAGCAACAACTGGTTAAGCAACGACTGGTTGAGCAACGACTGGTTGAGCAACGACTGGTTGAGCGACGACTGGAGCAACAGGTCTGGCAACACTGTATGTTAGTGGTGCAATAGGAGCAGGAGCATATTGTGGAGCATATGTTGGGGCATAAGTAGGGGCATATGTTGGAGCATATTGTGGAGCATATTATGGAGCATATTATGGAGCTGGTTAGAATTATTATGGTTGAGGGGCTTGATCTAACAATTGATATGGAAATATTACTTTATGGGACAGGTGGTCTTTGGGACATTGAAGAAAAAAGATTTTTGTTAATTTTATTTATATATCCTTAACATAAATTTTATTGCTTAAATATCATACATAAATAATTAAAATAATTGTATTTACAAACTGTCTAATATAAAATAATATTCTAAAACTTTATAATGAAGCAAAGAGAATTCCAAACAATACTTAAACAACAACAATGCCACTACTTTTCTATGCTGTCATATCCGTTAATCTCATTATTAATAATTAAGCAGTAAAGTTGTAATATATATAAGTAAGAGATGCTTATTTATATGTAATTATCTTTTGATTCAATAAATGTGCATACACATCATACGCTTTATTTTCCACACCTATATTGACTTTTATTAAATAATATTCAATTTAGTTTTATAATTATTATTAAAACTTAAAAAAGTATAATTTATCATTAATCCAACATATTATATGGTTTTTTTGGAATAAGCATAATGACTTAATTAAGATATCATTTTGTAGAATCATATATGGAACACCATACGTTCGAGATCAATTAAAGTTTATCTATCTGTTGGATTGTTATAACAATTTGACAAAATAGATTCATTCACCTAGATGCTCAAGATTCATAAATTTTAAATATATGCTATTTAATAAAAGTATCAAATAAATTTTATTTAATTTTAATTTAATGATTCTTTATGAACTTATTTTATAATTTTATCTATTATGATTTCTTAAATATAAATTGCTAAATTAAAAAAAAGGACTAGAATATAACCAAAAGACCGATCTAGTTCTTTATTTTAATATATTGTAGTACTATATTAAAAAGATGCACAGAAAAGTTGAAATTTAGTTAGTTTGAATTAATAATTTGATTATCTCCACTTTAAGGTTATTTTTGAGGTATTTGCTATAAATATTGGATCACTATTGTTGTATATAAGCGTAATAAATAAAAATTGTTGGTATAGTTGTGATTATTTCATTTTTAATCCAAATATTTGTCATAATAATAAAATGGATAAGTTTGAGACCATATAGGGCAAACTGTTTTATACGGTTTATTAGATGCACAAACAAAATGAGATAAGCGAAGATTAAAAAGGAAGAATTAAAGGTAGAGAGTATGTTTATGTTCAGATTTGATAGTTTAATGGGATCCTCAGATACAAGAAGTTAGTAAGGATTTAAATAGACTAAGACAGAACCTTCTCGAAATGGTGTGCTCATACTCTGATAATGCAGACTCAAAACAAACCAAAATAACTCCTCGAAGTTAGAGTCGTCTCAATGTTAGGATAGGTCATAGTAACTTTAAGTTGGCAAGCAAATCTTATAGTTCACTATCCTCCCCTATTGATCATCGTAAACCATTATTAATATGAAAACAATCAGATAATATTTCTTTCTAAAAACATATCAAAATTTTAGAGCATATGAAGATTCTCACGTATTATCTTGTTAACCAATCCCAATACAAGAAATCAAACCTTATTAATACTTATTTTATGATTTAGATTCTAAAAGTATGATGGTCTGGCATAACTTGATTTATTAATTGTAAACCTAAACGATTTGAATGAGACTGAGATCTCTGATTCGTCATTAAATTAGAGACTTCTTAATTCTTTTGTGTTTATCAGATATTACATAAAAAGAAATCATGTTATTCATTTTATTTTTAGTTACTAGATTAAATATTTATATTAATTAGTCTCAATAATGTCCATAATTAGCATCTATCATTTCATAATCTCCTTGAGTTCTACATGGCACTCTTGAAGAGTTATTTTTGTATGATTCACTACAATTAACTTTAAAATAGAATTAGTACATTTTCTAATATAAATTTTCTATTGAACAATTCAATACATCCAATACAAATACATTTTTCTACTTTATACTTAAGTAAGCCTGCTATCTTTTAGGGCAGCTGCATAAAAGTTTAAAATTCTTAAATTTTCATTTCTATATTTTGCAGTATATGAGGATTTTATTTCGTATTCCATAATTTAATTGTATTGCATTATAATTATATTTAATTTGTAAATGAATTCCGAAGAGTTTTAATGAAATATATATTAGGTTAAAATTCAATAGTAACATGCTAAATTACAAACAATTCAATGATGTTCTCTAACATTATCATACCGAATATGGCAAATAGAAAATAATTTTGAGAATTTATGATAGTGATTCTATATCTAATACCTTATGGATTTTGATCAATACTTTTTTTATTCTAATAAATCTGTAGTGAAGACTTTTCAAATTGTTTATGTTTCCTTTATTTTCGTTGAGAAAAAGGGAAGCCCATTAATGTTCCTTTAAAAAGAGATTGTTTTCTATTTTGCCATTTACATTTATTTTTACCATCCCTTCATTATTTATTTAATATACTCCTACTGCATATAAGAGATTTTGTTGAAGAAAGTGCCTTGGCTAAGGGAAACTCTTTTTCAAAATGCATTAGTTCTATTTTTATACTTATTGATGATGATTGTATCATTTATTCTAATTTAAGCTAAATTTTCAACTACATTTAGTGAAATAATTTTTATTGTTAATTATTAATTAATGTTCAGCCTTTCACCTATTGTTCAGAAATCTTATCAAACCAGCTCTTTTTCCTATGAATAATAGATGGATGATATGACCTGCATTGTTGACAATGGAGTATCAGGATCAATATATCTAGGAAATATTGAATCAGCTTGTATGGAATAGTTATTAAAATATAATTTTAGCTAGCCTTGAGAATCTGAGAAGACACAGAATCAATGGTGTTTTATCAATTTGTATGAATAAGATACCATTCGAAGTGCAAACGCAATTACAAAATTATCAACATATATATTTGGAGGATTGTGAATCTGAAAATATTAGCAGACATTTTGATAGCAGCAACCAATTCATTGAAAGAGCCAGAGAAAGTGGGAATGTGTTGGTTCATTGTATGGCTGGCATTTCAAGATCAGCTACTCTTGTTGCAGCATATTTAATGAAAAAAAATAATATGAGCGCTCAAGACGCCTTAAGATTGCTAGAAAGAAAAAGATGGCAAGTCTATCCTAATAATGGATTTTTAAGACAATTGCAACAATACGAACGAGTATTACAATAAAAAACTAATAAGAGTGACATTATGGAGTTTTCACCATTAAAGGAATCTTTATTAAAAAGGTAAATATCTTTATTCAAAATTAGCAAGTAATTTTAAACTCCAACCAAGGAAATCTCATTCATGAATAAATATGAAGAAAAACAATTATACTCTTCTGGAATTAAAACAAGGCCTCTTGATGATATTAAATACGAGAGTTATAAACGCAAATCCGTAGGTGCAGATGTCTATAGTAGTCCAGAACCATCATAAAAAATACAGTTTTCACTCACCAATCACAGACCTAATTCAGCCATTAGGACTTCTCCAGATTTGATCAGAAAGAAGAATTATTTATAAGATGCAAGTAAATGTTTTAATTTAATTTTGCAGTTCATGGAAGCAAAAAGGAGGGATTAGCTTCTCTAGCATTAGAATTGAATTCCTTGGATTGGTAGAACAGAAAATAAGATTTTGGAAATAAGTTTGCCAAACAAATGACTCAACCCTCCAGCAAGACATTTGTTTCTCAGAATAAACCATTATAATTAAATTAACATTAAAGTAAACTGGATGAATTATTAAATGCCTTTAACAGGAAACCAATACTTTGAGTGTTATGATTTTAGTATTTATCATTGTACATAATGTTCTGATTAATGTTTTATAATTCTATTTAAAAGTATTATTTTGCTAAATTTATCAGCCTCACACAACCTTTATTAAGCCTCCTTCTATTACTGTATTATTCGTTCCAATCTTCTACTCTGGATCATCTAAACAGTCTTATTTTGCTCCTTCAGATCATCCCCTCTTGTTATATCCTATTGGGAGTGAACAGAGAAGATCTTCTAGAATTAAGGTCTCGACTTCATATCATTATCATCCCGTATTTATTGCAATGCTTGAGCAGCAGTTGGTCTGAATTCAGGCACTTTATTCAACAATTTAAAAATCAGACTCTGCAATCTTCTTGAGTATTTACTGTTAATTGGTTTAGGTGACTTATTTACGATGTTGTATCCCAAAGAAATTATATTGCTTCCTCCAAAGGGTGGATCTCCTTGACAAATAAAATAAATGACACATCCCAATGCCCAAATGTCAATCTTACTATCATAGGGTCGATTTCGAATTAATTCAGGTGCCAAATACAGAGGAGTTCCAACTTTTGTTGTTGAAAGTTATTGAGTAGAGATCAAACTTTTAGACTCTCCCAAATCACTAATCTTCAATATGTTGCTTTTCATCAAAATATTATTAGGTTTAATATCTCTATGCACTATCTTCTGTGAATGTAAATACTCAAGACCTTCTAACAATTGTATGGTCCATTGCCACACTTGGTTCTCAGCTGGAGATGGGTTCCGACAGATATAATTGTGGAGGTCATCTTCGCAATATTCCATAAAGATATTCAACTTATCCTTTCTCAATTAGGAGTTATAGTAAGACACTATATTCGGATGATTCAATGTATGCATTATTTGAGCTTCTCGATAAGCCTCATTCTATTATTTCAGAGACAGATTCTTCAAAGATATTTCCTTAAGCACTTAAATCTGAGATCTAATTTTCACTTTGTAAATCACTCCATAACTTCCTTTTCCAATTTAATCGATAATTTCATAATCCATTTTATTTATTAATTTAATAAATTCTTTATAAATTTGGTGAATATAATCATTGGCAAGTAGAGCAACTCGTCTATTATGATTTTAAGCATAGCAACTTTATGATAATTTGAATAGTACCATAAATTTTAAGGAATATTTTATTGATTAAAACATAATTAAAACTCCATTTACTTAATATATTTAGCCTAATTTTAAATACTATTGAATGCTAAGACAAGAGTAATCTGAATTAAATCTTAAGAAATTCAACATTAATTTTCCTTTTTAATAATTAATTGTAATTTCTAATTCAAAAATTGAATATCCAATCTCGGGTTAGATTATTAAATGTGTTTATTTGATCATATAAACGCAGTTATTATTGTATCTTCTTAATTTTATTAAGAAATGCCTTTAAAAATAATACAAATATAATATAATTAAAGAATAAGAATATGTGAACATATATTAAAGATTAGTAACAATGATAAAGTCTCTGGTTTTCAAAACTTGGATGTTTTAGATGAATAATTAAATAGCATAATATAATTTTCAGAGTAATGTTGAAAATTAAAAACTTATGGTTTCTAATTAATTAATTTTTATGATCAAGTGCAAATGTGAATTAACAGAAATTGCATTTTTACATTCCATATATTAGATACAATTTAATTAAAGCAAATCACTTAAATTTTATTATCTTAAATAGCATTCTTTTTGAGAGATATTTCATGAGCTAAAAAATAGGAGAAATCAATTCTTGAATCTTCACTGAAGTAATCAATTTGGGCATTCAAATGCATAATTCATGAAGTCCAATAAGATAAAATTATCAATTATGAAGTAGATAGAGAAGCTAAAGTGCTATTAAAGTAAAAATTATAAAATTGACTTGTCAAATTTGAAATAAATTCATAGAATGTATGGTAAATCTCATTCAATGAATTAAAATTAATGTTTATATTAATAATTAAAAATGGATCGTTTAATCATCTTGTTGGCTATTCTGTTGATGGTAGGAAACAATTATGCCTTTGATATTCCTCAAGCTCTTGAGGTTCCAATAGAAAAAGAGTTCCAATTGACATAAACTTAATTCAATTTGCTTTACAGCGTGTTTGCAATCCCTAACATAGGTTTGAGTATTGGAGGAGGCATAATGATAGACAAAATGGGTGGACGTTGGGGTGTAAGACCATATTGTATATCATAGGTGTTTACATTTAGTCTTTTGCTGGGTCTATCATAAATATTTATATTTTTTGGAGGATGCTATCATAATTATTGTATGATGCTTTGTGGTAGAGCTATATTTGGTATAGCAAGTGATATTTTACACATTGCAGTGTTCAAATTGGTAGCATAAAGAATGCCAAAAGATATGGGTACTGCTATGGGATTGATACTTACGGTCCCAGAATTAGCAGCAGCTCTTAATTCGTTTTTATCCCCTTACTTATTTGAAAAGACTAATTCACTAAAAATACCTTTGTTATTCGGGTTATTCCTATGTTTTTTAGTATAATTTAAAATAATGTGATTAGTCCTTCTTATCAGGGTTAATGATGATTTATGTAGACATGAAATATGAGAAGGTAGCGACGGCGAAATAAACCGAATAAATATCAGTGTTTAATTGTATTATTAGTATTTTAATAACTTAGTTAAGCTTACTAAGCCTTTTGTGATAATGAGCATAATTACGACATTAATGCTAGCTTCCTATGTGCCATTTCTTGATAATGCTAATAAGTTTTACCATGAGCGATTTGGATTTAGTATAATGGATGCTGGCCAAATAGTTACAGTCGGTTATGTTGTGGCAGGTAATATAATTTGCAATATGTCATTTTTAGCATTTACATCTCCTATTGTAGGTAGAATTTCTGACAAGTTTACCAATTATAGACCTTTTTTTATAGTAGCGTCAACGATAATGTTTTTTATTTCCCATTTGCAATTTTATTACATGCCTCTAACAACATCTCCTAACTATTATTCAGTTTTTGGGTAAAAAGTGTTTATTAAAATTATAGATTAATTACTTTAGGCTTATCCTATTCATGTTTCTCGAGTGTTTTGATGCCTGCTTTGCAATCTACTGTTCCTGAGGATATGTTAGGTATTTTATGAATGAGATTTAAATTAGCAACTGCTTTGGGTTTATTGGGGATAATAGAGAATTTCTGTATGGCTGTTGTTCCAATGATTTCTGGTTTTGTCTATGCAATTGGTGGTGGAATAGATCCAATGAAAAATGTTGACATTATATACTTGTTCTTGGCAGGTATTGGAGTTGTTCTTTCAATTCATTTATTAATGGAAAACATCCTTTAACCAGCCAAAGCACATGCGAAATTGCCTAATGCTCTGGATATTTGAAAAAAAATAATTTAAAAATGATTATAGTAATTCATTGTACTATTTTTCTAAAATAAATATAGAAAGTTTCTAGGCAGTCAAGTTTTTAAAATAAAAATCATAACTTTAAAAATAATATGGCAAATCATTATTTCTTTTGATACTTCTTTGCTTTTTCCTCTTCTTTTTTCCTTTCTTCTTCATCTCTCTTTTTCTATTTCTCCCTTCTCATACGCTCTTTATAAGTGTATTCTTCATTATTTTTCCTTTACCAATCTTCAGAATGCCAAACAGGTTTAGTATAAAATGACTTTGGTTTATATGGCTTAGCTGGTTTAACTTTGACAATTTTGCCAAACAATTCGCCTTCATCATAGTTGTCTATTGCAGCCTCAGCATCTTCGATATCTTCGTATTCTATAAATGCAAACCCTCTATTCTTTACTTCAATAATCATAATAAATACATGTTTCACTATCAATAGGCAGATCTACAGATTTAATTTCGCCGAAGGTTATAAATAAGTGTTTAATTTATTCCACAGTCACATCTTCTGGGATTCCACCAAGGTAGACGGTATTTGCTAATTCTTCTGACATAAATAATTATTTTAATTATTTAGTATTTGATTATAAATATTATAAAAATTATTATAGTAAATATAACTCATGCTTAAAATAACTACACAAGTATATCAAATATTAATGATACCGTTAATTGTGGTTATAAATTGAGAGAGAGTCATGGTAATGCATATAATTCAAAAATAATGACCAAGTTCATATGTTTTTCTATTTAAAAGATAAACTTTCTATCTAATATTTTAATCTATAGAGCTTTCCCATTTTGAAATGATTCCAGCATCTCTATTTAATAGAATATAAATATCAGATTTTATTGTTTATATACCACTAAATCCAATATTTAATATATTTTCTTTTGGATACTTTGTTTTAAAATACTTATATATTTAAAAAATGGAAAACAATAATAACCATATTTCCTCTATTGTAAAATCTAATACTATTACTAATCGACGATCTCTTAAGATTTCAGTAGTACATCCAGCAGATGAAGCTCTGGTTAATGTGAATGATGAAGAAAAGTTTTTATATGAAAAAAGGTAATGGGAAATCGCTAATCAAACTGTTTCCTTAGATAAAATTTAGAAAGAATAAATGGAAAGGTATAAAGGGGAATGGAACTGGGATGTTTTTATAGAGTTTTTTTTATACCATTAGGTAATCTTCTAATTTTGGAATCTAGATTTTCTTCACAATATTGGGACCATTCATGGTGATATTATTTAGTATATGGCCTGGCATGACACTGATGAAGAACATGAAATTTTATGGCAATTCAATGGCTTTTTATTTATAAACTCTCTTATGGATAGGATCAGTTTTAGGAGGTCTGGGATATTTTTTATGGAATGAAAGTGTAATCACTTTGACAGAAATTTTATTCCTTTGGTATGCATTGACGATTCGAAGTGTTGTAATAGCAGCCAAGTATGCAACATTTAGTAAAAGCATAATAAACTTATACAAGAACATTGTACTACCAGACGAAGTGTTTTAATTTGATTTGATGATGGGAGAATGGAGAGAACAATCTCCTAAGATTCTTTTTTTGGAGCCTTATCGTTCTCTTCAGCGTTACTAATTTGAGATTTCTCTGTTTAAGATGGACTTCATAGTGTAGCCTCATTAGGAGACAAAAGTTGCCATTGCTAAAGTGGATATAAACTTCTTTAAAGATACAGGAATCAATTTGGATGATGATGAATACTCTGGTTTTCAGCTATTTGGCTACTTGGCGAATCATTATCAAGCTTAAAATTCGGCGAATACTCATCTGTACTTATGTATCTTCGAAGCATTTGTTCTTTCGACAACTCCAATGTGGTTTAGAATAGGTGATTTGCTTGATTCAGTTGATGCATTAGATATGTTCAGAATGGGTATAGATATATTAAATATATTAAAGTGTTAAATATAGTTTCTTCATTTATTGGATTTTGGGGGAGCAACATTTTCTTTCATTAGGCCTTCTATGACTTTAATCGGAAGTTCTTTTTATTGGAACAACTATTACTGATAATTAAAGTTAGGCCAGATTAGATTGAAAAAGTTAAATTATTACCAACCCTTAACTTCAATAACATTACTACATGGTAAGCCTGGTCAATGATGAGAGCAATTTCATTTGATTATGGTCAAACATACAATCTCAGAACATAAGGCTTTTATTCTCTCTGTTTCTTAGGATTTATTGTATTGATATTCCTTTCGTTATTACTGATTTTAGATTTTGTGCACCTTGATCTATTTCAACTCATCTTACTAGGCGAGTTAGCCATCATGATTCTAGGCTTTACTGCCTACTATCTCTTCTTAGGTGCTAAATTGAACACCTATTTGGATCAATGTGAAGTGGCTCTTTAGGATGTTAAATCTATATATTAGGATCTTTTGAGAATGAAGGAAGTTTATTTTGAGGAGAAGAAAGAACCTTAAAATTACATTCACAAGAAATTCAAATAACTATTACAAAATTAAACTCAAGTTGAGGAAGTCATTAAATCTATCATTCAAGAATTGGATGATAATATTAGAATAATTCAATATGATTCAAGAAACAACCCATTCAAACTCTATGGAATCAAAATTACTTTTAATTTACTCAAAAGTGCTGCAGTCGGACTCAGCACTGTATATAGTTATTCACTTTAGTAAAGATTCATGAAAATCAAATGACTTAAGTAATTTTATTTTATATTATATTTTCCATTGATCTCAACTAAAATATAAAAGTCCTATAAATCTTTATAGATATATATAGATAAATTTTCAATTCATAAGGAAGTTCCTAAAATAGGACCAACAATAACCAAAATTAAAACCAGTCCAATCATAATGATACAGCACATTTTCTATAATTGATATTCATTACTATTTACTTTTCTAGCAGCTTAGTGATCCTTCTTGGCCTTAATCAATTGAGCCTCTCCTTTTTTAACGTAATCTCTTGCTTTCACCATGTTTTATTCTATATTATCAATCAATTCTCCTTGGTTTTTGACCAACACTGCCAAATCTAAGAAAAGTTGGTACACCTATTGCACGCTCTTTAATAGTTTATATTTAAGTATACTCTCTCTAGCTTAACAATGTCTTGATATTTCTCTTGAATATCTTGAACAGCGTTTTATAATTGAATCGAGGCTTACCCATAGATTTTCTTTTGTAGCAGTTCTTGCATTTTCTACATCAAATAAATCATACATTTGGATCATCACACAATTCATCAATTTGATTCTCATTTAGATTTGAATCTAAACAGCCTGCTTGTCTCTTTATTTTGTTCCTCATACTATTTTGGAAATCTAATTGAGCCTTTTGACTCTCTTGCAATACAGCCTGCACTTTCAAGTTTACTGCAGCCCAAATGTCCATCTTCATTCTTGTTTCAGGCTCATCAGGATCCTTCTCCTTCGCTTCTTCCACATCCTAAGCTATTTATTCCATTAATTTCTTCAATCTTTCTTATTATTGATTATTTTATGAGATTAACCTATCCAACTTGGAGCTTACATCTTTAATATATTTTAATTCACTTATACCAACCTTTCTCAGCCTCTGATCTAGTTGCACTTGTATAGCTCTTTTTCAGTTCTTCTATTTTGGCAATATTTGACTTGATTGTCTCTAAAATTCTCTAAACCTCGTCCACATTCACTTTGAACAAAGGCATCAACTCATCATTATCATTAATCACTATATTTTGATCATCACTCTATGCATCATTTCCCATTTGCTTTTGAATTGTTTGTTAAGTACTTATATTTAGATAGTTATTTACCCTGCTCCCTTAATCTCAAATAAACAATCTTCCATTTATTAATTATAATAACTTTATTATTTTATATTCAAAATTAAATATCAGCATAACTATCCCTATCCCTGTTCATTCCAAAAGAAGTATTTTTATTTAAAAATCAAAGAATCATTAATGTATAAATATACAAATTCCAACAATATTTTAAATTTATCTAAAATAGTTTATTTGAAATAAGAATGAAATTTTACTAAGTTCTTAATTACTTAATTTTTGAGTGACGAGATTATCAATAGAACCTCATCCTGAAGCAACAAACAATATCAGTATATTAGAATAGCAAATAAAAATTTGTAAAAGAAAAATAAAAAGTCAATAGAATGACATGGGTTGATTCTCAAATCAAATGGACAATATGCCACAGTGATATTATATTTTTTGAACATCCTGAGAATCTTTGTAAAATCAATTCCTAAAATTAGATTTCTTTAACAACTTATCCATCTTTTGATTTATGAATTCAATATTGTAGAGGTTGAGACTCTGGTTCCAAAATGAAAATATGGATAACACTATGAGATATAATTTATTAAACATTTGAAATTTTAATTGATGTAAATTGTTACGATTATGCACATTTTTAACCCGAAAGCAGCATAATTATTTCAAAAGTTATAACTCATATGCTGATGAAATGAAAAACTAAGTTGGTTATTCTGAAGAGGAACTTTACAATAATCGATATGATTTCAATATTAAAGTAAATAATTCTATTATTAATAGTTAAAAGAACCAACTTATATTACTCAAACAATTCTCTAAAAATTAACAGAGATTAACTCTTTAAAGAATTCTCTAAATCGAAAAAAGAAAAGTCCTACTAAATTAAATATTCAAATAGAGGAAGGTAAACTAAATATCATACTCAACAATAACACATTGATTTCCTAATGTTTATAGATGTTAATCTTTTTGAATTTATATCTATTTATTACTTTTCTTACTCTTCTTCCATTCTATCCTAAACACCAATCAAATTGGTCTTGTACTTTACTTTTTTTATTTCTCTATAAACAAGAATACAAAGAAATATTAATTTTAAGAATTAAAATTGCAAATTTTAATTAATTCTGATTGCATAAACATAATGGGAATAACATTACCTCGATATAATTATTTTGAAATAATATTACGGGGATTTTTTACCTTAAGATCCGAAGCAATTTAATCAAAATAAATGTTGAATAGAGTAGAGAAAAATAAGAAATTTTGGTTTACATTAAAATGGGATTCTAAATTCCATTTAGCTTAATATCTGAAGGCTTCTTTATTTCGTTATTCATAAATAAAGGGAGAAACTTTATTCTTTCATTCTGCAACTTGAATATAAAATATTATTATTTTACATATGTAATTTCAATAGACAGCTGCATTCAAAGAATTGCTGTAAGGAGAAAATAAAACACAAAAGAGTAATTTGATACGCTAAGTAAAAATGTTGATCCATAAACCATCATTGGAACCAAAAATAAATCTAACTCACCGCAGTGTAGAAGANGTTTATTTGAAATAAGAATGAAATTTTACTAAGTTCTTAATTACTTAATTTTTGAGTGACGAGATTATCAATAGAACCTCATCCTGAAGCAACAAACAATATCAGTATATTAGAATAGCAAATAAAAATTTGTAAAAGAAAAATAAAAAGTCAATAGAATGACATGGGTTGATTCTCAAATCAAATGGACAATATGCCACAGTGATATTATATTTTTTGAACATCCTGAGAATCTTTGTAAAATCAATTCCTAAAATTAGATTTCTTTAACAACTTATCCATCTTTTGATTTATGAATTCAATATTGTAGAGGTTGAGACTCTGGTTCCAAAATGAAAATATGGATAACACTATGAGATATAATTTATTAAACATTTGAAATTTTAATTGATGTAAATTGTTACGATTATGCACATTTTTAACCCGAAAGCAGCATAATTATTTCAAAAGTTATAACTCATATGCTGATGAAATGAAAAACTAAGTTGGTTATTCTGAAGAGGAACTTTACAATAATCGATATGATTTCAATATTAAAGTAAATAATTCTATTATTAATAGTTAAAAGAACCAACTTATATTACTCAAACAATTCTCTAAAAATTAACAGAGATTAACTCTTTAAAGAATTCTCTAAATCGAAAAAAGAAAAGTCCTACTAAATTAAATATTCAAATAGAGGAAGGTAAACTAAATATCATACTCAACAATAACACATTGATTTCCTAATGTTTATAGATGTTAATCTTTTTGAATTTATATCTATTTATTACTTTTCTTACTCTTCTTCCATTCTATCCTAAACACCAATCAAATTGGTCTTGTACTTTACTTTTTTTATTTCTCTATAAACAAGAATACAAAGAAATATTAATTTTAAGAATTAAAATTGCAAATTTTAATTAATTCTGATTGCATAAACATAATGGGAATAACATTACCTCGATATAATTATTTTGAAATAATATTACGGGGATTTTTTACCTTAAGATCCGAAGCAATTTAATCAAAATAAATGTTGAATAGAGTAGAGAAAAATAAGAAATTTTGGTTTACATTAAAATGGGATTCTAAATTCCATTTAGCTTAATATCTGAAGGCTTCTTTATTTCGTTATTCATAAATAAAGGGAGAAACTTTATTCTTTCATTCTGCAACTTGAATATAAAATATTATTATTTTACATATGTAATTTCAATAGACAGCTGCATTCAAAGAATTGCTGTAAGGAGAAAATAAAACACAAAAGAGTAATTTGATACGCTAAGTAAAAATGTTGATCCATAAACCATCATTGGAACCAAAAATAAATCTAACTCACCGCAGTGTAGAAGAGTCTGCACAAAATAAATAGAGAAGTGGAGTTGCTCTTCCTATTTTGATATCAAAAAAACAATAATTTAATATAGATTCTGATAAGGCAAAGGATATTATCAAAAACTTTAATATAAAACTTATTCGCTAAAGAGTGAGTTAAAATGAAAAAATCCACAGAAAATTATCATAACATAATATTTAAAATACACAACCACTTAATCTCACTTTTGGACAAAACTTTCGCATCAAAACAAGACCAATTCTCTCAAGGTAAGATAACAGTGTAGATCTCCGAGACTCTCATTCAGCTAGTAGAGTAATGTCTCATTCATAAAAAAGATTAGTAAATAAACTATTTTAATGAATTATTATTAATTTATCATATCTAACTTTTCAAATTCTGTATCTGATGCTTTGATACTCATCTAAGCTTTTAATTGACAATATAGTTTATTGATACGATGTTAATGATGACTAAATATTATTCATTTGAATGTATATTAATTTAAAAAAATGAAACAATATTGTTCTTCCTTCATTATTTCAAAAATAAGAAAAAACTGTATTTTTTATTTTTTATAGCTTAATTGAATTATTTAAAGGAGAATTTCTTTTAATCTTGAATTCATCTCATTTTTTTTTGAATCCTCCCCATATGTAAATCATTTCGCCTCCAGAATTCATAAAATAAATGACTACTACCATTTCTTTGTTATTTCCTTTCGTACCTATAACCATCAATTAACTTAAGCTTTTGTTGGTTGCAAAAACAATAATAATCTAGTAAATTAATTGAGCAATCTAATTATTTATAATTATTTTATCATCTCTAATCTTCAAATAAGAATTTCGAATCATTTCTTTTTCATTTAAAGTTGTTTTTAATTCAAGAAAAGAGTAATACAAACTTAAATAATATTTTAATTTTGATAATTAATTATAAAAATGAATTTTTATAGAGACATAACCAAATAGGACTATGACATATTTAAAAACTATCGATTTGACCCATAAAGTGAATCAGATAAAGAGAAGTTGTTATGTGTAGGATAAACAATTAGAAATTTGACAAAATTATGCCATTCTTAATGTTTTGATAAATCTCTATAATTTTCTGAAAAATGTGTTTCAACTTGTTTTAATAATTATTTTAATTCAATCGAGTATAGTGTGAAAAAGAGTAATGATAATCCGCAATGAATTGATGCCTTATATTATTATGAATTATAGACAAATTATATTGTAAAATAATAATTAGAATACATCTAAGAATTTAAATAAATTATTATCTAATTTGATTAATATCAATTGAGTTATATTTCTTTTCCAATTAAGACCAGTCTTTTATTTTTGTATTTTTACTTAGCAAAAGCTAAATATTCTTCGTATTTTTAATCAATTTTATCAAAGTCAAATTATTGTTCAGGAATTTATACAAGTGGGATTGAAGGGTTGCTGATCTTGATATCCTAAAGATTACAAAGAGGAGATATTGGATATTTAGTACCTTATTTTAGAATATTTTTTTACCGTCTTCTTTATAAATGTTTTCAAATGGAAGAAACCAAAAATATGAGTAATTGAAAAACCATGCTATGTTAGATAAAGTACCTCTATCGAATAAGTTAATATTCCTTGGAGGTCTATCACTTTTAATACAACAGTTCCCATTTGAACCACTTCTCATTTATTCCAAAGTCGTCTAATTATTAAGGATTAATGAAGTATGATAAAAGAATAAGAAGCATAACATAGCACATGTTGGATATAATACTAAGCTTGTTAAACTCCAATATATGTAAAAGAAGGTAGATTGGTGTGCAAAGAAGCCTTCGCTGCTTCGAAACAAAAATCTAAAATAAACCCAAGATGCATAGCTATATTATATAGCACCAATCTAAGTATATTTGAAATTTAATACAGTCATGTACATTGAAAAGAGATAAAAAGATCTATGATTTCGTAAACCCACGCAATTGTGAATCCAAGGGCAGTGGTGATCCATTTTTAATATGCATTTTCCACATAGTGAACAATGATGAGTTCGTATAGGTTTCCATTTATTACATTCATTACAAGAATTCGTATTTTTATATAAAGGGTCAATTCTTCTATTATCTTATATTGGGATAGTCTTGTCTATTGTATAATTTTTTATTGTAATCGATTAGTAATACGACCACATAGCCATGGAATATGAAAGATAAACTAAAATTCCGTTTATTAATTAAGTTGTAGGATCCATTTTCAAATCGAAATACTAATCTTTTCATAATTGATACAAACTATTCTAAAATCACACAATTTGTTGGCATTAGTACTGTAAAAAATATAATAAAAGGTCCAGCTTAATGTTTCAATTATGCTCTCTTTTTCCGTCGTTGATTATGATCACTAGAAGGAATCATTAATTGAAGTTTTTATATTAATTTTTTAAATAAAAATCAAATATATATATGTCTCTACTAAAAATATCACTAAAATGGTTATGAAAATGCTTGTAGATATAAATGAATGTTAATTTTTAATCTTGATATTCTTCTTATATCCTTATGATGTTTCTATATCAACAGAAACTTAAGTCGAAATTATTTCTATTCCATTTTGATCTAGTTCCAAAAAATTAATTTGAAATCCAAATAAACAGCATAGTTTAGGACATTAACTTAACTTTATACTAGTTGATATGCAATTTAACATAGAATTTTTTAAAATGAAATTAGTATTATTTATAAGGTATTTTTCAAATAATTGTGAGAAATATTTAATTAGAAATAATCACTTTTTTTTTATTCTTAATGTTAATAAAAATAATTATCTGTAATTAATTGACTTCTATCAGCAAATTATCTTACTCGAAAATAATTGTATCTAAAGTTATAATAAAGATAAAATTTTAATTGAATGGAAAAAGTGTGCATCTCTAAAAACCATTGACTTCAAATAGATAATTATGTGTAATTGAGATCATTTTACAATTTTATTAAAAAGTTAATTTGATAACTGTTTCCCTCGAAAACTAATATAAAAGGTTATCAGATTTCTTAAATGATCTTAATTGATTTCATGCAATAATTAAAATAATTTAATATCAATTAAATTAGTATTAAAAATCTTAAGAGAGCCTGGAATGGATTTATGGGAGGATATTATTTTGTTTAAACTCATTTGATTATTTAAAAATACAAATAAATGGAATTGATTATGAATTAAAACAAGATGAAATATGTTTTTCATTATATCAAAATATTTTAAGGTTATAGAATTTATGCAATATAAAAATTTATGTTTTTTTAATAGAAATTTGGAATAAAAGCTAATATTTTAATTAGAAATAGCTCCTTATTTCTATATAATTCAAAAAGAGTTCAAACAAGGGTAATCTGATCTACAAAAAACAAGGAGGTTAAATTGGAAAATAGTTTGTAGAAGCTGAATCTAATTGTCAAAAGAAAATGTTATACTAATTTATTCTAATAATTTTTATCCAAATAAAAATCAACATAAATAATTTGATTTCCTATATAGATTATGAAATAATGAATAAATTTAATACAACAATAAATAATTGAAAGTTAGTAAATTAAATTGAATATTTTCTGTTTATAGTAATAATTAGTGAAAAGATGTATCATTGATTATTTTCAATCTCTTTTTATTTAATTCAAAATTCTTCCTCTATAGAGTTTGAGGAAATAGACTCATAACCTTAACTTTGTAAAATTTCAGAGAATTTATTACCTAAAAATTTATAAATTCAATACTTGAAGCATCTGTTGATGATGGTGTATAAATAGATGGATTAAAACTTTGTTAATCGAATTCATTTCTCTACAGATCAACTAAGTTAAACACCATACATTTTAAATCTGGTATTAAAACATAGTCTGAATTTGAAGACATCTCTAGTTGAGGGTCTTCCTCAAATGATTATATTAATTATCCAATATTATTTTGAAAGTACGTTTTCATGTTAGCAACAATGTTAAAGCCTGTCTTCAATTTTTGTTCTGAATTGTTCATGAATACAAAATATTAAATCTTTGTTTAAAATTATTAAAATCTTCAAACTTTTATGTGATGTTTACAACCTGATATAACTGACAATTTGTTAGTAATAATTCAATAGAAATTATATATTAAAAGGATAACACAATATAATTAACCAACTAACTCATATTTTAAGTTAAGGAATTTTTATAAAAGTTAAATATAATAATTCATTCTAATAGTTAGAGCAGAAAATTGATAGGCTTCTTAATTAGGGTTGTGAATTTTGAATTACAAAAGAATGTTGCATATCATAAATACAATAAAACAAAGATATATTTTATAATTATATTATGGTCATTTATTCATGTCTTGATTTTCACCTAAAAAGCTCTTTTTATTATTTTAGACTTAAACTCATTCTATTAGAAATTTGGAGAGGATTATTTCTCAATATTTTATTCGGGAGTATTAATATGGTAACAACATCGTATAATAATTTAAAAATGTACATATATTAATGTTATGTATTATAATTTGGCCTTTGTTCCGACATCTAGTTTAAATGGTGGATGATATGTGCCTGGTGATTATATTCTCAATTTTCGGATTTAATATCATAATATACATTTTTCATTTCATACATAAATTAGATTGAAACATAACATTTTATTAATAAATTATATTAAAATTTAATTATCCAAATAACATAATTCAGCTATATAATTATTTATAAAATTTAAATGGTATCTATCGATTGCAATTTTAGAAACTTCTTTTCAAAGAAATATATATGATAAATATGCTAATATTTTATTTAATCACAATATAAAACAAACAAAAAATTTTGAAATAACTTCGGACCAAACTATATATATAAAATCAAGTAAAATCATTGAAATGATGAACAATTTTCTATACGTAATATATTTGAATTAAATTTTTGAATTTGATGGTTATCTTTAAAATCTATTAATGATGTTTTGTCTTCAATCAATATTTTTAAATTATCTAGGTAACTAAACAGACAAACTTATTTTTCTAGTTCCTATACAAGTGATTATTCAATATTTAGGTTAGATTCACCTTCTAAGCCCTCCTGCTGTTTTAAATTCATATTTGATAATTCTCCTTAGGGGAACTTAGGATAATATATTGATTATTACTATTAAATTAGCAACATGAGAGCTGTCTTTTTGATCTTATAGTCCATATTTATCAATTAGAGATTCTAATTTTTATGATTGAATTAATTATTACTATATTTACTCCCATCCCAATTATCTGACCAATAAATTTTATAATCTATTTTTATATAAATTTTAATACTTCGATAATTCGAGTAAAATATTTTTATAATCTAATTTTTAAATTGCCAGTTCTTCTAATTTCTTTAAAAGTTTTTACATTTTTATATTATCACAAGATTTGTCCTTAAATGAAATTTCAGTTACTTTTCCATACCAATTTTTCTTAATTGATAAATTTTTAACATCATTATAGTACATTTATATGATTTCTGTAATAATACTTTGCATACTAAGTTCTTTATTATACAGAGTCACAATATATGATAATGAGAAAAACCAACTTACTATGGAACCTGTATCTGCAAGAATTTCTGATATTTTAGGGTATTCATAAAGTGTTTCCTATTTAATCTAATCCAATGTATAATACAAGATCATCACTATGTCCTTAGAAAAATACTTATTGGTATAATCTGCATCATATGCTTAAACTAGTTACTACATATTATAGAAGAATGTTTATTGTCTAGAATTAGGGAATAAGATTCCATCATCTATAGAAATCAGGCTACATTCAAGTTAAAAATTATAAAACATCAATTTATCCTCCAACATATTTATAACGTAAAATTTTGGAATTTTGTCCAATTATTTAGTTTTGATATTGAATTGCTAAATATAAATTTAAATCTAGAATAGATTTTATTATTCTTTGTATAAATTATAGGTAGTTTCATCAGCACATTGCATTCCCTTCTATATTTTATCTGGATTACATCTCTTAAAAGTGAGTTGATAGTCTTTTTATGCCAATTATTAAGATTAAAGTGGAGATCCTACTAATTCAATATCATATAAAACAAACTTATTAACAACTTTACCACTATCTAAAATTTCTTATTCAAATACAATACCGTCAATTTATTACTAAAAAGTAATAATGAATAATATACTTATGAAGGATTTATCATTAAAATCGGGTAGTATATAAGTTACTTTGGATTGAATGGATCTATGCGATTAGACATTTATTGAAGGTAACAAATCTCTGAGAATTTACCAAAGCCCTGGACAGTTTCTGAATGATTAATTTATATTGAGGTGGATGTGACTTTAGGTAACTTATTGTTCTCGATCCAATCAATCAATTAATATAAGCCATATGAAAGAATGATCCCGTAGAGAAACAAAGTCATCAGTCCACCAAATGCACTCCTCTTTGTAGATATTGATCTTTAGAAGAGTACTCGTTCCTCAATTCCAAATTAATCTATTGATAATAAAAAGTTATTCATTTCTAAATATATTATAATTATTTAGTTTATTCTAATCATCATTAGTATTTTACAACCATCTCAACTTATTGAGGATGGTTATTTTTCGATGTTTCTGATTTTTAAATCGACTTAGGATCCTGCTTGAGGTAACATACTTTAATTAATTTCAATTTGGGTATATTGTGCATTTTCCTTCATGAGTAGTAATCCTATATGCAAATCTAAATCTTCCTCTGGTATATTATCCGAATACATCATCAATTCTCCTTCTGATTAATCTTATCGCTTCAAGTTATCATTCTATATATCTTAAGGTTACTGAAATAAAATTAATTAAATTACAATTTAATTAAGAGGCTTTTTGGTCTAAGGGAATTCATGTAGTCCAATTCTATCGAGTATTGGTTCCAATTTATGATTTTATTATAAGCATTTTTTCATTTAATCAATTCCCAAATATTCTTGCAAGATTAATTAAATTCTATTTATTTTGATAATAGTAAATACCTTGAGACTTCAAATTATAGGTTAATGTAACTCATTTTTTAATCAGCAATCTAATGCAAGCTTTCAAAAAATGAATTAATCTTCATCACATTATAATTCTTTCCTTTTAACCCTATTTATGTCATTTTACCCAACCAATTAGTGGTTACATTAAAATCAGCATAGTCTGCATAAAACATAGAAATGACATCTTTTCTGGCGTTATGAGTGCATATCATTTCATTGTATTTTATGAAGATAAAGGATATTTAAAGGATCCATGTGATTATAGATCCTGCGTTGGCAAGGATTTCTGATATTTTAGGATATTCGATATATACAGCCTATTTAATCTGATCTATTGTGAAATAGGCAACCAAAACTGACTGTTATCCATAAACCTTTTCACTTTGTGAGATGTCATAGGAATTAGTAAACATAATGAAATCAGAGAAGAAAATTTACTGATTTGAGTTCGAAAATAGAAATCCATCGTCAACATCATTCTAACTTGCTTATAGATTAAATGAGCAGTATTACATTTTTTCAGTCGAGATATCAAGAGTATAAAATTTGGGAATTTTTACAAGCTACTTCTATTTTGTATCGTATTGTTAAATATAGATTTAAATTTGGAAAAAGTTCTATTGTTCTTGAAATTTTACAATCGTGTCCTTATCAGCGCATTATTACCCAACATCTAAAGCATTTGGATCACAAAACCCAAAAAGGATCTAATAATCTACATATTGAATTTGAGAAGCCGTTGGAGGTGAACCAATAAAGTTAGTGTTTTCTATAAGAAATTTATTAATCGAATGTCCATTTTCTTAGACTGAATTGTCCAGTCTGCTTTTAAGTATCTTATTCTAAACATTAAAAATAATAACTGTACCTCATCTTTATTATTAGTTTAAGTAGTTAAGATTGGATAGAAAATTAAATTTTGTGGATCGAATGGGTCAATTTTGTTCTCATTTAAGGCTATGTGAGATATCTCAGCAAATACTCCATCTACTTGAACATTCTCAGCTTGACTGATTTGTTTTTGTAATGATGTAATTTTTGGAAGTTTATTGTTTTACTACCAATCTATAAATTCGTATAGGAAGTAAGCAAAACTAATTCCATATAATGTCAATGTGGCCACTCCTCCTATTGCACTTCTTTGAGTGGGATTTATCGAAGGGATAGAGAGCTTTTGTTCAATTCCAAATTAATCTATAGTTTTAAAGAAATTATACATATTACTACTAATATTAATTCTTTCTTTCGATTTAAATGAAAGAATAGATATTGAATATTGAATAGATCGATGTTGATTTATAATTCTTTTCCTTTAATTTATAAAACATATTTAGGTTGCGTTATTTTATTATTTTTTTTTCGTTAAATTATATTTTTAAAATGGCTTCTCAGAAGAAAGAAAATAGATTATTCAATTTAACTCCTAATAAGTCATAGCAACTTCAGCAATCCACTTTTTTTTAGAAGGGTTTTGTTAGTTCTAATAATTTTCCATAAAAAATTGCTCCCAATTATCAATTTACTTATGAAAGCATGCCTAAAGTGAATTGCCATTATCATGTTGATCAATACATAACCATGTTTTGCAGATGTCAAACTTGCTAGATGCCCCTATGTCCACAAGTATGGAATAATGTAAAATTAATAGTGTGTTAAAATCCATTCTCAAGAACATCAGGCATACAATACATATGGAGATTTCGACACTCTTGAGAATTGTCTAACAGAGGTGTATCAATCTGTGGCTGCAAATTGCAATAGATTTGTGGATGAAATGGGATAGTTGAATAAAGTAACAGCATTAAACGAAGGGATCAATTACTATATGGACAAAGTCAAACAAGCGAGGCAACAATGCTATCAAGTCATTGATAACTTCTTCAATACCTTGGAAGCAGAACTGGCCTAAGAAATAGAGGGAAACAGAGGATTTATGACTAATCAATCTTAAAACTTTAGTAAATACTTGCAATAAAGATGGAAGACATTGATGAGTCTATTGGAAAAACTCAACACAGAGAGATGTGTGAAGACTCTTGTTAAATATTACACATCCAATCTCCCTCAAGAAAATGAGGAATACTATCATGAATCCAATTAATTTATGAAGTAGTTCAACAAATGTGTTCCTGAAATCATATTAGATTAAAGTGCATTGTACGAGTTGAACATTGATTTGGCAAAGTTTGTCTCTTTGAAAAAGGTGCCGGTTATGAAATAAATATCAAGAGGCTATCCTCAATATCCTCCCAATGAACCGATATAACCAATGTATAATTAATTTATACAGCCATAACAAAATCAGACTTTGATGCCTTTAACAAATACTGAGCCACCCATAGAACCTCCAAAATAATATCCAGTTAAATAAGGATCATTCAAATAGGATCAAAGCCGTCCCATTTAATAGGAGAATACGTAAATTCATCCGTATTTGTTAACTCCTCCGAAAACGAGTAACTTTTATTAATGATGAATATATTTAATATATAGGATTTATTTTATAATAACAAATATAAAATATAATGTTTCACAATTGCTTGGCAGAATCAACCAATAACTATTTAAGTTGATTCACATAGGTACTATTTAATAAGGCAACATCAACAATGACTGCACTTACTAAATATGGATCTATGTTAGCAGCTGGTCTTCGGTCTTCCAAATACCTAGAAATATAGCTTATAATGATTCATACCCAGCTCCCAGTTCTTTTGTAATTACAGGTACTCTGATGGATCCTCCTCTAGAACCATCTCCCCACGAAAATGTGTCATATGAACTTGTTTCATGATGACCGGTCAATCTCTATTCATTATTGGCTCCATATAACTTTAAGACCTCCTAATGTGTGTTCTGCAATAATGGAATCAATGTGTTGATTATGTATTGATATCCTCCAGGTCCCCTAGTTTTGATATCCGAATAATTTGTATGAGCACCTGATCCATTCCAATCCCCCAATATTGGTTTGGGATCATAGTTAATATCAATACCGAATTCTTCTCCCAGTCTTTCTAATATGTATCTGGCCAACCATAGATGATCTCCAATTTCAATGCCTTCAGCAATTCCAATTTAGAATTCCCATTGAGATGGTGCAACCTCAGCATTGATACCAGCGACCTTAAGTCCTGCATTTAAGCAAGCTCTTAGATGTGCTTCAGCCAAAGCTCTTCCAAAATTGTTCCTCTCTCCAATCGAGCAGTAATATCTTCCTTAAGGATAAGGGAATCCTCCTGTTGGCCAACCGAGAGGCCAAATATGTGTAGTCCCCGTCCTTTTTAATAAGAAGTACTCTTATTCAATTCCAAACCAAGGTTTGAAGTCTTTTGCTTTTTCCATGATTTCATTGGCTATGAATCTGCAAATATATTGAAATGAAAAATACCTGAAATTATACCGAGCTGGTGTTTTCTTGTCTGGGAGATAGGTCTCACATAATACCAAAATATGTGGACTCCCTCTAAAGGGATCCTTAACATAAATCACAGGTTTCAAATATATCTCGGACCATTTGGTATTCGCTTAGTCTGTTGATGATCCATCGTAGGTCCACCATTCTAAATCTGATAGCTAGGTGATTGCACCTTTGTAGACCTAGTAGGTATAATAAACCTGCGTATACCTTTGTTTTAGATCTCATCCTCTCTCCGGTTCCGTCAATCCAAATGTATTCAGCTAGGACATTCTTTACGTCTGAGTTCAGTTTGTAGTAATTGAAATCACGAAGATGCTCCACTGTCTCTGTCATCCAGAATACACAAAATCAAATTTCATTTAAGGTTCTTAGAAATCTTCAATTTAACTGGAATAATAATAGGTCATTTCACAATATTTCATATTAACATGAGATATTATTTTGACATTTTGTTTAGTTGATAATCAGTAGCATTTCATTTATATATCGGTTCATTTTATATTTAACAATACATAATCATAATAAATTTAATTTTTATAATCCTACATAGGCCATTTATCTAAGAATTTCCATTTTTGGGGCAAGTATGTTATTCTATCTTTTATTTATTCATATTACATAATTATTCTCAACTAATTGTTCCAATGTCTCAAATGAAACATATGTTGGCAATATCAATATGCAAACACCTATAGTGTCATTCAATGTCTCTATGAAATCGTTACTAATTTTTAATACACAATCCAATAAATGCCAGAATTGGAAACAAAGTCTGATTCAAAATATGGATGAGCAAAAAATGTATCAACCATCTGCTCATCTTTGTTTTGTCATTTGATGCATAAGCTACAGCTCCCATTGAAATTGGAATCAAGTAACCTAGAGCCAAATATAGAGCGTGAACGAGAAATTCGAATACTTCTAAAATCATTTTTATATATTATTATTTTATTATTTCAAGGTGGAAAATCATAAAAAAGTAGTATGAAGAACTGACCCTTAAAAAATTTATAACAATATGCCCTCCTTGTTATATTTTTAAGCATAATTTTGAATGATTTTCGATTGTGATTCTAAAAATTGATCAAAAATGAATACAAATAAAATTATCCATTCAATAATAATATTTTGATATATTATTAATCTATATTTTTAAAGCCTTTTATTTCCTTTAATATATTTCTTCTACAAAAGAGACACATACCAACCAAACTATTAGATTTCATTTTAAACTTATGTAATAGACTACTTACAAAAATTGAACAAGTACTTAATTTTTCTATAGATAAAATGTATGGCATCCTAAAAAGATCATAAAATTCTATTATAAGAAACTTAAGGTATTTTGTTTGATAAAATAATAAGTTAAAATTATTATACATTTTGAATATATTATCAATCATCGTTTTCAGCTTTGTTGTTATTTTCTTCTTCCTCTTCGATGTTGAAATTCTTCTCCTTCAAAATCTTCAACCAATTAGTGAATGTTTAATTTTTAATTTCCTATTCGCAAATAAAATCAACAATAGCTATATATATATATCATTCTTACTTGGTCTAAATTGATCAATCTTGATTTGGTCCTCCTCTTCTATTTCCAATCTTTGAGGAATATCGAATTTTGTATTATATCCTTCAAAACTTATGCGATTAAGGAACAGTCCTTCAGCAGGTGCCAAGATAATTCTTAATTGATTTTTAAAAAATGTGTTATCAATAAAGGAATCAGGTAATTCCTCTTAGAATATTTGAATAACGATTCCCATCATCTTTCTGATCTGATGATAAATGAAACTTTATCCATGAATCAAAAATTTGAAGAACTCCCTATCTTAGCATTTGAACAATTCGACTTAGATTGACAATATATATCTCATCGATTAAGGATCAGTGTATTTCATACCTCTGCTGTAATTGTGGAAATTGTGAGTACCCACAAATTTCTTAACTAAATTACTCACCTTCTCCAAAATCTCCTCTCCTTTCTTTTCTGAATAAATGGAAACCGGAGCAATATACTCGTAGAATCTATATCTAGCATTTTTCCTAACATCGAATCCCTGAGTCACCAATTTTATTGAATGAACCTTAATATCATTAGGCAAATTGGAATTAATCACATTTAACACCTTTGAATAATCCACTTTGGATTTATCCCTTAACTTGGATACATTTTCCTCCTCATTTTATTCGATTTCATCTTTGAAGAATTCCTTATTTATGCATAACTTAACTGCAATTGAGTTACACAGGGCATGAACTCCTTTATCTGTTCTTGCTCCCCTACTCCACCCAGATTTTGATAAATCGTTTGAATTTTACTCCATAATTAAATTCTAATTATAAGTATTCTAATTACTGAATCTTTTAGAGCTTGGAAAAGCTTTGATTCCACAGTCTCAAACTCGACTCCTTTTTAGATTTGTAAGCCATGGTAATTTGCTCCATTATACCCAAAAGTCAGCAATACTTTTTATTTAAAATAATTCCTAGACATAATTAATAAAATTATTTATATAATTAATCAAATGAATAATAGTTAAAGTAAAGGTAGCTTGTATCCCCAAATTCCTTTATTTAATTGATGTAGAATTTGTAATAATAATATAGTTTTACTATATATGCCTATTGGTCTAAGTGAAAAGATTTATAACTAAGATAATTCAAGAGAACAATTCATAATCAAATCAATTAAGTTACTTTATAAACAATCATTCACATTCACAATTAAATTCATTGCCTGTGCATCATGAATCAAAATTTTATAACAACAAATCCTGTTATTAGATAATATTTTCTTATTTGTCATCTTCCTTGTCTTTATTATTTTAAGGTTATTTAAAGTTTTAGTATCTTTTATACCAACCAAGTTTGTCTTCCTTAGGAATGTCAGCTCTCTTGTTTTTTAATTCAATCACAACTTCCAGATGTTCTTCATAAGTTTTAGCAGCGGCTAGCTTAGATCTTTGTTCTAAAATGAGATAATCGGATTACCAATATGGATCTGTAAGCCTGTGTAAAGGAGTTTAAATAAATGCGCTTTAATTTCAACCAATCTGGCATCATATTGTTTGGCAAGTTGCATATATTCCAGAGCCAAATCGTTTAGGTCTTTTATTTCTCCTGAAAAAAGAGCAGGATTTTCTAAGAGGGCTTCAGAAGACATGACTGCATCTACTTTGGTCTCTTGAAGACATCTTTCAACATCAGACCAGGTGTAGATGCCTCCATTAGCGAAGACAGGGATTTGCAGTAGCTGTTTGATTTCAGCAATAATGGTCCAATCACATTGACCAACAAAATCTTTGTTTTGCTCTTTAGTTCTACCATGAACAGTTAGAATAGAGCAACCAGCTGATTGAATGTCTTTGGTTAAATCAAGAGTTCTCTTCCTGTCTTTGAATACTCGAATTTTGCAAGTAACTGGAACTTTAATATTTTGTTTCAATTCTTTCACAATGGTTCTACGCATTAAATATGTAAAATTACAGAACTTAGTCTCTCTTTTCTAAAAGGAAGGCTCCATAAAGGCCTTTCCTTGCAATTCCTTGAGGACAACCAAAATTGAGATCGATGGCATCGCATTGATCTTGGATCATTGATGCTGCCTTAATTATGACTTGGGGATCATGTCCACATAATTAGGCGAACAAAGGTCTGTCTTCTGGACAGGTAGTGAAGAATTCATCCTTGTATGATTTGGACTCAGTCATGATTCGACTGTGCAACATAGGAGTGTAGGCTAAGGTGGTTCCATATTTTCGAGTTAGCATTCTAAATGCGAGTTCACTTTGATCCACCATTGGAGCACCTATGATAAGTCGATGGAGATACAGATGAATTTCGGAGATCCGAGGTTTCTGTAGAATTGCCATGCTTATTAAATATGGTCATCCATTAATATTATAATTAATATGGCCACTGAATTATTATAAGAGAATTATGAATTCAATGCTCCGCCTAGAGTGGTTTAGAAGATGAAATACAGAGAGGACAGGGATGCTTGCAACATTATGTGGGATAAGAGGGTCATTAGAGGCAACACATATTCAAGTGTTTTGAATAAATCAGAGCCCACCATGTAGACAACTATAAAGAGGATTCAAAACACTAAAGTAGTGACTGAGAAGAAGGAGGACGAAACTATCCATGACGAGGAAACACAAACTGACCCCAATGTTGAAGAGTTAACTGACAAACCGCCCAGACATCTAAAGGAAACTCAAACAGAATTCATAATCGAAAAAGTTGTACCTAGATTGTACATGAAAGAGAAGACAGGAATAGACGAAGAAACTCAAGTGTGGGACGATGGAGAATTGTTTAATTTTGAATATGAAGCTGAGCCCATTCTCTAAGTATTGGTAAGAAAAACTTTGGATTTAAGTCGAATGGAAGTATTATAAGAAGAGGAGCTAAGAGAGATGAAGGAGAAGTAGGAGCATTATTAAAAATTAAAGCAAATGGAAATGGCTGAATAAGATAGGTTGGAGAAGAAAGAATAACAGTTATACAATGAGAATATTAAATTAAAATAACAATTCCATAATTAAAAGTAGAGGGATATTAAGACACATGAAAAATTGGTCAGTCGAGCATCAGCTAAGAAATATCTATCTAAATGTGTTAATTTGGCATTGTAACAATTGGAACTTAGTGGATACTTTAGAGATCCCGTAGAAATACAATTAATATCTGAATACTTACCTTGGATTTACTAAGATGTGACAACTGAATTGTTGAATTCCAATCATATCCTTGTCGAATACAACTAAATGTTAGATAACATTGATGATAACATGTTTTAATTACATACTAAGACATTATCGTAAGAAAGAACTCGAAGATAATCAATACTAGATGAAAGGGAAAGACAAAGAATAGCCAAAGAAGAAGCAGATAGATAAAGAAGAGAGAGAAGAAAAATTAGATTGGAGAAGGAAAGAAGATAGAAATTAAAAGAGACTGTTTAAGAATAAATGATTACCAAGGGAGAAGAAAGAGAATGGTTTAATCTAATATCTGATGTCGATGGCTATTATCAAGGAACTAATACTATCGGTTATTTGGGAGGTATTATTGGTTAGTTTGTTATCATTATTAATGCTTTACAACAAGTGGGAGAAACTATTGAAGACATATCTGAGTTGATTACCAATTCAATAGCTGCATTACCAGAAGGAACCATCATTGAAATAGGATTAAGAGACTAAATTGATCAAATGCTAGCAGATATTGAACGTATCGTACATTAATTACAATCTTAGCTGAATTGACTCTCGCTAACCTACCAGAGCAATTATCTTAGGGAATCGAAAATGCCATCAAATCAAATATTGTCTATAGTTTATAATAACATTGGGCTTCATTTGGATTCCTTCAGAATGTGAATCAAATTATAGATTTGGTTATTAAGAACCTTTTTGAAAATAGAGCCAAGGTGAAGTGGTCAAAAATTAAGGGACAAGTAGATTTTCAAAAGATTCCATGCCTTGTTAAATTATAGCCAGGAATGGAATCTCTACGATTTCATCCAAAATCAGGAAAGACTAGAGTTGAAAAGTAAGTAGAGGATGAAGCAACTGAAGAGGAGATAATTAATCCTTAAAATCTTGGAGAAGCTGTGGTTGATACCAAAGCTACTGCATTCATTCCTTAGGTATTTATAAATAAATGAGATGTTGTATAGAATGAGGAGATTCAAACAGCAGTCATCCATAATGTAGCAGAATTCCACCTTAGAAATCTAATTATACAATAGATTGGGGAATAAGACATACCATGGCTTGTCAATTTCACAGATAAGTGCTAACAATTGGAGACATAAATAATCGAGATCCTCAATCCTCAACTGCCTTAATTGGAAGTTTAGTAATATTGATTAAGAGCATATATAATTTAATCATATTATTTTCTATAGTTTTGCATTTGCCTTTTGTAATAAGAATACAAACTGTTGATAGAAACTGCATTGTTATTGATCCAAAACCTAATAAATGCTGATTAAATCCAACACCTATTAATTAAATGATAAATTCTGTGGATTCTCTATTATTAAATTTAAGATTTCCAAAGCAAACCAACAATACTCTTATTACTTTTACTGAACCTCAGTTAGGGGTTCATTAATTTTCAATTCTATCTCCATTAAATATCTTATCTTGGCCAAGTCATTAACAATTCTTTTAAATTTCTGTTCTTCATTTTCATTTTTATTATTTAATGATCCATTACAGCAAATGAAATAATCCAAATACTTCCTTTGCTGATTTTGCTAATGAGATTTGTTGCTCATACAAAAATTGGTGTGATTATTGGCTTAGTTAATGGAAATAAATTGATCGCATTGTGTACAATATATGTATGACATGAAATCTAACGCTTAATTTTACTATTTCAAACCTCTTTAATTCTGTTTACTCTAATAGAACTTTTATATGATTCTTTATACAGGATACCTTTAACAAAGATATTAGTAGAATTGATCATACCCCAAATTGCCGAGTAAATCATTAATATAATTTTATTATGAGTCTAATCTATTACCCTTAGCATTAGACTTAATGGGTATGATACTATTGTTAATAGGTACAACATTAGAATTGAAAGTGACGTTCTATTTAAAGCGATTTTATTAATTCAATGTGATGTTTGTTTAATTAGGTTAATTTTTTTTGAAACTCTCACTTTGATCATCATCATCAAAAATCTTTTTTTTTTGATACTTTTTATTTTAGGATGAGGATAAATCTTAGGAAATGAATTGCTCATAGTCATCATATAAGGAGGATTAATCTGGAGAAGTAAAATGATTATAGTTTTATGGCTAAAATTAATCTAAAAGTGGCACCGATGGTTGAGTTAACTACAAGTCCAAGGACTGCAATGTTCCTTATTATTAGTGACGTACATAAGGGGGTGGTTCAATATCACTAACTTCTTTTCTTTTTAAGATTTGATGAGGAAAGTGTTGTTTAGGAGGTGATGTCTTGAATCTAAAATTAGATGTTTGTAATTATTAATATTATGATTAGATGTGTTTAAAAGCTGGATTGTGATCTTAATTATTCTATAACTATTTATGGCAACTGTAATACTAGATGTCTTTAGTTTTTTGAACAGGCAATGAAGAAGATTGGTAGTATGTAGATGGGGATGAGTTGGAATTGCTGTTCATTGTTGAAGTTATAGGTATTAATTTAGGATTGTCATTAATTTTAAATTAAGAGTAATACATGCTTTGTCTTTGTTATTCTTTTTTTTCGATTTCGTCGAAATAATTGATTTATTACTTTTTGATATCATTCTCCATCTTTTATCCATAATTTTCTCTCTAGGTTCTTAGTTCTAGCAGGAATGAAGAGTAATCTTTCAAAGTTGATTTTTGAAGTTCAGCAATATTATTTACAATGTCATTTAGAACCTTGTCTATTTTAGATATAATTTGCTGATATCTTAACTAATCGTCTGGACTTTGATTATTAATCTAGGATTAGGATTCTAATTCTTGGTAGTGATTCATCAGCAGATTATAATTACAAATGAGTTCCTATTTAGGAGTCAGGACTATATGTTTGACAGGAGTCGAATAATTAGAATTTAACATGGGGAGTATGTTTATCAAGGAACCAAGTAATAATTTTATTTAATCTAAAATCAGCATTGTAAAATAACTTGATTAAATGATAAACTCAGTTTTATTCATTCTCAATTAAGGCTGCTGCACCCATACCTGTAGCAATGCACATAGAAATGACACCATACTTAGCCTTCTTTCTCTTCATTTCTGGTAATAAGGTGGCAACTTATCTGGCACCAGTACATCCTATGAAGATGCAAATAAAGATATACCTAAGGGATGTCCTAAAGCTATGGCACCACCTTTGGGATTGACTCTAGTTGGGTCGATGCCAATCTTTTCCACACAGTATACAGATTGACTTGCAAAGGCCTCATTAATTTCATAGATGCAGATATCATTAGGCTTCAATGAGTTTCTTTGTAATAATTAAGGAATGGCAGCAGCTGGACCAATACCCATAATGCCTGGGGGTACTCCAGCCACAGTATAATCAAGGAATCTTCCAAGGATGGGTAATCCTAATTTTTTGGCAACCGATCTTCTAGCCAATAAGACTGCAGCTGCACCATCAGTAACTTATGACGAATTACCAGCAGTTGTGGATCCATCCTTTCCAAAGGCAGGTTTCAATTTGCCTAAACCTTCAAGAGTGGTTTCCTTTCTAATTCCATCATCTTCTGTCACAGTAACTTCCTTTGTCTTTTCACCATCCTTAATTGTTGTTTTGACAGGGATAATCTCATCCTTATACAGTCCTTCTGATTGAGCCTTGTAAGCCTTTTATTAAGATTCATAAGCAAATTTGTCTTGTTACAATCTGGTGATTCCAAATTGGGCAGCCACATTTTCTGATGTCTATCCCATGCCCAAGAGACAATCTCTTGCACAGGGATGATCAAAAATGGCATCACTTAATAACTCAGCATTCATTTGACTTTACATATCATACATGGACATCTGTTCAACTCCAGCACCGATACCAATATCCAACATTCCAGTTCTAATTTTAGCAGCAATCACGGCACAAGCTTCTATTCCTGAAGAACAGAATCTATTTATAGCTGTCAAACAAGTGGTGTCTGGAAACCCTGCTAAGAAGGCAGCCATCTTAGACACTATAGCACCACTGCCAGGTTGATTCACATTACCAACCACGATGTCTTGGATCAACTTTGGATCCACCTTTGTTCTCTACAACAATCCTGTGAATGCAGCGCTAAGCAATACTTCTGGAGGAGTGTCCCTTAATAAGCCCTTCTTAGCCTTAGTCAAAGGAGTTCTCACAGCCCCACAGATGACTACATCGTTGTCACTTTTGGCAGGCACAGGAGTACAATTGTTTACTTAAGTACTAAGATGTTGGATTCTATTCATCAATAAGATATTTTATTTTATGCAAATACACAATATTATGTTTAGATAAATATATGTTCCTAAATTTAAAATATAATATTATTTATTAGTATCATAAATATTTAAAGAACTTTAATATAATTATTTTCTTTAAAAAGTAATAAATTTATTATTACTTGAATTATTACTAAGCTAAGAGAATAGTGAAAGGCATTACTATTTTTTGTAGCTTTTAATTTACTTGACTAAAATCATTATCATTTCTAAATATTCTCTTTAATTACATTATTTTCATTTAATAATATAAATACTTAATTTGATAACACACTCTTTATGGCAGATATTCCAGCACATGTTCTTGCAATACACTCTTAAAAAAATGACCCTCCTTTATAACAAATTGAAAAAACACCAAAATTACCAATTTAAGAAATGAAACTTATAGATGTTGAAGAATTAATGGAAAATAAAAATATGAATAATCAATACATCGTTGTCTAAGTATATTAGATAGACTGGAAAAATAGCACTCAATATTTGATTGTCAGAGATTTTAATGAAATATGGCTCAATCTAACTATTCTGCAATAAAATAGATTATGCAATTACTAAATCAATGATTGGCTTATTGTTAAAAATCCTAGGCTTATTGAGTTTGGAATATTTATCTAAGATTCATAAGATGTTGTTGCCATCAATCAATTTACGTATCAAGCTATGATGAACTCAGAAATTGACTAAACAGATCCAGCCTAACTAAAAGAAACAGGAAATCAATATTTTAAATTATAATAATATCGATTGGCCTACGAAGCCTATTCAATGGTTATCAAATATGATCATGCCAATAAAACAAACCTAATACAAGAGTAATGTTACAATAATAGAGCCCAATGTTTATTCCAACTTGGTTATATCCAAGAGGCTGTAAATGATCTTAATCAAGTGTTACAACTCAACCCTTAAAATGAGAAAGCTATTCTAAGGTAAGCATTATGTTACCTTAAATTGCAGAATCCAAATGATGCCAAGAAATTGCTTGAGTCACTTCCAAACCATAAAACTGATAAAGACATAGTATTCAAATTAGTAGAATGTGAACTCATGATAAAACATCTATCTGGCAATATCGATCTGATTTCCCTTCTAAATTAATATGTAAATCAAGATGAATTCTCCTTTGAAAAAATTAATAACTTTAAGCACAAAAGTATCGAAAGAAAAAAAAGTAACTTAGGTGGATTGGGGTTATTCGTTAATCAACCTATTCCTAAAGGAACACTCTTAGTGGTTGAACATCCAATGCATAAAATCAAGTAAAACTAAACACTTGGCATGCATTAAAGAGATGATGTCTATGAAGAGATTAGACAATAGGCATTTAACAATAAGTAATTTGCTGAAAAACTATTTAATTTGTATGATGGAACCAACAATTATTCTCTCAAACTTGTAAAACAGGATTTCGAATACCAACTCTAAAATTACGTTGTTGATCTCCTTAGAATCGAAAGTATCTTTAGATACAATGCACATGCATTTCAATTACTCAAAGTGTTCACAAAGAATAAACAAATTAAATACCTAGATTAGAGCGAGGGGTTGTGGTTCACACTTTCACAAGTTAATCATAGTTTAACCCCAAATATATTTTATTACTTTTTGGGAGAATTGCTAATTGTTGTAAGTGCTAAGAATATAGAAAAAGATGAAGAAATACTAGTGCAGTATCATCCACCTTTAAATCAAAAAGAGTATTAAAATAATTTGAAATCCCATAACATTCCTCTTGATTAGAAATTAGTCTAATAGAACTAACAGTGGAAAATGGATGAATAATTTAATGAAATTAAAACCATTATTAAGGCTGTGAAGACCTCAAAAAGTCTAAAAGATCTGACAACTTATACCTTATCCAACCCAAATGTTATTCAATAGATAAAAGAAAAATATCCAATCAAATATTTAAAAATCGTTTAATAAGTATCTTTCGATCTGTTTTAAGTTAAAAAAATAAAAGAATACTTAGACTTAAAGTTTTAAGGATTGGTATTTCAATTCGATTAATATCCTTAATGTTCAACTATCTAAGATTTCTTTATGTTCCTAACTGTTGTATCATAAGGTTCAGATATAGAAAAGGAAATGGTTAATTTTATATTTAGAGTTGGAATTTTAATGTTTGGTGAAGCATTTTTGAAAAATCAAAATTCTGAAGACTTGATCTTCTCCTTAGGTTTTAAGCAAATTAAAAAATGATCATCAATATTATTGTTAAGTAATTATAATATCATTAATATTTTTTTTCATTTTTTATAATTTAAATAGATATTAGTGTTCTCGTTTCAATTTTTCTTTTGATAAATCCTAGAATAATATTAGCTTTCTATATTGAATTTCGATATATATTTTTTTTGTTATAATTCATCAATCTATTTTTATGTATCAATTAAGAAAGGTTTTTGCATTATAAAATGAATCAATTTAGTTCAGAGTCACCAACCTCGATTGCATTGATAAATTCTAATACGGATTAAGTAATTTTAAATAATTCAGTTAATATATAATTATAATATAAAATAATTATAGAATTATAATATTACAGAATTTTATCCTATATTATACTTTATAGGTTCTAATACCAAACTAATAATTGATTTGTTATTTATAGGTAAACACTCGATGAACATAAATAATATCTTTAATCATTGTAAGATTGCATTTGGAATGCATTACAAGTAATATTGAGGTTGTGCAAACTAAAAATATGGATAGCATATTGAAAATTGCGGATAGCAATACAATGAATTTATTGAGAGTGTACCTGCTATATTAACTGGTATTAGATATTGTTAGGTTGAACTTACGTTTATTGACGGTGACTATTCTTACGACTGTACTGAAACAATTGAATTGAGCTTATGTTCAGTTTTTATTAAATTCATTTATTCTTTTTTTGGAACAACATAATATGGATTCTTGATCTTGAGGTATTTATTCCGAAGGTATGAATAGAACCTGTTTTTAATACTGTTTTCTGATCTACCTTGAAGCTCTTTTTAAACGATGCTCCACTTTCCACCGACATTATTATATATTTGAATTATTTTTTCATCTTCTTCTTAGCTCCAGGGTTCATTGTTCAATTCAGGATGCAATTAATTAAGATAATGTTCTCGTATTTATTTTCCAGAGCGATTCGGTAATAATTTACTGATTTTGCTCCACTGATATCCATATTCTTTAACCAAATTCTTGAGTTTGTCGTCCTCCTCTTAAGTCCATTGTCTCCTCAACTTGAATCCCTTGATTCTCTTCCATCTCTAAGCACATTAAGATGGGTTTCTTCCGCCTATTCTCCGTGCCACTTCAATCCAATCAAGACATTACTTTTGCCTCAAGTCTTAAAGCATTTGATCTTCCAGCATGCTCCAAGCTTTTCTTCGAGGCTGTATCAACTCGGAATTTGACATTCTCCTTATAAATTTAATTTTGATTTACTTAATCACAGAGATGATTCTCTATAAACATAAAGAATTCAGTTATTTCAATACTTTTATTTTAATTCTTCATATAAACTGACCTCTTTACCGATATTTTAGCGTTGAATCTTGATAAACCAATATAATATCGTTAGCTTCCGATAATGAACTTATCATATTTTGAATTACGTCATTTATTATGCTGAATTTTTTCATAAATTTCAGAATTTAGATGAAAGAATAAATTAATTGAAAATTTCAACATCACTTTCCAGTGCCAATGGATTTTCAATACTTAATATAGATCCTACTCTATTTTAGCTTAAAGTTACAAATTTTAATCCGCAATAAATAATATAAATTACAAATTTTCAATATGTTCATTTAAAAACTGAAATTTTTCTATTAAAAAAATACACTATAAATAATAAAATTTATTATAGAACACAGTAAAGAAAGAATTTATAATGAGAATAAGTGTTTGATTTTCATAAATTTTATGAATGGAGTTGATTTTTAAAAGAGAATTAATTTGTTAAGAGAAATAATTTATTTTTGAATAACAGAATGTAGGATTTAAATTACTTTTTTAAAAATTTATCTTCTAATACTCAGTTACTTTTATAATAATAAACATAATTAATTATTCTTAATGTCCAATCAATATGTGATCGTGCCTTAAAATTATCGAAGTGATAGCATGGTGAGCATATCACCTGCTGACAAACGATATTTTGAATAGGCTCAGGCCAAGTAAAAATCACCTCCACAATAAATGATGTTCGGAGGGTACTCGCCATCACCTAGTCTTCAAAAAAGTTTGAGCACTCAATTATCAGAATAAAGCATTGATGATGTATAAATATTGTTCAAAATTTATCAGTTTAGTAGGATGTAAAAAGATTCAGATACTGAGTTAGTTGTCCAATATATACTTTAATTGAGAGACGCAGATAAAAGAGAATAAGCATTATCAGAATTGTCCAAAAAAAGAGAAAGCTTTCCTCATTTGGCACCTCTGTTATGGCATTCTGTTGGTACCATAGCTATATTGTAAGTCATTTAAATATTTTAGTCTCTAAGAAATTGCAGTTGTATATCAGCATTTACAACCAGCTTAGCTTACACAGGCTTAATCTTCTAGGATCTGCAGTGTTTTGGGATTGCTACAATGTCTTGCTCTACATGTGTAAACAAGATCTTGCTTCTTAAGAGGTAATAAAAAATTTAAATATAGCTCACATTCCATTATTTTTATATCCATTTCTAAACACTAGTAACAAGAGTAAGGCTTTCGAAAACCTAAGAGTGACAAGTTTGGGTGTAATAGGCGCTTTGGTGAAGGTGTTAATATTTTTAAATTTTAAAGGGAGATGATCCAGAGGCGATTAATTTTTTAATGCAGACTGAAATCATTCCACTTTGTTTGAGAATAATGAAAAAAGGACAGGAACTCTCCAGAACAGTTGCTACATTTATAGTGTAGAAGATCCTTCTCGATGACAATGGTCTCAATTATATCTGTTAGACTCCTGAAAGATTCTTTGCAGTAAGCCAAGTCTTACAAACCATGATTGATGATTTGCATCAATCTTAAAAAGATGATTAAAGATTGTTGAGACACATAATTAGATGTTATTTGAGATTATCTGAAAACCAAAAGTAACCCTTGTGAACTAATTTTTAGAGCTGGAGAAGTCCTTAAAAAATATTTGCCACAAGTATTAAAAGACCCAACTCAATCTTTTATTAAAGATGAAGTGGTAAAAAAGTGGCATAATAATTTGCTTCAAAATCTTTCGATCAAATGATATAATAAATATGTATCTAAAAAATAGAAATCTTTGCTTATTCACCAATGCTTCTTCCCCTTTTTAAGTAAAATATACTATAATTCTATTAAAATAATCATTCCTATTATACGCTCAATCTGCGAATTTCTCGACTAAATATGAAGTCCATTCAAACTGTTACTCTCCAAACTCCTTCTTCTCAACCTTACATTTCAACATTTACAATGCCTCTAACTACGCTTCAATAATTCTTTATTATTCAATTTTATAAATTAAGGCAAAGTAATCATGATAATTCAACTTTGAATCTCTAAGTTTCTCAGATTGTGATTTCAAAGTGTCCTTAAAATGCTCATCATTATAAGCCTTAATTAAATTGTAAGCCTAATCAATTATGGCTGTCTCATAAATATCATCAAATAAATACGATATGCCTTAATCATATTACCAGTTTAGAATTTTGAAATACATCAATAGATCATCGTTGATCCTCGTATATCTAATCTTGAACTTCTTATACTTAGACAACTAAAAGTACTAATAATATGTAATCGTATATGGTTACCTCTGCGATATCACTTGCGAATGGAATGTGTTGAATAAATTAAGTTTTCACTTCCACATAATCGAAAATATTGTACTCTAGAGTGAATCCGTATCGAAGTAACAAAGATCTATTGGATATCTTTCCATAAGAAAAGTAGGCTTAAGCACCTTTTTCGAATGCATCTTTGCTTGAACATTTAATTACAAAGTTGTCAAATAAATCTTCCTTCCAATCTTCTTTAGCTTCGAATGGCTTGATATTTTCAGGGATGGCAATCTATAACATTTCCTCAACACTTTCAATTGCTGATGGTTACTCTGGAATTTCAAATTATTTTAGTGAATAATTTTTAGACTTCAATTTTTCTTGAGCATATTCTTTAACATTTTCTAAATAGAGTTCTGATTTAACTTCAACTGCTTATAGAGCAGATGACACTTAATCGTAAGTCAAAACATCTGTTTCATACAATTTAATTTATTCTTGGATATACTCCAGACTTTTGGACACAAATATTATGGTAAAATTGTCTCTTAAATTTAAGTTCTCTTAAAACCATCTTTTGTACTTCAAATATTAAATTTATAAATCGATTCTGTTATTACACTTCTCTTAATAAATTCTTAATTTTTCAATTGCATCAGGATTTTGGAAGTCCACTTAATTCTAATACAATGCTAATTCTTGTTCAATCAGTTTATATGTTGGTGTTTTCTACTTGTAACTTTTGATTTGCTCCTAAATTTCAATTGGGTATTAGTAATCTTCTTACTCATATGAATCACTATCTCCATCTGAATCATCTGATTCATTAGGATCCACTTATTTGTCCTCTTTGGGTTTATTGACGTTGCTCTCCAAATATAAACCTTTGTATCTCACATCCGTATTCTCGTGATTAAACATTTCACAAAAAGGAACGAATGCAACCTATTCTAAGGTGGATCCAAAACATCTACTAACCAAATGTATGAAAATCCACTTGATGTTTTCAAAACTGTATGTTTCCTTCTTAAAATGTTAAGGGAATTGATCCAATATGTGTGTCAATGTCTTTTAGATCAATAAGAAATCTTGCAGTTCTCTCTTGGCTTTCAATACGAGTTTTTCATCGTTCAATAGTTTCAATTCCTCATCAGACCAAAATATTAAGTAATCAATATCTCTTGGCAAATTAGCGATTAAATGATACCATTACGATTGTCTAAATATATACATCACAGTCAAATACCTCCCTAATTATGATTGATATAATAGATATGTGAGAAGAATTCTATCTTGCCATCCTCCTGCACAATGCTAACTAAAGAATTATGGATGGGCGTCAAAGATTTCTTGGATATCTGAAAAATATGCAATCTTTGTGGTCAACATTAATTCTCTTGGCACTGATACAAGGATTGAATCACTTTCGATCTTTTCAATTGCTAACCATATTGCCTATAGAACAGTTACTTTTTAATCCTAAATAAGGTAAATTATTTCTAGTTTTGAACTAAGCCATTCGCAAATTATTAATTTTCATGCCTCTTTCCAATAAATAATCGACATATTCTTAGAATTCTTTCTACCCTTCCACATCTTATGCTTAGGGATCCTCCTTGTAAATTCCCTTTATCTTTTTTAATATATGTATGTCATTTATACATTATGAAATATAGTAGCAATCCTTTTACTTATTGACGTTGTTTATTACATTAAATTAATATTGTGGTTATGATAAATTAATAAATTTACGATAATCAGATCTCATATATATATTATCTCTCTTGAATATTTTAAATCAGCAAAAATAATTCCTATTCAAACCTTTCAATCTTTAAATAGCCTGAGTTTCAGAATTGTATATATATATATATTAATAATTAAATAATTTGAGCAGATGTAGAATAATAAGAAAGCCAAAAGAACAAAATTGACAAAAGAACAAATAGATGTTTTGTAATAAGCATTTACATTGTTTGATACAGATAAATCAGGATCAATTGATGAATCAGAATTAAGGAATGCCATGAAAGTATAGCACTAAGTTTGATTGTTTAGGCTCTTGGATTCAATGCATCCAAAGAAGAAGTACAAAAGATGGTTGAATAAATAGACAGAGATGGATCTGGAACAATTGAATTTCAGGAATTTGTGGAAATGATGAAGAAGAAAATGTTGGAGGACAAGAATGTTGAAGTAGAAATAGAAAAAGCATTTAACTATTTTGATGATGATAATGAAGTATTCCAATATTCAAATCTTTAGGGTGCTATTGATCTAGAAAAATTGAGAAGAGTTGCAGCAGATTTAGGAGAAGAATGCGATGAACAAACCTTAAAAGACATGATTTACGCTGCTGATCTTGATCAAGATGGTAAAGTTAGTAAAGATGAATTCATGATGGTTATGAGGAAGATGAAATTAATATGATATATGCTGTAAATTTCATCAAATACGATCTCCAGCAGCCATTTTCTGAGCAAGAGTTTCCTTAAGATCTCTCATATTCACATTAAGCAATCCAACCACTTCAGAAACTATATTACGATCCTCCTATCTTGATGTCCTTCTTTACGTATAGTCATAAGCTGCCTATTAACACTCATTTCTCCTATCGTCTTTAGTGTATTCCTTCGATTCAAGTCTGATATTCAAATCCTCCAATTTTCTCTGATTTTCTGCCAATCTATCTTTAAGAGCTTGAAGTTAAGCCTCTAATTCACCTATTTCCTTATCATAGATCTTGAAATCAGTATTCATAAATTTTTGATATTCTGAATACCATCTCACTCTCTCCTCCTCTGCTTTCCTCTCCACTTACCAGATTTCGTCTATTTGTCTAATTAAAGATTCACTTAAATCTATAATGTTCCTTAATACACCTATGTTGTTTCCATTCTTGCTCATCTGAATCATAAAGTCTATTATATCTTAGAAAGGCTTTCCAATAGATTTGAACTTACCAAAACTCACTAATTGCTTAGTTACTTCAGCAAAAACCTCTGGCTAGACTGTTGTTTTATCAGTCTATAATTCCAAAAAGTTTGTCCTTAATTTTGAAGCATACACCAATTTCACTTCTTCTAATGTTTTTATTATTTTTCCCACTTCTCCCCTCTTTAATTCGTAAACTTTCTCTTAATATTCTCTTATAACGTCGACTTCATTCATTCCTTTTCTCAAGTTCTTTCTCAAAGCATCCTTCTCATTCAAGATCTTTTTCTTTGATCTAATTAATATTTTAGTTTAACATACTCTATACTAGCTTTCAGTTAATCTATAGCTCCTTAAATTTTCACTTTCAATCTATTTATTGCATCAATCTCATCGTTCAAATTAGAGAGATCCTAATCACATTTTGATTGAAACTCTCTGTTTTCTAAATCTTCCTCCTTCTGATCTTTTTGATATTTATCCTCTAAGTCTTACAAAGTATCTATTATTCTATAGTAGATAACAAGTTTACCTATCCAAAGGAGTATTTGTTTACAATGCTAGTTATGCTGTTGACAGTAGTGTATGACCCAATTGTGTTTATAGTAAACTCTCTATTTTAGAGTTCAAACTTTTATCACACTGAGCAATTAACAAGCTAAGGAATAATGTAAAAATAACTTTCATTAATAATAAAATTATAAAACGACTTTTCATTAAGAAATATTCATTAATTCATTTATTGTGCTATCAATTGTTCTTATTTAGAGAAGAAAAGATGCTGCTTTGGATACTATGTTGATTTTGGGATCCAATTCTTTTCCAATCCCTTCTAAAATCATCATATTGGTCAATAATGTAGCAAAATGTCCTTCTACAGCAAGTCCATTGGATCTTAAAATTTCGAGCATGCCTTTGAAAATTAATCCTAAATCCATTTTGGATAACGGGGCATTACAAACCTCTCCAAATAAATCTTCAATGTCTTTTAAAAACTTTTGTTTCTTCTCTTCTTTCAATTAAGTGTTATATGATGCCAAACTCAACATCAATTGACCACATTCCTTTGGTTGTCTTAAGGCAACAAACATTATGATTTTAATGAAATTTATTCTATCCTTTTGATTTAATATCGTAACCATACCTGGGTCAATAAATATCAAATCTAAATTCTTTTAATTTTAATTCGTCTATCTCAAAAAGTTCCAAAATTGTTACTCATCAAATATTTTTTCTTTCTCCAACATTGAAACCTAAGAGTGAAATCTTTAATTTACCTTTAATGGCTTCTTTAATATGAACTTTTCAAAGAGTGGTACAATCAATTCAGCAGCATACTCAACTAAGTCATAAAATCCCTCTTCTAGCATATTTTTAAAATGTTCAAATTTTGAAGTATCGTTATCTTTAATTCTTACTAAAATATTTCCAGAATGAAGATCAGCGTGTATAAAATTATCATAAATTAGCATTTTATAAAACGCTTTAAGTCCTAAGTTAGCTGCCACTCTATGCTCTCTTGTTCTTTCCAATTTCATAAAGTGTGACAAGGATACTCCTTCTTCAAAAGTTTCGACTATTACACTTTTAGATACATATTCTGTGAATATTTTAGGAAATATGACATTTTTTGAATCCTTAAATTTTTGTTCAAAAATCTGAAGATTCTTTGCTTCAAATGAAAGATCTGCCTAATTCATTAATGTAACGCTAAATTCCTAGAATGTTACTGGCATAGCTAATCTCCTAAATATTTGTTGAGTTGAACTCAAAATATTCGATATTACATATAAAATTTTTAGATCTAATTCTAGCTTCTCTACTATTCTTGGATGTCTAACCTTCACTGCATATTTGACACCATTTTTATAAGCTAAATGAATCTAACCTATTGATCCTGATGCTATTGGATTTGTATCGAAACTGTCAAAAACATCTTCAATCTTCTGCTTGAATTCCTCTTCAAACTATTTTTTGGTATAGTAGTAATTGTGAGGCGTCGCTGAGTCTCTTAGCTTACTTAGCTCAGAAGTTACTTCATAACCAAACACATCTCCCCTGTGACTTGCCCATTATCCCAATTTCATCCATAATGGCCCAGCCTTATATATTAAGAACTTACTAATTCTAATGATTTAATTAAAAGCCTTAGCCAATGCTTATACAACCATGATTTGAAAAGTAAGGCGAAAGGAAAAAATACAACCAGAGGAGTAAAAGTTAGGATCAATTGCAGAAATCTTAATTGCAATTTCCCATAATAAATCATCTTATTCCAAAACCCATTAACACTATGGACATGTCCCTTCAAATATTCTTATTGATAATCCTTAAATAGATAATTTTCAATTACTTATTTTAATTCTAAGTTTTCGTACAGAGATGCATATTAAGCTTTCTTAAATCTTTGATAACCTGCACTATATAGACCAATACAAGTCATTCCTCCTACAAATATCGTCGCCCTTCGATTTAAACCAATATTACTCAACTTGATCAATTTTAACATGTATAATTTTAAATAATAATTTTAACTCAAAACACAAAATCGTTGTTAAATTTCTCACTGATAGTAGTTTTATTTTAGGCATTCCCATTTCTTTATATTAAAATCAAAACTTCATTATTCAAATACTGAAGTTATGTTCAATCTAATTTGAGATCTAGATTTTATATTGTTTTTATTAGTTTAATTAATATTAAATTCATAAGAAATCCGTATTTCTTGTAAGTCATTCTAAAATTAAAAGCTCTATCTCTGTATATCATCAGTAAATATGAGTTTTCTAATGTAATACATGACATCAAAACCCTCTTAAACCCTTCTACATATAATTACCTGTTATTAAGAGCCAGTTGAAAATTATTTTATCACATTAAAACTAAGTCTCACAACATATCATTCTAGCATCTAATCAGTTCTTAGCATCAAACAATTGGCAAATATTCCTTTTTCCCTAGTATATATCAAATTTTCAGCATGAAATTAGTTTGGATAGAAAACTTGAATATCTTAAAAAGTTGAAAATGTGTGATACTTAATAGATAGACTCATGATTTAAGGTAGTTACAATAAATTATATGTTTGAGATATAAAAAATTTATGACAGAAAAAATGCGCTGAACATACATATGGAATGGCTTGAGTTAATTTTGTTCTATAAATTTGTAAAATAATACATCCTAATTAATTTCTAATTAAAATCTGAAATAATGTATTAAAATTATATATGTTATTTATCTTAAATAAAGTGCAATGATAGAAATTCTTTAACCTTTTATGATTTATTGAAATTATTATTATAAATTTAATTCCAAATGTTCAACTAACTATTAGAATTCAGAAATGCAAAACTTCTAGTTTAAGCTCTTACAAATAAAATTCATGAAATTGAATACTTTTAGAAGACTGGACAGTAATATTAGTGTGGAAATAATGAAGACTTTTCAATAGCTGGATAATAACTACTAGAATTCTATTTTTATGACTACATGTTGCTCTAAGGGTACTAAAATTAATTTTATTAAAGGTTTCCAAATAATTAGAGTCAATTTAAAAAACCAAGTGACATAATTTAATTAAGGTAAAGGCTAATTAATGATAAATACTTATCAGAGATAGCTATTCTACTAAATATTTAAAATCTATTAAATATTGGAAACTAGAAATCATTAAAGTACATTCTATTTAATATTTAGAAATAATCCAAAAGTACTATCAGATTGTGTTAAATCCATAATAGGGGCACATTACTATGATAAACAAAACGATCTAGAGACCCTTCGAGATATTATTCACCCAATCGTAGTATAATTGTTGAATAAGTATCTATCAAATTTATACATAGAGGAGAACAAATAACCAGAACACAGTGGAAATATAATCCAAAATCTTCCTTCTTAGAGTACCTTAATTCTTACAAAGGAGAATTAAACATCAATCCTAAACTAACTATAGAATGGAAAAAAGATGATTCCGTTTTAAATTAAAATAAATCTTTATATTTAATTTCTTTAGAATTAAATAGCACTATGAAAGTACAAAAGGTAGGCGTAAACAAAAGAGAAACTGAACAAAATGTATACTTAGAGGCTTTGCTTTAACTTAGAAATTATCATACAAAGAACTACTAAAAATAGAAGAAATTAAATAACAAAACGGAAATTTAAGAAAGTCAGGGTGAATCTGAGTTATCTACCTCTCTCGATTCAACCTTAAATAATCAAAATTTATCATATTATAGTTTTACAGAGAAAACTCTGGATAGAATTTAAATAAACTTTGATTAATAATTTAATCTCATGCTAGAGTAGTTGGCAAACGAATGAAGCTTTCTTTGTAGATATTTTTGAATTTATTATTTATTTATATTTTCTTGTAATAAATATTAAAAAAATTTATCAATACAAATAAATAAAGTAACTAATTCACATCTTTAAACGAGTGCTAATTAGAGATGAGGCTTAATAATTGGCTTACTATAGCTTGTACGAAGTCGATTATTATTTTTATTATAGTATATAAAAAGGTATAACTTATTTTACACTACTTGATGGCCTAAAAGAATTAGTAGGTTTTGTCCTATTTTAATTTTGTTGGCAATCATCATTTGCCGCAGAAATTGGTAGTTTGCCAGAAACGATTTCCTTTATTACTTAAATTTTTTGTTTCTATTAATCAATTTACTGTTTGAAATCATGAAATTTCTATTTTTAATTAAATTATTACATTTTTTTCAAATTATTCAAATACTTCAGAAGTCACAAAGTTGAATTTTCTAACCCTTTTGCCGTCAATAATATCATAAGCTTCATCTGGTTTTATAGGTTCATCAATGTCAACAATTTCCCCCTCTTCATCCACCATCTAAGTTGCTTTGCATTCTAATTGTCCTTTTTAAATTAATTCCAAAACCTTTAATCTTTTATTCATTTTTTTTAGTTTATTCAAAAAGAATTCCTTTCTAATCATATTATCAGACTTTCTTGTGGTTAACTATTCGAATGCCTTTTTAATATTGGTTTATTGATCTTACACCAATTACTAATATTCATCTTCCAAATTCTTAGCCTAAATCATAATTTAAATATAATACATGTTAAGACTTGGATTCTTATAAATTTAGATTCTTGTAAAGTTGGAACTAAGCATAAGTTGCCATCGTTTCATAGAATTAATTATTTTTTTCATATCTATCAGTAGCACTTCCACTCAATTTTTAAATTTCTAACATATTGTCATCATTGATTCCTATTTTGTCTAAATATTGTGTTAATTGTTATTCCAAGTTTAATCTTTCAGTCTCTTAATTGAATAATTTTAAATAACTCATATTTGATGCTACCTTCCCTTAACCTTTATTATGAAAACTACTAATTCTATAAGGGGATTGATTAGCCCTTATTATTGATTAACGGTTACTGAAGTTGTTTTTAGTACTTTTTGTATATTTTGATTTTGCTTTAATTCTTTCTAATTATAATTGATATTTTGGTGAAACAGATGTGATTTATTTAATTTCATCTTTATTTTAAGTCTTTTATCTGAAATTTTACAAAATTTATTATGCTTAATTTGCACTTTTTAACAGCCATGAAGCAGTAATAAATTATTCTTAAGTTGCAGTTGTCTACACTTGATTTTGATTCTCTACAAATTCTAAATCAATTTTAGGTTACTCATCTTAATTCAATTTTTGACTAAGATTTTTAATTTATTAAGAGAGAAGTTCCTTGTCCATATTTGTTTACGTTAATTCGTAGAATCTCTAAAATCTAAAAATCCATTTTTGATTCAGTAATTCAAATAACCATTTTCTTTGTTCTTTCTTCCAAATTCTTTTATCAAACTCTTATAAACTAATTCTATACAGTAAGGTATTATCTTATGAACATTTAGCTGAAAATTATCGTTTATTAAGTAAAAACAGTCCATCTTCTCCAAAGAACTCTCCCTGTAAAAGTTTTGTTAAGCAAAATTACTTTCTTTATGTATTTTATTTGTATATCTCCATTTCTCCTCTACCTATAAAGTAGCAGAATTCTATTGATTCATCATTTTCTTGATAAATATATGAATTTTTTTAGACTATCGATTACTCCATATGATAACTAAAGTATTTAATTTCTACATCAGAAAATATAGAAAAAAAAGAAAGAGACTTTAGAAACTTTTATTTCTCATAAGTGTCATTTGATCTTTGATTTGAATTGATTTCGTTAAATATTTTAAAATCTAAACAAGCAAATTCTGTAGGTCTTATAACTCTGACATGACATTTCCTATTCTCAGACAACCCGTAATCATTAAATGACATTCCAAATGTTAACTCTTGTGAAATTGATTTTGAACTATTATGTTGATCCCCATCCTCATTGTCATCGTAATAAGTAACTACAACTCTACCACTAAGTACTAAAAATACGGTTTTATGTGTATTTATTATTGTGTTTTAAGAAACTTATTTGTAATATATGTATCTGCATATTTCCCTAACAAATTAATCACTGTATTTTGACTTTAATCTTTATATATAATTGTAAACATAGATGAATTCATATAGAGATTGAATATCCTAATCATTTCTTGAGAATGGATCTTTTATTAACGAATCTTTGATTTAGCTGATATCATGTTAATAGGTTGTTTTATGTAAAAATTTGGCTATTGACATTATGTTGAGGGCATCTGAAAAAGCTGATGATGTACGCTTTTTCATAAAATTATATATTTATATTGATTATTTTTTTAATAAATAACATGTTTAAAGGTTCCTCAATCAAAATTTTACTAATTGGACCACAATAATCAGGAAAATCAAGACTTGCAAATTATATAGCCGATAGAGAAGATATTTCATAAAATGGATACAGACCTACAGCAGGGGTTAGAATTTTGGAATTTGAAAAAGAGGCACCTAAGAATCCTAAAAGACCAGGCTCAGAAAAAGTAATTGTCGAGCTTTGGGATATGAGTGGAGATAATAAGTTTATATTTTTAATTAAATCAGATATGACTCCTGTTGGCCTGCAGTAATGAAGGATGCTCAAGGAGTTATATGTGTATACAATGCAGAGAATCCTAAGCACGAATAAGAATTAGAATGGTGGGTGAATCAAATATCAAAGAAAGCTGGTATTCCTGCAGCTCAAAACGTTGTATTTGCACATCATTTGACAGGAAAGGCTATAAAGGGATAATCAAAATTGCGTATTATTTGAATTTCTAAATATTTCAGCAAAATCATTAAGTAGTTTAACAGTCCATGATACTTCCATTGAAGAGGGGAATCAGACAATCCACCCAGCTTTTGAAAAGTTTTTCAATTCTTTGATGTTGAGTATTTATGAAAAATAAGAGAAAGAAGAAAATAGATTAATGAATTGATATATATTTTAAAATTCATAAAAATATACATTTTAATAAACTCAACCAAATAATTAGGTTTGTAAATATGCTTGAATCACAAGGCACAACTTAAAAATGTGATCAGTTTCTAAATTTAGAAAATACTAAGCATAACAAAATTTGAGTTACACATTATAATGCATTATTTTATAATATTCATTAACACATCAGAGCAATAATTTTAATTCACCATCTTAAAAGTTCATTAAAAGAGAATTTTATCAATTAATTTTGATAATATGTTGTATGCCATTAATTCTGTAGAATAATATTAGTTACCTTCTTAATTACTAATAATAAATTTAGTATATAAAGAGAATTTACATAAAAAACTTCGAATAATTTTCTTTGAAATATAATTTTCACAAAAAAAGTTTATTAGTTATTTAATATTTTTTTAGTGATTTTAAAAACTTTGATCAGTTCTTTTTTTATTATCAGTTTGTTAAGATTATCTAATGTATTTGCTCAATTTAATGTATTAACCATTATTGAATTTTATAGAATTGATAAAGATTTCATCATCTGATATTATTTTTTTATGTATCTTCTTCCGTATATGTTTTAATGGAAAAAGAAATAAGGAATTATTATTGAAAATATAATGCAGAAAACTGAAACAAATATGAAAATCTAAATAAATATTCATTCGTAAAAATATTTATTGTTAATCATTTCATTTAGTTAATAAAATATATATAGGATAATATATTTGATAACAGTTATTTTTCAAAAATAATTATAACGATTGAAAAATATTCTACTTATATGTCAATTAAGATCTAAAAGTGTTTTATTGTTAAAAATACTCCAGTTGTGCCTGGAAAATAGGTTTACATACATATATTGGGAAGCGGACAAAATAAATTTCATTAGATGGAAAAAAATAATGAGTTTTACTAGGTATAATTAGATATAAACCAAAGAGGGTTTTATCAATATAAATATTTAGTGGCTGATAATAACGAATAAAAAAAGTAAGAAAAAGGATACAGAAATTTCTATTATGGAAAATAAAATTTATAAATGGTGGATTCCTGGAATAAAAAAGAAGTAACACTTAGAATTTATACAAAATAATAATCAATTTTTGATGGGCTTAAAATTAAGGTCCATTAAAAATTTAATTCAGAGGTTAAGATTAAACAATCAGAAATAGAACTTAGGTAAATTAAGCAAAATAAAAGAATTTATTACGAAGGAATCATCTTTGCTGAATCTGATTTGAATATTTTAGAAATTGAATTTTTTTTTAATGCTGTCGGATAAAATCCAAGCAGATTAGATTAAAAATACATGAAAAGTATCGAGTTCTATTATACAAACCTCAAAACAGTTGGGAATTAATCATATGTTGAAATTAATGAGGAGGAGTTTGAGAAATTGAGTTGTAAACCAATTGTTAACGAAACAAATCAATAAAAATTGAATAATTTGTAGAATTTATCTGAGAATTACACATTCTCTAAAGAATTATAATATGATAAAATTTAAACCCTCATGCAAATATTTGAGACCAGTATAAAAAATTATTCAGAGAAACTATAATCAAAAGATAACTAAATAAAAGAATTATATTTGGAAAAATTATAACATGATGACTTTATTATTTATAATTATAAGGATGCATTTGAACCAGATGTTATTAGTGAATATTAAAATGAATTTTATTTGATAGTTAAAGATCTCTAAAATAAAAACAATTCTATTTTTACTCAATTCAATTAAGACTTCTATTCACAAGAGTAAATGATATAAGAATACAAAACATAAATTTTAGAGAACGAAAAAACAATAGATCTACTAATTAAAAAAATCAATTCAGAAAAAGACATAAAAAAGTAGAATGTAAAACAAATTGAAAAATTAAAAGATGAGATTAAGAAATATTAACAACATTTGGATTAAAAAAAGACAGCTGTGGGAAAATTAGAAGAATATTCAAATGAAGAAAAGCAAATCAAACAAGTAACAATTATAGAAAAAGAAAAATAATTTCGATAATAAATCGAAGTGCTTGATAATGAAATCTAAGAGTTTAAGAGAAATAACGAAAGCTTAAAGAATGATCATAAAACAATCTCTAAAGAGAAAGAAAATCTAATGAGATTAACAAACGAAAAGGATGAATAATTATATATTATTAAAAGGGAAAATCGCAAACTAACTGAAAACTAAGAGGAATCTAAAAAAGAGTTGGAAGAAGCATAATAAACTTTAAATAAATAGAATGATTCTTTAGGAATAATTACCGCAATATTGAAGGAAATTATATTTTTATTAGTTAACCTTTGCAAAAACATTCTAAAAGTGTTGACATCAATAAATGATCAAAACGAACAAAAAACATTTAATATGGATATTGTGAATCTTAAAATTCATCTATCTTTGATAGAATAGGGTTTGTAAGATTATCTAGAATAAAAAAAGACATTATAATAAGTTGAGGTCTATTTTTATTAGGAAGTGCAGCCATTATTAAGATATATGTGTAATAGTGTCAGAATTAAATAGGGAAAATAAATGGAAATAAGCAATTCTTAATTTTACATGATATAAATCTTTAAGGTTTTGAAGAAATTTGAGTCAATATAAGAAATTATGCCAATGCCAAAACCAATACTCTCCCGATAAACAACAGAGGTTTCTCTAAAGTAAATTAGATCTCCTTATTATCATAAATTAGGGATAAAAGAAAATCTATATAGTAAAGATTGAATTGATATTTATATTCAAAAAACATATTATAATTTATATTTATTTTTATATTCAACCATAGTATCTTATTTTTTATACATTTAAATTTCAAATTATCTATAAGCATAATAAGCATATATATTAGTTTCCTAAATATAAAATACATGTATTAATTATAAAATTATAATAAATTAAAATCTATTATGAAAAAAGAAAAAAAGCGCTAATGGAAGGGTTTGAACCTTCGACCTGTTGGTTAACAGCCAACCGCTCTGCCGACTGAGCTACATCAGCGTGTTCGATATAGATGTCTTTAATTAATAATTAAACAGCAGACCATTTGATCTTAGTTAATATAATTGCATTACAAAATCAAATTAATTATTCTTATTACTAGATTATAAATTCTTTATTCCGAATTTCAAAACTAAAATTTTTGGTATTCATAAAATAAGATTGAAATTAAGGTGATTTCTAATTCTAATTACAAATGCTTTTAGTAATTTTAATTAATAACTTATCGAATTTCTTAATCGAAGTATTTAAAAATTATTTATTCATCTATTAAGAGATTAATAATAGTTGAAAAAATATCATTTAGGTTTTATGCTTTCAAATAACAATAAAATATAAATTAAACAACAAAAATTAGTTCAAAATAAAAGTTGATTTGGAGTCTTGTATTTTTAGAGCAATTATTAGTTTAATTCAATAAATATCTATAGTCTGTAATTAAATAACAAAGAAAATTATTGATTGTTCAAGCAACATAATTCTAATTTTGAGAATGTATTAACAACATTCTTGAATGGAGGCAGGTTACCAGTCAATTGTGATACATTTGTTGACAATTATTATTTTGATATCATAGTTTTTAATTACAATTAATTTTTATAATAATGAACCTGAAAATGCCTTCGATACAAAATATTCATACTGACACTAATTCCAATGTCACTCTACCTCAAAATGACTCTATAAAAAGATAAGATTTCTCACCTACACAAATATCTCATTCATATTTATTTTCTAATCACTTATTTTAACCAACTCTTAAAATAATACCTACTCAAAAAGCTTCAATTTTTGGACATAGAAAAGAAACATTTTTAAATTCAAGCTATCGTGAAATCTCACAATGCGATATATATGGAAATCTTTAGAAATATAAAATTTAAAAGTAAGAAGACAACCTAGCTTTACTTCGCGGTAGAAAAAGATCAATAAAGTAGCATTCCCCATACACTCTTAATTAATAATCTCCAACCTCGATTAAAAATATTGAGAGCCAAAAGAAAGTCCTTGAGAATGTAATAGATGATGTAAAGCTCAATAAGATTAAATTAAAAAAACTTGAAAAATCTCCTTAAGCCAAAAACTTTCCAGTGCACAACTTTTACTACCTTAAAAATATGAAATATATCTACCCTTTTTAAGTTGAAAAATCTGTTAAAGAATTGATGAGGCCGTTCCATTAATAAAGAGATAATTTGCTGTCTCCAATTTAAACTGAGAGAAGTTTAATTTATCCTTAGAGACCATAAATTTAGAGACCAAAAGAGTTTTTGGAGAAGTTAAAAAATAGATTATTGAAAAGAAAAAAAACGATGTACTTGCCTCAAGCATAGAGCCAGGAAGACCCAATACAGAGAAAGCTGAAACACTTTTAAAAAAGCATATTTGAAAATCAATGCTTACATACTATATACATTCGTCCATCAGCAATTAGAATATAAAAGTATAGAATTTAGGATAATAAAAATGAAAGCATTTTGAAAAGATGTTTGAGCTATAGATGGTGGTGGTAGGAAGCAGATGAGGCTGATGAGGAAGTACAGTTACTATGGAGTTGTTAAGCTTCGAGTTCTTTTTTGAGTAAATAAAGATCTAGACATATAAGTGATAAAATTGAGTTTCAACCTTTTGAATAGATTTTAAAGATATGTGATAGTGTGGAAGATTAAATGAAATTCGCAATTGAACAAAAACTGTGTTTATTATCTCCTTATATAAAAATACATAATCATTTAGATGTGATAGATCCATTGTGGACAAAGAAGAACTTGATTAGTAGATTTTAAAAATATTGCACTTTAACAAATCAAAATGATAGCGATTTCCTTCCATTTTCAATAATTGTAAATAATTTAGGAGAAGAATCCTTTTATGAATTTATTAGAAATTATAAAACTTCAACTGAGATTTGGATCGTTTTGAAATGCCAGAATGAGGGGGAGAGAATTTAGTTATGTGAAAATACTAAGAGTGTATATAACTTTATTCACAAAGAGTACTCGACGCCAAGTAGAAAATAATAAAGTTTTATTGTCTAATAATACATAAGATCGTTTGTATATCAATAAATAAAATTAGATTTATGCTTCTATTTACTGATAGCCCAAATAAATGGGATAGTGAGAGCATATTTATTTGAGTAATTTTATGGGGAATAATCATAAATAAATTTCTCCCCATTCGAAAAGGATCTGTTGTTTAAATCAAATGAATAATTCAATGATAATTATAATTCTGATAAGATTCAGATGAAAACTGTTTTAGAATATTTTGATGATTGTAGAGTGGATTATGATTATAAAATCCTTCCTGAAATAAAAATGATTGTATGTGAATATATTAGATCAGTGTTCACTCAAATGCCAGTCAAAGATCACAATTTTGAAGTATTCATTAAATAAGACTTAGTTACTTTAAGTTAAAATATTAATTGATAACCAATTTAAACCATGGTTAATTGATGTCAAACCTACAACAGAATTTGATTTAAGGACAGATTTCATGAGAGACTATGCTTAATAACTCATTGATAATGCACTGTAACTTTCTGTTGATGTTTTATTTCCATCCCCATCTATTTGGCCTAAAGACAAAAGAAGATTAATTGATATATATTCTGAACAGAATGATTTTGCTGTTGTTTTTGATTCAAGAATGGATGGTTAAGGTTTAAAATCATTGTTCGAAGAAAAATAACCTGAAACTATTAAGGATGATGAATTTTGACTCAAAATTTTCTTATATTATTGAGATATGTAAACTAAAAGTAATCTAATCATTTTCCAAACATCATTAATTATCTTACATTATGGTTGGTCAGACAAAACCTTACACACTTTCCTGAATGTACACTTATACTTCTTTTTTGACTTGTCTATAATTCATCTTTTGAACTTTGGTTTTTTAAAATTCCCTTCTTAAAAAAACTACTTCTACTTTCTCTTCTTGTAGTTGTTTGAGTGCCTTGTGTTTCTCCTTAATTTAGTTTAGTTTGAGAACAATTTTTAACTTTGATTTTTTTTTCACCTACAGATCGTAATTAGGAGTCAATCTTGAAATCTAATGGGAAGTGATCTATGGTTCTTGATCTCAAGTTCCTCTCTTCATCTAACACTAATGATTTTTTATCAGTTACACTCATTCCCTGTATTGTTTGTGTATGAATAGAACATTTTTCTAGCTTTTAATTAAATACTTTATCTAAATAATTCTTAGTTTTTATTAAAATTTCATAATTTGCCATCATGGATTTATGAGGAGGTGTTTCTAATTAATTTAAATCTTATTCAAAAGTGTTTACTAACCTATGTGATTTTTTCATAATTTTTTATATAAATTTTAACATATAATAAATCAATATTATCATATCAAAAATAGTAAGTCATACGGCATCAGTTTCTACTTAAGTATATTATTCTTTCAGTCTATTTTGCAATCCTGCAAAGTTTTTAATGGGATTCCTCCTATTTAATACACACTATTACCCATCTTTGTCTTTTATTGTTGAGTTTTCTTTCATCCCCTAAATTAAATCCTACTTGCACACTTCAATAAAATATTGCATAACACTTTCTCTAGTGTTAATATCGTCATCATTGTCGTATGTTTCTTATAGTAATTGTTAATATTCTAGTTTTATGCCAAGCTGATTATCAGTAAAGATTGGAAATTTATATTTTACTTTTGGGTCCTTCTAAGACTCCAACTCTAAAAAATGGTATGGCCTCTTTTTCTATGACACTGTAGTTACTTATTTTGATTATTAAAATGTATTCCAACTTTGTTTTTTAGGTTGAACATTTTCTTTGTTTATTGTCATATTAAAGAGAGGTAAATGAGAAACACTTGGAGGCTTAGGGAAAGGGTACATAAACAGTGAAGTTTTTCTTCTATCAGCTGAAAGTGACTAGGATTTGGGTGGAGACACGCTCATTTATTAGCAAATTTGGCGCAAATATATTTTGAATTTAAAATATTTCAATTTAAAAATTTAGTTATATGAAAGCAAACTTAATCTTTATTTCCTAAATCTTAAGTTTAAGTTGGTATTTCTACTAAATTCTATTTGGATTATATAGGATTTTCTTTTTCTAATATTTTTTAATTAAAATATAATAATAATTAATAGATAATAGCATTATTTTATGATAAATCAGATCTTATATTTGTTGAAATAATGATAAATCTATTACTTAATTTAGGAATAAAATTTTAAATTGTTGCTGTTGTAAATATTGCTCATTTTTACTAGAATCTAAGAATTCAAAAATATTCTATTTAGCCTACAGACTTGATATTTGATTACACATTTGAAAAAGGATTAAACTACGGTAAAAGATCAAAAAAAGTATAAAATACAGTAATTAGATACAGCATTCATCTTGATAGTTTTCATATTTGGAAGTAAAAAGATGGTTGGGGTTAAAATACGATATCCTAACAATATTATCTTTAATGGTAACTAATGACTTTATGATCAAAATAATTTAGAATGATTTTTTTCAATCTATTAATTATTAATATTTTTTATGTCCAAAAGTTTTTAGATGGGTGAAAAGGCTGAGTTCTTGGTAAAATTACTTGATGGGCTCAAAATCGAACTATAAAAAATTAATTAAAACACTCAAGTTAGGAAGGCAAAAATATTGACCTACAATAAAGGATATATATAATATGTGAATAAAAATGAATTTCTAGCTTTGTAAAAAGCATAGTCGACATCAACATTAAATAAGGAAGAATTTATTTATAATCATGGCTATTTAGTATACAAAGCTGGGGTGAATATTAAAGCTTTTAACTATGAAGAAAATCAAATTGAGTGTGGGTGGAATAAATATTAGCAAAATGTATACTATATTATTCTCAAATTCAATATAAAACACAAAGTAATATATAATCCAGTTCCAGAAGTATAAAAAAAACAAAAAAAAAAAACAAAAGACAATCCTTTAAAGAATGTTACTTGGTATTTTGAAGTGTAACTAAAGAGTGAAATAACAAAAATCTAGACGAGATTAATTGAAATTGAAGAATATAATAAGAGATTAGAAAAACTTAAGGCCTGTGAAAAATTTGCTAATAAGTTTGAGTAAATGGAGATCGAGATTCAAGATTCAGAAATGTTATTATAAGAGTTAGAAAAAAATCAAATAGAAATTCAGTTTTTGGGATATATTTCTAATAAACTAGAGAATAATACTAATAGGAAAATAATTACAGCAGATATAGCAGCTCGTTCTTTATATCTTTATATGAGTAATTTAAATGAATATAAGTTGAATAAAATGAGTATGATTGAATAAATGATAAAAGCTCTTTATAAAGATAAATAGAGAAATTTTAATTAATAAGTAATATAAATTGCAAGAAACAAGTTTGAATCTAATTTAGAGGCTTAAAATTTTGAGATATCTGATGTTTTATTTTTGAATGCTTTGATGTTTAATTTTCAATTTAGTATTGAACTTGATGTTAAGAATTTACTTGATTATCAGAGTTTTTTTTCATCATTAATTTTTAAATCTCTTGAAAATACAGAAAGTACTTAAATCATCAGGTTTCATAATAATGATAATGATGATGAGATGAAATTTATGAATTATAAAAATTTCCAAACTTTTTCAAAAAAACCAGAAAATTTACATGATGTTAACAAATATTGTGTTGGGCTATTTGGAGAGGAAAATTAATATTTAGGGATGTTTTATTTAGAATTATACAAATAAAAGCCAAAGAAATAATATTTAGAGAAAGCAATAACCCTTTTCGAAAAAAACTTAAAGAATTCTCATCCCTTACTAAAAGAGGCATGCTCTTTATCTAAGAAGGAAGAATCAATCCAAAAAAGTACCCAATTACTTAGTTAACACATGAATATCACAATTTCTCATTAAACATCAAGCACTCCATAACAAGTAAATGTCTAATAAAGTGCTTAAAATTTGAAAACATAAAACTCTTTCACAGAAAAAAAAAAAACAATTAAAATTACTGAATATAATCTTCAAAATGACAACTAACATGCCATTTCTATAAACAGTAATAATAATCAAAAAATTATTCAAACTGAAGAAATATAAATTATAGATATAATGGATGATGTTGTAAAATCACCATAATCAGAACCAAAATACTTTTAATTTAAAAGTTCTGAAAAAACAAACTCAACTGCAATTTCAGAATCGCATTAATCTGCTGATAAACTCTCATATTAAATTGCTGAAGAAAATTATAATAAGGAACAATATATATCTGCTTTATAAGCGATTGATAGCATTTAACATAAAACAAAAATGGTGTTAAGATTAGGATTTTAGATCGAAAAAAAATTAAATGATGGTTAAAATTAATACTATTCTGAAAAGCTCTTAAAGAATTATCTCATCTATGGTTGTTGTGTTTAAGATTTTAAAGATATAGAAGAAATATTGTAATTACAATTCAAATAATATATTTATGATGAATAGATTTCTTTTCAAAATGACTAATGGAAGCCCATTTTAATTTAGTTGAAAAGTCGTAAACTTTCAACAGAAAGAATTTAAATTTTGGATTCAATAGTAATGGAGATAAGATATTACAAATATGATGACATCAAAAAGTATTTCAAAAGTGTAATTGAAAAATTGAAAAATTTTTCGAAAGATAAAATGGATAATGTTTAAGATCAATTTTAACTCATTTCTAAAATTTACTAAACTTCTTAAACGCATTGAAATCTGCATTAATTAGAGCATTATCAGTTATTTTATAAATATATAAAATTGATTAAATATATGATATTTTTTCCATTAACAAGAAATTAACTATTTAATAGTTATTTATAAGAAATAATTAATATTTTTTGTTTTAGATCATAGTGACACAGGATAATGTTGTAAGACAAAAATTAATAAAATAATAACAAATCTCTTTAGACCAACTTCTTTAAGTAATTGTTGTATGTATAATAGTATTATGTATTTAATTATGTAAGACTTTTAAACTTCAAAATTTTTTGTGATAATTTCATCATTTTTTGTATTTTGTTAGTATTGTTATTTAAATTTTGGTTTAAAGATCAAATACATTTGGAATGATTCAACTGTTGATGTATTTAATTTGATGCTTAAGTATTTGCTAGTATTTTATTTTTAGATACTTTACCATAACAATTAATGTAATAAATATTGGATTTAACAAGTATCTACTAGTTTTTTATTTATCTCTTGGGGTTGTAATTTTTTCTATAATTTTGATCATAGTACTAATATATTTTATTAGAAATTCGAGCTTTTAGAAATTACCATTATCAATTCTCTAATATTTACTTTATATAATATTAACTTTTGGATATTGGCCTATCATTAGAATGCAATTTGGATTGTTGGCCTGCTAATATAATAAGTCAGGCAAATTTGTCATGATGTTTGAAACTAAATAGGAGTGCTGGACATCTAACTACACAATTCACGCTATCATTGGAATTATTGGTTTAATAATAACAATACTTTTTACACTTTTAATTTCCTACTTTCTATTCTAATAGAAGTTTTCAAAAAAGAATGCAATTGCAATGAAAAATAGTCATGCATAGGTTACTTTATTAGTCTATATAATTGTTTAAATAATGGTGTATTAAATAATTCCTACTCCTTAATATACAGTATTGATAATAATAGTGTATTTCATACTGAGTATAATTTATTTTGAGAAAGTACATATACAAAAGCCATTTCACCATTAAATTATCTAAAAAATGATGTCTATATTTTCAGCCATAAATTTTTGGATAATTTTAATGATGCTATACTCATTCGTTTTGGAGGAAAATTTATTAAAAAATGGTCTAAAAATTCTAATATTAGGCATTCCATTAATTTGTGGAATAATAGTATCATCTTAATCGAATTAGATTGATTTGTTTCGAATTAATTTTTATAAGGCTAAAAATGGAACTGAAATTTCATAATTATGCATTTATTTACTGGAATTATTGAAGAATTGGGAGAATAATCAAAAATCTGAATTGGTATTGCAAAGCTATTTAGAGATTCATAGATTATCTTGTTAAAGAGCAGATTGTTACTCAAAAGTTTCGTCAACGATAAAATTGAAGGCAAATACAAATTTTTAAGAGTATGTTGTAATCCATTTGATAAATTAAATTTTTGAAGACGGAATAAGACATTTCCCTGATGATATTGATTTGAGATTAAACTTTGTTTTCTTTTTAATTGATTATAGAAAGTAATATTCGCAAGCCTTATAAGAGATATCTATTTCAGAATAATTTGTTACATCATATGCACAAAAGTTTTAATTGTTCTTTTACAAGAGGTAAATCTAAGAGGTTCTAACTGATTCATAATCCATATTATAATTTGATCATTTTGCAGAAGCAAATTTTCACAAGATGGAGAAAGAATTTTATCAAAAAATGGAGAAAATTACCATTACGTTTATTGAATTTTGGAATTAATTACTAGAGGAAATACCAGACATTTATAAATTAATCTAACTAGGATATTTGTTATTAAACAAAAGATAAGAAATAGAATAAGATTATCGTAGAGTTAGCTAACAGAATCGAAGAGCAACAAAGTTAAAGCACATCTATTAAAAATTTACAGAACTAATTCAAAGTGACATTAGTTCTAAGACATTATAATTTGAATTAAATAATCAATAAGTTTAATGCTTGTAAATTGAGGAAATAGAAGAAATTAGTAACTAACCTGATCCAATCATTGTTATTTAATCACATCTTGGTTAAGAGTCAAGGATTATGAATATCAATAAGTCCTTCTGCAGTTTGTTAGGGTATTCAAAGACAGACTTGATAAATAGAACTCTTAATGAAATAATGCCTGATATGTAATAATTCAGTTAATTTGATTAGCTATACATTCAAACATAATTAATGTATTGAAAACTATTTGATCCATAAAATATCAGATTCAAATTAGCAATTAATAAAATCTTGTCAGGTTTACATCAAGAAGAAAAACAAATACATCCTTCCAGTACATCTAAAGGTAAAATTATTGGAGGTGCATCATAATGAATTAATTTTATTAGGTATTTTAGATTACAGTTTTCAATAGAACAATCAATGCTATATCATATCATCTCCAGAAGGAAATATCACTGATTTGTCCTCTAACTGCATATCATTTTTAGGAATTGATCTATAATCAATAACACTGAATTAAATATTGATTTCAGATTTATTCCCAGGAATTTTCAAAAATAATTAAGTTTTAAATAAGTTAGGGTTTTGCATAACCTATAATGATCATTTATAAATTCTAAAGAATAGTAAAAGATTAAAATAATCTATTCATTCAACATCTTCTTACATTCCAAAAACAAATTTCAACTGTATCATTAATTATATTGAATATAAATGTTTACGAGAAGAATAAGATCTTAAACACGGCTTCGTGATAAGATTGGAACAAATAAAGACTTAATTGCAATGCAAATAGGAATGTTTGATTCAATAAGATACCATAAGAAGTCCAGGTCCAAAAATAATAGGATTTTTCAGGTTTGCTCAAAGATCTTTGACTTATAAAAGTAATAAATATTGAATATTTTAAGTGGAAAACATAAGATTCAATAAATTAGATAGTTTGAATAATGACACTCTGATAATGGAAAATTCTTTAAATTTGTCTAAGTTAATGGGATGTATGAGAATGTCAAGACATTTTAAGACATTGATGAAACCTAATTATGGTGAAGGAATTAGGATAAAGAGATTAATAGAAAATCAAATTTGTGATATTGAAGATAATTTGGTATAAGATGGCAAACTGAAAGAAGAAGATCAAGACGATGAGGGAGAAAATGAAGATAATCAAGAAAGTGATATATTTAGCTAGAGGGATACACTTTAATCTTAGTTCTTTTAAAAGAGTTTAATTAAAAAGGAATTACAAGAGAAACCAATCTCATTTAAAATTAAAATGTCAAGTCGGGTAATTCACTCACTTTTAATTGTATTATTGCTATTGCAAATCTTATCTTATACTTTTAATATTAAAAACGAATAAGAATTACTAAGTAATCTGCCCCTAATCAATCAAGTTAATTAAAGAATGTCAAATATATTCATGATTTAATCAATTCTTTAAGACATTCGCTCTATAAATTTACACTACTTGGTCAATACATCAAATATATCTTAAGTATTGAAACAAAATTTGGAAATGCTAGGACTTGAAATACAATCACTTAAGTTAGTGTAAAATGATCTATCTTCAATAAAAGTAGATATTGCAGATTAGTATAGATAACAAAATTCTAAATACTATGAAAAGATAATAGTGATGGTTGACATTTATGGAAATGTATCCTATTTCACCTTTAATGAAGCAATAGAGCAGTTAATATCTAAAACAACAGCATTATTAAATAGTGATTTATCCTAATTTGATTATTCGAAACCAGATTTCTTTTATTTTATTTATAATTCATTAAATTATATAATATGGAATGGGAGAATAGCTGAAACTTATTATTGGTCATATTTACAAACCTTGGTTGATACTATAGTTAATAGTGAAATATTGTATTTTCTATTGAATACATGTATGTTGTTTTCATTAACTATTTTGATATTTTTATTTTTGAATTAGATTTAAAAGGAAACTAATTAGATAGTTTAAGCTTTGTTATTTTTAAAAGAATCAAGCATCAAGGAATAGATTGTAAATTGTGAAAATCTTTTAGTTATTTTACAATCTGAAGATTTAGAGGATGTAATTAATTAAATTATACTTCATAGCAAGATAATTTATAAATAGAGAATGAGGATAATAATAAAGAGAAAAAGGATGTCTAAAGTAAAAAAATAAAAAAGTTTAAATATTCAGGATCTCAATTATCAAAGTAATTTGTGAAAACTGCGTTTATTGCTATACTCTTCTAATTATTTTACATTTACACATTCATAGACAGCAAAATTGTCTCAGATGAATATCATTAGTTGATGCCTATAATTAATTAGACATCTATAGTTGAAAGTTATTATAGATTGGGTGATAACTTTATCAGAGAATTGTTTGTCAATCCTAACATCAGTATCTTAAATACTCCTGATAACTAGGCGACCATCTTTGGATATCTTGAACTCTTATATAATTTAAATGCTGAACTAGTGGAAATCAATAACCAATATCAAAATCTGTTGGAATTAGAATATTAAATTGCTTTTAATGAGATTTATTTTATGAATCCCTGCTTACACTTATATAGGAATCAATCATAAGTGGAATGTGAGAACTTTGAAGATGGGATTCTAATAGAGGGATTATCAATTGGAATTATAAAATATATTGAAGATTTAAGAACTTTCTTATAAAGTTATCAATAATTTGATGAACTTTAAAATTATAATTTGGAATACAAATTTAGTGATGTCAAATTGATAAATTACGCATTAAATCTACTGAATACAAAACGAGGTTCGGATATTCGAACAATGTAATAAAAATACTTGAGATCAGCCTAGACTTATTTAAATGATTATCTGTTTTCAAACATTACTTCAACTTTTTAGGGACTGGAATTAAGAAAGACAATCCTTTTCACGTGCTTCTGCTTCATGATATTGATAGTTATCACGATGATTTGGTTACCTACTTGCCGTTATTAGATATAGAACTTAATTCAGATAAGAGGCATGCTGACATTTCTGACTTCAAGAATGCTCAATATGTATCTATTTATATATTTACAAAAATCCAATTAGGTCCAAGCAAATCGTGTTACATCTGAAACAGCAAGGGATGGTTTGATTAATGAGATATTATAAATGTATAATAAATGAAATTAATAATGGATATGGTGTTTGCGTTTATGACTTTATTAAACAATTCTGAATAAAGATTAACTTTTAGGATTATATTTGAAATTCTGAAAAAGTGGTGTATAAATAAATTTTGATTTTAATTAAATAATGGAAGCTGAATCTGAAGTACTAAAAAAACTAATAAACAATACTAAATATAAGTTATTTAAGTATTAAAATCATTGATTTAGTACAGTGTAGTGTATTTAATATTGAAGAGACAATAGTATCCTCTAAATGTAGCAATAATCTCAACTATTATATAAATGGCATAGCTTCTTTATTTTTCATTTCAAGAACAGATCCGATATGTTTGGTGTTCTGAAAATTCGACAAAATGGGTAAATTACATTTTGGAGTATAAATATTGGTTCAAAATAGATTTTTTACTTTAATGAAATATGCAGAAAATACAAGCTTCACTATATATTTAATTGTGTTTTACATATGTGTCGCAATAGTTTAGATTACAGTCATTTTGATTGTCCTTTTAGCAGTTTTGGAATATAATCACACAGCGACATCGATTCCATATCAAATATTAAGAGTAACTTTGGCAATACTAATGACAATAGGATTTGAACCAATCTCAAGGATTTTAGTTGGCGTAATTAATTAACTAAACAATAGTATTTATCATGTGAATCAGATGATCGCGGCATTCTCATGATGAGATATATTTCAAATTAATAGTGTTGGGTGAGTGAGTATGAATTGCATGCAGTAATTGCAATTCTTACATTCGTAGAATATTTGGTTATGGTGATAATATTTGCCTAGATATGCATAGAGTCCAAAGAAGTTGAATAGAATACACTAGCATAAAAGCAAGGCCAAACAATGCTCTATTATTATCTGTTTATAATAGTCTCCTTGGTCGCATATTCAACTTTGCAGCAACCCAAATTTACTGTAATAGTGATCTTAGTTTAATTGGCTACTTCATATGTATTCTTCTATAAACTTAACAATCATGGTCCCTTTTACAATTCGAAAATATAAAAGATTTGGTCAATAACAGCTGGGATTAATTTTTGGACTTAGTTTATGTTGTTGTATGCTTACATTTTGGAAGGATAATTTATATCGAAGACTTTCACAATTTGGCTATTTGGTGTTCCCTTTATATTTGCAATTTTGGCAATGAGGGAGTTAAGTTATGTAGATTTGGTAACTGCATGTATGAAATCAACAGAAAATGGTTTGGAAACTGTTTAAATTTGCACATACATTTTAGCATTGAACACTCAAAGTGAAACTAATTAAAAATCATAGATTCTGTTGGCAGGTTTCATTGAATTTCATAAATAATCTTGCAGTAAACCTGATTGTGTTTTATTATCGAATCATAAGAAGAAAAACAAAAGTGTGAATGTATTTAAAGATAGGAAGTAGCAGATAATTTAACTGGTCAATTAAAGTTATTTGGATGGTTTGGAACTATTCCCAGAATGTGCAGATCTTAAAATATCCTATGCGTATTTTCTATTGGATAAAATGTATCTTAAGCAATAGGCACTTAATCAACTAAATTTGGCAGAAAGTTGCGATCCAAGTTTTGATCAATAATTCTTCATTTATAGATACAAGAGAATCATAGAAGAGGAGATTTAGAAGCAATAATAATAACATAACAATAACAATAACAATAAGAAGGTTGATATAATCACTGAGAAAACTTTAAAAGCTGAAATCAAAAGTCTTCATTACTTAATTGAAGATTCATGTATGGAATATTTATACTTTTGGTCTCAATTGCAAGAAGAAGTTCCAAATCTCAGAGTGTTACATGAACATGGATAGAAAATAATAAAGTCAGTGGACAAAGTAGAACAGTAATGGAATAAAATCTTAGAGATCGACTCCTATGAGATTAACACATATAGACTATTGAGTAAATATTACGAAATGATTGTGCATGATGAGTAAATTGCTTTGGATCTGTTGCTGCAAATGATTAAGAAATAAAAGTACAATACAAAAGGAAATGAATTCTTTGAAGATCTCTCCAGTAATGGAGATCCTCTAATTGTGATGTAAGTATCTGTAGGACATCCAACTGTTATTTTGAATGTGAACAAAGCAGCATATAGTTTGTTGGGTTTCTCAAAAACTGATTTAATCAATCGAAATATTGATGTTATACTACCATCCATGTAAAATTAAATAATCTAATTATTAGTTATGTAGATTACCATATTTAATTGGTTGATTTCATCTTTGAAAAACAGACTGGAGATGTCAATTAGGTCGATAAATTCGAAGAGAGACTTATGATGCTCAAAAATAAGTAGAACTTTATCATCCCTTGTTATTCCCAATCCTAAATCATGAATACTGTCAATGGATATATCATGACAAGTAGATTGAGACAGGATGTTCATTATAAACCAAAGTGCTATATTTTAACTGATATTCATGGAAAAATCTTGAATGTTTCATCTTCATGCCTTCAAATTTTGAAATGGGATTAGAAATTCCTCCATTTGAATGATTTCAACGTTTAGAAATTCTTTCCTGAATTATTATTGAATAGGGAAGACTATATAAGCAAACCAACACTTATAAACTATTAATTCCTGTGCTCTTCCTCAAGAGGATCCTTATCAAAAGACGATTCGATTGATGGAGTTGAAGATAAAACCTTTAATTGTTCTCTCTTCCTTATCGAAACACCCTATGCTAATCAAAACGATGATTTATATCAGATATATGGCTATGTGGTTAAATTGGAATAATACAATACTGAAATAATCCAATATCCTTTATTACTTAAAAATAGGAAACTATCTAAAGTATTTAAATTCTATGTTGCTTCAAAAACCTATTAATGTAATCATTTCATATCTATTTTTAGTGGAAAATGCTGATCCTGATCACACAAATAATGACTCTTTGATTGACAAAAGTATTATTTGGGAAGAACCTTAAAAATTATACCTATTCAGCCAACACAGTAATACGAGCAGTAAGAAGGTGTATTCCTAATCCAAGCATTCCTTAGTAAAACAGAGAGTATACGGGGCTGATATTAAGACTATGAGATATTTTGACAATAAGATTATTGAAATAGAAGAGGAATCTATGGATGAGAGTGAGTTTTCTGAGAAAAAATAAAATAAATTAAATGGAGATGATGAAAACGAATTGGATAAATAGACTAAAATTGAATAGAGAAGTTTGTAAATTACTTCCAGGACTGGATTAATCAAAGTAATCAGCAATTCTAAACTACCTTTAATTATGTTAAAATTAGGAATCTGTATCAGTTTATTATTCTTAACTGTTCTAGTAATATCCATTGCTATGTTTATATTGCTTAATCAAACCTAAGGAAATATCGTTCAAGCCTTAAAGTTATTAATTGCTAACAATCTCAGATTATGCAGTTTCATCAAAATGCAATCCAACCTTTAAGATCTTAAGTTTACCAATTTTGAGATAGTCCCTTATACTTAATCAACTGTAAATGATAATTTTGAGAACATTAACAGATAAGAACTTGCGACAGAATTAAATTACACCATGGATTATTAAACAACCTTATAGGGCGAAGAAATTAATCTGATTGGAGAATACGAGTAATATCAGAATGCTTTCAAAAATTCAAGGATTACTATGAAGTAAGTTACTGGAGAGACCCAGAGTTTCTTATTTGAAGAGGTGATTTAATAACTAATATCTAAAGCAATTTCATTAAACTCAAGCAGTTTAACGAGTTTTAATGACTAGAATGAAGATTATTATTATTTCAATGAGAACCTCTTTAATTCAGTTCTATTGAATCAGCATATGGCTCAAGATTATTACTATTACAATATCATATATTAGACTGATCTATTAGATCAACAATAAGTCTATTTCTCATTAACACAATTGTTTGTGACTTTGTTCACATACTGTATCATTTAGATATTCTTGAATAAACATTAGAAATATTTAAGAGAGATCTTATCTTTATTTATGGAATTAGATGAAAAGACAGTTAAGAGGTTTGTAAAGAATGCTTAAGAATTTTTAAGTGCTTTGCGTTTGGCTGAGGATAGATAATTGGATGAGATAGAGGAAGAATAAGAAGTCGAGGAAGATCATTTCGATATGTCTTCTTTTAATAAAAAGAAGAAGAAGAAACAGAACTTTTCAACTAAAGAAGTTAAGAAGAACATCATTTATGTGTCCATGGTTTTGATATGCTACGCTTTCTTTTTTTCTTATATTTTCATTTCCACAAATGTAAATAATTAATCATAATTTAACTTAGACAATAATATCGTAGACTGAGTAATTGGCTCCTTTGTTGAACATCACATCCATAGCAGCTTCCTAATATAGTTTAATTGACAACATAATGAGAGAAGCCTTTTGGAACCAATCCAAAGTTATTTTGAATTTGAATGCTTTCACAGCCTTATCATATATGTAGAATGTACTCTATGAGATGGATGCCGAATCTCATCAATTGAATCAGTAGAACTCGGATGTTTTGGATGAAGTTTATAAGGTGGCTTTCAATCAGATTTATATTCTGAATCCGTGTTTGATAATAGATGAATCTTATGATGAATCAAGTGTTTGCTCGTAGTTTGATGATGGCATTCTATTATAGGGACTATCGTTGGGAGTGACCAAATTCTTAGAGACCATTAAATATTTTTTATCTCTCTACAAAGCTTATTTGCCATAGTATGAGTACACATCTTTAACTTACAATCTATCGACAGACCCCTAATTAAATTATACTTATAATCTACTCAACTAGGACGGCCTAAATTCAAATAGAATCTTTTCAAAGGTGTACATGAAGCAGCTGCAGATTTATCTGACTAATATATTGCAAAGTTCATTGAATAGCCATTTCGAAGACTTACAATTACAGTTTATTTCAACATTTCTTAGCTTCTTATTGTTATCTATAGTCTTGTACTTTCTGATGTGGATTCCTCGACTCTAAAAGAACCAAAAAGAAATATATCAGAATAGGTTAATGCTAGCATTCATTCCAGTAAAGAAATTAGATCAGATAGAGCCAATAAAAAATTATATCAAAAAATATCAACAACAAGAATGATTTAATATATATTTTTATTTATTTTTATTGGATCTCCAAATATTGTTGAGTCTGGAATCATTTACATTTGAAGCAACAATTCCATTTAACTTAATAAATAATGAATTGATTCATTTATATTATAATACTAATCAGAATTCCTATTATTGATGTTAGACTTCTATTCTTGAGAATCTCTCCTCGACAATCTCCTCGTGATTTTCTAAATTAAACTGTTCTAACCTATCTTGTTTAATGATATCAATAGCATCATCAAAAACTAGACAGATGAGAGGCTTATTAACAGTGAAATCACTCTCTCTTGGTGGTACGTAACTAATCGATATACTGATGATGACCATACCAATAATCTCTGTATCTTTCAATTCCTTCGCCATCATCTGAGATGCAACTTTGGATTTCTCCCTTTATGATGTACCCTCCGAACATAAACTCCACGTTAGAATGAACATCAAACTTTTTGAATTGTGTCTTCTACCTCAAAAACTATCCCAATCTCTTTGCCTCCATCTAAGCCAATGGACCTGCCTGAGATTCAAATAATTTGATTAAGTATTCTATTCAATAGAAACAATCTCTTACCAATGGAATTTATGTACATCTTTTATTCAAATACTTCAGACTTCTACATCAATGATTTGAGCACATTCAAATTTAGAGAGTGCAAGACAGTCTCAGAGGCAGCTCTAGCGGTGGTCATGCATTTGCCATCTCCAATTAAATTTGCATATGAAAGCAAAGAACCCAATCCCTTTTTCAATATGTGTGTGCCAACCTCATCATCTACGGTACCTTTTTAAACAATGTAGATGTTTTGACAAGTCATGCCTTTTTCATAAACGATTTCATCTTGCTGATATCTCTTTTCATAGGTGGATTTGACAATGGTATCCAATTCTTCCTTTGGCACTCCTGCGAATATAGGGAACTCCATAGCGAAGGCATGGAAGGTTGGGATTTACCAATCGAAGGAATGATTTTCAAGTTCAACCAAACGAGCATCAATATTGGCCTTGAGAGAATTGAATTCCTTATCATCGACCAATCCATTCTTTTGATTCTCTTCCAAATGATGTCTTTAATGCATTAGAACTGTGTGAGATGCTCTTTTGGTTTGAATGGCTCTGATGACTTCAGGGAAGGTGTCATTCAAACTTCCCAAATAGATCTCAGCCTTAGTGATGTCATTCCTTAGTTCATCCATAATTAATTTGACTGCTCCCTTGTTCATGGGCATATGCTATTGCAAGGTGATGACTTCGGAAGCACATGAGATGAATGTGGTAGTCACATCATAGACGAATCCTAGATGTTTGGTGATATACTATTAAGCATATCCGCCTAAGAAGGTCCATTCTTTGGCTTTGAAGAAGTACTTGATGCTGCTGAAACTAGTGAAACTTTGGAACAATTATTCCCAGATGTTGAGAATGGAACCTGTGTGATCAAGAGCGACATCACTAGATTCAACAAGCAATCTCACTGAATCCTCATCGCATTGGCCATGCTCAAATTTTGAATAATAGAGACCCTTGAGGATTCTCAACACTCTGTATCTGACTTCTCCAAATGTTTCTGAGTCAGACAATCCTTCGAATGATATTATACTAATATTTCCACCTTGAATTTACTTGATCTCAGTTTCCAATTGGACAACCTCTTGGAGGTACTCTTGAGATCCAACAAGTGCCTTGACTTGATTCCAATCAGCCATAGCATAATGTTCATCCCCTTCCAATTCCTTTATGGTATCCTCCTGATTCACGATCATGTCAGTCAAATAACGTTTATAGACTTTCTTCTTGATGACAGGATTTTCAATCATATTTAGATAGTTAACAAGGGCCTTGCAAGTAGTACCATTAACCAGGTTCGTTAGAGCAGCCATTCCAGCTGTAAAGAACACAGATAGATGTCTGAATCTAGGAGGCAGATCTTAATCGCATCCAACCATCAATGAAAGAGTCAATCCCAAGGCGCCTCTTAAACCTCCATAGACGAAGACTATCAATTCTGGCTACGACATTGGGTATCCATATTTCTTAAGTAACGGCCAAAATGATATAACCATGAGATATCTACAGATGATCATGAAGAAGTAGAAAACTATCATCCTAAAGTAATCAGAAGTGTAAATATATCGTTCTTCGATGACTTCAGTTCCTACTATCATGCCAACCAACAAAAACACTGTGGTATCACATGAGTACTATACAAAACTCCACACAGTATGAACAGCATGCTCACTTTCTGACCTAATTCTAGTTTTGCCAAAGGCACTCCAAAACAAACCTAATGATACAACAGCTAACAATCCACTAGTCTTGAAGAAACAAAATTCAGCCCAATAGAATGTAAGATAAGTAAATACAAATGTCAACCAACCTACTTCAACATCATCTCCTACTATTCTTCTGGCCCACAATGCTCCGAAGAATCCGACCACTACTCCCAGAACTGGACCAACAATGGAATTTCTACAGAAATTCAATATTACTCCGCCAAAGGTTACTCCACCTCCTATGCCTGCTGCAGCCTTGGATAATTTATTGAAGAATATGAAAAAGACCATAGCCACTCCATCGTTGAGTAATGCTTCTCCTTCAATAAGATGATTGAATGCTGCACTGGCTCCCAACTCTTTCAACAAGGCAACAACTGCCACGGGATCAGTGGCTGAGAGCACTGAACCAAGGGTGAAGGCCTAATACCAATTCATGTCTTCATCACTATAAAAGAGGAACAATTTGAATACAATTCCTAAAAGGATGGCACCCTAAAGTATATAAATAGATATTTACCCAACCCACTCCAGGTCCTGCCAGAAGCAAGATATTTACCATTTAGTATTTGAACACATACCAATCGCAGTTGAATGCCGATTCAAAAAGCAACACAGGAATAAAAACATAGACAATTAAATGCGGATGCATATGGCTTAGTATACTTGCACTTTCTCCTAAATATCCAAGTGAGCTCTACAACAATCCTATCAATAACCCACAAGCCAGGACCATGGGAGAATAAGGGAATCTACATCATAATCTTGTTTACTTTGTTTTTTTGTTCACCTCTCTCAAAGTAAGTCCCAAAAGAATGCCAAGAGTAAGCAAGTAAGCCACATTAGCAGACTCTTCCATTTTCTCCTCATCTCTAAACAAGGAGTCTCGATGCATAACATTTTCTCCCTCAGAACGAGTATCTTCTGCTTCCATTAATTATTTATTTTTATATTTATGTATCACGTTAATTAAACATAATTATATAAATGTCTGAATCATTTGATTTGCAAAAGCTTTCTGATTTCCTCAGCAGACAAGGTCTCCTTCTTGACCAACTCAGTAGCCAACGCTTTAAGCTTATTTTCATTGGATTTCAGCAAAGTCTTAACTCGGGCATACGATTCCTTGCTCTAAATATAAGATATACCTCCAGAATCTTCTTCACCTCCATATCAACCATGTAATCAAACTAATCGCTAGTTTTGACTCTGTCTCCTTGGATAGAAATCAGGGAAATCTTATCATCCATTCCTAATTACTTCACAAACATATAAGCCAAATCTGTTGCTTTTGCCAAGTCATTGCTGCATCCACTCGTAATATCATCCCTTCCAAGGAACAGATCCTCTGCAGCTCGCCCTCCCATGGCCACATCGATGGAGGCGATAATTCCCCTCCTTGTATAATTCAGCTAATCCTTCTCTGGTAACATAGCTGTCTATTAGAGAATATTCAACAAATATTTACAAATCCCAAGGCTCCTCCTCGAGGCAATATAGTTACTTTATGTAATGGCATAGCTCCATCTGTTAATAAACTAGTGAGAGCATGTCCTCCCTCATGATAAGCTGTCATCAATTTCTCCTTATCACTCACGTGCATATTCTTTCTTCCTATTCCCATTGATATTCTATCAATTGCGAACTCAAAATCTTCAGTAGTGGCTATTTATCTGTCGTATTTGATTGCATTCAAAATCGCTACATTGACCATATTCTGAATATCAGCCCCACTGAATCCACTAGTTTATCTGGCCAAGTTCGAAGGCAAGACTTTCTTTTCATCAAACTTAATCTTAGTCAAATAATAAGAAAATATTTATTCTCTTCCTTTTACATCAGGTAATGGAACATGAATCATCTTATCGAATCTCCCTGGTCGCTTTAATGCTGGGTCTAACACCTTTCATTTTAGGATATTTAAATACTTATTCAAAATTTGTGGCTCCAATCACAATAACACTCTCTGTCTATTTGAATCCATCCATCTCAGTGAGAATTTAATTTATAGTATCTCTTGAATACCCTGGATCTTAGGCTCTTCTTCTTCCTCCTATACTGTCTATTTCATCTATGAAGATAATTGCAGGAGCCTTAGCCCTTGCGGCTTTAAATATTTCTCTGACTCTTGAAGCTCCAACCCCAACAAACATCTCATCAAATTCAGATCCTGATTTGTAAAAAAATGCACATCCAGCTTCACCAGCCAATGCTCTTGCCAAAAGAGTCTTCCCTGTTCCTGGAGGTCCCACCAATAGAATGCCTTTTGGTAGCTTAGCTCCTGAGTCAGTGTACTTTTTAGGATTCTTCAAGAATTCAACTATCTCTTCCAACTCTTCTTTGAATTCATCTATTCCCAACACATCATTAAAACGAGTAGGAATGTTCCTCTCTTCTTGTACACTCTAATTGTTTCGCAATATGTTATAAAATCGATCCATTCTACCTACTCCCTAATCAGAATTCTCACTTTATGCTTTTTCATTCTTAGGCTTTGTTTGATTTGGCTGAAAATAGTAAAACAATTGATATATTATTGCAGCTGTTATAAGTAATTGGATTACCCCTGGCAAAATCAATGATTTACGCTTGTCAGCATACAAGTTAGATTTCTGGTTAGTTATAGCAATCCCATATTGCTCTTGCAATTGCTAATATTATTTAGGCGTCGCGCCTTCCCTGAAATCTATTAAGTGTAAACCACACATGATACCTGCTTGTTTGAATATTTAAACGGCCTCTTCGTACATTTGCATGCGGTTTAATTGTCTAACATAGTTGAAAGCTTTTTCAGGATTATGAGGTTCGGAAGCGAAGTCCTTCTGTAGTAAACGCAGGGTCTGAATGTTTTATTAATTGACTAGGAATGTTGAGTCTGCGTGGATGAAAGGCGAGAAATCGAATTAATGATCTGGGATATTCACAGATTTCCTAATGAGATCCTCTTTGTTCAATTGAAATGGACTTTAAAGAAACTTGAATGTCGGCTCTTGAGAATTATAAGGAATACTTACTTCTGAATCTGAAAAGTGATTTATACACAAATCCCCAAAGAAACTACCTTAAGAATGATCATATTTACCGGTCCTTTCATTCAATATAAAGCACAAATAAAATATAATTAATGAATCTCGATAGCGCAGCTGACTTTTGTCCCCAGTGTCATTTTATGTTAGAACTTCCAGAAGTCATGGACATAATAGAGTGCAACCGTTGCGGATACAAAGTATTCAATCACTTCTATGCAATTAGTGTTCCATCACTGATTACCAACCTAAATACATCATTTCAACCATCAAGATGGAACCTAAGTCATGGCTATCAAATCAACCCCAAGAGTCCAAACTCTCCGATCAATCACACAGAGCTGTCATTGAGCAAGCCTGTCCCAAATGTGGCCATGAGGAAGCCTACTTCTCAACCGCACAATTAAGATCAGCCGATGAAGGATCCACCGTATTCTATGAATGTGTCAAATGCCAGTTCCGTTATCAATTAAACAATTGATTTTCACGTGTAATATATGTATATATTCAATTCACATCAACTAACTAAACAATATTAATTTATGCTCTAAAATTTAATATAAGAATTTGTGCATACTCAATTCACACTAAGGCCATAGTTGTATCAAAGGTGCGGATTCGAGGCCAGATATTTGTTTAATTTTGGAGAGTATTGCGATCCCAGACATTAATTGCCAATCAGCATTGTCATCTGGAGATTGCCACCTGCAGAACAATTAAAATAAGCAACTCATCCTTAAAATGACATCATCACTTACATCCTAAAGGGGCAATACAGACAAGATAAGTATCATTTCAAGTTTATTATTTAGCTCCATCTCAGAAAATCAGTCATTCAAAGAAGGAGATGCTGTTTAATATATTTGTGGAAATGGCAATTCATATCATCGAGACAGCAATAACTCTTAGGATGTTTCAGAAATACTATAAATTTTCATCTAAAATATTGAGGTCCAAAGGGATACTTGCTAATAACTATACAAACATAACTAAATAATAAGAAATGATAAATATTATGAGATGTGCATTTTGCAAGGGGAATCACTAATTGACAACGCTAATTTCACTTTTCTTATTGTCCTCAATTTAGATGAAGCCTTATTGAATATTGACGATAAAGTTAGCATAAGAAAATACGAATGCCAATATTTCAATACCTTAACTAAAATTAAAATTAGTGGTAACAAATATATTGTAATTAAATTGCTTTGATTTTCTATAATAATATAAAATTAGAATTATTCATTCTTATTAATCAGGGGGTTATGGGATCTTCACCATCTCTTTGTTCTTCAAACAATACATGGCTATGAATTCAAGAGGGTCTTTGGGTCGCTCTATGTCTACCAATTGTAAGGCAGGCATTAACAATGGAAGGATTGTCTTACGTAGATAATCAGCATCGGAACATTCTTCCAACAATTCCCAATCACTCTTCTTAGGTATCTCAGCTTATTCTTCAGGGATTCCTTTCTCTATTCTTTCAATTTCTTCATTTCTATTTCTTTCGCATATTTCAATTTGTTTTATGAAGTAATCAGGGTCTTTAATAACATCCAAAATGTCCACATGTACTAAGTACTTATTCAAACACTTCTTTCTACTTAGATTTTCCAATGTCACACAGTCTGTCACTTAAACTAAGTTATTCTCATTTCTAAATATTAAATATAAATTACTCTTGAATTCCATCATCAAAAAATATGTGAAGTGTATCAGGGTCTTATTAATCAACATACAATTGTTTAGCATTCTATTCATTTGGCTAGGCTTAATAAAAGTGATAATCGTCAACATAACACAAAGCACAACTCTCCTTCAATGATTCAGTAATCTTTAAAAGCATTTGTGTTTCATTGTATATTTAGACTTGTTCTTCTTCCAACTCCTTCTCATATCCATCTTCCAATTGTTATTTATCTGTTCTTCTCAAAGTTCCTGTCACTAATTACTTCTATTGTCTATAAACTAAAGCGCACTGTTTATCCAATATAATATAATTCTTAGTGCCTTTTGATCCATCAAATTTAACTATTGGAGTATTGTTTCTACCACTAAAACACGGATGTTCTCCTAGACAAAATTTATTAAACTCTCTCAATATGTTTTTTGGATCTGTTCCAAATGGTCGAAATACTATTGCAAATTCTCTCTTCTACTTTTTTAAATTTATTATTGTCTTATAAAATGTAGGTAACAATTAATATTTATTATCTGAAAATAAATTATTTAGCATATCTTTGTCAGATAACAATGAAGTTAAATTTCTTTACTTAACCTCGTCTTCATTCAAGAAACCAAATTCTTCAGCTTGTTGTTTCAATTCTTCAATCACAGCCTTTGGCAAAGTCTAATATATGCTAATAATAAACTCTATACAATCAATTTAACAATCCTGTCATATTCCGGTTTCAACTTCATACATGGTTACCCTAATTTGACAAACTAAAAATATAATTGTTTGCGTTGTTCTCTAAATTTATTGTCAATTTCTCTTACATTGCACTATTATTATATTCTGTAATATCATCTGGATCTCCTTCGGTTTTGAGTGGAAACTATTCACATATGTATTCCTTATAAGATATCATATCTTCACTAGGTCTGTTTGGAGTGAAGTTGTTTGTTAATAATTTCCATAGGACTGGGGACTTCTCGTCTCTCTATTCTAATTTACCCCATGCATATCCAACAAGGATTTCTTGTAACTAAAACTAAAGATTTCTTTTCATACACATTCTTCTTTGGTTTGATTTGTATATTTGGAATCTGCCAAAAGAATGGTTTTATTCAAATCAAAATGTAGCACCAATTTTTTTTGCTGTTTCATAATTTAATTATATATTATTAATTATATTTCATTTGAGTGTTTGAAACACAGACATTTTTTATTATTTCTTTTTAAAAGAAAATTAATCGAGCACACTTTTCTTCTTTGTGTTAACCAAACCTTTAGTTGAATTCATTTTATTCTACTCCTCTTCATATTGAGCAATTAGTCCCAAATAATATTGAGTGCTATTTTATAATTCCTACATATATATATGTTGATGAATACTTCTTTGGGATCAGATCCAGAATTACGTTTTCTTTACAATTCAATCATGTATAAACAAGTTTTATACTTTGATTTTCTTTTATCGTAGATTATTTTGACTTCAGAAGCCACTGTAGGAAATTCCTTCAGGAGATTTCTAAAAATATCATATGAGCAGAAGAATCTATATATATTGATTAGAAGTACAAATTAGTAGGTTCTTTGGCAATCGCAAAATACTCTCTATTTATGTCTTCAAATGCTTCTATTTCACCAAAAAATGATGCTTCCAAAAGAGTAATCAATGTATATTTGTCATGAGTAACAAAATTGACTTTCCCTTTTTCGATAAAATAAATGTCGGTTGGAGGATCATCCTGTCTGTAAATGATCTCTCCAGGGTGGACTTCCAAGAAATTGAGATGAGGTAGTATAGTAGCTGTGAAGTTCTTATCGATCTTAAGTAATGAGACACTATCAATCAAATATTTATAGCAAATCATCAGCAATTCATTACGAATTTATGATGGCAGTTCCTAGATCAACTTTTTAGGATCGAGAGATGAATACACATTTTTTAGATAGTTATTTCTATAGTACTTATGTACTTTGCATTTTAAAGCATAAGGTAATTTAACTCTGACTGAGAAATCATTGAACAAATGCATTCTTCTCTCAAAATCAACCCATTTTTTGTCTACATTTTCTAAAATAGATGACAATTTTCCCAAAGTATAAGAAAAGAATCCAGTACCAAAAATCATCCAAATTATAGCAAACACTCTTTCTTCAATTGTAGTAGCCTTGATATCACCATAACCTACAGTAGTGAGAGTCTACAGACTCCATTCAAAAGCAGCGATATATTTGTTATATAGAGTGGCATCTTCAAGATGTGCTTAAGCAACCCAAGTATTTGGATCGAATTCATTAAATTTTGCTATGAAATACCAAAAACAGGCTATGAGATGATTGATCAATAAGATTTTACCCAAGAGAATCAATCCCTTGATGATACCTTCATTGATTCCTAAATATGAGAGGATTCTGGCTGCCTATGTTTTATTTTTAATATTCAAATTAGCTTTGGAAATTTTCAATAAACGAACTAATCTGTATAACCGAGGCAATCGAATTAATCTTAACAATTTATTGTATCTAAGAGCTGCAGTATCAGTATTGTCATCTAGAAAATAGGTAATTGGTAAAACTGCAATAACATCAACTGTAAACCATCCATATAAGTATTATTTGGCTATCATTCTATAATTGTCAACAATTTTCTGTTCTTCGTCATAGAATGCACTCAAAAAGTTTATTATTATATCTGTAAAGAACAAAACATCAAATATAACATCTACCCAAAACCAAAATCCTTCATTTCCAGAATCAATCTATTAATAGTAAATGTAATTTCATACAAAGCACACTTTAAATGGAGTGATGACTGCCGTTGCCAATAATAAAAATATCAATAACATATTCCAGACTGTTTTAAATTGTTCATCTGGATAAAATACATATACCTTCTTTTCTTCTTGATTTGACTTAAAAACCTCATCCTCTATCAAATCCATATGATCGTCTTGTCTAATAGCTCCATATATCTTAACCCTATTCTAAAAGGATCTCATGATGCCAATAAAGTAAGATGCCAGAAACACTCTTCTCCAAACAGAAACTAGTCTTTGTTTCTTCTCTTTCTCCAGCTTCTTATAAAATGAGAAATTCTAAAGAAAATCTAACTTCCTGAAGAAGACATTAAAAACAGTGATTTATGAATTATTCATAATAATTATTTAGAATCACCTTCATTATAACTAAAATCGATGATATGACAATATATAATCAATTCTAATAGGAACTCTATCTGACTCTTTATGCCATCTCTGGAGGTAACTTATTAGGTGGTCCTTGTTTTGATCCAAATTCCTTTTGATGAGTTTGATAGTCATTTCTACAATATCCTAATTAAAAGTGATGTGTTCTCAAATCCTATAAGATGTATGAATAATAAACTTACTTTTTTCATTTCTGCATCCATCTTACTTGGTTGTCCATGAGGATTCTTGAATTATGCCTTTGCCACTGATTCTGTTGTGTCTTCATCGGTTCCAAACTTAAAATGATGTTTCCTCAACTCTGCTTAGACTTCTTCCTACAATTTTCCTGGCTTCGAATGAAAATCTCTGAACCTTGCTTAAGCTTCACTCTAATAACTCAATTTATCATTTCCAATCATGATATTCTTAGAGTTATCCACTATTGGATTGACTTTCTCAGCCTTCTATCCATCAAATTATTGATTATATGTGCTTTTATAATGTTCTTAAACCGTAGGTCTGACAACTTCATCTTTCAGATCAAAATGATTTGATTGAAATTAAGGGTTCCTAACCTATTCTTGTTGTCCTTTTCTATCTGAGAATTAAGATCTGTAAGCTGATTGATAATTGACAGCTTATTCATTTCCTACTTAGAAATGAGTAGCTCTCAAGTCTTTTAATTGAGCCTCATTTAATATGGATCTGTCACCTTAATTGCCTACATGAGATGCCTTAGCTTGACTTGTGTATTCGACTCTGTCTGTGCCCATAGTTATGTGTGTATTTCTAACTAATTGTTAGGTTTTGTCCTGAAAATTGTTCACTTACAACTAAGGTTTACCATATATGGCTTAATTCTGAGTTGTGTAACCATTGCCATCTCTTCCCATCACCAAATTAGTTTTTCTTAATTGAACATTCATTTCTGCCATTCTTTCTTTTGAGTATCCCTGTCCCAACAAAGCCTTGTCATATTGTTTGTTATGCACAGTATCATACATTGAGGAGTAGTAATTATTTGTATCCCCAAAGTCGTGATGATGTTTACGTAAATCTGCATTATCAGCCTTCTTGAAATTGTTTTTGCCTTGATCTGCAAAACTCTATTCGTATTCAGTTGGCTTATTGTAATCGTGATAACCTAATTGGAAATGATGAGATCTCAAATCCTTTTTTGTTTCATCACTCAATTTAGCAACAGCTGCACTTTAGGGTCTTTAATAGTCAGATTTTTATATGGACTCCAATTTCGGTTTGTCATCTCCCAAGTGAAAATGATTTTATTGTAATTTCGGAGGCTATATAGGCTACTGCGGTTGCATCTATTCTAGCTTTTAATCCTTCTCCACTACAGATGTCATTGGTCTCACTTTGGCTGCTTTCTGCATTGGCATGGGTTGCTTGGCCACAGATTGATGGTTTTTGTCCTCATCAAATCCAAAGTAAAAGTGAGCCTTCCTCAATTCTTAAACATGTTTTAGTCTCTCAGCAGTTGCATTTGAACTCATGTTATAAATAATTTAATCTGTTATTCAAAGAATATTAAATTATGTTAACTAAAATCTTATTATATAAGTCATCTATTACACAACTTCCAGAGAGATAGACAGTTCCATTTACATGCTTCCCTTAATTAAATTCAAGTTAAAATATATTGATGAATCTAAGATTTTTATTTTTTATTTGTTTAATAATTAAACTAAAATAAATGACATCATCTACTTCACTTATATACAAAAAACAGTATATCTATAAATATCATTAAAATTAGATGCTTAAAATCATTTTGGCATTCTCCCTAATATTTTAGTCTCTCTGCGCAAAATCAATCCTAATTTTAAGACATGGAGCTCGAGATCCCCAAGTTTGGACTGAATTCGATGAACTTTATCTGTGGACTGATCCCATTAAAATCTTAACTCAGAAAGGAGTCGATTAATTGATAGAGGTTGGTACTAAATAATAAAGAGCATCCCTTTTTGACTCTTAAGGCAATTGCGTTTATGAGAATATAGAGATTCAATCATCAAAAACAGCTAGATGTACTTCTTCCACTGTTTGCTTCATAATCTGATTGTGTCCTAAAAATTACAAAGAAATTCTACATAGATTTTTTAGCGAATATTACTCAGACAGGGTCTTAAGTTAGAAGAAGTTCCAAAAAATTTTAGAGTCCGATTTCTCGGATCCTTTATCTCTTGATTACGATATATTTGATTCCACAGGAGATTTCATGTTCCAAGGTCATAAAACAAAACAGTGTCCAAATTTAAAATAAATTAATAGCAATGTACAAAATAGCAAACAATACAAAAACAAAGAAAAGGAATTTAAACAAATGGATCAACTAAATGGAGTCTATGAAATTATGGTAAAGGCCTATCCTAGTAAAACTATTAATAAAAGTGCTCTTACCTTGACTGATGTAGATGATATTTATGATGATACATTTTGCAATTAATTTGAAGGATTCCTCTTTCCCAATCCCTCATTATCTACCTATAACTATATGGGAGATGTCGTTAAGTTCCTCAAATACTTTGGATAAAATTCTGAGATGTTTCAGCATTAAGCCTCTCTTACAGAGCCATTTAAATGGATCATTTCATAATTTTACTCTCCAGAATAGTTTAGTGTCTATATTGGTACTGAATCCAACTAATTTGCTATGCTTTCAGTTTTAGTTGATGAGCAGTACCTAACGCCCTTTGCCTCGGAATTAGAATTTATTATAAAAGGAAATATGGTATATATCTACTTCAACAAAGTCTAACTGAAAACGAAAATGTGTGAAAGTGGTTATTACTGCACCATTGACTAGGCCGTTCAATTCATGTATTAATACATTGTTCAGGACGTTAGATAACTATGTGGACTGTGAATTTCTATTTATTATAATTAAAAATTAATCTTTATAATTCAATGATAATATTAATCAATAAATTATATAAAAATTTGGGTTTGAAAAAATTATTTCCAGATTACTTGATCGGAATTTACTGTTCCCATATTTTGCAATGTCTTTTAGGCTATTCTCTCATAATCTAGTAATACTTTATTAATTGCTTTTGGTGTTTAATAAGTATTCTATCTAATTGGTTCTATTGGAATATTTCTTATTACTCTTGCATGAAACAACTAATTAAAAATTTACAGACATTAACTGTAGTTACCATGATTTGACTAGCATTTTTAAAAATAAGAATCTAACCTTCCCAAAAGATACGTCATTAATTCAGCTGATAATAGTGGAATTTAATCTGTGTTTCCGAATTGTATTTATTATTTGCTATCCAAATTAATAAAAATAGCATTCTAAAACTTATTAATAATCCCTTGACTATATAGATTAGAGAAATTCTAGATTATACAAGAATACTTACACATTCTAGGCCAGCAATTATTGGCACAGGACTTCCTAGATATACAATGTTTTCCAAAGGCAAATTACTAATTATTGGATGAATCCATGCAAATGGTTTAAGTAAGTACTTTTAACACAGTAAACATGCTGCAGTTGATAAATAAGGTGATTTACTAACAAAAACAATTGATTTCTCAATTAAACAACTTAAAAATATTTTAATCAAACTTTAAGAATTCAATTTCTTAAATAATTATGGAATTCCCTAATATTTCAAATATCAATACCCATTAAATATTATCATTTTCACTTATTTTTAATTCTTAATTATTGATGGTAATGAAATTGGGATAGTTATTTTAGGACAATTATGATAAAATCCTCAAACATATTTAAGCAACGTTCTTATCAAAATATTTTGAATCTGCTAACGAAATGTTGTTTGTTCTCGAATAAAGGTTACTTCTCATGGATTTTAACTGAGACAAAATTACAATTAGAATTTGCTGGTAAAAGTCAACTAAACATTTGCTGGTTGTAAAACAAATTGCTCTCTTACTAAATCTGACCTACTAGGGACTTAAAACTGTAAAATCATTATATCGATAACAAATATGATATTTTAATTATTGTTTCTCAGTTTGCTTAGTCAGAATAACAAAACAATTAGGGGAATCAATGTGATAATTATGATTCATCATTAAGTTGATGTCTTCCAAACTAAATGACATAGGAATGACTATAGGTTTGCATCCGTCTGGTAATATGAATTTGGAAATTGATAGAATTTGCTATTGATTTTCTAGCTTGACTATAAATGCTTACTAAGTTGATTGTATGAATAAATCACTTATGGTTCATTTGATTATTCTGATCCTAATCCCAGAATGAATAAATCATCAAACAATTATTCATCGTTGACTCTTTCATTATTAGTAGTAGCATTTTAAATATCAAAATAATCCAAAACCTTGTGCCTTACCTATTAAGTAGATTATCTAAATTGAGAAATATTAAAATTGTTGCTATTTTAAAGAGGAGCCTTTAATTTAATCTTCTAGCCCGAACTCTAAAATTATTCCACTCTGCTATCGCTAATTGCAGGTTCTGAATTCTCATCTATATTGCAATCTTCATCAGAGGAGACATTTTGAATAAATATTGATTATTTTTGACTTTTAAGCAATTAAACTTCTTGTCTACTAAATTCTAATTACTATTCAAGTGCTTAAATATAACAATCCTTTTCATACAATAATTATAGTAATTGCCTTTAAGATAAGTGATCCATAAGAAAAAAATATATTTATTAAAATACTCAAATTTAAATCCAAATCCCATTAGTCGTTGGTTAACTATTTTCAAATTAACCTAAAAATATATTCACTATATTTTAAATAAAAATGATTTCTTCCTCTATGTGAAACTACTAAGTCCAATAGTCAGATCATCCATAAACCCTTGTTTTCGATTTAATCTTAGTAATATCCATAACATAAACGTTTTTATTGACACTGGAGTACAAAAAAATAAATTGATATTCAAGTTTTGAAAGGACAGTCCAAAAATTTACCTTTGATTAAGTGACAACTCACTGTAAGTTAGAAAATTTCCTCTCTTTTTACAGGGTCAAGCTAAAATATTATTGAAAGTACGTTTAGGAAATCGTCTGAGTAAATTAGGTTTTTCAGTTTTCCAAAATAAAATAATATTTTAGAGAAAGCTATGATGAGTTGTTCTTTATTGATAATGTAATTAGTATCATCATCTTTGTTATCATATTATAGAAAGTAAGGTATGATTATACTTAATATCTGATAAATATTTCTCTTCATTCTCCATCATAAACATAATAGATGTGGCGTTTATTTAATTCTAATTCTAAAAGTTCATGTTTGTTTTTTTAGTAAATATAAATTGAATTCTATCTCTTTTGATGAAATAAATTCATTTTTAATATTATTAATTTAATTATAAATCCATGTCTGAAACTAAATTGGTTGATGAAAATTCTTTAATAGGAATAGCAGCTACATTTTGGTAATAATATTCAGCTAAGACTCCTTAAAAATTGAAAATAATGGATGCTTTTTCTTTGTATTGCTTCATATTGGTGATAATTCAATTATTTTATTGTGCATTGGTAGGTGATTTTCCCCGAAACTCATTTCTATCAGGGATATTTGCATCTGCGGGAGCTTTGATAATTAATAGTAAGCATTAGAATGTGATGATTAGTTTGTTTAAGGAAATAATTGAACCCTGAGACTAGATACATGGAAATTTCGAATGAGAGAGCCTTTTGGGAATATTTGGCAGCAATGGTTGTGCTCTTTTTGACTGTGATAAATTTCTTGGGTTGAATGATATTACATATATAATAGATATATATCACAAATCTAAATGACTTTTATTTGGGATGAGGTAATTGGGTACATTTGCAAAATAAGGTGGAATATTGTATTATCCAGGTCCTGGTCCAACATCATTTCTATCAGTCACTCTTGATTCAGATCCGAATCTAAATGAAATAATAGTTTTCAAAATTACGGGAATTTCGGACCTGGATTGGTTTAATTGAGTTGATAATGATTAGGAGCAGGATTATCGTTGAGTTTACTTTTTTCTCTAGCTTCTGTGCCGACTCTACAAGACATGGGTCTGGATTTGGTTTATGAGACATTGGGATAGTAATCCAAAGGACCAGGCGTTCCATCTGGTAATCTATCAGTGTATTTTGGTCTCAGAGTATATCCTTTGCTTCCTCCATCTCTGCTGATGTCATAGGTTCCTGGACCTGGAACTTCTTGTTAATTGACAAGCCTTCTCTACTCTGATCCAATTTTATAACTGGGGGGTCTCCTCTTGGTTGCACTCTAAGACTGATAATGTCCAGGTCCTGGAGTGTAATGAGCATCAAAGACTTATCTCTGTTTAGCAGTTCCCACTCTTCCACCGGGGACTGAACGCTTGGTGAAATCAGTTGAAGGATCATAATGTCCAGGACCAGGAGCAGAATCCGCTGCAGTGGGGATTCGCTTCGAACTGATAGTGGTGGCTTTTAGATTCAGATGAGATTGATGCATATATTATCCAGGTCCTGGAGTTTAGACTCTTTCTGTGAATGTAGAATCTCTTAGGGCATTTCCAAATCTATGATAAGGTCCCGATGTTGCAGGACGCACATTATACTTACCAACTCCAGGAATAAAGGGTTTGGTGTCATAGAAGCCACCTCTGTTTTGATTGCCAATTCTGGAAGCAGGTCTGCTTAGAATAGTGGAATAATTAGTTTCGTATGCTGCCGGACCGGGACCATTTTTGAGTTCTCTTAAATTGTCATCGATTCCTCCCAATAGTGGTTTGTTCCTCATGCTATAACTGGAAGCACACTTTTGCAAAGGTTTAAAATCTGGATTGTAGGCACCAGGTCCAGCTAATTGTTAATTACTATTTTACGAGTGATTCCCTTGCCCACTTCTGTGTGATTTTAAAACTTAGCTCCCATTGAGAATTCAGGCTTTTTCCTTTTCTGATAATTAGATTTAATATTTTTACGATTGCTTTTTATAGTTACTCATACTAGCCTGGTCCAGGTTGATAAGCAATTTGCTACGCTATTCTATTGGCAGTTCCAATTCTAATTTTAACTGATTTAATTGTACTTCCAAGAAGGAGGCCTTTGATGTGGATACCTATCAGGGTTGTAGTTCTAAAGTATAATGCTACTCATACGCCTACTCCAGGAGCCGATTCGACTTTTGAGAGTGGTCTTTGTTGAGATGTTCCAAAAGAATAAGCAGCCATAATAATTAATAAAATTAAATTATAAAGTTCATTCCCATTCTCCGTAGTCTTATCCAAAAAGTCTTTTTTTAATAAATAAAAATGGTAACAAGTGCGGTAAAACAAGTGCTTACAGTAACTATAAAATAAAGATCAATAAGGATGTCGAGGTTTCATGATTTTCGATGACGTTTTCTATGCATTATTTCCATCCTTCATTATCGATTTTAATGTTCCCATATATGTTGATTAGTAATATCAAGAGGAAACTAAAACTTGCCAACAAAGTCAAATATGTGGAGAGATACAAGTAACTTACTATCCCTCCAATCAGAAATTTACTCTACCCTAAATTCTTTTTAATTTTCTTAAACTGTTGTTTGTCATTTGCACCCAAAGACAATTGCAAGTTCCCTTTGGCTTCCGAGCATTTCTCGTGAATCAATCTTGATATCTATTGATCATCGAAATTGCACTCCTCCACATACTTCTAGAATTATTATTCGCTTGGGAAGTATTTGATCAAATTGTTCTACATTATATAGAGTCTCTATTATGCCTTAAGGATATTGTCATTGTCTTGAATCAAGTCATTGCTCAAACAGTTATTGTAACTCATTAACAACACAGACACAATGCTGCCAAAAAACAAAAATATTGTGTTATATAGTATAAAGAGATATTCTGGTTTGAGTTTGTACTAATTTATTAGTCTGTATACACCTAAGCCAAAGAAGATGAATAAAAGCACTAAAAAAATAGTGAAAATGATGGCCTTTCTAATATGATAATACAGCAGGAGTCCTCTGTCATCTTCTTTACTTTTATCCAATCTCATCATTTCTCTTTTGGTGGACAGAAATGAGAAAGCAAATAGCAACACATAAAATTACAATCCATTAAAAATAATCCCAAATACTAGAATAATTACACCTTAATCGTTGTTATCTATCAATGAGAAATAAGAGTTGAAGATGATATAGAAGTAAGGTTTCGTTAAAAAGAAGATTATGTATTTGAGGGATTCCAAAAACTTGTTCTGCAACATCGTACAGCATAGTCCAATGGAGTAACAACATTTGCATACGCATTTCTATTCCCAAGGACACCCTTCGCAGAAGCAATCGTAGCAATTACAAATAATGGTGCCATCATATTCATGCAAAGTCTTTAATTCCTTTTGCTCTTTAGATTGTGATCTTAAAGGTGATGTTGTGTTCTTTCTAGATGGTGCATCAACTATTTGCAAATCCAAAGAATCTAGATAAGTAAATATGGTTTTTGCTGAAATTTATTACAAAATTTACACAAGATATAATTGGTCATAGTTTTTATTCCAATTTCCATCTTCTTTTCTAACATGTTTCTTCTGGCCATGTACAAGTAGAATGAAATCAGAATGAGATGGAATGATAGAATAGCAGAACTCGCTATTATTTAAATCATAAAAATGATTATATTATGATTTAATCAATGTCTGAAGCTTCACATTTATATATATAATAATAGATAATTTATTAATCACAATTTCCAATATGTATAAGTAACCCAAACAACCCACTCCCAAAAATGGAATCAAATAAACTCCCCTCAACACCTAAGAAATACTGTAAAGGCTAATGAAGAAAAATTCTAAATCGAAATTACAATTAATAGATATAGCAGATGATACAAAGATTGTTAAAAATGAGAAATATGTTTCTAAATCACCTTGTTCAGGATGGCAAAGCTTTAGAAATTAAAGTTCTGAAAGGGCGATTCATAAAATAAGGCATTAATCCAATGAGGATTTGTAAAAAACTCTAAAAAAACCATGCCATCTAAATCATGTAAGTTCGATGATTGGATTTCAATAAAAAGATTTCATTTAGAATGCCAACGCCTTTCTGAGAGAAAAGAATCTTGAAAACAAACTTGATACTTTGACCCAATAGGTCTCAAAATTGAGGGAAAAGTCAGAATAATTGGAATTTTAGAATAAATTACTTTTTGACAATTTATAAAAGTATAAATGCGAAGGCAATCAAGTAATTTTTGGGTTATCATGAAGGAAAGAAATGCCTTGCTTGAGAGGCTGGATCACATGATTGAAATGCAATAGAAACAAGAGGAGAATCTATAGCATATAAAGACCTTGTTTGGTGACAATTCCAGGAGAATAAAGACCCAACAATCCCAACCCAAGCAAAGGAGTTTTGGAAAATCTGCCTATATGGGGTTCAATGTGTGAAAATGTTTATATTTAAATTATCTGTTAATTATTTATGAAACAATCTCAAATGCAACACAAAAGTTGGTTATAATTGCAGAGATTTGAAGCGTACGAGACAAATAAAAAAAAATACCTTGAAAAGGAACAAGAGTTGAAATTCAAGAGTTAAGATTAATAGGCTCAACAAAAGCAAATTAATTGGATTGGAGACATACATGAAAGATAAACCTAATTGCAGAAGGCCAAATGGAAGTGGATAGAGGAGTAGAAGAAATAGTTGGAATTGAAAAGAGAGATGGATCAATTGGAAGGAGCCACATTTCATCCGTAAATATTGAATAAGGATTAAAAAATACGCACTCCCGAACAATTCTATAAAGATAATATAGATTATAAAAATAAAACTGTATAAAAATCATTCATCCTAAATTTAGGAAAAACAAATATAGCAATTAATTAAGTAAAAGCAAGACTCAATTAATAACAGAAGTTGTTCTCCTAAACTAAACAAAAAATCTGTATAGATGGTTGCACAACCATTTTATGATAGATTGAAAGATAAATAGTTAGAGAAAGAATAGAATTTATTAAAAATTAAAAGCAGTATCACACCCTCCTTCAGTCCTTAAATATTTTCTCGAAACTTTTAGAGTCGCTAAACCTATCAAACAGTTCAACAATTTGCCAATTAGAATTCAACCAAAAATAAAACATTTGAAATGGATTTGGAAAATGTAAAGACTGATTATAAATCTTTTACATTTTTTGAAGACCTAAGAAGGATTTAGCATTCCCCATCAGAAAATTGTCAACAGAATGAAGAGAAAATAACCAAAAACCTGCTGTTATTAACTGAAAACAATTAAATATTAAATGTGTAATCGAGTCCATAATAATGTACGGTCAAAAAGGAATAGAGATCTGTAAGTCCTTTAAAATCGATTATGTCAAAAACCACATAAAAAAATTACTTTAAAAAATGATTTTATATTTTAATTATTCATTCTATTGGCTATAAATTTGTGTATAAGAATATTTGGGATGTTCTCATTATATTTTATTTTAGGAATATGTGTGATAAATTCAAATAGTCTCGAAATAAATATGTATTTATAAATAAATTTAATCTATAAAAAGTTAAAGCCAAGATTAAAAATGGGAGCTTGTCACACCAAAAGGTCAAGAAGATAGAGCAATGAATGGAGGGTTAGTGAAAGACTCACCTCAGAAAGATTAGATTTCATTTTCTAACGGTTGTCCCTATATTTAGAACTCGTTGGAGACACTCACTCGTTAGGAGGATACTTGTAAGAAAAGATAAATGAATTGTTTTAAATAAAATAAAAACTACTCCTAGTTAAAGATCACTTAAGGAAAATAGAATTACTTCATCAAGCATCTGAGGTAATCGAATACTTGTACGATGATAAACACTTCAGCTAGGCTTTCCCTATTTTAAGGGAAAGCTTGTATGAAATCACACAATTGACATTAGTCACAGAGTGATTTACACTAAGCGTTTTTCAAATGATGATTTTTTGTCATTCAATAATTTTTATTCATAAAATCAATACTTAAAGCTTTAAGTCTTCTAATGAGATAATCAACTTAAAATGATTGAAATCTGAAGATAACAAGTATAAGAGTGATGAGTTATTTATATTCAATAATATTCTATAAAATTTAAGGTTGGGGTTATTAATTTTGAATATTCTTAAACCAACAGATTTTATAATATGACCAATATTACTAAGAATATAATAGAGCAACTCAGATGATGGGAAATAGCTATCTTAAATGATGTGGTTCAGAAAAGTAATTTAAATAAATCTGATTCATTAGTATTTTATTGAATTATAATGTCTCAACCAGAAAATAAGTAACCGAAACCATTGAAGGAAGTCTTGGGATTGAAATATGTCTTTGGTTTTAGAGGTGACATCAAAAACTCAATCCTGTAAGGGACCTAGACAAATGTGTAGGAGAAATCAACTAAAACTAAATTCATATACCCTGCAGCAAATAATATAGTGATTTTTGATCCCATAGCTGATAAGAATAAGTCCTAGGAAATCATATAGACAGTCTTAGGGAGCAAAGGTGTTACTTGCTTAACCATTTCCCTATCCAGGAGGTAGATAGAAACTTGTATTTAGGTATATTGCATGGTCAGAAGAGAGCGATGCTGGAATAATAGTAATATTAGACTTAAACACTCGAAAAACTAAAATATTGAGTACTACAGATTGCAAATCCCGTTATTACGTGAGTCTCGATTTTTCAAGGACAGAAGAATCCAAATATTTAGTAGCTCTGAGTGCTCCTCCAGAATAAATGCTGATTCATTGGGCATGGGATAAATCAAAGTGTCTTGGAAGCACAATAATAAATGCTAAAGGGGATTCGATTAAATTCCATCAAGTTTTTTATCATCCGAAAGAAGATGACTTTGTATGTGTTATGGGTAATGGAGCTATCAAACCTTATAAGTTGATACCAGATAACCCTCCAAAACCAAAAGATTCTCCTTTCCAAAAGAAGAAGGAAGTAAGCATCTTACATTATTTTATAAGGAAACCCATTCTACTAATTTCCTTTCTTATTGTATCTTGAGTGATTCTAAGACAATGGTGGTAGGTACGGATAGAGGGGAGGTACTATATTTTAATGAGAATTGCGAATTCAAACTAGTTCTTTCACCACTTTAAAATTCTAATTAATAATCAATTGAGGGATTTCCAATAGAGTGCATAGTGAAATATTCAAATGGGTTTATTGTTGGAGGAAGTGATTGCATGATCTACATTTATAGAAAACATGAAGGAGATCTTAAAAATCCATATGTTCGAATTGATAAAAGAATATAAAACAAACAAATATTAGCCAAAATCACAAGTTTATGTCTTACAAATCAAGAAGATAATCTCATCTTTGGAGTTGAATCTGGCTAAGTGTTCAGCATTCCTTTTAGTGCAGACAGAGAAGTAGCAAATGAGGATGAAATAAAATTTGATCATTTGATAGCACCATTCCATAGTGGACCAATTACAGGCTTGGATGTTTGTACTAGAAAGTCATTGGTAGTCACAGTCTCAGATGATCGAAGTATTAGGATTTGGAATTTCAATGAATTGATATTGGAAGTGATGAAAGAATGTGAGGATACACCTTTGGCTGTCGCTATTCATCCTTCTGGATTTCATTTGATTGTATCCTTTTCTGATAAAATTGTACTTTACAATTTATTTGAGAAAGATTTAAATTCATTTAAGGAAATTCATATCAAGAATTGTCAATAAATTAAATTTGCTCATGGAGGTCATTTATTTGCAGTCGCCAATTAGAACTTGGTTTAAATTTATCAATTCTACACAGGTGAAAATCCATAGAATTACATATTTAAACAATCCACTGGAAACATCTCTACTATTGAATGGGATATTGATGATTTAGGATTCTATACTGGAAGTGACAATGGTTTTGTACTCTATTGGAGATTGGAAGATAATTAAAATAAATTGTAGTTGGCCATGATTCAATCTCAACCTATTGAATGCATTTGCACTCCTAAAACATATGCCAATATTGAACTTTAAAAAGTGTATATAGCAGGTCCATATGATGGACAATACTGTATCTATGAATCTCAACATCATACCAAGATTCACAAGGAAGCAACTGAGGGTACAAAGAAGGAAATTCCACTCTATCCTATTCAAACTGGATGTAGGGTGAGCAAAATGGCAATTTTTAATAGTGAAAAGATCATGTTATTTGCTACTTGTTAATTGGCTAACTCATCTGAATTCACTCAAAAGTAAAACATTAAAAACATGAAATTCGAACCAGGTGGTCTCAGATTTGCCAAATATCCTCTTGCACCAGAGGAAATCATTGAAATATAACCACATATTAAGGGAATTACCTAGATGAAAGTCTCATATGATGATTCTTATGTCTTTACTGCTTCTTATGATAATTCCTTGATCATTTATGATGTTAAAGATTAGAGTTCCAAAATAGAGTTCAAAGATGGAGGCTAGGCTTATGGTGTTTAGGCTTATGCTGATGAATTCTTGATGCAAAGAGATTAATATAAAAAGAAGATTGCTAAAATTGAGGATTTAAAATAAAAAATTAAAGAACATGATATCAATTAAAAGATTAAGTAGAATATGTACACAAAAGAAAAGGATGAATTGATTAGAAAATTGGAAGAATAAATTGATTAATTGGAAAAAAGAGAAAAAGCCAAAATTCAAGAATTGGAAAATGCTATCAATAAATTAGATAGTGATTTCAAAGAAGAAAAGAAATAATTATATGAAAATCATGAAAAGAATAAAAAAACTACTGAAAATGATTTCAAATAAAAAATGGCATTGGAATCTCAAAGATTAGAAGAATTAACCAAAGAAAAATAATTGAAACTTCAGGAATTCCAGAGGTATATCAAAGAACAAAAGGATAAGAGTACAGAAACTAAAAATGAGAAGAAAAAAGAATATGAAAAATAATTAAGAAAAGAATAATAATTATATGTAGATTTATAAAAGGATAAAGAAGATAATCAAAAAAAATTTATTGAAGAGAGAAATAAACTAGAAGATGATGCAGAGAAGGAGATAGATAAGAAGAAGGAGATTAATGAAGCTGAAATGAAGAAACTATCAGATGAATTAGATAAAGCTGAATTGGAAAAGAGAACAAAAAAAACTGAATTTGACAATGTGTAATCTACTTTAGAATAGGCTAATTCCAAAGTTAAGGAAATAATGGAGGATATTGCATAAAATCAAGAATTAAATAGATAATATCAAAAGGAAAAAGAGAGTCATGATAAAGAAATAAAAGAGAGAGATAAAACAATTTAAGATAAATAGAAGCGTATTTATGAATTAAAGAAAAAAACATAAGAACTAGAAAAGTTTAAGTTTGTTTTGGATTATAAAATAAAAGAATTAAAGAGAGATATTGGACCAAGAGAGGAGGAGATTACAAAAATGAAAGAATAAATTACTAATATGAATACAGAAATCTTGCATTTCAAAAAAGTTAATGCAAATCTTGGTTTGATTGTAACTGATTTAAACTTGAGATAAGCAGGAATGAAACAAGAAATCGAAAATCAATAGCAAGTTATAGAAAGCAATTCTTAATATATCAAGGCATTTGAATACGATATTTCAGAAACTCATGCGCATATAAATGTAATTAATTATTATAATTATTTAGGATTTTAAGAGACTAAAGTCTGATATGCTTAAATTGTTTAATAAATATGTTTAAAGCGTAGTTTCAAAGAAGAAATTTGAAAACGTTGATGTCTAAAAGGAGTTTATTAAGGAGAGGGCTCATTTAGAAACTACGAATAAAGGATTGAAAGAGAAGTTTTCCAAGAAATTAAGAGTTCATAAATAGGATAACAATAGAATTATGAGTTAAAACGTAGATCTGATTAGTGAGATTAATGATTTGAGGAGGGAGATTAAATTGTTGTAGGACGAAGAAGATTTGAAACGTCGTCAAATTGAGTAGATGAATGATCAACCTGAGGAGAGGGAACTTGATTAAATGATTGAAGAATAAGAAATAGAAATTAATTAATATAGAGAGAAATTGCAATTCCTTAAAGAAGCAGTACAATAGAGAAGATTATAATAAAATATCAATTCTGATAGTGATCATTAGGAATTTTAATAAGAATGAAGAATAATATTTAGATATAAAATTGTAATTAATTTACAAGCTAATAATTTTTTACACAAATTAATATTAATGATTATTAAGAGAGGTCTGAATTTCTCGCGTCTCATAAAAGAAGCTACAAAATTAATACATGGAAGACAGTATATCGATCATTTTTGGTATTTGAAATCAAAGTATGCTATTTATATCACAATAGTCCAGAGTCACTCCAACCTCTTATAGATAATGAAACATAAATAAAGAACTCGTTTTACGAGCAACCTTAAATAAAAGAAATATTCAATGATTATTACTAAGTATCTTATGGTAGAAAGGATGGACGAACACATGATATCCCTGAGTTATATGACGAATATGAGTATAATGGAAGATTTGCATATTTTGATACAGGGAATGATTATTAGATAATTGAAAGATCTCTAAAAGGAGGCGATAAAGAAGTCGTATTAGATTTAAAGAAAATATAATTTTTGAAATAATATCATGCAACAATGAAGTTAACAAAGTTAAAGATTTCTGATGATCATAAATTAATAGCATTTGGAGTTGATTTATTAAATAATGAGGACATCATTTGGTTAATGAAATACATAGACGATGAAAGAGTCTTTAGGACAAAGTTGTTTGATTGTTTTGATGCAGCTTTTACAAAGGATAATATGCATTTGGTATATACCTAATATGACGATAAATTCAGACCATATAGATTGATGTTGCATAAGTTGGGAACAACTCAGGAGGAAGATGAGTTGCTATTTGAAGAGAAAGATGAGTAATTTTATTTAGATTTACAACAAACTAAAGATGGAAAATACTTTGTGTTGTTAAGTTAGACAAAGTAAAGCAACGAAGTGATTTTGATAGATCGTGAGGATCCGAAGAAAGTGTAACTCTTGTTTTCAAGAAAGGAAAATGCAATAAATTTAGTTCATCATCATGAAGAGCATGGATTATACATTTTGACTAATAAGAATTCTTATGATTATAAAGTATTAAAACAAGAAGGGGATAAGTTTGTAGATTTCTATTGTCCTTAATAAGGAGAAGTATTGCAAGAAGTAGACCTATTTCATAAGCATTTGGTGTTATACTTCACTAAGGAAAGTGAAAGTTTTATTAAGGTAATTTCATTGCAAGACAAAGAAATTTATAATTTATTTATTCCACCTTCCTTGGTCTATACAAACCATCAATAAAACAAAAAGAATTTATTGAGAAATATTTATGATAGAGTAATAAAAAAAGATAAGTCTCAATATTTCTTGAATTAGAAAGTCTAGAATGAAGTATTAGGAGCCACAATAGAACCTGGAGTGAATCATAATTACAAAAGTGATGCATTTTAGTTTCATCTTAGCACACCATTGGTGTATGATTAAGTTTACTAATACAATTTATCAAATAAATAACTATCTAAGCTTTAAGATGCTAATCTTACCGGTAAGGCATTCAAGAGAGAAGAGTTTACTTGCACTAGATATTATGCTCCCAGCAAAGATGGCACTGAAATTCCAATCACTTTAGTTCACCACAAAGATCTGTAAAAGAACAGACAAAATAAATTGCTTTTACATTCTTATGGGGCTTATGGTGTTCCATAGGAAATACCTTTCAATATTGTTTACCTAAATGCATTGGAAAAGGGATGGACATTAGCATATGCACATATTAGAGGAGGTAATGAAAGGGGACAAGATTGGCATAGATAAGCCATCTAGGAAAATAAAATAAAAAGCATAGAAGACCTACTTGGATGTGCTTCTTATTTGATAGCTGAAGGTTATACTCATCCCTCATTATTATGTGGATTAGGAGCATCTGCTGGAGCAACAACTCTAGGTGCAGCAATTAATATGAGACCAGATCTTTGGAAATGTGCAGTGTTGCTCTCACCATTTTTAGATGTCCTGGGGTCCTTATTGGATGAAAGTCTACCCTTGACTAAATCAGATTATTTGGAATTTGGTAATCCAAACGATAAAAAAATCTTTGATACTATTCTGAGTTACTCTCCTTATGAAAATCTAAAAAAATAAGTTTATCCTGCAATTTACATAAGTGCAGGTACTGGAGATTTCAGAGCTCCTTTATGGAATGTTTTGAAATACACAGAAAAATTGAAATAGATAGCTGTTTAATCCAAAAAGGTTGAAACCATAGGAGATCATCCTCTTATTATTGATATTAATGACGGTGGACATTATGGAGGGGCTGGAGTAATTATTTACACACTATAAATAGGCTTAATCAGTAATTGAGGAGCGAACCAGATATATGACTTTTCTGGATTATTATGTTGGCATAGGCAATAAGGAAATAACAAAGAAGAGTCTTACTTAAGATATTGACGAGTCTATATAATTGGCAGATGAGGAGGACAAGATCTAGAAATAGTGAAACATGTTTTTTATCTATATATTATAATAATTAAAATGAAAGTTTCATTATAAGATTTCGGTTTTCATTAACCAAATGCTCCAGAAATCAATACACCGAGATCCCTTGAGGCTTGTAGAAGGGAAGGAATTTAACCTAATGAAATTGTCAAGATTCCATTTGAAGAGTTTCAAAAGAGATATAAAATGAAAAACTTAGATCACAAGGGCATAGAACAATTTTACAAGCATTACGAAGAAAGAAGAGAAAAGAAATTCGAAGAACTTATTAAATAGAGACATATTGTTCTTGAAGATGAAAAAACTGGTACTCTACTTTATATTTATCTGAAGGGACATGGGGTTCTGATGGGTTGTCTAAGAGTAAGGTGATATCAAAATATGGTTAATAAGAAACATCCTCATTGGTTGAGAAGGAAAAGCAATAATTAGAGAAAATAAAAAAGAAGTAGTAGAAAGAAATTGAAGGAATGCTTGAATATGAATTGAAAATGCAAGAAATACGATTAGAAAATGAAAAGAAGCAAGCTGATGAAATTGCCAAATAATAATAAAGGGATCTTGAATTATAAAAGAAGAGGGCTGAGTAGGAAGAATAAAGAAGGCAAAAGGAGTTAGAGAAATAATAAAAAAGAGAGTAGGAAGAAGAGTTACAACGGTAAAAATTAAAGGAAATGGAAGTGAAGGAAAAAGAACGATTGAAATTAGAAGAACTTAAATAAAAAGAAAGAGAAGAGGAAGCAAAGAAGAAAGATGAAGAACGAAAAGCAATTTAAGAAAAATTAAGAAAATAAAATGAGGAGAATTAAAAAATCTAATAAGAATTGTTAGAAAAAAGAAAATAGGATATGGAACTCAAAGCAGAATAAAGAAGAAAGGCATTAGAAGAATAAAAATAAAAAAAAAAATAAGAAGCAGAATAAATCAGATTATAAAATGAAGAAAGAATCTAATAAGCCAAGTAAAGAAATGAAGTTGAACTCTAAAAATTAAAAGATGTATATTTTAATAAATGATAAGCATAGGATTTTGATAGAAAAATCAAATTAAGTGAAATCAAATAAAAGCAATATGAAGAAGAAAAACAAAAAAAGTATGAACAGTAAAGAAAAGAGGCAGAAAAACATTCTGAATTGTTTTAGAAAGTTATTGAATAAAACAATCTTATGGAATAAGAAAAGAAGAATCAATATTTAAAGAAAATACAAGAAGCAGAAGAAAGAAGAAAATAAATTGAGGAAGAATTAGAAAAAGAAAAAGAATTGAAAAGATAATAAGAAAAAGAAAAAGAATAATAAAGAAAATAAGTTCTATTATAAAATGAAGAAAATAACAAATAAAAAATAGATGATTTAGTTAAGAAGATTAATGAAAAGGAGGAGATTCTAAACAAAATCTAAGAGGAAAGAAATGAATAGCTTCAAGATAGAAAAACTGTGGATATATTGAAAAGGTTTGATAAAAGAGAGAATGTAGAAAGAATTATGAGAAAATAGGAGTATGATAAATAAAAATTATAGGAAAAAATTGTTGAAAAAATGTAAAGAGCAGATAAGCTGTCAGAAGATCTTGATTAATTACTATCTTAAAGACATAATTTAAGAAGAGAAATTGAAAAATAAAAAAGGGAAGTTATGATCAAATTTGAAAAGGTGAGAGAAGGCAAACTTCCTCCAACTGAAATTTAAAAATAATTAGGTATGACTGAAGCAGATGCAAAACTTATTAATTAAACTAACCCCTATCGTACTTTTTCATCCACTCGACCTAAAACTAATTAAGCTAAAGAAAGACCTGATAAATTACAATCTGTTAGACCAGCTAAAATATAATCTGCTAAGCCTGAACCAATCAAAGTAAAAGATAAAGTTGATCTTAAAACAACATAGCCTGTTTTTGAGTAGTTGGGTAATTTAATATATCAAATTTAGCTAATAAAACTACACCTAAATTCCATAAGAAAATGGATGCAAAGAAAAAATCTGAACCCACTAGACCAGAACCTCCGAGTCCTTAAATTCTTATATTCCTTAATAAAATGGTTCAAAAACATAATTAAGATATGATGAGGTTATTAATGGAAGAACATGCAAATGAAAATTTAAGAGATGAAAAGTTAAATTAAGTAAAAGGAGAAGAGAAAGCCAAGCTTGAAAAAGAATATGCTTTAGAAAGAGTTAAAGCTTAACTCAAAATTGAAAAGTTAAAATAAACATAGGATTCAGAACAAAATTAATATAAACTCACTCATAACATTTTTGAAATTGATATTATTAGATGAAATAACTTGTTTATGATGATATTCAAATTTTATATTATTATTTGCTATCTTAATTAGCATCAACATACATATTTTGTGATATTGATTATATTTGCAGTATTTATTTTAGCTTTGCCTTATAGATATTTCAAATTCTAAGTTAAGCCTTATATAATGTTAGAAAATTAAATTAATCATTTTGTTGGATCAAAATCCTAACTAAAAAGTTATATTGGAAAATTTTACTATAAAAAATTTTTTTTCCATCACATGCATATTTTTCATCAATTAACTACTATTTCATATTGATAGGATGTCATATTTTGCGGTTTAACATTGACTTCTGTTAATTCTGTGTTATTTCAGAACCCAAAAGAAATTTTTCAATTATTTTCAAATCTCACTAAAAGTTCCTTTAAGTATATGACAATAATATGAGAATATTTTTTTATATTTTAATATAATTAATATAAATATATTCGAATAATTTCAATTAATTAAATAATAATAAATATATATGATAATAAGAAGCATTTGCCTTGTAAAAAATACGAACTATGTTTTTTTATAATTTTTATTTTCACCATGAAAATTTATAAAGTTAATTATAAATTATGGTTATTATAGTCATCCAAACAACAAGAGTGAAATAATTGCAGCAAAAACAGCAAAAAATGATTTTAATTTTTTTTTCATTTTAATTAAATTTATAGCTAATAGATTATTTAATAGGAAGAATTAATTTATCTAAAAATTATAAAAAAGAATATGATGATTTAACCCGACTACTTTTTGAATTAATATGAGTTTATAAAAAACAAATAAAATCAAATCATATTTGGTTATTCAAAGATTAAAAACTTGAAATCATCAATGTCTGATGATTTTTTTTAATCATTTGCTATGACTTTCCTTATCATCTTCTTTTTCTTCTAATGCAACAAATTAATTTTTTCTTCAATCGTATTTGCACACAGAAATCTAATTACATTAACTTATTTCTTTTATCCAATTCTATCCGCTCTTCCGATGGCTTGATCTTCAATGGCAGGCTAAAGATAAAAATAGATAAATACATTCCACCACGGATCAACCAAGAAAACGTGATTAGCCATAGTTAAATTTAATCCAGTAGACGTGGCTCTCAAAGATAATATTAAAGCTGTAAAGGCAGGATGCTATTCGAATGATTGAATAACCTTATTTCTTTGTTCTACAGACATAGCTCCTGTGACTACTTAACACCATATCTCTTCTTCTTGAAACTTTTCTTCAAGTAATCTAATCATATCTATCCATTAAGTGAAGATTAAACACTTTTCTCTTTTGAGTTGTACCTTTTTTGTTTCATTAACAACAGCAAGCATTTTACTACTAGGTCCCCATTTGGTTTCTTTGATTTCTTAAACTTCTATAGAATTACTCTGAACACTCATAATGTCTTTCAAGCATAATCTTTTAGAACAGGTTGGACATTCTCCAATAGTTTCTATAACTTCTTTGAAACAACTAATAATGTATAAATAAATGATACTTATGACAATAGACATGCCCACATATAGAGATATCAAATGTAGTGATTCCATCTTCAGAACAGAGTGTGCAATCATTTAAATTGCCTCTTTATATTAGATCTATTAATTATTATCGTTATTTATCTGAAATTTCCTAATCGCTTGATTTTTATTTGGCAANAAATATATTCGAATAATTTCAATTAATTAAATAATAATAAATATATATGATAATAAGAAGCATTTGCCTTGTAAAAAATACGAACTATGTTTTTTTATAATTTTTATTTTCACCATGAAAATTTATAAAGTTAATTATAAATTATGGTTATTATAGTCATCCAAACAACAAGAGTGAAATAATTGCAGCAAAAACAGCAAAAAATGATTTTAATTTTTTTTTCATTTTAATTAAATTTATAGCTAATAGATTATTTAATAGGAAGAATTAATTTATCTAAAAATTATAAAAAAGAATATGATGATTTAACCCGACTACTTTTTGAATTAATATGAGTTTATAAAAAACAAATAAAATCAAATCATATTTGGTTATTCAAAGATTAAAAACTTGAAATCATCAATGTCTGATGATTTTTTTTAATCATTTGCTATGACTTTCCTTATCATCTTCTTTTTCTTCTAATGCAACAAATTAATTTTTTCTTCAATCGTATTTGCACACAGAAATCTAATTACATTAACTTATTTCTTTTATCCAATTCTATCCGCTCTTCCGATGGCTTGATCTTCAATGGCAGGCTAAAGATAAAAATAGATAAATACATTCCACCACGGATCAACCAAGAAAACGTGATTAGCCATAGTTAAATTTAATCCAGTAGACGTGGCTCTCAAAGATAATATTAAAGCTGTAAAGGCAGGATGCTATTCGAATGATTGAATAACCTTATTTCTTTGTTCTACAGACATAGCTCCTGTGACTACTTAACACCATATCTCTTCTTCTTGAAACTTTTCTTCAAGTAATCTAATCATATCTATCCATTAAGTGAAGATTAAACACTTTTCTCTTTTGAGTTGTACCTTTTTTGTTTCATTAACAACAGCAAGCATTTTACTACTAGGTCCCCATTTGGTTTCTTTGATTTCTTAAACTTCTATAGAATTACTCTGAACACTCATAATGTCTTTCAAGCATAATCTTTTAGAACAGGTTGGACATTCTCCAATAGTTTCTATAACTTCTTTGAAACAACTAATAATGTATAAATAAATGATACTTATGACAATAGACATGCCCACATATAGAGATATCAAATGTAGTGATTCCATCTTCAGAACAGAGTGTGCAATCATTTAAATTGCCTCTTTATATTAGATCTATTAATTATTATCGTTATTTATCTGAAATTTCCTAATCGCTTGATTTTTATTTGGCAAAAAAGTTTTCTATACAATATTTAATTTCATCAATAGAATTTGTATCTAGGTTAATCCCTTTTAAGGCTATTGAGGGATGATCACAAGTCATTCTTAATTTATTAATAATTTGAAAGATATGCACAAATTATCTGCTTTTTTCTGAATTTAAGTAAACTTTGAACAATTATTGAGTTCCCTCGAAAAATTTATCGTAAAGTGCTCTTTCTTTGTTTTCTAATTTAACCCAACAGATGGATTCATTTATTTATAATTAATTCTGATTGTTTAACTATTATTTGGTTCTTCTTAGAATGATTGGTTTGATTATCTCTCCCAAGATGCATTGTTGTTCTTCCTCGTTTTCTTCTTTGTTGATATATGCATTCCACCAATAACTATTATGATAAATAAATAAAATACTATTCACCAAAGGTTTCTACTCTCAAAAACGATAACAGACTAAACAAATCGTCATGTTTGTTTTATATGGGAGTACCAGTCAAACACCATCTGCATTCACTCTTCAAAGCCATTGCACTTCTTGTTTATAGAGTGCTCTTAGTTTTGATATTGTGAGCTTCATCTAGGATAACTCTATAATATGTAAAGTCGAATAAATTAGTGATTTTTCCTTGAGTATTTTTCTTTGTTTTTGTTCCACATTCATAATCATTTTAACTTATTTCTATAGGTTCGCCAAAGAATTAAGACTTTTCGGATTTAGTTTATTTTAAGTCAAAAATAGATTTGAATTCTTCACTTTAATCATTGTTCTAACAGAAATCTTGAGAATCTAATTCAATTTCAAAACTATCATTTAAGATTTAAGTCTCATTACTAATTTTTGATTCTTTTAGATCTTTTGGGTCCTTAGTTTCTTTATTTTCTTTTTATTCATTATCAGGTTTCGTCCTTACTCTTTATTATATTTCATTATCTTCTAATCCATTCTCTTTAAGCCAATTAGAATAATTCTATGCTACAACTGTATACGTAGTCAAAATAACATCGTAATTAGAGAAAACAACCTTCTTATTTCTATTTGAAATCTTATAGAATACCAAAACCTGAAGACTATTAGGCAAGGAATGCTTTTTGATTTCAGCTTCCCACTATAACAAAACCGATTTCGGAACAATGATTAATGTAACTCTTCCTTTTTTTTAAGTTTACAAAATCAAAGCCAAAGTCATAATAGTTTTACCTAGTCCCATTTCGTCTGCGAGAATTCCTCCCTTGGTTGAATTATAAGATTAAAATTCATCGGTGATTTTACCGGTAAAGGTATTCATGTATAATTTTTTACCATTCTCTAAAAGAACCTCCTCCCATAAAGGAGACAATTACCATTAACTATTATCTTTAGCTTCTTAATTTTTTGGATTTGATAATATGCCTTCTCTCCACAACATCCAAGTTAAAGCTTATTTCTAATGTTGTTTCAATTCACAAACCATAGTTTTAGGTTTAGGGTGTTCATATAATTCTTAATCTTTACTATTTAAAAATGAGTTAATTTCATTCTCATTGACTTCTTCAGACAATTTTAATTTACCTGTACAAAAATCTATCATCTTTTAGACTTGTTCTCTTCTATTGATATCCAACTATTTTAATGATTGCTAATATTTTTGACAATCACATAAATTCCCTGAAGAAATCTATAATTCAAAGTATTCTTTTTCTTTCTTATGAGTTATCCCTCCCACAATAACCTAGATGAATGGGTTTTAAATCTCTTTATATAAAGATGAATTCTCAGCATTAAGTGACAGAAATGTCTTTACACTCAACTATTCTATATTATCCACCTTGTATCTCAACTCATTCAGTTTATCAATGCTTGGTTGATGATTATGAAATCCCTGACATAATGATTGATAAGTGCAACTCAATTTGAGAAACAACAACTCAAAACAATACTTCTAATAATTCTACTGTTTGTGTTCAGCCACATGTTTAGTCGATGTAGATATAAACTTCTATATTTCAAGCAATAGAGTATTCATGTATTTTTTAAAGTATACATTCTAATAGATGGGTACATCCTATTGGACTGGAGTAAATTACGATTCTTCATTAGTGTAATATTTATTTTTTGATAAAAACAAACAGGAGCTCTTAAAATCTTTGAGAGAATATAATTTATTAGAAAATGCTGAGTTTTACAATGAATTCCTGTAGTACTCGTTATTTGTAATGATTACTCTTGCAAAATCTTTGAAAGTTAGATCAAGTCTAAGGGGTTATCCCATTTGAAGGGAATGAAATTTCTCCAATTGAGTAAAAAATATCTTAACGTACTTGTCTGATTTGATCATTGCTGGTATTGTTCTTTAGAGATTCAACAAATCGAATAAGAGTAGAAGGGATAAGCGAGCAAAGTATTGTAAGTCTACATTGAGATCCTCTTCTGATTCGGCATATGAAAATCTTTCTCTGCTCACGAAGCCGTCTTAGAATGCTTTTTGATTGAATTTGGATAGATCAAATTAATCAGTTAAGGCATTCTATTTCAAATAGACATCTAATCGGATTTATCTTAAATTGTCTGGGTAATTGAAATTCACTTGTCTTGCAATTACTTTAATATAATCTACTGTTAATAAAAACCACCAGATTTCATCATAGCAATGTGAAATTCTTCCATTGATTTATAATGGTTTGTAATGAACCTGTTTTCCAATCTTCTTTTATTTCAGAACCAAAGTGGATTGTTTGAAATACTTGGTTTTAGTTACAATGTATGTTGATATATTTTCATTTTTTAATGAGCCAATAGGAGTGCTAAAATCAATCAATTGAGGACATAGAAATGCTTTGTCATTAGGATCCAATTCAATAAAGGAATTAGGCTCATAATAGTATGGTGCCAGTAAACTTCCTAAATAATACTTGGATTCTTTCTTCATCTATTAATAAAATTTAAGGAGGGTAAGATGAATTGTTTAGTATAAACATCATTATCCTGTTATTTTTTTTCTGTTTTACACACAAATAAAATATCAACTATAATAGTAAGCTATATAATAAGTAATTTATATTAAAATAATATTAATATTAATCATTCTGGTTCTTCTTCTTCAGACTCTTCTTCAATTAATCCGATATCATCTAAACTTGTTATAAATGATAGATACAATTAGGTTGTGATTGAGTAATGAGTGGTCCATCTGTCATTTCATCAAAAACCAATTCAAATTTGTTGTCAAGGTAATTTTCACAAATAATCTTTTTGGGATTATAGAAGTTTGGAGGTGGAAAGATGGGATCCAATGCAATTCTTAAATAATATCTGATAAATACTTGAAGGCATTATCGAGCATCTGAGGTATCAATTTAGATAGTAAAGGACAGCAAATTTCGATCGAAGGGTTTGTGTTAGCCTCGATCATTTTAACATTAAAAGTGTCATCTATCATAAAATCCAATCCAAATATTTCAAAAGTGTTCTCTCTCTTATTCTAATCTATTTTACCATATACGGCTTTAAATTATTCAGTTGCCATTTACTACACTAGTAATTATTAAAAATTACCTTCATTTTTGCATAGATCTTACTGAAATCCCCTCCGAGATTCTCAACATATACTGAAAATTCTTCAAAACTAACTTTGTTGCCTTTTTCGTATTTTCCATAATCTTCTCCTTTTTTCTAAACAGCATCGTTGGTTAAATGAATCATTTTATTAGTAAGATTTTTCATGGTGAATTCTTTACTCGATGTTCTGACATACCCTTCAGTGTACCAGTAGCCTTTTTGATTTCCGTTAATAGATGCATACATGCTATAACATCTTATATCAAATTTGCGTTTATTATAAAGCAAAGGTCTATCAATGTACAATTGCACAATAAAGGTTTTATAACTTCCGTTCTTATGCATTTCTCTTGAATTTAAAATGGATTGAATTTCATTGAGATCCTCTGACACCTTTATACCATTGCCTCTGTTTGTAATTTCACCAGGCTTGATAATCCAAATATTTCTGCGTTTATTCTTTTCATCACTTTCCTGATTGATCAACTATTATCTTTCTTTATATGCTTCCATGAATTGATGATATTCTGGTCCATCAAGACTTTTGATGTGATATGTGACAGGCAGATTCTCAAATACATTTAAGTTTTATGATTCATAGTATGCTTTCATATTATAAAACAAAGCTTTCTTATTTCCCAAATGAAAATTGTTCTCTAAGTGATTATGTGCTTTAACAGGTTCATTATATATCGAAAGTTTTGGTTTTACGGCCTGAGCCTACTCTAAGGTTAACAATTTTGATTGTCTTCCTTGACCATTCAGGATTGTACTGAATTGTCTTAATTCAGCATTTGATAGGAACTTGTTCCATTAGTTATTGATCTTTTGTATGGCATCTACTTTAATCTATTCACTTTCGCTCTGTTCGTCTTATTTCGAAAAACCCAAACTAACAGAACCAATAGTCGTGAGGGAAGAGGAAGCACTTTGACAACTCATGGATTCATTAGGATTTCTGTTTAAGGCTTTCATGTTTTCATGTATAGTATTAACTTTTAATTGAGTCCAAACAAAATGACATGATTCCTGTTCATCCTGAATACTCCACCACCATCTACTCTTTAGTATCTATCTGACCAACATCCCGTTATTACCTTTTCCGACATATGCCTTGTAAATATTTTAATTTGGTGAAACAAAAAGACAATTAGATAAATTCATAACATTGAAGTAGTGTCTCATGGATGCATATCTTTCTTAAAAGAGGAGATCTTAAGGATATTTAGGATCAAAATAATAGATTCCATCAAATTTCTTTAATTTCTTCTTTTTAAGGCCTGGTAATTAGGAGGTTGTTTGGTTCTGAGTAGCAACTTACATCACTGTTGGAGCATTTCCCATAGGTTCGACTTTAATATTCCTTGAAGTTTTGATTAATTATGAATTTTATCTTGCTTATTTAGTTGTGCGGAGTGTGTCTGTTTCAATTTGAGTGGTGTGTTTTTCCATTTGCAATCTAATCTTCTGAACGATTTCTTTTTCGAGCTTGTTGTCCATTGAGTTATTTAAAAAGGAATCCTAGAATTTATTTCTTTCTACAATGAATAATTAATAGTACAGATTATGTGAATTGGTTTGGATGAGATGTTCAAAGTGGATATGCCATCACTCTGGGGAAATATCTACATGAACCTTCCTTATTAATATTTTAAATGATTCGATTTCTTTGACTTCGGTGAGTTGACATGGTTGTTTGCTATGACATTTAAATGGGAAGTCTTACATTTCTTTTTCTTGATATGTTGTATTTGTTTAAGAACATGAATATTGTTGACTTTCTCTATTTTGGGTAAAATTTATTGTGCTGGACTTTCAGACCTGTCGAATTGATCGTATTTGTATTGAGTAAATAGTTTCGGACTAAAATCTTTCTTTTTTATAACTGCTTTTATTGAATCCTTAATTAGTTCTTGTACTCCCGGTGATTTTAATAGTTATTCCATTGACCGATGCTTTGATGGAGTCAAGAATTCAGTTGTCGATTACTGCTGTTATTTCTGCTATGCCTAATTGATCATTTGACTTATGCTGAAGTTCAGATTGGGCATTGAGAACTGCTCTGTTTTATCCTGAATTAACAAGTTCATTATCAATAAATATTATTATATAAAATAACAATCTCAATGTTGATGTATTGATTATTGATCCAAGTTTAATGGGAGAGTCAACCTCCACTATTGGAACACCATCATAATCTGTTTCATTTTTATATGAGTTAATAATATAAATTTGGCTTATAGATTGATATTATGGTGTATTCTAAATGACACTGTGGTTCTATGAGAAAATGAAGTAAATACAATTATTTTAATAATAAATTATATGTTAATAAATTTGCTTTTAGTTTTCATTTATTTTGTAAATAGCAAGAATATTAAAGCAAATCGTAATTTCAAGGTTCCTTAAATTACTGGGGATTATTTAGTGAAATGTAAGAATGTGTTTACTTATTATTTGGAATAAAAAAACAAAATAGTTTTGGAAGAAGAGTTCTAAGCTGAAAAAACAGAGATCGATCATATATCTGCTGCCGATATCCAAGGCATTGCAGAAGACAAACCAATTATATTTGAAAGCCCAATCTTATTGCAATCTGGACCAATCAGATCAACAACCTTGTACAACCAATTTGGTTTTGTTCAAACATGGACAATCCTACATCATGATGATTTCGAAAACAGGAACTCCATGATCGGTTGGAATATTCCTCACAGAGCTTATTGTGAACTTAAGGGAATCCATTATACTGATGCAGAAGGCTCTCTCCAAAATGATCATTTCATTCATGAAGCCAATTGTAATGTTAATAACCCAAGTCTTCAGAAAACGTACAATACCAATATAGAACATAATCATATTAGAGTCAGTGCAGAATTAACTATCTTCGGAGATTGGAATGGAGATAGCATCAATGTCTTAATTGACAATAAGGTTGCATGGAGCAAAGTGTTTTAAGGGGAAATCACTTAAGCAGAACATCCCTGTCCTGCTTTATTTGCACTTGGAATTCCTGTTTAATTTACTATGGAGCATAAGACTCATGAATTTACAATATCCTTTTAGGCTAATCATAAAAGACATCCGTGTGATGGCAGCTTCGGAGTTGATGATATAATAGTTTATTATAAATAATGAAAATTAATTAATGTAACAATTATTGAAGCCTTCACTCAATTTCGATTTCTAAGAGGCCTTATTTGAAGATAACCCTAAATTAACCTCGTAAATCAAAGCCCAATAAAAGAACGATTTACTCAATCAATCATTTAAAAATTAATATAATAAAGGAAATCGCAAAAACATAGTGAGACCACGGAGTTCCTCGGGATATAGACAGTCTTAAAATAATCAAAATTTAAACCAATACATTAAGGCAGTGCGTTCTAAACAAGTGAAATAATAGCAAAGTTCTCCATAACATTATTCTACCAAATAAATGATATTTGATAAGAATAAAACATTACTAGCAGCCTCGAACATATAACCTAATTTGTACATCCCTTACTAATATAACATACTGACTAAACAGTCTTATTATACAAGATAATAACAAATGGCCAATATTAACAACAAATAATAAAGTTAAAAATAAAATTAAAATAATTTTAACAGTGCAGGTATTTTTGATTGGGATGATGATGACGATATGGATAATCGTTTCTATATTTCTGGAAACACAGTAAAAATTCACAATTCAATTTATGAGTCTATTGAAAAAGCAAATATGCAATTGTTCCTTTAGAAGTTGAAAAAATCAAATATTATTGAAAATTCTATAAAATAAAACCAAGATATCTTAAAACAACAATAAAGAGAAATATAATAAAAGTTTGATAATATTGAATAATTGAGGATGACTTAATTAGTTTAGAATAATTTAGTTTTATCTTAAGTTACAAATTACCATTAGGAAGAATATAAAAGTGGAAAAGAACAATAAAAGTAAACTCCAAAGAATCCTATTTAACTCATTGAAAGCGAAAATAATTATGGTTATGGATATGAAGAGGAAAGCTTTGAGATCGATGAAGAGAGTAAAGTATAAAATAAGGAATAAGAAATTTCTAAGGTTTCAAAGCAATAACTATAATAAGATCAATCTAAGCAGTCTTAGATTAAATTAGATTAAGACAATAATAGTAAGAAAGTTAAATCTAATGAAAGCTTGACTAAGACATCCAATAAAGTAATATTTAAGGCGAAAAATGCTCAAGAAAGAAAATAAGAATTGATGAATATGAGATCTGAATTAGAAAAGTATTTGTTGTAGAATAACACACAAATTTCTAAGGTGTTCCAAGAATTGTAAGAAACTAAAGAAAAAGAGAGAGTTATGATTGAGGTAAGTACGAAGAGGCAGGAAGAACTATCTTAAGCAAAACTCACATTGAAGTAACTATAGGAAAAATTTAGTAAATAACAGCAGATTGTTGAAGTAATCATATAATCAATATAATCTAGGAGTTGAATTAGAAAGAACATTATGCTAATTAAATCATATAGAAGCTGACTGAAAATAAACAAAAGTATAATCAATTGTGGGAGAGTTAAATAGAAAAATACATGGCATGCAAAGTAATAGCTAGATTTTTGAAGGGAAGAAGAGATAGAAAATTATTTGCATAATTAAAAAGAGAAAGCTTTATTAATAGATTAAAACAATGATTATAAATTTAATTATAAAATGGCAAAATTTATCGATTATTTAGTTGATACTGGCATTATTGCAAACAACAAGCAAATATCAACCAACAATATGATGTTTGAGCTATCAGATTATTTGAAAAATCTAACTGCCTCAGATTCATTTGATATGGCCAACAGAATATATGATTGTTGGAAATTAAAATTAAAGCAAAAATAAAACCCAACATGCTTAGTTAAGATAATAACAAAGATAGCTTTAGGAAAGCCATTTAGAATATTGAATTCTTAAAAGAATTTGAGCAGTCCCTAGCAATTTAGAAATTAGTAAAGGTCACTTAGCTAACAATAGCTTTAATATTAATCTCCTTTAGATAAATGCAAACTAAGTTAAATGGGTTTCAATGATACATGTGAGAGATTGTACTAAGATGGAATAGCTTAGAAAGTAAAAAAGTAAAATTATACTAACTGACATAGAGAATAATTTGAGCAAGAGAAATGCAAATAAGAATTAAGAGATTGCACCTTTAAGCCTTAGATATCAGCTGAAAAACTGGGTACTAATGATACTGAAGTCTTTGATCGTTTATATAAGAGTCAACTTGCATGCAAAAATGACTTTTCAGAAGTGAAATAGAAACAAGAAATTGTTTAGTGTACATTCACTCCTTAGATTACTAAATAATAGTCGATTTCAAACTATTAACCTATAGAATAAATTTTTGAGAGACTGTTTTAAGAATCTGTCAATAGAAATAATATGAAATTGAGTTTGGCTCCAACAAGAGAAGAAAGGGAGCTGTAGTAATGTACCTTTAAGCCTCAAATATCTTAGAGATAATTGAATAGAAGTGGTGATGACAGTAATCAATAATTACAACTTAAATAGTTTTTGCAAGATTACATAATGAATCAGCTGAGAAATAGCAAATAAAGGCCTTTTAAAAACTTGAATCTGAGACAAAGGAATTAGAAAGCTGTACATTTAAGCCTAAAATTAATACTCATTCTAATTTTTCTCCGAGTTCTCAGCCTGCCTTTGATAGATTATATATGTTGTCATCTAAATCGAAATAAACAGGATTGGATGAAAGTCAAAAAAGATAGAAGACAAATCCAAAAACAATAGGGACAAATGAGTCACTTTACGAAAGAATGAAAAATCATGTAAACAAAAGGAAACGCACTTTGAATTTAATACAATAAGAATATGACAAAGAGTTAACATTTAAACCTAATATTAATTTAAGATAAGGAAACCTTTAAAGTAGATTAGAAAATAGGAATTAATCTGTAGCTTCAGTGAAATCAGAGACAAAGTTAAAACCAAACCTAAATTAATCACAATTATCCTCAATAAGGTTATACAATACAAGAAAGTCATAGTAAGACAAGGAGAATGATAATCTCACAGTGCTCACTGAAACTGCACATTTTAAGAACGACTAGAAGAAAAAGCAAAGTATTTAAGACTTATGATATATATTTATATATGGGTGTATAAACTACTATTAATATATCTAGAATAAGAAGAGTATTAAAATTAAAGTATAATTATTAAATCATATTTAATGTAATACAATTTTGGAATACTCTATAAACCATTATTAATTTTAATAAAATATTTAATGATAAATAGGTTGTAAGTTGGATACCTCGTAATTGGATTTACAGCAGGATTTTATTTTGCAATCAACTTGGATCAAGCATATTACTTCTCTTTGCATCATAAGTTGTTCTTGCCTTTAAGAGATGAAATAAACAAGACTGATAGAACATTTTCAACAGTGTTTAATACTTTCAAACAGGGGATCAAGAATGCTTATGATGATATTTGAGTTAATATAAAAATATTAATGAATTTAAATTATATTGACAATTATGGTTAACCATCAGATGTCTCATCATAAAAGCAGAAGCCATCGAGTATTCATAATTCCCACAGAGAATACACGTTTGCTCCATATAATTAAAATTAAGTAGTTAATATGAGCGCAAAGTAATCCCAATAAGATTCAAATTTTATAAACAGGTATCATAATAGTAGCCTACCTCCTAATAATTATACCAAAAAGAAATCGCCCAGTCAGCCTACTTCATATTTGAATAAATTGAAATAACAATATGCTCCATTATAGTCAACTCAATCAACACATCATAGTAATCATAATCAATCAGTTGAAAGTGATCACCAGAGTTATGAACAATTGATGATTTACAATAACCTATTGAAATTGGAGTTGGAAAAAAAGTTGTTTAATTGTGGAGTTTTTGTTATCAAATAAAATAATGGGAAATGTGTTGACTTTTATATGGAATTAAAAAGACAGAAGGATTATTATGAAAACTAAATCTAATAATTATAAGGAGTCATTTAAAACTATGATAACAGGCCTAATGAATACATTGACCTCTCTGAATATCAGCGTTAGAATCAGGAATTAAGTAAATCAATAGAATAGGCCATCTCAAAATTAACCTTAGCCAATCAAACTATAAATCAATTAGAACAAGAGAAGGAGTCCTTGCTAGATTATGTTGACAAGTAGAAGGATATTGCTGAACAATTAAAATCATAAAATGATCAGAAGGATTTAAAACAAAAGGAAATGAAAATTATGATCTTACAATTATAGAAGTAGATAGAACAGTACAACATTGAATTGATGGACAAAGAGGAATTCATTAAAGAAATTAGTGAAATGCAAAATAAGAACAAAAATTTATTACAGGATGAAATTATAAAATATCAATAATAAATTACTATGCTTCAACGATAACTATAAGATTATGAACAATAAAATAAGGATTTAAGTAGAAAATTTAATGATAGTGCATCTTAAATACATATGATAATTAGACAATCTGATGACAAATAAAGTTAACTTCAATTTACACAGATGTAAGATAATCATAGTGTTTGTGAGTTTGATAGCAACTTGAAATCATCAAGGAACACTAACCTTATTCAAAAGTAACAATAGGGTTTGGATTAAATGATAAAAATCAATAAGCAAACACTCTAAGATTTTTAGCAGTAATTAATGTTACATCAAAAATTAGGGGAGTATCAAGAGAAATTGAGTAATCAACTATCATAGATTGAACAATAGAATAAATAACTGATTGCAATTACATAGTAGCATTAAGAGGTGCTCTAATAAAATTCTAGTCTCTTAGAAAAAGAAGCTGATCTCAGTAGGGAGATTCAAAATTTGAATTAGAAAATTGAAAAACTTTAATAGGAAAGATAGGAATAAGTTGAGTAGATGGAATTATTATAGCAGTAAGTTTTTGATTAGAATCAAATAAATTAAGATTTAAACACTTAATACTTTAAATAAATCGATGAATTGTAAAATGCCAATCAAATCTAATAAAAATATAATACATTATAAATTAAGGTTTAAGCAGATGTGGAATATTATGAGAAGTAAATCATACTTTATATTTTAGCATAATTAGTGATTTTAATTGTCAATTGATTAAAATTTAGAAGAAGATAGAAGACATATTTAGTAAATTGCAAGTCTTTGACCTAAGTAAGATCTAAGCGAATGATATCTCAACTAATACTATACTGGTATCTCTTGATCATCTAGAGACTTTGGTCAATAGGAATCTTGGGTGTAATAAGATTTAACTAAACACTTCTAATCAAATCAATAATACTTAGTTAAATTTCTCAACCAACCAGACTCCCACTAATATGGTGCATAATAGCAAGTACTTTTCAAATGAGTGTTTTGACAGCAATCAAAAAAACAGTATGTTGAGCAACTTAAGCAATCATAATAAACCATATTTAGTGAAGAGGAATTACTATTTATGAATTTTATTTATTTATATGCTTAAATCAAATAAACTAACCTCTGACTCAGCTTTAACCACCAACAGACCAACCAGTCGCATAGATACGTCCTATTTAAATAGAGGATACTCTTAACATTCCTAAAACTAAAGTACAAATAAGAAATTGTGGATAAAAATTAATAAAGTCACTGAAGATGCTGCTGATACTAAACCTTATATTGCAATCGAAAAGTAAAGGAATGCTTATTCTTGTCACATCAAGGTAAGTGTAATACTAATTTCCATTAGCCATCCATAAATAGGAAGACAAGTTGTGAAATAAAAAATTAAATAGATTTTAATGAAATTAAACATTTCATAAAAGAAGTCGATGATCAATATGAGGATGAACCATTTACGAAAAAGGCTAATCAACAATAAAAATAGCAATATTAAAACGAAAAGAGACTAAATCATTTAAACTTAATATTGGCATCATATAGGGACAGGATTAAAAGTAGAAATATATCAAATGACATAGAACCTAATAATTAATAAAGTATTTATATAATTTGATGAATACAAGAATATAACAATAAAATTAAGATAAGATCAAAGTAGATTGCAATCATAAAGTACATAATTAATAAATCTTAGATAACATTCAGACAACAAAATAGGCTTCAAAATCTCAAAATTGAAATAACAGGACGCATCATAATAGCTGATTTACAGCAACTATATTAAAGTACTAAATGATTTAAATTTTATGATTTTAGTCCTTTAGAGCCTCTTCTGATTATATTGTGAATTAAATCCCACATATGCCTTCGTAATAGATATCAAAACTAACTGAAGAATTAGGGAATCCAGAGAATTATAAGTAATATAATGACTACTAATCAATTTAGTTTAACAAGTGATAGACTTGAGAATTCAAAAGAACTTAGTGGAAGGCCTATGACATCTATGAAATGGATAGTAAGAAGAAACAAGAAGAATCCTGATGAAATAGACAATCAATTATTTATGGATGAATCAATGATTAGCGAGACTGAAGGTATATCATTTGTTTCTATTAGGCTAGCAAAACTGAATTCTTTATATGGAGAAAGTATTTAAATTTAAAAGAATTTATTGTAGAACTAGAAAAGCAGTCCAATTAAAGTAATTAGTGCGATTAAAAAAATGGATTAGATTAAATCTATTATCAATAACGTTAACTCAAATAAATTGATGAATAAGTTTTTAATATGAATAAAATTACACGCTCATATTATTTTACATATTCTGCAACTATATTATTACATTTACTTACTTCTAAGTTTAACCCATGCCTGACCAATTAAACCATTTGTTACACTGATACATATAAACAAGCCTTTTCAATTAGGCTATAAAGAGTTTAATAGTTTTGTTTATGTGTTATATTTGGCATTAGTAAGATAGGAGTGTAAATGTCAGTGTTTCAAATTCACCTAAATTTATTACAGGGAATTTTAGATGCAATCAATAAATAGGATCATAGTTTATTCTGTTAAGGATAATTGGCATTTAGAAAAGGGGCTTTTATTGATCGAGTCTGTAAGATCTTATCAGAATCAGCAGCTTTATTATATTAATAAAATTTTCCGAAAGATCATATTATAATCATTCATCTAAATTTAAAAAGGTTTCCTTTAACAGTCTTATTGGTTTTCTAACGCTTTTTCCGACAACTTGACCGTCAACTGTTACATCTCTATACAATAATATTGTTAGATAATCAATAGTAATTCCATAAATATGAGAAAAGAATTTTGTAACCTAAATTATTATATTTGAATTTTTTACAAGGTAGGACGAAAAAAATGAAAACAATAGAAAATAAATTGGAGCTTCTATAATTATAGTTGTTCTATTATAGATCAAGAGTAAATATGTAAATGACATGCATAGAATTGATATAGTAAGACAGCATGAATTCATAAATAATTGGCCATGTTATTAAATCTACGTATGCTTCAATAGTTTTTGGTCAAATAGATATTAACTCTTTGCATTTTATAGAAAGCCTTCAGTTCTTATAAAAGACAGTAAGTACGCCCTCTCATTTATAGATAGAATATTTTATGTTAGATTTGACTCTTAATAATTAGGATTGTTGAGCATCCTCAAATATATTTTTATTAATGTTCTTGGTATCCATAATAGGGTAATCAACACTTGGCCTAAAATTATTACCCCAATATTTTTGAAAATCAATTTCTTTAGAATTTGCACTATCGAATTTTCCTCATTAAATTAATGGCTATTTGATTTTTAATTCACAAAAACCCTATACTGTTTAAGCATGATGCCGATTATAAGAAATTTGCTAATACCTGAAATTACCAAAAGAATTAGTAGTAAGCCTAATATATGAATAATCCCAAATGCATAGGCAAGTAAATTGAGTTGAAAAGTATTAAAAGGGTATCTATCTGTTGTCACATTTCCGATTGTCAAGATTGAACTATTTAAAAATAATTTGATTACTTAGCAATTAATACCCAAACGAAAAGGAGTCCTGCATTAATAACTCCGAAAAATATGGGTATGAAGTAAAATTGTTGAAAATTAGATTGACTTTTAACTTGGTAATCTAGCAATGCTTGAGACGAATAATCATAAAAATTATTGACAATTGTAATCTTAAATCCAATGGTCTAATATTTCTTATAATTATAAATTAAATCCGAAAAATAATATATTGCAAGGATGGCAAAGAAAATACCCAAAATTAAAGGTAAAAAATTGATAGTGAAATTTGAGTTTTCATTTTACACAATGCTAACCACTTCTGGAAGTGTTAATTTTGCATTTTTATTGGCTTATTGCAATTTGATTTCAAAAAAATAATTATTGATACACAAAAAAGCTTATAGACTAAGCATCAATATTAATGTCACTTAAATAATCCAGATAGTTTTCTATTGTAATTTTATCAGTAACACATATACTATTTAACTATCAAATGATTAGGTTTAAATACTTTATCAATATAGAAAAGACAAATGTACACAATATGAGTAAAGCACCATTCTTGAGGTCCTTAAAAAATTTAATTACTTCTTGTTATTCTAAACCAACCAAAACATTTTGTAAATAATTTGATTTTGTCGGCAAACAGACATTTATGAATTTCAGAGAATCGTAGTATATCAAATTAAAACCATTATCTTCAATAAATTGAGTATTTTTGCAAGATTTAATAAATTGATTTGGCATACATTATATCTCCAGCAGCTCTAATAAATATTTATTCTTAAAACCATCTATTTCATTTTCATTCTCTTTTACCGGACATTCTTTTACGCAAACTGTTAGATATAGAGATTTATCTGTGATGGGATTACTAAAATATATATATTTGTATTGTTCTAGGCCTTGACTTCCGCCACATATATTACCTAACATTTTAGAATGAATGATATATACCATTTGAATCATATGGGCATCCCAATTATTTTGAATTTCCAAGCAATACGCTCAAAAAAGAGGTAAATATAACAATATTTTGAAAAACCAAGAAAAATAAGGAACATTTATTAATCTAATTTTTTCTTGGATATTTGTAGTCAAGTTCTATTTATTGTAAATCATCTTGTATGTGTGGACCAGGATAATTGCTTTGGTTCATAGCAATTGTCGAATCCATTAAATTATGAATTTTTGATATAAATTTTGATTTTTTAATTTAATAGTGATTATATACTACTTAATTCAATCCATTCTAATGATAGTCTCGCAACTGTCTTCATCTTAAGATTAATTAAACTCTTGTTAAAATTGCTTTTAAAGGACTTATTGACTTTTTTCTTATTGGACAAGCATCTTATTTATATTTGACATCCTATTTTTCACACTCTAAGCCAAATCATAAATTCTATTGAACTTTTTGTTCTCAATTTAAACATATTAATTTTGATATAACTCCTTAATGGCTTTGTCATAAGTATCAACCATGGGACGATGAGTTTTGGCATAATCAAGAGGTAATTTAGAAGTATTTTTTGGTTGTTCTCCCTAACTCTAAGCCAATCTAAAGGGAGATGTTTAAGATACACTTCCTTAGCTGCCTGATCTCATCAATTGACTTTTAATGACACTCTAAGTAGATTAGAGCATATTGAAGAATTGTTAAGGACTTCCGCATAATTCAGGGGATTCCCTGAGATCAACAGACTTTTTATCGTGACTTTTGTTGTGTTGAATAGTATTCTAAGAGTGAGAGCTTTTATCATTGACTTTAATTCTGATATCAATATCTAAGAAAATTGTAAATAAAAAGAATACTTGAATCTCCTCGTTGTGTTTTACTTCCATTATTGCTTCTTTGTGCTAAGTAGCTTTTATAGATTTCATTGTGTGTTTTGTTCAACTTTTCGATAATTTCAATGTGTTAAGTTGGTCTCTTTTTTAATGCTTTGTTAAGTTATTAATTAACACTAGAAGTATGAGAACTTAGAGGCATATCTCTAGTTTTGTCTCTCTAAGTGATTGATTTCTAATGCAAGAGATCTTTGACATTGATTTGCACTTGTATTTTCTTTTAATCACTAAAGTAATTATTGATTTCGATTTTCTTTTCATTATGTTCGATTTTATTCTACCATTTTGGTTATTGATAATCACCGACTTCATTACCTATCTTTTTATATTATTCAATTTACTTTTTTTTTGATTTTCTAACTCAAAAGACGAAAACTTTGTTAATTTTGCTTTTCATTATCTTTAGAATATTACTCTAAGATTTTATTGATACGATCTGATTTTAGATGTGATCGACTAGAATACAAATTCCCTTTATTACTCTTGGCTACATTTTCAACTTCTAAATTTTGAATTTTTGATTTGGTCAAAATGTAATAAGGCGATTTAGTATTTGATTACAAAATGTCAATCACTTTCTTCCAAGCTTAGAGGGCATTGCTTGATTATCCCAATTCATAAAATGTCAATCCACTGTAAAATAGTAGGATGGCCTCCAATGATTGTAAGGTCATAACGGAGGAATGATCTCCCAAGAATAATCTAATTTTTGGATTGAGTTGTTGATCTTGCAATTAATTCAATTCAGTAAAGCTTTATTCTATGTATCTGCTCGCTTCTTAGTATTTTTCATTTTTGATAAAGAGAATAACTAAGTTAATTAAGGTGATAAGCAAGGTTTCGTCTGGGATGGATAATTGTAAGTATTCAATCGATTACTTGAGATATTTCTCGGCTGCTTGAAATTTGTCAACCCTGATGCTAGATTGAATGAAATTTACATATAATAAAAACAACCAATATTGTTGGTTACAACAGAGAGAAGATGATTAATTTATGATAATGGAATAGTAGGCGCTTCCTTTTCCTGTTTCAGAGTAGTTTCAATTCTCCTCAATATTTAATATCCTTAATTGTATTTTTCTATTTTTGATTTTATTCTTGTGTACCTTCTTGCAACAATTACGTAGCTGAAATGTTGGCATCCATAATACTTTGATAAGCCTTTTGAGACATTTCCACTAAGAGCTATTTTTGAAAATTAAACAATTAATTATGTATAATTTAGATATCTAATGTAATATTATTATTAGCTTCTACACACACAAATTTAATAATCAACCTCTTGATTTCTTATCTTCTGCTAATTATTTGAAAACCCCAAATAAAATCAAACTGCCTCCGATCATGCCATTCAAACTTAGTATCTTATTGAAGATTACATAATCTATTATGATAATGTACAGAGTTTGGGAGTAAGTGTAATTGCATAACTTATCATACGTAACCAATGTTTGAGCTCTAAATTAAATGAGCTATCCCAACATAGTGAATATAGAGAATCCAGCTATGTATTTATAATAACCATCGAAATACTCGAATCTGCCAATGTATTGTTATTGTAGACTTGAAGTGAAAATGATCATTATATGAAAGTATGAGGTAGTGATCGTGGAAGGAACTTCTGGACCAATCTTTTTCATTATGATGAAACCAAGTGATTGTATCACGCTACAAATCAATATACAGAGACAACCAACTATATGCATTACAGGATCATCAACTGTGAGTGTCGGGTTGACAACTAACACTATGCCGATAATACAGATAATAGAATTTATAAATCTAGATTTTGTTATTCTTTCTCTATTCATCAAACTTACCATCAATTGACTCCATATCGAATTTGTAGCAAATAAAATAGCTCCCTCTGATAGAGAGATGAAATTTATTCCATAAAAGTAAAATAAGGATCCAAATGCCCCCAATGTTTATGATTATACCAAATATCGAGTTCTATTCTTTGGATAATAGTTTTCCTTGTATTGGAACATAAATATAAAGATTAGGGAAAAGAAGGATCTCAAAAATAAGCTTTATGGCACAACAGTAAAATGACCTGATTTGTAAAATGTTATCTAGACAGCATGAAAAAAGTAAGCGACCAAAATATATCCTATTGCTACATGCAAAGAGTTTTTGGCTTCCAGGCTTTTTAAGTATCCAAATATACCGGATAAGCCCATCTATCACTTTTTAATTAAATTTATTTCTGAATTTTTATTACATTCCTTATTTTATAATAAGCAGATTATCATATTTTTGGAAAGCAAATTTTATTTTATCTCATCCAATTCAAACTATGTTTTTATATCCTTGTATATATATTCTATATTCATTATAAAATTATCATCAAAACAAAGACATTTAAATATCATTATAATCCTTGAAAACTTAAACTCTAAATTCAGTATCTCTCAGAACTTGTGGATTGAGACTTTTTCACTAGCAATTATAAGTTTGCATTCAGTGTGTTACATGCAATTCTTATTAAATTAAGAATATAAATTTCTATTAAACATACAAATATATTATTACTAGTTAATTCCTTAAAATTTCCTTAAATGATCTTATAGATCCTGGATTCGAAAAAATATAATTATATACGTCTACTTTTTGAGTGAACTAAAACAAAGATTTATAAAAGAGTTTATAATGATTATCAATTAATTAGGAATGTAAATAATAATATAAAATATTCTCACTTATAATTAATTTATAAACTTTTCAGAATGTTTATGAATAAAAACAATTGTTAAAATATCCTAATGCTAATATGGGATTGATGAGCCAATTGCATATTTATACGATTTTATTCTGATAAAAATTATAAATGGGTACTTCAAATTTATTTTTAGTTTAATATTTTTGAATCAGAAAAATAATCATATATATATTAAAAGTTTACTGAAATGGCATCGTTCAATCCATTGCACATTAATAAAATTAATGAGCATAGAAATAGATGATATACTTGAATATCTAATCCCTAAAAGTAATAGGGTAAGATCAGATAATGGCCTTAGATTTAGGAAATTATGATAAATTTGGTTTTTAGCTTAAGATTTTTAATAGTTTATTAGCTATCAATGAAAATAAACTATTTTTATAAATTATAATTGCTGTGTAGTTATGATTTAATTTAAATATATTTAATACAATATTTATTTCCAATTCATAAAGAAAGACAATAAAATAGATCATAATAAGATATATAAGACCTCCATTGACTTATTAAATCGAATATCACATTTTTCATTTAAGTGTTTATTAATGAATCAATAGTAAATATTTAAGTATAAATCTATATGAATTTTAGTGGAAGAAACCAATATTTTTCTCATTCTTTATTTAAGAATGTCAAAAGATGAATATTTTTGATAAAAATTTTAGATTAAGATTAGTTAAAAATTTTGTGTATAAATTTTAACTTTATACTAGCAAATTCAAAATCATTACAAGAAAGAAGAATAAAAATAATGAGTAAACTGAGTCGAAATAAAAATGAATTATAAATTAAACAATTCATTCTAACAGGGTTTTCTAATAACAAATAGATATAAATAGAGTTTTAATTCTTACGCCATGATCGTATGGGGAAATGATCTCATTGTGTATAATACAATTTTAGTCTTTTTGATTAAATGACGGAACTTAATCAAGTCTTGAGGTGAAATTAAGATCTAACTTAGAGTTGGAATTCAAAGTTAATAGAAGAAATTGCTCAGTTCAATGAAGTTTTTTGTAGTAATGAAAATATCAGTGATTGGCATAATTAATTTTAATATAAAATTAAACCTTATTAGATCACATATGGACCTAAAGTGCAAGGATCAAGGCTAGAAAATAATATTAAAAAAAAAGGCTGGGCTTAAGTTAAAGAAGGGTCCTCAATTTCCTGGTATGTTGATTTTTGTTAATTTTAGACAGAGTATTTACAGATGCCCTTGTTACACCATCGACAAATGTGAGGGAATCTCGAGAAAGCAATCTTCTCTAAGGGTTGGTATCACCTATGGATGATGAAAAGACCAATCAATTCAACTTCTTCAACTGCAATTCCCAAAAATAATTAGTTACTGTTAAAAAAGTCGATCCGATTGAATAGATCAAGAGGATAATCTCCGAAAATGAAAGACTTCGATTGACGATAAATTAAAAGCAGAAAATAATTGACACGAGGATGAAATAAAGAAAAGAAATCCCAGAGCTCTTGTTGTCTCAAAGAAATTCGCGTAGTTTACTGCAACCTCATGAGAAATAGAATACTGCAGATGATTATGGATACTTTTTGGATAAGCAGTCGATATCTTAAAATTATAAGCGTTCTATGTTGCCTCAGATTGAATCTAAGCAAAGTTCTCCAATAACTCGAGATGAATGTGCTTTCACATTTGCAAATAATTTCTTTATCAAAGAACAAAAGGTCTCCCCTAAAAAAATCAATATGATGCAAGCTTTTCCTTAATTGCATTTGTAGAGAAAATTTTTTACTTGATTTAAGTATATAAATCATTATTACTATCATTTTTTTGGCTTTAAGAACTCAAGTGCCTCTTGATACAGAGCTCTTCGCAAGGCTTGTTCCTTAAGTTCAATATCATCGAAAGACCAATCGAAGGATTCCTTGCAAATCTGGGGTGGGTGATCGATGTATTGTTGCTTAAAGTACGGATGTTCGATGCATTGTTAGATTGTAAAGCGTTTATTCGGATTATAGACCTAAGGATTAATGAAGGTAGTTTACTAACATATGTTCCAACAAATCCAGAGCCAGAGGAGAGGCAAAGGGAAAAAAGTCTGCCCATTTGATGGCTTCTCTTTCTGGCAATTGCTATAGGAATTCAGTAGACTATTCGTCAATTTCATAAGGCAGATCTTCCTATTTGGGTTTGCCAAGGACTGCAACGATTTTTTCAATTTATTCTTAATGATGCATTCCTTTAAACAAAATGGTTCTTCCTAAAAGTTCTCCCAAAATGCAACCCAAAGACCAGATGTCTATAGCTTTGGTATATTCACTCGAGGAGAGCAAAACCTCAGGAGCTCGATACCATCTTTGCACCACATAATCAGTTTAAATTGAGGCATTCTCTAATTCCTATTTTCGAGCTAAATTCAAATCTCCTATTTTTATATGGCAATTCGCATTTATAAATATATTGTTGGGTTTCAGATCTCTATGGATGATATTGGCTGAATGCATATAATATAGACCACTGATGATTTGATACATGCACCAATTGATCTTCTTGTCTGTCAAAGGTTACGGAGATTGAATGACTTTTTCCAAATCCAGGTGCATCAGTTGAAACACCAAATACAAATCCTTATAGGTGTCCTATTCATCTGGGATAACGATGTCCAATAATTTAACTATATTGGGATTATCGAAGAACTCTACTTTTAAATGTTAATAATACTCAATAGTTTTATTTCTCTTAGCACCTTTTTTGCATCGAGCAAATCTCTGAAAACCATTGCAATCTAGAGATAAATTGATGATCGTACTTTCTTAATGGCGACGTCTATGTTATTCAATTTGTCCTTCCCTGAACAAACAAACCCAAAGGCTCCATTTCCAATATTACGCTATAACTCATAATGAGTGTAAATTTCAAATGTGCCTCCACCACATTGGACTTTGTGTTTCAAAGGGATAGCCAATCTAATCTAAGGGGGCAACTTTTAGATTGTGGTTTCCTCGTTCTCCGCGATTTTCTTGAGAATAATGTCCTTCTTTTAATCCATTATTATTTTATTAATGAATAATTAACAAATAATTTCAAATAACTCCAAGTAAGAACAATAACCCGAAGAGGAATCATATGATGAAGAAGACGACGATGACTTGTAAGAGTACACGCAATCGACTAATCTAAAATAACTGTTCAAGAATTCGGGTAATTTCAAAAAAACCTAAAACTATTAGATTCTTTCATGCAGCAAATTAACCTCCTAAATGAATCGGCTACAGCCAAAATTAAACAATAGAAACATAAAGAAGCATTGAAACTATTGCAACAATCTGAGCAGATGCTTGAAGTATCACTCATTTACATTTTTCTTAGTTTGCTGCCAGTTGCGGTAGAGTCATCGATAGGAACTTAATCATTATTATCTTGTATAACCAAGCATGTGCTTATCAATGGTATGATTATCTTTATGATTACAGCCAATGGATCCTAGATAAATGCTCTAAGTATCTGGATGGAGTTATCTACAACATGGAAATAGGTATCAAAGAAGATGAGCAGGATTTGCAGGCTCTTCCCAACATGCAAGAGAAACAAGCTCAACTCATCAAGAGATAGGCATTTCTGGTCAAAGCCTACTTGCAATACACTGCCATACTAAGCTAATTAGGAAAGTAAATCACAATATATACATAGACACAAGTAAGCCTTGCTTAATTCCCAAAAAGCAGCTCAAACCATGCGAGAGCTCTTTAAGGTAGCCAACTCCTTTTGTCAGTCATGGCTACAAGTTAACGGCTCTCAGGGAACTGCCACAACATCATAATCTAATGTATCTGTCAGAAGTAAGCTACTTTTCTTATAATCAAGATGAGTCCTCTCATAATCTGGATAAAAAGAAGAAGAGCCAAACTTATCAACTCTAAGATGAAATTGAAATTGGGAGGGTTGTCATTGATGGTGCCTAAGATGTATTGAAGGACATGATTAAATAAGAGGATTTGTCCTCTGTTCGTTTAGATCAAAAATAGTTACTCAAAGAAACCAAACGGCAATTGTACAATTGGAGAAACAACCCAGAAAATAATGATAAATCAATCAGAAAAGAATTAAAATTGGTCACTCAAAATGAAGAATATCGATCTTTGTTCGGTAATCAAAACTTGGCTGATTGGATTAAGAACTTTAATATTGGCTCAATTATGCATATGGCTCCCCAAATTTACGAGGAATTCACTTAATTTGGCGAAATGATTTTTGAATTAGCTAAGAGATAACTATTGGAAAAAGTCATCTATCTCTCCATATCATATTTCACTATTGCAACTGAATTGAGATTTGTTGAATTAGAAAAAGCCAAATAACATGGTGTTAAAGACGATAAAATCAATACTGACGAGTTTAAACTTAGTGAGTTATACCATCTTAAATCTATCGAAATTGCATGCAGACATATCTAATATCAATCCCCTTATATCTCTCATCTAATTACTAGCTATCATAAACATTATAACATCAATCTTGATGTTATTCGAGAAGAATCTTTACAATCCACAGCATCTGAAAAGATAGTAGAAGAATAAGAGCAGCCTAAAGTTAAAGGGAAGATTTTGCAAATATAAATTAATAAAGATATACCAAATTCAAAGTTTGAAAAATAAGATCAATCTCCAAAGCTCACAGGTAATTTCATTAAATCGTTTCTTAATTCCAGATCACCTCCCAAATAGTCTCAAAAATAATCAGTCAAAAATCTAATTAGCGAAACAGTCAAAATTTAAACCAATCTTTTAGAATAGATGATTAATAAAAAAAGAGGGTCAGACTCATCTCCCACTAATCAAAGGAACTCAGTCAAATAATAGAACTAAGCAGATTTTGATTTCAGCGTCTATTTAAAAAAACAATCTAACCCATGCAACACTAGTAATTTAAACACTGATACTACACAAGACATTGTTAATAGTGCTATGACTATTTAATTACAGCCATATAAGAATAACAGTATCAAAAATACTCTAAATAATATGATTAAACAGTCAAGTCCAACTAACAATAACAATACACAGTTAAAGACTTTTCTTTCAGATGCTTGTAGAACAGAGAGATAAGTAATGACTGAACAATAGAATTCTTACACTCCTATTAGTTATAGAGTTAATAATAGATCTCCTGATTCGTCCTATCTAAATGCTCAAAAATAGCGTTAGCAATAACTGCATCATAATAAAACTCCTCAAAACAGACCAAGAACAAATACTGAATAACAATACCTATAACCATGTATTTAATATTAATCTAAATATAGCATTTCCTCTAAAATTAGAAACAATTCAGCAGCTATTAAGAAACAAAGCAATTAATAATCCGAAAATAAAATGAAGATTATTCAATTTTTCTTAATTTTATAATCATCTATCATACTTCTCAACATTAAATATAATCAAATTTTAAACCAATTAAATTTCCCATCTTCATTATAATCATTAACTGCAGAGACAGGATCAGCTTTTACAGAAATTAATATTAAAATTGAATTTTGCTGTCTCATTCTTTCAAGATTTCTCTTATTTTTTTTTCTTTTGAACAAATCTCTTCTTTGTTTATTTTATTTAGTAATTCAACTATTATTTTTATTATATATCTGCTAATCTTGATTTATTCACACTTCTTCTCATCATCATGATTGCTTCATCATCAAAAACTTCAATTGATAATTATCATTTTCAGGTTTCTGTATTCTTATCCTCTATTATTCAATCAATATTTTAACATTCAATGACTAATCATTTTAAATGAAAAACAACAATCATTTTCAATAAATCTCTTATTATCATATTTCTTATGTATAAGTTTTTCAAGTCTATATTCTTTTCTTTTTATATTACTTGATGATCATGAATAATATCAATTCAAATTAAGTTGTTAATATGCTTGAAAATAATATTGGTTCATCTAAAATTAAAGTATTTTATTTAATGCTTATTTATCTTATGAATATTAATTTGTTAAATTAAAATACTGTTATTTATTATTAAGAAATATGGCTAAGAACTGATTGCTGCTAATGAATTCTGTCAAATCTTTTAAAACATGAAGATGTTAAGGATGAGCTTTGAAAAATGGAAATTTTGTTGCCTAATATTTATTTTGTATAGTGTTGTAAATTAATAATATTTACTTTTGTAATTTTATTTAATAAATGAGAAAAAATAATAAAGTTTAACCTGCCAACTAAGTTTAGGTGGTTGCATAGGGTACCATAAGTCCAGAGATCTCATAGAAGGCTCTCACCACAATACCAGATCAATACGGGAATTAGAAATAAATAGATCCTCGACTTATTGCTGGACCATTGGCAGAAAGAGGTTGTACTGATATACTTTGCTTACTACTTTTTATTGCTGGGATGGCTATTTTGATGTATTTAACCTATTAAATGTAGATTCATCTCCAAGGAAGCTTATTCAAAGGGAGAACCAAAAAGACTTCTCGCAATGTACGATCCAAATGGTAAAGAATGTGAAATATTTAATGAAAGGTGTGGCTTGTGGATTTGACACAAACGTGGACTACCCTTATTTGTATTTCGCAATACCTTTTGGAGATTACTTCAATAGGACAGTGTGTGTGAAAGATTGTCCTTTGTATGCAGATGAAAATAGCAAGCCAACTTCTCTAGATTGTCAACCAAACATTTTGGTTAAGAGTTGTGACTAGAAATGCGATGCTGCTAGTGCACTCAAGACTTTGGCCACATCTAATAGCACTGCTATATTCAAAGATTTCGTCTGTATCTTCAATTCATCAATCTGTAAAATATGATTAAGATGTTTCAGTATTTGATAGAGTTTGTTATCCAGACGCCTTGTTGGCACTATTTGATAACTACCAATAGTATGGATCCTAATTTGCCATGGATGTTCTTACCGGTTACATAGAAGATTTAACATAAACAAAGGAGGCTATTTATTGCTCATTTGCAGTTGCATTCTTAATGGGGTACATAAGCTTAAACTATAGAATAGAATAATATATTTGTTTTTCACAAGATTGCTAGCTGGAGTACTGGTTTGGACATCCATATTTCTCTTTTTAGTAGGATTGGGATTCGGAACATATTGGTGTCATCAACAAGATCTCTATTACTAAGATATCATGAATGATACAACTGGCAAGTACACAGTTGAACAAACCAATAAAGCCTCAGATAATTAATTGACATTCCAATATTTAACTTATGTCATGTATGGTATCTGTGCTTTTGCTGTTATGGGATTGATCTGCATTTTCAATAAGATAAGACTGGCTATAGCTGTTATTAAGACAGCAGCCATGTGTGTGAAGGATCATTTCTTATTAATATTTGTTCCTTAAGTTACGGCCATAGTCTTGGCAGGTCTTTGGTTTTGGTGGATCTACACTGCTGCATACGTATATGCAGTTGGAGATATTAAAGGAACAGGCAGCAGTCCATTTGCAGAAGTCACACATACTTAATTGCAAATATAATATATTTGGTATTTCATATTTGGTGGATTGTGGATAAATGCCTTCATTTAGGCTATTAATAATTTTGTCATAGCCTCTACTTGTTGTTTTTGGTACTTTGCACAACAAGGTGCTGGAGGTGATGAAAGAGCCATTTCATAATCTCTCTATAGAGTTTTCAGGTATCACGCAGGTTCCTTAGCATTTGGTTCTTTGATCTTGGCTATTGTATAACTCATCAGAATCATGTTGGAATATATTAGATATTAAACTGAAAAAGTGGCTGGCTCTGAAAATAAGGCAGTCAAATGTTTATTAAGATGTTTGAGTTGCTGCATGGCATGTTTTGAAAGGTTCATCAGATTTTTGAATAATAATGCCTACATTATGATTGCTCTAACCGGTAAAAACTTTTGTTCTGCTGCTAAAGCTGCCTTCGAAACTATATGGGCTAATAGTATGAGATTTTCTTTAGTCAATGGTATTGGAGGGGCATTCATTTTTGTTGGTAAATTCTGCATCTCAATTGTCACTTTAATGATCTTTTATTATGTAATTACAACTATGGATTACTTTAAAGAAAAGATTTTCTCTCCAGTTTTCCCATGCATTGTAATAAAATTGATAAAATTACTTAGGTTGTTTTCATCATAGCGTATGCATTAGCTGTGCTTTTCATGTCAATTTATGGGATGGCATGTGATACAGTGCTATTATGTTTTATTTTTGATGAAGATCTAAATAAATAAAATGGTGGCTTAAGTGCTTCCAGATGTCCTGAAACTTTAAAGGAATTTCTTGAACAACCAGAGATGGCAAATCTAAAATAAGCATGATTTAATATAATAAATAATGATTTAAAATTCTACAACAACTCCTCCTAATGATGATTCTCTGTGCAAACCTATTATTCAACTCATGTCGACTATGAATTAGCAATAAATGAGAGTGCGTAAGCCTTCTGAAGAAAGTCGAAAAATTCAATCTGAAACTCAATAGATGAAGATTACTCATCCAAAATCCCCTACTTTAACGTAAGTTAGTGTATAGATCGCATCAGACAGGGCGTCACCTCATAATTAACAAGATTTGCTTCTTATAAATGAAGAACCCAGCAACAAAGAGGACTCTCAATAACTTAGCATGATTAAAAAAAAGAAGGACTCGGATCAATTATATAGGAGATCTATTTTCAATAAACACAGACACTCTTAGTCATCACTGTCTCTACTTTACAGAGAGAAAGCGACCCTTATTTAGAATCTAATTATTTCAAAAAAGTAATTTAAGCTGATAAATGATTTGTCAGCTTAATACTTTGTCCCATTAAAAGATTAAATGGAAAAATTCCTTAAAAGCGAATGTGTTCCAAAACTGTTTCTCTTCAGCCTGTATTTCATTTTTCTGTTATTCTATTTAACAGTCCTATTAATCGAAATTGGGTGCGATTAATTGGCTATCTCCAATTTGGCTATATTCTAATATGTATTGTTAATCACTCAAGTAATGGAATTTTCATATCAAGTGATTTCTTATAGGGGGGACATTGGAAATATCATAGTTGATAATTTGGGATTAATACCATTTATTTCATATTAAATTGACAATTAATAATCATAGAAGTTAATTTATTTATTGTATTTGATCAGAATTAGGAAAATTAATAATTTTATTCAGAATTTAAATTTCTACTCTAATTAATAAGATTATATCTTTATCATCCAGACAACCATCTAATTACACTTTTCTACTTGTTTGGCTTAGACCATCATTTTTATGTTCGCTTTATCCCAATAAGACTACATCATCTACATACAAAGCATATTCACCCTGATATTCATAACTCCTTAGATTTTGGGTCAATACTACTTTCTCATATACATGATTAAGATATTATTGATAATATTTTACTTTTACAAGTTCAAACAAATCATCAATTACCAATCACTTTCACTTGATTAATACTTGAATTACTAGCCAAATACATAAAAGTTGATATATGAATACACGCATCAAATTAAAGAGAATATTTTCGATATCAATCTGATGCCTAATTTTTTGTAAAGTAAGATGAAGAGAGAGAAGTATTTTAAGATTCTTTCAGAAATCCCAATATTTAATGCATCCTTCTCAACTTAGACTATACTCAATATTTGTGATCTGATTCAAGAGCAAATATTAAGACCCAACGAAATTATAATGCAAAAACAAGCATTGTACATTCATTTGCAAGGAGTGGTTTAATTGGTTTAAAAGAATGATTCCTCTCTATAGGAGTTCAAATTAACCAAAATTAGAAATCCTTATTCAATCTTTAACAACATAGCTTTTTTTAAAAATTAGATGTAAGGAATTCAGTTTGAGAGCATAGGACACTCGAAAGTAGCTTGTTTAAATTCTTAATCTTTTCATCAATTGATTAAACAGTGTCCAAAGGAATTTTAAAAGTACAGAATGTTGGTAGATACCATTGTTTTAGACAATGATCCACAATTGGCTAACATTTTTTGTTTCGGATGTCATTAAGCTCATGATATCACGCAATGTCCTTTTGTCAATTACAAGCCTAATAAGTATTTTATAATTAATAACGATAAAAATCATAAAGTATAGAGTAGAGTGTCAGATTTCAAAAGAGTAATATTCTTTTATAATATGATTAGGAAGTACAAAAAAAGAGGAAAATACTCATTAAATCAGCAAATGCTTAGGAAGATTCAGAGTCCTTTGAGTCCGAAGAGAAAGATAAGGTTGCACCCTTCAATAAAATTCTACCTTCATCTAATTCATCCTTAAGTTTGAATAACAACAATAATCCAATTAATTAACTTGAAATAAGTTCGGTCCCTTACGTGAGTTATTCTCACAGTGGGTAGACCCTCTATTCTAAAAAGATGGATTCAGATAATCATTTTTCGGTTTAAGCAATAAGTAGCAGTAACAGCAGTAGAAAAATAATATAGAATGAAGGGAAAGAAGTAGGGCAGTCTAAATTCTAAAAGTATGGACAGTTGGAAGAAATGTAAGGATCTTCCTTTTAATTAAATCCCTTATAGAGGGTGCAGGATAGCCTATTATAAACTAGGATTAAATACAAAAAGAATACAGTGGATAAACAAGCATAATATTAGAAATATCAAACAGAAGTCTAGCAGAAACAGCAAAAACGGAATTTAAGAAAAAATTAAACAATGATTAGCAATAGTTCAGTAGTTGATAATCCAAAAAAAAGCAGAATTTCAATTGAAGGTAATTGTATGCAATCTTTTGAAAAAATTAGTCAGTTTGATGACTATTTTCCACATTACAATGTAGATAAATAAATTAATAATTATTAAAGAATTTAATCCATTAATAAAGATAGTAATTAATGAGAGCAAAGATATATGTTCATGTTTATTCACTCTATTTATTTAACATTAGTTTAATATTTTTAAGATTATCAATTTAAGTCTAGAGCATAATTTATTCTTCTTATATTTAATGTAATCCTCTACAAATATATTACAATAAGTGTACCTATTTTATTCAATAAACTTCCTCTTCCAAGTGCTGATTTCATCAAGTAAAAACTTTTGTTTATCATCCATTTGTAAGGTTTGTTGTTCCAACTAATTGTGTAATTCTTAGATGTAATGATTTTAATCTTCCTATTCCTTGTCTTTTGCTATTAACTGTGAGTCATAACCGTCAATGATATTTTATCTTATGCTTAATTTATCTTGCAAATTTTAAATTTCCTCTTGCAATATTTTTATAGTATTCACCAACTATTAAATTTGACTATAAACTTGAGACAATTCACTTTCATTTTAATCAAACTCTTCATTTCTTTATTATTATTCTAATTATTGAACTTTTCTCTCTAATTCTTAAACTTTTTATTTCCATGGTTCCTCAACATGATTCAAATCTACTAATTGTAATTGTTTGCACTTCTTGCTTTGAGCATCATTAAATAGAGTTTTATTAACATTATTAAAATTACTTTATTATATCGGTTGTCTTTATTGTTAGGTAGATGGTTATTACAATAATGGTGATTGGTAAGGTGATTGATAAGGAGACTATTAGTATAGTTTTATATTTGGAGAAGATTAGATTTATAGAGAGTGCCTAAATCCAAGTTAAGCCGTGGGTGTAGATAGTTATTGTTATTTCATTATTTAAATATCTAAAAATAAATTCATTATCAATGATTAATCTGTATATTACTTAAGAATATATCTAATAACCAAATTTATAATATAATTCTATGGTAATAAGCTCAAAACATTCTTTGATTGCCAACTATTCTTTTTAAGTAAAACACCTGCCAAATAGTAATAAAGATGACTCCCAAAATTTCAATCAAACTAAATAGTAACAATTTATAATTCGAATTTTGGATCTCCTCTAAATTACCCTCAAATTGTTGTCCTGCTATTTTATCGAAAAAATAATTATCCTTATTATAAGAATTATTTAGATACCTTCATAGCCATTATTATTCTTTCAACTCTAAGTGCCAATGGATCTAAATCTGCCATTTTCAAAAATTCTTATTCTGAATCATGCACATCTAAAGTAAACGTAACAGTTTTGGTGTATTTTGACTAAGTTTATTGCAAATTCTCATACCTTTTTATTTTAGAAAATAAACTTGTATTCTCCTTTTTCTAAAATATCAATATTGAAAATTGCTTCATTAACTTTCTCCTTAGAATAAATCAAGGTATTGTTTGATGTCTTGATAAAGAAATCAATTTTGTCTTCAACCTTAAATTAGGGTATAAAAAAGGCTCCTTTTATAGATGTAGGTTTTAAGATGTCCTCATAAAACACCTACAAAATACTTTAGATATACTTCTATACTTCCAGGATCTAAATCAAAACTTAATATAAATTCTGGTTCAAAATCACCCATCTTTTGATCCCATTGAAAAATGAATCTCTCATTCCCTTTATTTTTGCTTGCTTTTTTACTAGTTTTGTTTTATGGTTTATTGTCTTCTGTAGTACTCGCATTGGTTACCTTCCCATTTTCATCTCGATTTTAATCTTTTGTTCTTAACTAAGATCAAATATTAGAAATTCGATTACTCCAAAAAGCGGTTTCAAAACATTCATAATCTGTAATTGGGTTTCCTTCAAAGTTTTAAAAGTTGATTTTTCCTTTTTTTAAGTTTTAGTGTTTGTTTATGAAGATTTAGAGTTTTTATTCTCTGCTGCCATTTAATCGCTTTTTTTCTTTAGGTCCTTCAAATTTGGTTATGGAGCTGCTTTTGTGAACACAATAATAATTGAAATGAGACAAAGAATCAAAAGTAATTATTTCATTATTATTTTTATTTCTAATTTCACATTCAATGAATAAGAATAAAGTTATCAATTAATATAAAAATGTAATTACAATCAGAATATCAGAAGGGCTGCAAAAATTGTTGAAATTGTACTAATAATTAAAGAGTTTGTATGTTCTGATTAGTACAATTCAAAGCCTAGATTGTTCTTCAAGTAGATGTCGTTTATCGGTCTACACACGAACAATATCATGATAATAATCTCAACAGGAATCAAAACAACCAAATCTATCAAGATTAATTATATTATGGCTACAATCTAAATTAGTATAATGAATATTTTACTTGTATGATGAGAATAGCATATATAAGTTATCTTAATATGTTTTGAAATAAATTAACAATGATACTTGCCAACAGCAATAAAGATAAAGCTATAATGATCAAATGATTTTGTAACTAATACAATAAATACAAGGTTCCAAAGAATATTAAATCAATAATAAATTGACCCAAAATTGATAGGTATTATTATTTCTGTTTAATTATTAATGGTTATGGTTTAGAGATTGTTTATTCTGAGTTATGGTCATATAAAAATAATCGTATAATTGAGGAGCTTATGAATGTAAATATAGATATTGATTATATTGGAATGTTTCTTAGAAGCACATAGTAGAGAAGGAGCCCAAAATATTGGCATTCTTATAAAAATTGAAATTGCAATATTTGAGTAAATTGATTCTGCAAATTAGTGATCAATCCTAAACAAGCTCCGATTATTACAGCTTTTGTGTAAGTGTTTGGTAGCAGAAATGAGAGTGATAAAATAAATGAATAGATGTAAATTTACAATTTTTAAAATCTGCTAAATATAATGCATTGCCATATTCCTAGTATCCCCATAGTGAAGGTACAAACTATGAATTGCATCTAAGTAAATATTAAGGGTAATATGAAAAAGATTCCTGTTGTTATTGATAATAAATGAAAGGCGATAAAGCTTTTAGAGCTAAGTTAGGAATGATAAAATTTCATTTAATATAATAAATAATATAATAAAATTATAAGTTTCTTGAATTTAAAAGAATTTTAAAAATATGTGAGATGATTGAGTATTTAGTTTATGTGGGTTGATTGCTCTATAACAAAATATCATTTTCCTATTAAATATAATTATATTTTAATGTGAAACCAAAAATATGAGCCCTATTAAATGATTAAGTATACTTGAAATTTGAAAATATATTGCAGAAGGATTCAGATCATAAAAATGATTTAGTAAATAAATAAAATTATGTTGAGGGATAAATTTTATAGAATGTTTTTATTTTAATAGAAAATACAACTAATTATTTTAGTTTCACATTTAAAATTATTGATTTATTAGAGATGGGAATTAAGTTTTTATGTTTAACACTTACGTTTATCGGTGTAATTTGTAAAGCTATAAATATAGATGGATAGTTGCAAAATAAATTAAAAAAGTTAATTCAAAAAGTAGCCCAATCACATTCATAAGATAAAAGTTTTGTTAAATATATTTCGGAAAAATTTGAGGGTTTCTTTTAAAACAAAGTACCTCAACTCTTGCCACAATAATTAAAATAAAGCGAAAAAGCAAGCCAAACTAATTTTATTATTCGCCATTATGAGAACTTTTTAATTGCATAATATTCTAATTTAAGCAACATTAAAAGCAATATTATTGGTTAAATTAAATGCTAAGCTCATAAGATCTTATATGCAAAATCCATAGACAATAATACTAACTCTTTTACAGGAGAGGGTTTTTAATTTAAGGTGACGTATGATAAAAACTTCAATCCAAAGTATGAGTTATATGAAGGCTAATTCTTAAATGGATTAAAACATGGCAGAGGGAAATTGTATGGTTAGAAATCTGAGAATGTTGATTATGAAGGCGAGTGGAAGAATGATGAAATGGTGTCCAAACGTTAAGAAAAATTTTAAACACTTTAGTTAGAAAGACAGTCGCTAATAAAGGTGATTATTAGAGATGGTGATACTATAATTAATTAGAATAGTAGGCAGATTGAGAATAGGAAAAGATAATAGAATTGGATCAAATTTAATTAATAGATTTCTGAGGATGATATAGCTAGATTAAAGAGAAAGGATGGATGGTTCACGAGTTCAATTATAGACAGCTTTGCCTTACATCTTAATATAAAAATGGAAGAGAAATACTTTTAAATTGACCCTAATGAGAGGAAATAGGCTATAAGACAAGTGTTTATTCCAAGTTAGGTCTTTACTTCAATGCAGAATAATCAAAAGGATATCAACTAAGAGATTTTTCAAAAGCATTTTCTAGAGTATAAGATGATAGAATATAAAATAGAGAAATTATTTGACAGAGTTAATTTTATTGTTAATAGAAATAACAGGCATTGGTTTTTAATATAACTAAATTTAAGAAATTACGAAATGATTATAATGGATAGTATTAAAAATAAGCTACAATATTACACCTTTGCAAAAGACATTCTCAATTAAATATTTGATAATAAAATAAAGAAGATAACTTTATCAGATAAATGTCATATCTAAAAGAATGGACATGATTGTGGCCCATTTACTTGCTTACACATGTTAGAGATAAGTGAGATCTAATAAAATTTGAGAAATCCTTCTTAAATGAGGGATTTTTTAATGTTATTACTAGAATAAGATTGAATACTTTTATAAATAATATTTTTAATAAAAATAGTATCATTATTATTATGATTTTCTTCTGTATGGAGCATTAGACATGTTAGAATGATAAGAGTTTTCTCTATCTCTCTATCTTTATATTTATTGTTATTTAAGTTATTTGACTTGCTCATCATTATTACCTCCTCCCTTAACGGAGCCATCATCTGATTCCTAAATGTTTCTTCTTGATAGAACAGGTGAATGCTATGAATGATGAGGAGATGGAGGCTTAATGTATAAGTATTAATTCATACCTAGATTAGTTATTATGGTTGAAGGTAGACTTGGTTTTATTTAGTTTGCTAAAAGTCTTAAGAAGGTCCTCCTTATCTTACTCTGCTTCCAGCTTCACTTGATTATTTGGGAGGTATGGGCAAAGTGTTCATATTTGCTTGTTGATCTTTTAATTTTTGGAGTTCATTTGCCAATTCATTGCATTATTTTCTGAGTTATTGATTTTCTTCGTTGATCTTATTATCAGCTCTGATCTTCTATTATTTTTATACGGTCGCGTAATTATTGATTTGAGTTTGTAATTTCAAGATCTCCTATTTTAATCTTTCATTTTCTTATTCAAATAATTCTTTTTATTCTCTATAAGTAAAGTTCAACTGCTCTAAATGTTCATTGTTCTTTTGATGCTATTAAAGAATAGCACATTTCTCATAATACATCTGAAAATCTCTTTCTAGTTCAGCAATTCTATCATCTTTCTGATTGATGATCTTTTGAATATGTTTATCTCTTTCCTCAATGTCTGCCTAGACTCCACCTTTGTGGGATACAAATTCTTGTAACAAGGACTTGTTCTCTTCCAATTGAAGTTTTAATTGTCTGTTCTATAACTAAAGCTATTCTATGATTCTCTTCTATTATTGATAATCACTAATTTCTTTTTTGTTCTATTCATAATCTATCTTAAGTATTTCATATTCATTCTTAATATTATTCAGATCTTTTGAGATTGAAGCATTCTTCTCTTCAAGTTCTTCGATCTCCATATGTTTTTCTTTAAGTTCATTCGCATGTTCTTGTTTTAACTTCTATATATTTTGACTGAATTTCAACTTCTCATAATCTAAATCCTAAGCATTCTGATTAATCAATTAAGTCAACTGATCTGATAGCTATTTTATATTGATGTAGTATTCAGAATTTTATATGCTCAATTATCCGATATGTTCCTAGAGTCTATTTTCGTTTTCCATTAGTTTTTTCTATTTCTCAAATTCCATCTATAATTTACTCATAATATCATCATTTTAATCAGCCAATTAATCACATAAGGTTTATTTGCCCTTCAAATCGTCATGCTATTCATTGACTTCTTAAATTAATGAATCATAAGTGATCTTATATTTTTGCAATTCATTTTTCTAATCATCTAATTATTGATTCAATTCATAGATCTTGAGATTGCTTAGAGAATACAATTCATTTTTGTCTGATTCCAATTTCTCGTAATCTGTTGACAATTACAGTAGTTGTTTATTCAATTTTTCAACAGTGTAGGTGAGTGATGTGATAACACTATCCTTTTTCTGATTTTCGAATTGATAAGAGCTCTTAAGTTCTATTTCAGTTCTGCAATTTTCTTTAAGAATTTGCATTTATTCAGATTATGCTATTTCAGATAACTTATGCTTTTCAATCTATTATTCTAGTTAGAGACAATATTTTTTTGAATTTTAGAATTGTTTTTCTAATTCATAACCATCTTGTGTTTTATCATCTAATTGCTACCTTTGTTCTTTGACATGTTTTAGAAGCACAGAATTTTCATCCTCCAATAATCGTAATTGATGTCTGAGGTCAGAGATTTCTTCTGCTTCATTAATGGTCATAGTTTCGACGATGGAATGCATTTCTAAATCCTTTTGTTCAAGTAGCAATGAAAGACTTCGATTTTCATCAATCAATGTATTAACCATCTAAGACAAAGTAACAATATCATGAGCTTATTGCCTTAATTCAAAATTTATCTCTTGATTCTGCTTTTGCAACGTCTCTATATAGAGTCTTGTCTTTTCTGGATTGAAGGCTTGAGCTTGATGTGGTTTTATAGCATGCAATGGGGTCAATTCAGGATAAAGCCTATAAAATGTTTGAGCGTTAAAGTTTTCTTATTGGTTGGAGGGCAGAATTGGAATTCTGAATTCAGCTTAATATTCCTTATGAATCTGATAAAGAAATACCTAAAATTTGCGATTTGTTTCATCAAACCTGGCTCTATTCATTTCAGTTAATTAATTTTATTTATTATTGGGATGCCAATTAAAATGTGAATAAGTAATATTCGCAAATTTGAGTGCGATTGAATAGGATAGAGGGGATGGACTTTGGGAGAATACTTTAAGCAAGTGGTTGAGTATATTTTGAATAAAATAAGTTGATTAATTTTTGTTGTATATTATAAATTTCAAAATGGACCATCAGAAGTATAAGGTGTCACTTAACATGTATGATTTGTCATAAGGAATGGTCAGACAATTTTCACCTATGTTTTTGGGGAAGTAAATTGATGCAATATGGCATACTGGAATTGTAGTTTATGGAAAGGAATATTATTTTGGTGGTGGTATCTGTGCTTAGACTCCAAAATCAACTATCTATGGATATCCTATAGAGGTTTCATGTTTTGATTTGATGATTAGGAAAGAGAATTGGGAGAAACTGAAATACCTCAAGGCACATTTGAAGAATTCTTAAGAAGCATCAGTTCGAAATATACTATGGAAAAATATGATCTATTTGAGAATAATTGCAATAATTTTACTAATGAATGTGCTTTATTTTTAGTTGGCAAAGGCATTCCAGAAAATATAATAGGTATTCTATAATATCACTATCCACATTAGGATTGCCTCAAGAATTTTTAAATACTCAATTGGGGTAAATGCTTAAACCAGCTATTGAGTAGTTCACTAATAAATAAGCTACAGCTTAAACAGAGCATTTTAATGATCTTTAGAATTAATAATTGTTGTCACCATCAAATTTCTAAAATATTAATGCATAAATAATAAACTAACCTCTAGCATAACCATAACCTCAATCATCATAACCAATTTCATTAAACCAAAAGGTTTAGCCAGCTTAGTAACCACCTTAATAACAATCAATAACAGATACCAATGTTACAGCAATTGATGATTTGACTACTTATTTATGTTTGATAGAGAGCAGTCCAGTAAGCATTGTTGATTTCTATACAGATTGGTGTGGACCATGCAAGACTATAAAACCATTGTTTCATAAGTTATCTTTAGAACACCCTCACATCAATTTTTATAATGTGAATATTGATAAGGTATTCTACTCTTTAGAATTGATAAGGTGCGAGAGATTGCAGACTCCTTACAAGTGTCCAGCATCCCAACATTTATTATATATGAAAATGGATAGCAGAAAGAGAGATGGACAGGTGGAAACCAGTAAACCTTAATAAACAATTTATAAAAATTAAAATGAATTAAAAACCATAATAATTAAATAATTGCAAATTGACATCAACAAATCTATCAAAACATATCATTTAATACATCCTAGTTGATTCCACTGCTTTAAATTGAAGAGATTCTCTTAACCAAATAAGCACTTCCATTTTTATCTTCCACATTAGCCTTAATCTTCTTCACAACGGAGTCCGAGTCATCAAACATTTTTGGAGACAAAAATCCCCTTAACTAATCGATATCAGTCACATTAGCAACATATATTTTCATATTGAATTCATCTTCGTTTTTAAAACTCTATAGTTTTCTCTAATTTAATTCTATTGCAAACTAAGTAATAGGAATTCTTAAAAAGAGAGGCCATGCTTCTGGTTTCAATTTCTTAATTCCCAAGAAATACGTGAGAGATTTAGCATAATCTCTTTCAAGATTCTCTTCTCCCTCAGGTGTTATTCTCAACTCAAAACTTTAAGTATCATAAACCTCTTCATTGTTACCAACCAACTTTAATAGTTTAGGTAATTGTGCTTCACAAAATCCAGTCCACTTGTGAAAGTTCTCAGAGCTCTTAGAAACTATAGATATTGCAACAAAGTATTAAAAACAATCAAAAAAATCAAATGGCCTCAATACTTCATTCCAATCTCCTAATTTCTAAGCTCCAATCTAGAATTCTTGGAAGATGGTTTGAAAAGTGATCTTATGGACTTTGAATGTGGTATTAAAGAATGGATATGCCGGAGTTATGATTTGCATTATCTTATCGTTCCTTTTATCATCATCTCTCTTCCAACAGAGGGTCTTAAATGTTTCTATCTCTGGACTATAAAATAATAACAAATAATATCTTACTCAGATTCATCAATCACAATTGGTACTTTCCAATTCCATTGAGAATAAATTTAGAAAAATAGACTAACAGTTTAACACAAATCCACTCGAGGAAACAACTAACAAATCTTTGCCATCAAAATTGCCCAACTAATACCTCCCAAATAACCAATAATATTGCTTGACACCTTTCTCTTCTTTGCCCATTGCTTTATGATTCTCAAAGCCTGTACAAATTGGGAATGATCAGGCATTGATTTGCTAATCAAAATACCATTCTTTCGACCATTCAAAGCATACATTGATTTATCTTCGCTTTACAATAAGTTTCTTCGTAATTCATCTAAACTGTCATCAATGTTTTCAGGAACTCTATCTGAATTTAATTGAGCAAAGTTAATATCTATATGAAATCCCTTGTAAATCATCTTAATAATAGGGTTAGAAGTGCTTTCTATTTTATTTATTTATTCCATTCCTTACTCACTTGATAACAAATAAAATAATCTGTAATACATTTCAATCATAAATACCCATTAAAAAATTGCTCCCTTCTATCAATAAATTCCGGAGCTATGCAGATTAAATCTATATCAGATTTGCTGTCTGCTACACCCAGCAACACTGATCCATAAGGCAATAATACAGCTGAACAATATTTTAAATGATCCTCATTAATCCTTTTTTCTTTTGCACATTATTGAGACCATCTTTTAACTATGTCCCCCAAATAGGCTTAAATCTCCTTGCTCTTTTATTGATTTTCCTCAATCGCTTGCAGAGATTCTGTTTCAATGAAACTAAGTAATTAGCCTTTATTGCATTGATGATGCATTAAATTTGGATCATAATCAATTCTGCCATGAGCCTTCTTCAATTCATTGTTAATATCTTGGCTGCTCATTCTTGGTGCCAAGTCCTTGATGAAGTTTATAAGCTCATTACTAAAATCCATTTTTATAATTATTTAATATTTAAATAATCCATAGTAACAATTATTTTACAATAATAGTGAACCCAATAAGCATTCACATCTTAACGATCCACTTCCCTTTCTTATTCTTATTGAAATTATTTTAGACAACAACCTCTTTAATAAACATATATATATATATTAATAATATAATAAATATATTTTAGATGAGCTTTTAAGTAGTTACTGCATATTATTTAATAGACAACTGATTCCAAGAAGGAAGAATTTAGAAAATATTTAGAAAAGGCTGGCGTTATTGATCAATTAACAAGGGTTCTAGTAGGATTGTATGAAGAACCAGAAAAACCTAACAATGCTATTGAGTAATTTTTACATTGATTGTAGCTATGTGAAAAAGTACTTGGGATCGCCTGTTGATATTGATGTTGACAAACTCAAATTGGAATATGAGAAACTTAAGGATGAGAACATTAGATTGAAGAGGGAAGTTGCTGATTTAAAAAAAGAAGTAATGTATCTTCCTTATAGAAGCTATAAGCAGCCCAATAGGAGTAGAATTGATATTACATAAATCAATAAATTTACATTACTAAATAAATATATAATATTCAAATGGAAAGAATAATTAATTTTTTAGAATCTATAATTATTGATATAAGTCCTTTCTTGCTTACTTACAGGTCTTTGATTGAGTGGCATTCAAATTTATTTTGAGTTTCCAAATCTTCTGATGAAATATATGCTGTTAATTATTGTTAAAGTTAATTGTCTTAATGGTTTGTACTCAAAATGATAAGTTTTCCATCAAAGTATTATAGTTCTTTGATATATTTATGGTTGAATTGAATCTAATGTAATTGTTAAAAACTCTTTGATTAATATGTATATTAAACAATTGAATTGTTGATTAAAACTGATACCATGTATGAATTTTCCGATTGCTCAGAAAATCTGATTATTGAACTTGAAAGATCAATGTTGATTTTGTTTATAAGTTGAGGTTTCAAGTTGATGGATATCTTATCTAAATAATTTTGCAATTATCGAACTAATGAATTGACAGTTACAAAAGAATCCTCTTATTCTATTTTATTTTATTTTTATTAAATGTTGTCTATATAACTATCTCTAAAAACATTCTTTAATATCTTAGTAACATTTTCAGTTTATTTGAACTCCACGTTTTTCTACACAACTACCTTAGTAAAAAATGTTTTTGGTGCTATTTAAATTAAACAAGTTGGATACATATTTTTTCTTAATAGAAACATTATAGATTTCTTAACTAAAATAAATGGTTATCTTTTAAGAAATCAAATAATTTTGACAGATCTACTTCTATTTTATTGAGAGGAGAATTAACATTCTCACATTCTACTTCCTATTCATTTCCTGCTTTAATTGCGCATAAATTTAGCCAAACAAAGAAGTTTCTCAAGTGTAATTTAGTCTAATGACATTCAATCTAAAATCTGCTAAACACTTTTTAAATCTTTTAGATTGTTTCTTATAATTCTTCAAAAGGAGTTTTGTGTAATCCTTAATAAAAAGGCCTAACTCGTACATTAATACTTACATGTTTTTTGATTAAATGAAGAAGTTGATAATGATTAAAATTCTAGATAACACATTCATCAATGAATCCTATATTATTTCTTAAATATTATTGAAGCTGTTTGTGATATTCTAAAATAATAACATTGTATAAGTATATTACATCATCCATTTTCTACAATATTTTTGTATTGTAGAGTTCCTTCTAAAAGAATTGAACAAGTTCTTGAGGGCAATTTCCTTTTTGATAAAACTGTAAAATGTGATAATTAATTGTTTCCTAAGGTCCAAAAGCTACCAAAGGGCCTATTATGTTCAATTGATAGCATTTGAAGATGTCTTGTAATTGGGTGTTGATTAAAAGAATTGATGTTTTTAAGAAACAAAGCAGTTCATTTAAGTAGCTCAATTATTAAATGTATTTCTAGATAAAATGTATGTCTTACTAAAATTTATTGATGTTTCAATAAGCCAATGTCGTAAATCTCAACAAACTATTTTGAAAAACAATGCAATTCATTTTCTAATTGGAATAATTATGTAGTGCTTGAATGTTCTATTTCTCCTAAATGTAGAATCCCATTAAAATTATAGGCAATTTACTTATTAGTTAATGAGAATATGATATTGTTTATTTACTGTTATTTCAGAAAACAAAGATTTTGCCAATTTTTCCTAATAATTAAGTATGAAAAATACAAGTTTGTTGTCGATAAAGGAATTATGGCTGCTTATAATTCCTGCTCTTTAATTATTTTTGCGTTCACTTAAACTAGAAGCATCTAGGTGATTTTATCTGAATTCTTGATTAGAGTGGATTGAATGATTTTTTAATGAGAAGCCAAGTGATAGAAGTATAGTTTATTTCCAACATTGTAAGCCAGAAACATACCTAATTATATGAGACTTAATACTTTCCACTATTATATTGCTGATGGCATCGTCCTCCTGGATTATGAACATCCTCTGCAATTACTCACTCACTCTGCATATTTCCAATTGGTTATTAACATATAGGATTGCACAAACATCCATTGTCTTACTCCAACTAACTGACTGGATTTCTTGAGCCATAACTCTATCCAACATTGGGGAAAATGATTAAGTTTCCATTTTCAAATTTAAAATTATATAATTACAATATATATATTCAAATTTATTTATCATTTACAAACTTTACCATTGTTATATTAAACTACTTTCGATGGTGTCTATTAATTAGGAGGATAATATCTAAATTATCCATGTCTAATATCATTCTAAAATGTTCCAGTTTCCCTTAAATTATTATAAATGAATACAATGATTTATCATTATATATTATTTCAAAATTTCCTTCCTTTTTGTTATTCTAAAAAGGCCCTTTAAACTTTGAATTGTCTTTTTTAACAGTATACTCACCTTTCCCATGAAATTTATCATCTTAGAAACACCCTGAATAGCTGAGGTGAATATATTTCAATACTTGTCTCCATTTTTTAGATTCAGGTACCCCTCCCCATTCTTTTTGCCATTTTTGAAAGCTCCAATATAACTAATAATAAAAATTGAAATGTACAATTCTCCATCCGCATTTTCCAATTCTCCCTGTCCATGTCTCTTGTTATCCTTGAAACTCCCCTTGTATCTACTTTAAACACAGATATATATACATTTCTCCGTTGCTCGTCTCTTAATAGCCTTCCTAATTTAGTTTATCATCAATAAATTATCCTTTATATCTATATAACCAGTTATAAATACAGGTCTCCAGAAGAAGTAATCTTAATTCCCTGCCCATTCAATTTTTTATCTCTCATATACCCCATTAAAATGCTGCATTCTTATAATTCATTGAATTGGGTTTTTTAGCCCCATCTTAATTGGTTATCGATCCAAATGCCTTCGTATATTATATCTCCCTTCTTCTAGATTTAGATTCCTAATTTTTCATATGTTTAAATATACCTTTTCCATGCTTTTGTGCCTTTTCGTCAATTTCTCCATGATAGATTTCATTATCATTTTTGAATTCTTTAATTTATCCATAATTTTAAATATTGAACTCCTGTGGTATTTTTGTATAATCTAATGGATTTTGCAAATAAAACTATTTGATTTTTTTTAAACTAATATGTTGGTTGACCACATTTTAGGGATTATATTGCTAAGGTTAATGGTTAATAGATTAGTTTAAAGAATCTAAACACTCAATGAAGGCTTCCATTTTACCTTTGATTAGCTTGATTAGATAATCAAATTATTAAGAATCCTATGCATTGTCCTGTATCACTGAGAAGAATATTTGAAACTATTCATTGGTTATCTCATAACATCTATCCGATTGGATGAGTCTAATAATATTGTGAGTTTATTCTAATTATTGATAGAGAATGCTATTTTCTGTAAATTGCTTTTCAACTTTACTAATAGAATCTAATAATTCTTTGTGAAAGCAAAGAAATTGTTCTTGTAATAAATTAACATTTAGAGATGTAATTGAAATATCTGAATACTTATGACTAACTTGATCTTTTAATTGTTCATAGGATAATATCATTCCTAAATGATCTTTATGTAAGGTATCTTGACATTAAACACAAACTAATTTCTCTTTACATTCTTTTCTTGTGCAAACTCCAATTATTTGTTGTTAAATATAGGAATCGTCGTCAAATAGCTAGAAGTGATTATTTTAACAGAATAATTTAGAAATTTTCATTTTACTCAAATAGAAGGAATTCATCACTTTAGAATTAAAGCCTTTCTAATTTTATATACTTATTTGTGGATTAAATAAATAATGAAAATACTTGAATTAAAAAGAATTACTTTTTCTATTTTTATTTAATAAAAATGATCACAATTGTGCTTCAGTTCATATAAATTGGACTCTTTGCATTTGGTAAATTCTTATCGTCAAACAACAACACAAATACTTTTTTCGCATTAGCAGCTGCTTTTGCCATAGAAATAATTGTAGCTGCTCCGACGACTGATAAAACAAAATGGATTTGTTCAAAGTCAATGTAATCAATTTGTAAAAATGCATTGTTGTTTTCAATCATCCTCCAACACATTGAAGATGAATATTTATATTGGGTTGTGTTGTCTGGGGGAATCTTAAAAATAACAAAGAATTTCACAACAGTGTTAGCAATAAAGAAAATAGATTAAATCTTAAAATATAATACATTTGTTGGAATTTATGCACAAATCTTTTCATTCTACAAGATCGTCCAAGTGTGTTCATATGTAATAATTAAATCAAAATATTTAGTTGTTTTTGACTAGTTTATTTTTATAATTGGAATTGCATACTATAATTTTAGGTGATTATTGGAAGATCAACTCATTAGTAGTAGTCAACTTTTGCTTCATCCCATTTGCATTTTTGATTGTATTAATTATCATAATGATCCATAGATTTTTAATCTTTTTGAATCGATTGTGTATATTAAATGGAGTTTGAAAGGTGAATAATAAAAAGTATAATAAAAAGAATAAAAAAAGGAGAAAAAGAAGTGATAATAATAATATCAATCAATTGCTATATCATTAATTGACAAACTAGTAACAGCCTATTTGTGTCCCTTTAGAGTTCTAAGCACTGCAGCACTATCAGTTTACCATATTTTAGTAGTTAAGTCTGATGAAGCTGTAATAATATACTCTGAATCACATGAGAATGCACAATCCCACACCCACTTCCCATGTCCTATAACATTTTCTCAATATTGATTACCATAGAGAGTTGAAAACAATTCCCATCGGGGATATTTGTCATTTCCTAAATTTTTTTCATTCAAAGTCCATAACTTTACTGTTTTATCAGCGCTGCAAGTTGCCAAATACCTTAAATCTGCAGAAATCGAGGCTTTCAGTATGTAATCTTGATGAGCTTCGAACTTATACAAAAAACTCTGTTCTGTAAGATCCATGTTGCTCATAACATAAGTGTGACATTGCCCTTAAGAATCAGCAGCTACAATCTGACTAGCATTATAGGCAATCGAAATAGATCTAATGCCAACCTCAGGACAAGGAGTTAGTCTCAATCTTACCTTGTTTTACTAAAAATCATATATTTTGACATTTCCCATTTGATCCCCAACAATTAATTCAGTCTCATTTGGATGCAAGCATATTGTATTTAATGGTTCCTTCTCTTAGTATTCTCTTGATAAATCTATATAAGTATTGATTCAAATACTATTAGATCTTAGATCATGCATTCTTATAAATCCATCTTCAGAACAAGTATAAAAGAAATTGCTATCCTTCAAAAATCCTATTCCTGTAACATTGTTCTTATACCCATCGTAAACATAAACAGGCGTATTCTTTTAAGAGTTTATATCATAATAGGAAGCAAAGAAATTGCCACCTGCAGCCAAATACTTTTTGTCTTAAGATGTGTCAATCCTGTTAACAATAACTTTATCCCCATAATTTATTTCATGCTTTTGTTATCCTGTTGTAGCATCCCAAAATATAAAATTATGATCATAGGACGAAGTTACCAAGATAACATCATTTTCAGACATTATGTTATAAATATATAATTATAAAATTAAATGATAAAATTAATTATTGAAAATCAAACCAATTTGACTTGATTAAAATATTAATCCATATAATCAATGATAATTTTTAATTTTTTCTATCCTACTCATGTCAAGAGGTTCTAATGTCTGTTCTTCTCTTGTTATAATAATTCTTATTTAATCACTTAATTCAGGATTATTTTTTTATTTATGAAAAATGTTATCATTAAAATATTCATCAACCCCATCCTAATTTTAAAGTTTGTTCTTCAAAAAATTTAATTAAAAATTTGGATATTTGTTATCTCTACTTAATAATTGAAGCTTGAATCTTTTTATATTTTTAATCTCTTTTTCTTGTTCGGGACTATTGATTCTTGTAAATGGTGACGCTTGTCTATCTGTTATCTGAATCCATCTAGTTTTTCTTTTTTAGTATTGAGAGATCTTTGGAACCTATTGAGTTTATTCAATGCTTGATGAAAATTTACATGGTCTCCTGATTCCTCTAACTGTTAATTGAGATTCATTTAAAGAGATTTTTCTAGTTCTATATAATCCAATTTATGAATAATCTACACTGCCAATTTATTATATCATAGTGCTGCTTGGTCTTTCATAGAACTATTTAGTTTTGCTGAAACCTAATTTATTTGACAATGAGGACTTATTTTGAGCTTGGCTTGAAGATTGAAATTTACTCTTTTAAATAAAAAAGGATTAAAAGATTGCTTGGGATGTTGGAGTTAAATTCATCAAATTATAAATTTATTTATAATAAAATGTCAAAGTGCGTGATATTATTTGATGATGATAAAGCACAATGTAAAACACTCTTGCATTCTAAAAAGATGATGACTTGTTTAAATCCTGATTGTCTGACTTATCCTCAGATCTGTTGTTCTGATTGTATTGAATAATTGCATCAACATAAAGGAAATGCAATGACACTTGAGAAAACCCAATTTGTAAATTAAACTAACAAGAAGTATGCTGAAATACAAGAGTAAGCTTATGCTTTAGAAGCAGAATATTAGAATTTTGAAAAAAAGGGTTCCAATCTCAAAAGGTTATTTAACGGTGATATAGAAAGAATGAGAATTTAACTAAATAAAATAATTGATTCCTTAAAGGAGCAAATTAATAAGTAAATTGATCTAAGTATTTCAACAACAAAAAAACAAGTAACTAATAAAGTTGAAAAGACTAAAGATGCTCTGCAATAATTTAAACCAATTAACATTAGTAAAATCTATAATGATTAATTAAAACGATTGATAACTGCTATGTGGCATACTGATTACTAATTGGAAAGAGATCAATTGAAAATCTTCTTTCCTAATTTATAAGACAAATTGAGGGGAAGACTATCTTAAATAAATGATAGTGTGTCATAAGAATTGGTTTAAATGAGTCAAGACTTAATTCAAGAATCCTAAGAATAAATATAATCCTTTTTAGATTAAAAAACACCAAATGATAATCTATCTACTTAAAGTGATGACTCAATTGTGAATAAATTAGTAAATTTAAGGGATAGTTTGAAATTGCAAATGGAATAGCATCTAGCAGCCAAGAACTGTACTCACAAGGGATGCCATTAAGTAACTCCTGTTAAGGCTTATTATGGATATTATTATCATATAAGTGGCTATGCTGTATAAGGGGAATTGCCTATTTCAGTTTGTGCCAAATCAAAGAAATTAGCCGAGAAAATGGATAGAGTAGTGAATGATTTGTATAAATTGTAATATAGAGATTCTAAGATTGATGATTGTGTGTAGGCATATTTTATATATTGATAAAACTTTACATCATTTTTATAGTTTATTAATTGGTAGAGCAAACAGTAGATTTTGATTTTTAAAGCATAAATTGTCTGTTTTATAAGATTTCTTTGGCAATATTTATATTATAAAGTAATTCAAAAATTTAAATGATAGGTGTTATTTTCGACAAAAATAATCTATTACAAAGGGAATTTGGTTCAGTTTAGAGAATTTGCTAAGGGATTGCTCAAAAGAGTATAAAAGATGATTCAAAGAAGTGAATAGAGAAATGCAATAAGCAAAGCAAACTAAGTGGTTATGATTGGAAATAATGAATTTGCACTTTTCAATAGCAATAAATTATATGAATTTCATAATAAATTAATTTATATATCATTTTTCATGGTTGAATTGTAATGAATTTACATATTCTATTATAGGGATGCAAAAAAGCAATTGGCGATTAGCAACATAGCATTACTCATGATTGAGATCGTTCTTTTAACAGAATATTCTTATATGAATGAACACCCACATAGAGATGAAAGTTTGACTTATGTGAGATTCGCAATTTCTGGATAGGTTTTTATGATGTTAGCATTTCTTGGATTGATTGCAACTTATCTTTTCACACATAGATACATGAAATTCGCGATCATTGGTAGTCTTTGGTTAGGCTTCGTATTAGTTTTTATCGGTATGATTGTGGGAGTAAAATACGTAATTGAAATATATATAAATTTAGTACGAAGATGGCTATGACACAATTGCATCAACTTGGTGGATTGAGGTTGGATTGACTATCCTTGGCTTTTTGAATTTCCTCAAGGCCTTTAATAATGAACAACAGCCCAACGAGGGGTATCAGAGATAGGAATGAGTGTATGTATATATAATAAATTCTACATATTCTATTTGTTCTATATTTTTAATTAATTTTATTATTCTTATATGAGTTTCGTTACCAAAATCAAGAACTAAGCACAAGAAAAATACAATCAAATTATGAAAAAGAAGACTGAATAATATCAAGAAATGGTATTGAACTATCAATATCGATAAGAATGAAGAAAACAGAGGTCAGGAAAATAAATAGCAAGAAAATAAAATGGATAATGAAAAAGTTATTGATGAATAGCCAAAAAACGATGATTCTGCTCCTAACAAGCCTGAAGAAAAGCCTAGACAAGGAACCATATCGTATATCAAGACAAATCTAACTGCTGCAGGTGACTACCTAAGTAATAAGGTTGTTGAGGCCTAGAAGACTGTTACAGTAATCAATTACATTTTATATCAATAAGCTTCAATTGCAAAAAGTGGATACAAGTGTTAAGTAGGCTATATTGAAATAAAAATAAAGCTTTAACAAATGGATAGCACTTAAAATAGATCAAAGAATCTCGAGATCTCTCAAATAAATGGAAACCAAAATCTCACTTAGTGTTTAAAAGGCTGTTCCCAGTTCATGTTGTTTTGACTTTGTCAATGATGCAGTTCTAAGTCTATGGACAGATGCAAGCAATCTGATACGTTTCGAATTAAGAGTGAGCATCGACGAGCCCATAATAACATTATCTAAGAGGCCTGACAAAAACAAATGGTTAAAGCCCTGGTATCGATTAAGGAATTGGATATTGTATTCCTTGTACCCATTTGATGTGGAACCTGGAAAACAATTAAGATCTCCTTCCTTCTTATTTATCAAGCTTTTATAAGTGATTCCCTACTATGGAATCCAAGTCTTCACTTTCCTTATAATTTTCTTGGCCATCGACAAGACTGAAGAGTATTAAGTCGTAAATTACATCTTGGATTACAAAAACATTCAATTCTTTACTGCTGGTGTTCTAAATGCGCTGATTGGATTTTTTAGTTACTTCTATTGTGCAACTCTCAAACCAGCTCACGATTTCATAAATGAAAAAGATCAAGGACTCAAGTTGAATTACTGTTTTTCTCACGGTCCAGGTGCTGAAAGTCACTTAATTTTATCACAGATCAGTTATTTTACGTAAGTAATTTTGATTTGGTGTGCCTTTGCAGTGTTACATAAAACAAAATCAAGGGCAGATTTCATAAGTAATGAAATCAAAAGATAGGAATCCATAAAGAGAGGCGGAAGATTAACTGGGTTTATGATATATGATTTAATCTGCTTTGTGGGGACGTGTTCATTGACTGGATACATCTATTACAATTACTATTATAAGAAGGATGATACATTCTATATGTTGCCTTATGTAGGTAATTTGATATACTTTTCGCATTTGATGTATGGATTTTTGAGTCTGCCTTTTGTGATATTTGTGGTTCCATTTTTTGTTAGGATGTTCACAAGTGCCATTCCAACGGCTTATGATTAATATGGGAATGTGGTTCCATGCATTAATCAGATGAAATTGAATTATGAAGAGTTACCACTGGAATAATAGGACGAGATCGATATTGAGGAGGCATTGGAGAATTAATGAGTTATAATAATATTATAATTTTAAATAATGGGAGTTTATAATTTATGGAAATTATTGGCGGCAGCAGGAAGGAATGTAGACATTGCATCCTTGAGGGGACTAAGAGTAGCCATTGATGTCAGCATATGGATGGTTAAGTTATTGCACGGAATGGCAAATTCAGGAGTCAATTTTGAGAATGTGCATTTGATTGGTATATTAAAAAGAATTATGTTTCTTTTGGAAAATGGCATTAAGCCAGTCTTTGTATTTGATGGACCTGCTCCAGAATTGAAGAGACAAACCTTAATAAAGAGAGCTCAGTAAAGATTACAATACAATATCAATTTATAAAAGTTAGCAGAGAAGTATGTTGTAAAATTAATAGAGAAAGGATATGATATAACATAGTAGAATCAAGAGTTCATTGAGGAGATAGTATTTGAAGATGATTCAGATTCTCAATTACCACCAGAAGAACAACAAATTATAGATTAACAAAATCATGACATACTCAATTTGCAATTTGCTTATTTGAAAGGAACTACTGAAGGATTCCATGATCTGGATTTGTAAACTAAGGAAGAAATCATAGAGTAGTTAATTGAGGAGAGATAAGGGTAAGATGCAGAGGATCAAAACATTTCACTCAAACGATTTTTAATGTATGCAGATTAAAAGGAGAAGATTAAATAAATCAGAATTGAAGCTGTAAAGTAAATAGAAACACTTAGAATTGAAAAGATCTTAGAATAATATAATGATAAAGAAAGTCAATTGTTGAGAGAGTATTTGAATAAGAATGAGGATCTAATCATTAAAATGGGATAATTTGGAGTGAATAATCTGTATGTTTATTTGCAAGATTAAGAAAAAAGATAAGAATTAGTTAAATTGTTATATGGATAAAAGAAGAAACCACAAAGAAAACTAAAAGATTATGAAATAGAAAATGAACATTTGAAAAACATTAGAGAAGCATTAAAAAGGAGATATAGAGAGAAGCTTAATGAAGAAGTTGTGCCAGAAAATCCAAATTAAGTAGAACAAGAGGAAGTTGAAGATTTGATGGATAAATATGATTGTTTTGACTTAGATTTAATTGAATAGAAAATGGATGAAGAGTATAGACAATTACAATAAATGAAGGAAGATTCTAGTTCCTAATAGATTTAACAGCAATGTTCATTTGACAACTAAGAAAATTTATAGAAGGTAGATTAAAGCTAATAAGAATCAAACAAGATTGAGCAAGACATTAATTTACCATAAGTGAGTGAGAAAGATGATTCCCATTCAAGTGGTAGTGAATCAGAAAGTGATAATGTATTTGTCAATCAAATCCAGTAGAAATAGTTTTAAAACTCATCTAATCATAATAGTAATTCCAAACTTAATCAGGAATCAATCAATTCAAATAATTTACCTAAATAATATTCATTAAAAGAAGATCTCAATAATACTAATAATTTTCTATCCTAAGACCTCCAGTAGTAATTTTTAGATCTAAACCCTAAGTAATAACAGGAGATCCCATAGAAAAAACCAACTGTTTAATAAAATAATATTCAAACCAATAATTAGATAATTACTGATGAATAAATAGATTAATTATTTACTTAAGCTGATAATAATGGTGAAGAATTGGATGCCTATGAAATGATAGACAATATTAGAAGGAATCAAAATTTGCAATCTCTTGATTCTGCAACTATGCAATAAAAATTTGAAGATATTCGATAACTTTTGGCATTGTTTGGAATTCCATGGATTTTAGCTCCTGGTGAGGCTGAAGCTTAATGTGCATATCTATAATAGAATGGCCTAGTAGACTGTGTGATTACAGAAGATTCTGACGTTTTTTTGTTTGGAGCCACTAAGGTCCTTAAAGGCTTTTTTGAATCAAAAAATTCCCTGGTTTATTATGATGCTTAAGTAACATAACATAATTTAAACATAGTATATAAAAGAAGATTTGGGATTGAATAGAGACTAATTGATTTATTTGGCCCTCTTTTTAGGAAGTGATTACACATTAGGAATCAAAGGAGTAGGTATTGTGAATGCTATGGAAATCGTAGAAGTCTTTGATAATGTGGAGGCATTGAAACGATTCACATCTTGGGCATCTAAAGCTGATGTGTTATTGGAGAATGCTTCATCTCATTATGAAAATATACCTGAGAAAGAGAGGATGTACAAGGAACTTCATAAAAATTATAAAAAATATTGGGAATTACCATCTGATTTTCCTAACATTGAAGTGATTAATGGATATAAGAAACCAAGGATAGATGAATCATTGGAATAATTTACCTGGGGTAAACCAGCTGTCGAAAAGATTATTGAATTTTGTTCATAATAGTTAAGATATTCTTAAGAGAGAGTCGAAGAAACCATAAGTAACAATTATCAAGTATGATAGAGATTCCTTTTCAAAAGATCATCCAAAAGGAGGATTAAAAAAAGATAACAGACTTCTTTAGAGTAACTAGCAAAATCGCTATTATAAATAGTAGAAGAATAAACTAAGTTGTACTTAATTTAAATAAGCCTGATTAATCAAGATAAAATGTTTAATAAAAGAAAAAGAGAAAGTTGTTGGATGAAGTTAAAAGACAACCTGATAAAAGAAGAGATGATTCATTTGACTCTTCGAACATAGATCTAGATTAATTCAAATTCAAAAAATCGCTAAAAAAATAATGAAAATTATTAAAATACACATTAATACTAAAATAATGTCATAATGTTTCTCTTACAAACTTCCTTTCCTACTCTATCTTCTTCCGATAATCCACATACATTTGAAAAATCACATTCTCTTATTACATAATTGCCAATTGCTATATTGATATCAATAAAATAATACTGTGAGTAATACTGCGAATGTAGATAAGAAATAGAGTTTCAGGAGATTATTTGTTTATTTTTACTTGAGATATTAGAAATATTACTTTCTCATTTAGGAAGGTCTTTCTATTTCTAAATAAAGAGGCTTGCTCGAAGATATTCTTTTATAATGTGACCACTGCACTTCCCATAATTAAATTTATACAATTTATTTAATAATTTGATGATAATGTTCAATCATCCAAATCCACCTTTCCTAACATGAACATTTAATCAATATCTTTAGGATTCTTGCCTTTCGTCTCTTTTACCTAGAAATAGATATAAATAGTCCTTTTAATCATTCATTCATAAATTACCCCAACAAACAAAACCCAAAGAATAATCCAAAACTGGTTTACATTCCTCCATGATTATTGATAAATCCAAAGAATTATGCAACTATGGCACAACCCAACCAATTGCACAGAACAGCAATCGACATTCCCTTCTCATCTAATACGTCAGCATCGTAAATCTTAAATATTAGCCATTTCTATTACCCACACGACTGGTCCTAAAGATAATTAAAATGCAGCCAAATATAAGAACATAAAAACAATCACCATTACTGCTGATGTGGTGACTTCGTACTCTTCTTCACTAGGCAAGAAGAATGAAAATAAACTGATAAATCCTAAAAACAATGTACAAGCAGAAGTTCCTAATAATAAAAGTGGTCTTCTTCCAAAGTTTTTTAAAAGCGGGATAGCAATCATACTAAACACCAAATTGACAAGACCAACTGCTATGTTTAGCCAATTTTTTAATTCATTGTTACCTCCAGTTATCTAAAAACTAAGTGGATTATTACATTAATGAATAAACCAGAAGAATATATAAGCACTGCGTTAATGCCACTAAATTATTGAATAATCTAAAGAGTACAACCTACAATCAAGCGGCTTCTATATGAAGCTGAGTCTTGGTTTTTGCTATCCGAAGTTTCAGATTGTTTTGCCTCAATTTGTTATTTCAATTCATCGAAAATTTAGTCAGCGAATCTTCGTTTATAGTAATTTCTGATTACTGCTTTGGCCTATTATAATGCATTGATTTACAGTTTTGAACTTGTTTCTATAAATATAATAGGATGGCGGATTATCCTAAAAAGCAAATGCCAAAAAGAATATCCTTAATGCACAAATAATCATTGGGAACACAACGACAAATCTGAAATAGTCAAGACTCTCTCCATCTGCATCAAAAAACCTCTTTTCAAAATAATTTGTACATTCCCATTATTAAAGCAACCAAGCAACCTATATTGATTGTCATCTAAAACATAGCTCCAAATGGTCCTGACAAAGATTCAGGTGAAAATTCCTTAATGTATTGAGGCACCAAAGATGAATTCATTCCAACTGCATATCCTATCACTAATCTTCCAATCAGTAAAGTTGCTAGATACAAAGGCAATTAAAAAAGAAATCCAGCAACACCAATCAAATCAGCAAATAAAAAAGATGTTCTCAAACCAAATTAATTTTATATTTTGCCAGAAGTTATAGCTCCCGCTGCTGCTCCCAAAGCAGGAAATGCTAATTAATTATAAATTCACATTAATACCATTTATCAATCCATTTATGAGATCTTTATCACCTGTAATGCCAAATTGAGTATCTGCCGTCTTTATAGCTGGATTCATATAGGACACAGAAAATCCAAAGAAAAATGCCCCTAAAACTGCATTTGAAATGAGTAACGCAAACTATGACGTTGATTTATGCTATTATTCAGACATTAATATTATTGATTTTTGTTTTCTATATATAATAAATAAATGCTATATCATAAACATTATGGAAAAATTTTCATAATAATAATCAAACATGAGCCTAGTCTCCCTTTAAGATTCACTCTACGCAGGTATTCTTTGTCGCTATATCTAATTACACTCTTTTGAGCAAATTCCTTCCATTTAGTAATTTCAAGAATAAAATTATCATCAAAGTTGTTATTTCATCACTTAAACTAAATTTCAAGTCATTCCCATATTCCAGAAGCAGATATCCTCAATGTTTATCGATTTAAAATAGTTTGAATACTCTAATTTTATGTTAAGATACAGAAAAATCTTCCTAATTATTTCATTCTATTTTAAGGTAATCAACAACCAAGTAGAATAATAAAGGGGTATTTTTGATATCTGATCTCAATAATCCAATTAAAAAGTGATTTAAGTCAAAGTAATTTTAAAAGTAAATTCTTATTATTTATATTCAAAAGTAAGGAGTAAAAAAACAGTATCAGCAATCATAATTATATTTCTTTCTAGTTTTTTATTTAAATTTATTAATCCACAAATCATGGGAAACTATTTTAAAACTAAACCTAAAGATAAACTTGACAGAGAAATGATCGAATTTCTTAAATCTCGTAAACTTTCACACATTAACGAAGTAATACAATACTAAACTAGGCAATCGATGTTGTAAATACTAAATTTCCGTATTCAAAGTATTTAGAGTACAGTGACTATTGTGATGTGTTCAACCCAATATTAGAAATTTGGACATAAAATGTGTTCTAACTTTTGTCCTCTAACTCTTCTCTTGAAGGATCTAATGATATTTACGAATCATTAGCAGTCTTTGTAACTAAAATGAATTAACATATAGACTATTTTTAGCGATGAAGAGTAAGAACTTAAATTACAGTTCATATTCCAATTATTTGACACTGATAAGTCAGGGGAAATTGAAAAGCAAGAGCTAGTGGTTGCCTTAGAAAAATGCATCCGTGGTTTATGTAAGTTAGTACATTTACCTGCTCCTTCAATAAAGGATATTGATTTTTATGCAGAGCGCTTATTTTTAGAATTGGACAGAGATTATAGCTATACAATCTCATTCAATGAGTTTAAGCTATGGATTATTGGAAATTTTGAATTATAAGACTTTCTTTTAAAATATGCACTTATTTAAACTTATGAAAATGTGACCAGAAGATATAAAGAAAAGAGGATTCTCTATGAAAACTTTTTTATCAATGCAGTTGGAAATGACAAACATGACGTATGCGAATTAGAATTAATCAAACAATTATTTTTGACTGAATTCAATAATTAATAATTAGAAATTCTTGAATTACTTTTTAAAACTTTATAGGATTCTTCTAATGCTTACTTAGATAAAAAGCATGACGGATGGATATGTAAATAAGCATATTAAGATGTAATGAATGCTTGGGCTGCTTTTGATGCCTCTGATATAAACTAAGATAATGAAGTTTCCATGTCAGAGTTGAAATATTTAATATATGCATATGAAGGGGATAAACCAGATTATTATAGATTGCAAACAGAAATGGAGATTCTCGATATGGATCAATCAGGAAAGATTACAAGAGATGAATGGATTAAATATCTTTGTGTAAATGAAAAAGGCAAATTTGTTTTTAGAGGAACACTGCAACATTAATTTAATGAGTATGATAAAGATCACGATGGTATGCTATCAATTAAAGATATCAAGGACTTATTAAAAAATTCAATGAAAGATCTAAGAACAAGTTTTAAGGTATAGAATAATTATAAATAATTAAGAAATTGAATTCGACATTAAATTTTGAAGATATGGTTGATGATTTAATAGAGGATATAGCTAAATCATTATAAGAAGGAAATTAAGATTAACACTCTTATTAGAATTAAATGTTGTTTGTACATTTATTAAATTTAATTAGCTTACTTGGAGTCAATTTAAGTCATTTATGGAAAGAGCAACCCTTAAACAGGATTAACTTCGTTAGTATTTAGCAAAACTTTGATTTATCATATATTAAATAATTGTTAATCATTTAATTAAGTTAACCGTATTATTAGATGAAGCATTTTATAAAGCCGTCATTAAGATTAAGTTAAAAAATAGAAGTAATAAAATCATTAAAGTAATGAACAAATTACATTAAAAAAATCTCAGCAAATCCATAAATTATGCAAAATCATCAATATTCTGTTAATTGTTAGTCTATATTTATTTTTTTACATATCCCAAAAGAACGCCGTGATCTCCAATAATTTGCAATAAATTGCAAATTGAATATTACAAATAATTAAAATACTACTGGTAATCATAAAACATTTGTTTAAGAGTTAGAGATGATTTAAAATTGAAAAATTCTTCATTTTTTAGAGGATATATAACTTAAGATTGGGGAAAACCAGACTCTTTAGAGCAAGGAATATATTTATAATAATTAAATAGTAATGTTGACATATTTCTCCAAATACAGCTGATACTCCATACAGAAATCGATAAAACTTCAATTTTATGGAGCTAGAAACTAAAGCACCTTAAATTATAAAAAATTAACAGAATTACTTAAATTTTAGAGTGGACAATCTAATTTATAAATATTATATTTCTAATCAAATATTAAATTCTAAATATAGTTCATTCAGATAAATCAAAAAAAATTATTTGTTGTAGTGCTTTATATGTCTTTCTTAGGATTTATTTTCATTTCAGATAATCTTAATATCAGTAATTGTGTGATACTAATTAACTTTGAATTGAACATTAGTTTGTTGTATAATATTTTATTAAATCAAATTTTGAAAAAATCATATATTAATAAATGTTGAGGACCTTAATTATCTATTGGATAAGGAATAAATTCAAAAAGGAGATTGAATAGTACAGCCTTAGTTATTTGGCTTATATAATAAAAAAATGATGTCTTTGTGCATAAGCTAACTGGAAAAACAACATTTCGATTTATAATAAATCCTGTCTAAATATAATATTTTTATTTTGTTGTATACTAATAATACATGAAATAATTTTGAATAGTAAAATTTAGCTTATATGCTCAAAATATTAGATATTACTACAAATTGATAAAGCTTTCTGAGATTTGATAAAGATATTAATTTTTCCATTATTTAAATTAAATTATGCTATTATAAATCAAGTATGTTCTATAATTCAAAATTAGTTTGGCTATTGAATAAAGGATTTATTTCAAGAATTGAATAATTATTTTTTTAATAATAAATATGTCAAATTTTGCTTAATTTCTTGAGGACATTAGCGATTTCAAGGATAGGCCTGTTAAATTAAAATAGATCAAAAAAGTTCTGAAAATAAATGAAAAAAGTTTTCCGCCTTGCAAAAATATCCTCAACTATTATTTTTAAGAGTTTTCAAAGTAGATGTTTACAATAAAAGTAGACGAACTAACGAAGAACATCGTACTAAGTGGCATAGAAAAGATAAAATACTATTTGTTTGGACTGTATTGAAATATTTTGAATTAACGAATAAGACTGATCTCAATCCTGTATGTCTTATAAATAGCATAGTCTGATTAAGATTGGCAATATCTTTCTTCAGTGCTTGGTGTGACAGAATAATTGTTGAATTTAAAATGGATTAGTATGCTTAAAACTAATTTAAAAATGGCACCTTGGAATACAGACGAGGACGAAGTTTTACAATAATTGATTACAGATCCGAGTGAAAATAAGAATTGGACTCAGATAACTATTGATTTTAATCGAGCTAATCCAGCAAAAATAGTTAGGCATGCCAAATAAATCCGAGAAAGATGGAATAATTATTTAAATCCAGACTTAAAAAAGTATTATAATGAAAATTAATTAGATCTGAATGGTCATAACCAGAATAATTGTAATTATTATTGCTTGTGTAAGAAATAGGAAAGCGATGGTCTTTGATCTCAAAACGCATTTAGGGAAGGACAGAAAATTAGGTAAAAAATTAATACAATTCTATGATGAATAATTATAGGAGATAGAACGTATAAATTGAATATTAGTATTAGTAATTGGATAATGAAGATATTGCAATTAATAAATTGTTGGCCAATTTATAAGGAAAAGATTATGAAGGACCAGTACCATTAGCTAGTAAGAGAATTCGAAAAACGATCAACAACAATAATAATATTAACATCAATAATAATAGCAATAACAATAACAATAATAAGGATACTATTTTATATAATAATGATCAGCCATACATGTAGGTGGAGAATAACATAATTAATGAAATTAAGGAGGAGCATCAACAAGAATAGTCATAATAGTAATTTTTATAACAATAATCATAATCATAATTACAATTACAATAATAGCAATAATAATAACAATTATTGTTATAATAATAATAGCAATAACCACAACAATAGTAATAATAACAATAATCACAACCCTTAATGCTTGGATTACCAGTATATTCACCGATGTTACCTTTTTCACCTTTACATTATTTGTTATGTAAAAGATAGTAAGTATGATTAGCATCAAGTCCCAACAATATTTCATCTCCCTATGAAATAAGAAACAAAAATTATTCTGGCCAATTGCAATTATTTGATGAATATATGAAATCAACAAATAATTTGGATTCAAGTGCTCCCCAGCAGGATTGCTTATTAAGATTATTTAATTCACCAGCTTTCAGCAATTCTGGATTCCCATTTGCTACGATACCCTTCCAATAACCGACATAATAACAATCAACTTACAATACAAAAAAGATTAATAAGATTTAAAAAGAATTGCTTAAATTCGACACAGGTTTAAACAAAGATTGCTGATATTAATATTAATATATTTTCTTAATCAAAAATGAAATCTAAAGTTGATTCTCAACCAGAGGAATCTAATACCGATAATGACTTTTCTGAAATGTCTGATACATAAGTAAGAAGAAGAGTCCCTTCTCAAAAAAAGGTTGTTCATAAAAATAAACTACCCAATTTAGAAAGAAATGTCCCTATAATTATCAAGAATAACAATTTTGTTGTAAGAACTATTTGGACAATTGTTATGATTTTGGGTTTTATGGCTGTTTTATGGGCTGGCCACATCTATATCATTGGATTGGTCTTGCTAGTTAATATTGGAATATTTAAGGAAATTTTAGGATTAAAAAGAAACTATGAAAAAGAGCTGAATATCAAATATTCTCCAATAATTAATTGGTACTTTTTTGGAATCGCCACTTTTTTTTGTTATGGAAAATTGCTTCAATCGAAATTATCAGAATATACATTTAAAATGAACATGTTGTAATTTATTTTGAATTATCATAATATTGTTACTTTTATGTTATGGGTGACAGGATTTTTGATGTTTACTTTATCCCTTAAAAAAGGATACTATCGATATCAATTTAGAATGTTTGGATGGACACACATTACTTTAATTCTTGTAGTTGCTTAAAGTTCAGTTATGATCATGAATATATTTGAAGGTAACAAAATTTAGCTTCAATATTTTAGGTATTGTTTGGTTTATATTACCATGTTCTTTAGTAATAACAAATGACATTTTTGCTTATATTTTTGGAGTGTCTTTTGGAAAGACTCCATTAATTGAACTATCGCCAAAAAAAACATGGGAGGGTTTTATTGGAGGTTGTTTTTCAACATTAATTGCGTCTTTTTGTGTAATTTATAAGTTTCTAATTTAGTTTGCATATTTTCTATAAGGAAGCCAATATTTGACTTGCCCATAGCATTAACTACCCTTTTCTCCTTTTTCTTCATTAACATGTGAAATCCCAAGCGTTTTTATATCTACTTAAAGATAATTACCTTTTTCACTATTAGGAATTGATTCTGTTTATTTCAGTGATTTTTAAATTCATGCCATGGTGTTCAGTTTATTTACTAGTTTAGTATCACCATTTGGTGGCTTCTTTGCATCTGGTTTTAAGAGAGGTATTAAAATCAAGGATTTTGGTGATACTATCCCAGGACATGGAGGCATAACTGATAGAATGGATTGTTAAATATTAACAGGGATGTTTTCATATTTGTATTTGCACTAAATTGTCTTACCAAAAGCAGCAACTTTAGGCACAGTACTTGGTTATGTGTCATAATTATCCTTTAATGACCAATAGGAATTATTTGAGCAACTTAAATAGACATTATAAATTAATCAATGAATATTTAATTTAAATAAATACAATTAGTTTATAATTAAAATAAAAGAATCATCAATCAGAAGGTATAAAGTATAATCTGATTGATGGATAATTCATTAATTACAATTTAATTCTTTATTACCTATTCTCTCAATGTATAAACAGTTAAATCAGTGTATTTATAGCAAATTTCAAACTATTAGAGTCTATTCCATCTTAAAATATGTCTTCAATATTAAACTTATTCAAATCAAAATACTTTATCATCCTTTGTATAAAGGAATTAAATAAAGAAAAAATTCTCTTTCTTCATTTAAGTAATTTAAGTAATATATTACTTCTATTAATAACAATAGTGAAAATAATTGCACATCAAGTTATCCTTAAAATTTTAATTAATTACATGAAGTTTTTATAAGATAAATCTATTCTTCTACTATTTAAATGAGATTATGAAATTATAAAAAATTAGAAATATAAGATTTAAGGCTGCTATCGATTAATGATTCTTTAATTCTTTACTAGAAAATTATAGCATCTGGAATAAGTAACAAAAATAATTTAAAAATAAAACTTTATAAAATAGGGATTGAATAAAATGTGCTATATGAATTTAATAATAATTGTATTAAATTTTGAATAAGTTAGAAAAAATAAATCTGAAGTTGAAATTTTATTGTATCTTTATGAAATAAATCAAAAAACAAAAATAAAAAAAAAACTCAAACAGATTCTTCAGCATCACTGCTAAATGAGCTGTCTCCAGTGTCAGTTTGCTTTAATTGTGAAACTGGCTATGGAGCATGATTGTAAGCATTGTTTGCTGCATGAACCTAAAATAGTTATCAAATTAATACAATTCTATCATTTTTGTCTTAAGCTTTACTTTCTTCTGCTGCTTTTTTACTCTATTGTTTTTTTAAATATTCAAGTTTTGTGTTAACATATTTCTCCAATTATCTTGTCTTTTTAACAGGTAAAGTATCTATATCAAATTCTAATTCATCATTTTATTCTTAAATTTTCAATCCATCAGACACTATTTCCCAAACTCCTCTGAGATGTTCGGGAGGTAAACTATTTATGTTTGAAACCAAGGCTCTTTTTTCCTACATATTCATAGGTTGTTCCATTAGGCTTGGTTGTTTTCTAATATTATTATTGGGTGCTTTACATTGGCTTTTTGTTGTTTTAATTATTGTGATTACTATTGCTATTAGTTTGTTACATGGGAGGTGGCTTTTTCTATTTCTCTTATTTTAGTGGTTGCTCCACAACTTATTTTTATGGATAAGGCTTATCTAATTCTTTGTATAATTCATTAAAATGCTATTCTAATTCTTGAGTCATTGCATATAATTAAGTGCCTTTGTTATTCATGGCATAGGACATTTACCAGATTTTTTTTATATCTCCCCAAAATTACGTGGCTGTAAGATACTCATCTAAATTATGATTGGATAAGTAAAGTACTGTTTTTTAGATTTTATTCAACAATTTATAAGTCAACATATTCGAATTCTTAAGGATAATTAACATTTTCTAATTTCCTTAGAAATGGAGCAGCTAACTAGTGTTTTTTTAATTTTTAGAGTAATGCTAAGCATCTTTTCATTTCATCAGTGTTTTCTGCTCTATAAGGAGGTGCTACATATGTCTTTTTTGTGACTTTATTCTCCTCATCTGATGAAATATCCTATTAAAATTTCTAAAATTTTATTATTTGATTAGCAAACTTTAACATCTCTTTTTGATTATCTGCTTAAATTAATGCTAAAACCAGGGGGTAATCTCTTTGCAATCACTCTTGCTTAATCTGAAGTTAAGTGGACTTAAAAAACATCTTCGATTTGCTAGATATCAAAAATTTAAATTTAGTTATACACAAAAGGTCGTCATAGCTTCAATAACGATTTCTAGAGTAAGAGAGATTCTTTTGAAAACAAATTATTTTAATTATTATTTTTTGTTTATTCACCTTAAAAATCTTGATAAAAAAATGACCGGGGGTGGAAAAAATACATGATTAAAAATTAAAATAAGTTTGAGAGGTAATTATATTGTTTGAATAGAAAACTATTATTTTTGATGCCTCTCAAACAAAAGCATAACTTTATAATATTACTTGAGTATTTAAGCTCTTTAAAAATCTTCAATCTACTCTAAATAATAAATTATTATATTTACGAGTCATTCATCTTATGAATATTGGATTACATCAAAATTTGACTTCTTTTCTAGGCTCATTTATTAATATCTTTCTAATTGATTAATTCATTGAAATGATTTCGAAAGCAATTCATATTCTTCAAAAAATATTAATTAAATTAATATAATAATAAACTCTTTTTTCATTTATCAACAAATACTTATATACTAATTCTATTATTCCATATTTATGATCAATGTGTTATATAATTCTATTTATCATCAAAATACTATATATTTTTATGTATAAAATTTGAAAAATGAAATCTTTTTTAGAAGAGATAGCTTTTTTGCTACTTTTAAATTAAATTTAAATACAAAATACTTGATGGATGCAACAAAAGAATAATTGCATTATTTTGAAATTGATATCCCACTTTGATTAACATCAACTTATTTACTTGTAATTGAAAGTTTTTTCATTAGTTTGTCTCTGTAATCTGTTTAAGCATTATTATTATTTGAGAAGTTGATCTCTTCTTGTTCATTAATGGTAACAATTGAGCAGATTCTTTATTATATGTATAAGTAATAACTTATAATTTTTCCATTAGCAAACCAATATCCAAAAAGAGCAGAGATAGTAACATTTCAAAAATATCAATCACAATTTTCCTAAATTAAAAGTAATTTCTAAGACCATTTTTGAAATAAAATAAAACAGACTAGAAAAAAATAAATGATTAACAAAAATTTTACATTAATTTATTTCCAAAAATAAGCAAATTTTATGTTTAGAAAAAGTATTAATTGTATTAATAAGAGGATACATAAACCCAAACATAAGATATATATTACTTTACTCTTACTTAGCTATCAAATCTATAAAAAAACTAATAGAGTTATTATAGAATATAATGAATTTATTCAATAATAGCTATAAGTTTTAATAATCTTTGCATTTTTATAGTGTATTATAATAGAGTTAATACTTTATGTGTCTGGAAATTAAATTACTCTAGTTTAAATTTTTAATACTTATACAGTCAAAAGTGAATAACCAAAAAAATGTATTTTTTAAAGCAATACGATTATCATTAAAACTAGAAACAAATCTTATTGTTTCTTTTCAAACTAGAAAATATTAAAATTAATTTTCAATTTCAAATAATTAACTTCCTCTAAAAAAGAGAAAAAATAAAAATGAAGAAACAATAATATACAAACTTAAATTGATTTCAGATAAACTTAGAGGAAGTTTTACAAAACATATTCATACAAAATAACCTTTAATTATATAACCTTTTTGAATTGATTATTATTTTTTATTGAATAATGATATGATTAAGAGAGTATTAAACCATATATGTTTTTAGAGNTTTATTAATATCTTTCTAATTGATTAATTCATTGAAATGATTTCGAAAGCAATTCATATTCTTCAAAAAATATTAATTAAATTAATATAATAATAAACTCTTTTTTCATTTATCAACAAATACTTATATACTAATTCTATTATTCCATATTTATGATCAATGTGTTATATAATTCTATTTATCATCAAAATACTATATATTTTTATGTATAAAATTTGAAAAATGAAATCTTTTTTAGAAGAGATAGCTTTTTTGCTACTTTTAAATTAAATTTAAATACAAAATACTTGATGGATGCAACAAAAGAATAATTGCATTATTTTGAAATTGATATCCCACTTTGATTAACATCAACTTATTTACTTGTAATTGAAAGTTTTTTCATTAGTTTGTCTCTGTAATCTGTTTAAGCATTATTATTATTTGAGAAGTTGATCTCTTCTTGTTCATTAATGGTAACAATTGAGCAGATTCTTTATTATATGTATAAGTAATAACTTATAATTTTTCCATTAGCAAACCAATATCCAAAAAGAGCAGAGATAGTAACATTTCAAAAATATCAATCACAATTTTCCTAAATTAAAAGTAATTTCTAAGACCATTTTTGAAATAAAATAAAACAGACTAGAAAAAAATAAATGATTAACAAAAATTTTACATTAATTTATTTCCAAAAATAAGCAAATTTTATGTTTAGAAAAAGTATTAATTGTATTAATAAGAGGATACATAAACCCAAACATAAGATATATATTACTTTACTCTTACTTAGCTATCAAATCTATAAAAAAACTAATAGAGTTATTATAGAATATAATGAATTTATTCAATAATAGCTATAAGTTTTAATAATCTTTGCATTTTTATAGTGTATTATAATAGAGTTAATACTTTATGTGTCTGGAAATTAAATTACTCTAGTTTAAATTTTTAATACTTATACAGTCAAAAGTGAATAACCAAAAAAATGTATTTTTTAAAGCAATACGATTATCATTAAAACTAGAAACAAATCTTATTGTTTCTTTTCAAACTAGAAAATATTAAAATTAATTTTCAATTTCAAATAATTAACTTCCTCTAAAAAAGAGAAAAAATAAAAATGAAGAAACAATAATATACAAACTTAAATTGATTTCAGATAAACTTAGAGGAAGTTTTACAAAACATATTCATACAAAATAACCTTTAATTATATAACCTTTTTGAATTGATTATTATTTTTTATTGAATAATGATATGATTAAGAGAGTATTAAACCATATATGTTTTTAGAGGTGATGTGGAGGTAATCTTGAGATTTTTTCTAAAAAAAAGAATAAATTTTTCTATAATTTCGATTGAATTCAAATTAGATTATAGATAAATCTTTTACAAATTTTTAGTAATGGATTAAATTTTTGTACAACATCCTCTTAATGTGCTTCTTGCTCTAATAGAAATTCATTAATTCACAAAAAAGTTCAAACCACATACTTTGAAAGTTTTCTTGCACATTGGATAGTTAATGTCATTATTATTATAGCTATTTAACATAAATATAATCTCAATCAATTAGTCTAATAATTTAATAATGTTTCCAAGTCGGTTACAATATTTTCTTTCAAAATACAAGTGATTTAAATGTTTAAAGTTTATAAGAAACCCAGAGGTATGAAAGCTAGATGATAGTTAATAATGTGCCTATATGAAAGATTAGATAGAAGTAACTTACATTTCTATAGGTAAAATTAAAATAAATAATTAAAGTTATTAGGAAGTGATTCAAAATTGGATAGAGTTGATCAATTCAAGTCAAATCAAATAATTATTTATGAAGGAGGTTTAACCAAAGTTCCATAAGTTAATTTACCAATAGTTATTTTAGTATACTGAGCTTAAGTTATTCGAGAGGAGATATTAATAAATCTAACTTTCCATAGGGTAGATTTTAAAGGAAATTACAAGCTTTCTTAAAGCTAGATTTATATAATTTAGTCAAGAGTTGGGGCACATTTTAACATTTTTTAGTTGGAATCGAGGGACTATTAAGGGAGGTAGCGAGAAAGTTTGAAATAACTAGAATTTTTAGATGTTAGCAAGTTTATGTAGAAAGGATAGTGTATTTTGTGTTCAATAATTATTACAATGACATCTGGAAACTCAAAAGAAAAGTATCCATTTATCTGCCAAAAAGTGAACTCTTTACTTCTCGCATTAAGGATTAATATGAATTTGCTGCAAGCTTGGCTTATAAGATATAAAATAGTTTAATTAGATCTTTTTCCAATTTAACAAATTTTGTTATTCAACAATAATATACTTCTTCCTATGTTATCTTTGAGTTCTTTTTCTTCAATACCTAAGTTTTTATAAAAAAGTTGTATAGATTAGATTTATCTAAATTTTAGTAAATTCTTCTGTTTCTCTCGTGGCTTAATTCTGCTTTCAATTATCCAAATGCTTACTCATTTCTGATGATTCTCAGATGAACTTATTCGATAGTAAATTGAAATAATTTGATTGATTCAACTATTTGGTGCAATTAAAGTTTTAGCTTGGCGATGCATTTTTATGGGATATTAATAATTGCTTAAGACTTTTAAAATAAAATCAACTATGCTTTAATTTTCCATAATTAATTTTAGTATTCCCTTAAGAGATACATCTTATAGCAATTCTTCATTAACTTTTAGATTAAAATTTCTTGCCTAATTCTTTGAAATCTTCTATCATTCTGCCTAGACATGAAGAGAAATTGCATAATTGTTCTTCTTAAAGCCATCAAATATGCAATACTTTATTTTATTTTGATTATATGTAGTTATTTTTTTTAGAATACTTACGAGATCAGATTAATTTAATAAATTTATGAATTCAATTTAACACAATTTATATTTCAATCAACAATAAAATATAACTATATTTTGTGTAAGAGTTAACTTTCACATCATTTTTAATCTTAAATATAACTTTATTATACTCCTCCAAATCGTATTCAATAATAGGTATGAATTTTAATAAAAATTTAGTTATTTGAAAAGGTTCTAAATTTATTTAAAAACTTCATAATAATAAATTGACCCAATTAGATATCGAGATTTGAATGTTAAGTTCAATAGAATATTCTAATATAATAATCATTCATATATAAATAGAATGGATAAAAATTTTTTTATTAATATAAATAATAAATATACTCTATGAATAAATTGGAAAAATTAGAAATTGCTGAATCCGAATAATTTATTGAGTACAACATTCGTTACTCAAAATGTAATTTTTTATTAAAGTTAAGATTGGCAAACGCTCTTGGAGAAATAAATAACTGTTGAAAAATAAGCAAGATCTTTAATTTCTGTATTACTCTCCAACTTCAATAAAAGATCTCTCATCCTTGAAAATGGCTACCTAAAATATGGTAATATTGATGCAAAAGCGCAACCAAAATATGAGATTCATATTAGTAAGTTAATAGACGATGTTTGTGAATTCTAAATTGAAAAAGCTCCATATAGAAGTCAAAATTCTCGTGGATATTACTTAGGTCGTTCAACAAACTAAGATATAAATTTCAAATTATCATTTACGTTTAGAAGAAAGCACATGCGATTTTTTAAAAAGAATTAATCAATCTAAGGTAGTTTTTTATTGGCTGAAAAGGATGAGGTAAATTTGGAGTGTTGGGTTTTTAAAGGAAAATTAGATTAAGAGTAACGAGAAGTAGTTTCAAAATACATAGATTTATTGATAGATAAAAAAGTCTAACGACAACCATCGCCTATACCACCATCGTCTAAACCATAAACTGCAATTCCTTATTATTTAATTAAATAATATGACAACCTAAATATAATTAACTTAAATGAGCCTTACCTATTAGTCAATTTAAATGCTCTAATATAACATTAAAAGAATATTATTTTATAAAGTCCTTTAGTTATTTGCCTAAATACATTTAATGCATATTAAATCTCTTTAATAATAAACACTCAAAAAGTATAAGAAAGAATATTATTGATAAATTTAAAGTTATTTGAGCAATAGCAAAATATATCTCTAGAAAATTTAGGGTTTACTAATTAGAGCATTATCGATGTTTCATTAAATTAATTTTGTCTAGTTGATGAATAATCATACTCTTAAGAACAAAGTAGTTTATAAATACAAAGTTAATCTAAGAAAAATATAAGCAAAAACTCATATAAAAAAGAGAAAGTGAATAATTAATAATCATCACATCTACTAAATACAAATAGTTTAAACGATTAATCGTATAATAATAAAAATACGAAGTAATAGGTGAATACCCAAAGTTAAAATAATACAGTATTTAATACAAATAGTTTTACTGGTCCTAATGATGGTAATTAAGTGGATACAAAAAGTTAAACTAATACAGTACTTAATACAAAAAGTTTTACTGGTCCTAATGATGGTAATTAAGTGGATACAAAAAGTTAAACTAATACAGTACTTAATACAAAAAGTTTTACTGGTCCTAATGATGGTAATTAAGTGGATACAAAAAGTTAAACTAATACAGTACTTAATACAAAAAGTTTTACTGGTCCTAATGATGGTAATTAAGTGGATACAAAAAGTTAAACTAATACAGTACTTAATACAAAAAGTTTTACTGGTCCTAATGATGGTAATTAAGTGGATACAAAAAGTTAAACTAATACAGTACTTAATACAAAAAGTTTTACTGGTCCTAATGATGGTAATTAAGTGGATACAAAAAGTTAAACTAATACAGTACTTAATACAAAAAGTTTTACTGGTCCTAATGATGGTAATTAAGTGGATACAAAAAGTTAAACTAATACAGTACTTAATACAAAAAGTTTTACTGGTCCTAATGATGGTAATTAAGTGGATACAAAAAGTTAAACTAATACAGTACTTAATACAAAAAGTTTTACTGGTCCTAATGATGGTAATTAAGTGGATACAAAAAGTTAAACTAATACAGTACTTAATACAAAAAGTTTTACTGGTCCTAATGATGGTAATTAAGTGGATACAAAAAGTTAAACTAATACAGTACTTAATACAAAAAGTTTTACTGGTCCTAATGATGGTAATTAAGTGGATACAAAAAGTTAAACTAATACAGTACTTAATACAAAAAGTTTTACTGGTCCTAATGATGGTAATTAAGTGGATACAAAAAGTTAAACTAATACAGTACTTAATACAAAAAGTTTTACTGGTCCTAATGATGGTAATTAAGTGGATACAAAAAGTTAAACTAATACAGTATTTAATACAAAAAGTTTGAAGGGTCCTAATGATGGTAATTAAGTGGATACAAAAAGTTAAACTAATACAGTACTTAATACAAATGGTTTGAATGGTCCTAATGATGGTAATTAAGTGGATACAAAAAGTTAAACTAATACAGTATTTAATACAAAAGGTTTTAATGGTCCTAAGGATGGTAATTAGGTGAATACAAAAAGTTAAACTAATACAGTATTTAATACAAAAGGTTTTAATGGTCCTAAGGATGGTAATTAGGTGAATACAGAAAGTTAAACTAATACAGTATTTAATACAAAAAGTTTTAATGGTCCTAAGGATGGTAATTAGGTGAATACAGAAAGTTAAACTAATACAGTACTTAATACAAATGATTTTTATGGCCCTAAGGATAAAACTTAAGTCAATAATTTTTACTCTAACTCAAAAGGGCAACTTCCTAATTAAAATAATCAAGTTGAATCGAAAGCCACCCATTTAAATTAATGTTAAAATAACTAATTCTATTAATAATAATCAACTACTACATAACTGAAATCTATTTTACTTCATAGGGTTAGCAAAAATTATTAAGATTTAATTTAAACCAAATAAGATTAAATCAATTTATAATTTATTAATAAAGAATAAATTTTTTAAAAAATTGATATTCAAAAATCAACTACTGAAAATGTAGAATCTTTATTTACAGCTTTTAGTTTGGATTTAACATCCTTGAATTACTCAGAAAGATAATAAATTTAAAAATATGAATTTTTTACAAATATTTGTTCTATTATTTTAACTGAAAATTCAATTTCACCTTTGCAAAATTCTTTATTCTTGTAAGGATTTTAGAACGCATATAAGAAACCTTAAACCAGTTGAATTTTATAAATTTGATTCGGATTGATTAATATTTAATCCTGTTTCATTAATATTATATAAATAATCGATTAATTTTAAATTTTTTGGAATATATCATGTAAATTTGATTTTGCAATTTAATCAGAATTTTAGCTCCTAAAATATATACCATGCTTAGGAATCATGAATAAGCATTAATGTTATTTCATATTCGTCTGAAAAACATTGAAATTATTTTACAATACTCTCTAAAGCATTGAGAAAAGTAAATAAATAATTAATAAATTTATTAGAGTCCTCCTTTAATAATGATTGGAATATTTAAAAATAGTAAAATTAAAATTGTGAAGATTTGAATACTCATTGCTTTTATTTCTCTTTATTTTTGGGCTTTCCTTTTCCATTGTTATTTTTTATAAATTTTTCTCAGAAGATTAAAAGTAAAGGTTTACATTCAAATTCCGAATGTTTTTTAAGTAATCTGAATCTTTTTTGTTTAAGAATAGTGATTCTCTCAATATTATTAAGCTGAAATACATCTGTTTGATTTTCTTAATTAAATTCAACATTTTGGATATCTTTAACTAAAGTTAATGAATATCTTGCTGATTCTAAAATATGAGGTTAATTAAAAGATTTTATTTGGTAATTTGGAACTTTAATATGATGGAATTTAATACTTTCTTTATATTTATAAATTTGTAACATATAGTAAACTATATAATCATAATAACTTTAGTTTCTCCATAATACATTTGAGTTTCTTTACTTATAAGGGTTTATTCAATACTTCTATCATGCCAACTTGTTTGCATTGTTCAAGATCTGACTTACTAGTAAAAGCTGTAAACCCTACAATAGGAATTGGTTTAAGTTGTCCTTATTGAAACTTCTATTTAAGTATTCTAGTGGTTTGCCATCCATCTAAGACAGGCATTTAACAATCCATTAAAATGAGTAAATATTTACGGCAAAGTTAACCACATGACTTTTTTTACTCAATCATTTTAATTGCTTATTAACCATTATAAGCGGTTTCAATTTCAAAATTGAATTTTTGCAATATACAAGTTAACGATTACTAATTAAATATTTCATCATCAACTGAAAGAATGGTTCTGCAGTTACATTTTTAGTATTTCTATTCTTAAGATTTTTGAATTTTAAAATTTTTCGTCTTATCAATCCATCCATTCGTATATAATAGATTTAATTCAGAAACCAAATGATTTTATGCATCAGGAATCCTCATGAATTCATCAATAGCAGTATAAGATGTTAATGATTTATTTAATATTTACTTGCTTTCTGTTTAACTTTTAATTGTAATTAGCAATCCATTATATTCATCTAAATCAGGTAGTGTCAAAATTTGATTATGTGTCTTCAAATTTTTTCTTGTTTTTACATAATAATCATAAATATTGACATGATTTGAAATTCTAAATTGAACAGTGGTCCCTAAACCCAAACCCATAGAATTAATAATAAGATCATTATTTTGAAGAGGTCCCAAATATCGTAATAGCATTTGAGATAATATCAATCCAAAGCCATTCCAATCTTAAGTTGAAGTGTGATGATCTTTTAAGACATTCTGAATTTGGTTTAACTTTTCCGAGGTTATCCCTACTCCTTCATCGGTAATTGTGAATTCAATATTGTTATATTAATTGTCTGCATTAATGGTAACCAAAACATACCCGTGTTGTGAATATTTTAATGCATTATAAAGTAGATTAACTAATATTTGAAGTAATCTTTGGTAATCAGATTTGATTGTAGGTGGAATATTGTAATCTATTTTAAAGGCTAATCCAATTTTTTTGGCTTTGAATTCAAATTTGAATAATTATGTCAATTCCTGGGTTAATTCTTTCAAATAGAACTCAGAATATTGCAATTCCAATATTTCAGCATTAATTTACGAAAAGTCTATAATATCATTAACAAGATGGGATTGTCTGGTTAGTGATGATAGTCCTGGTAATATGTAAGCATCTCGAATGTGTTTATCCAATCTATTATCAAGTAAAGCTGATTTAAAGAATAATGTGGCACTGTTTAATGGAGTACGTAATTCGTGACTAAATGAACTGATCATTTTAGATTTGAATTCTTCTTACTCTTCAAATCTTTATAACTTATTTTATCTTGTGTAATCTTAAATGATAACTGTCATTTCAACTTGATCAGGACTGTAGAGTACCTTTAGATTCAAATGAATAACGTTATTAACATTCAATTAATATTTACAATATAGTTCTAAAGTGTGATCCTAGTCATTCAATTAATTATCAAAGAATCCATCTTACAATTTATTGATAATTTGATTTAGTGAATATACCTTTTAAGGGTGATGAATTTCAAATTCGCTAATGTTTTTTGAAGATTCTGAACCTTTTTTTTTGTGTGTATGATAAGATTGTGTTAGAGTCCTTCCTGGGAATTCGACTTGAATATTGGCTTTGCTTTGCTTCATACTAAAATAGTGCGAGTAATAGCTTCTTTTGTATTCAGATCCTTAGTCAATGACTTTGAATTTCAATTGATTTAGTAAATAAGCTGGGTAATCATCAAGTTCTATTTGAAGAGTTTTGGTCATCATTTGATCTAGATACTAATTCTTATATGTGAAATCGTTTGTATTTTTATCAATTAATGCGATTCCAACAGGTATACTTTTTAATCTTTGTTTCCAAATCTTATCTTAAAGTTAAGATTGATGACAAATTTCTATTGATATTTGTTCTGATTGTTTTAGTGGTCTTCCTGAAGACAATTGGATAGAAATATTTGATTTTTTAAACGGTAATTCATGATTATCAAGAAATGAATCCATTTTAGCGGAATTTGGTTGATCTAATTCAATAAAATCCTTCATTTCCTTATGTGATGACTAGAGCTATAATTAATTCAATTGATTTTATAGTTATCGATTTTATATTTGTGATTGCTATAACTAAATTGAGCTCTTATTAGTAATTTTTTCAGCGATTTACCAAAATATTTATTATGGGGCTGAGGATATGAAATATACAAACATTGTCATAATCAAAAATAATTGATCATTTAATTGTTTATTTAAAGTTGCACTTACGCTAGCATAAAATATGACAGCATATTAGAAATTTAAGAAAAACTATTTTTTTTCAATGAGGGCTAAAATGGGTTGAGTATCAGATATGATGTAAAGTATTAAAGTAGTGCAATCATAAAAAGTGCGTTAAAAGAAAAATGATGTTATTAGTGCTATATTCGATAGTTTATGAATGACAATCACAAAAGTTGTATGCTTCTTGATAAAAATGAGGGATGCTAAGCATTCTAAAATATTCAAAATCAAACAAATAAATAAGGCTGAAAAAGTACATCTTATTGTAAGTACAACTGTCAATATAATACTACTTACAAAGAATAATTGAATTGGATAATAATTTTTCATTTATTTTAAACATTAATAATCTTTTTAGAGAGTCAAAATTATGCTAAGAAATAAAAGACTAGCACCAATCATTTCATAATATTATACAAATATTCAATTTTTGTGAATACCATAAATTTTCTAGAATGCATTCAGTAATCAGAATTCAATTATCCAAAATTAAATAAATATTAAAATGCTGAAATTTGATTTATATCGTAAGTTGCCATAGGATTTGATAGAGCCATAAAAATCAGGTGCATTGATCTCCTTTACATCATTGATTTTGATGTTTATATTATTTATTACAGAATTCTAGGTAATTCAAAGTCATAAGGAACCGAATATCTCGCTCAACAAGTATAAACAGAAATGTACATCGATTAAAATAAGGATGACACACTTTTAGTTAATATGGATATCTCATTTCTTACTATGCCATGTGATTTTATAAGTATAGATTAACAAGACATAATCGGCACTCATTAATAAAATGTTGAAGGAGAGCTGTACAAAAGCAGAATACTAAATGGAAAACTCATTGATAAATATGTATAATTAAATAGTAATAATTTAGTTATCAAAAAATGAGTCATTGAATTTGGAGAGAACCTCGGAAGCATACTAATAAAAAGAAGGCTGTGATCTGACTGGATATATCATAATAAGTAGAGTTCCTGGTAACTTCCATATTTCTGCTCATCCATATGGAGGGTAAATGAATATAGTACTGCCATTTGTTGGATTGTCAATTATTGTTTTATCACACACAATACAACACCTGTCCTTTGGAAATTGAAATGATGTATAAAAAATTAGTGAGAAGTTCAAATAAGGCTGCTCAATCCTTTGGATGGCATAAGCAGAATAAAGACGTAGGAACTTATAAATATTGGAGTGACTGATCAATATTATATTTCTATTGTACCAACACTCTACGATGATATCGATAATTAGGAGTATTTTGTAAATCAATTTACAGCCTATACGAACGAAGCTTAGACAACACAAATGCCCGCTGTTTACTTTCTATATCTCCTGTTACTGTTCAATTTACTAAACATTATGAAAGCTTTAATCATTTCTTAGTCCAACTTTGCGCTATTTTAGGAGGAGTATTTACAATAGCTGGGATCATAGATTCCATATTTCATGCATGTAAATAATAGATTTAATATTTTAGTACGGAAACTAAGGTTGTTTTAGATTAGTGAAAGTGATAATTAAATTATTTATTGTCATACAATTATGTGAGTATTTAAATAATAATTTATTATATGTCATTAAAAGACTTTCAGATATTGCAAGAATTAGGTATTGTAAATATGCGAATTAGGTGAGGGAGCCTATTCTAAAGTATTTAAAATAAAAAGAATCGCAGATTAATAGGAGTATGCTCTTAAAAAAGTTAATTTGCAGTCTCTTTCTGACAAAGAGAAATAAAATGCTCTTAACGAAGTAAGAATATTGGCCAGTGTAAGACATGCTAATGTTATTCAATATAAAGAAGCCTTTTTAGAAGAATAATCTTAAACATTATGGTAACTATTTAGATGCAATTATTTTAAGCATCGTAATGGAGTATGCAGATGATGGAGATCTCTATTAAAAAATTGTAGAATGTTAAAAGAAGGGAGTTCTTATGTCTGAAAATGATATTTGGAATATATTCATATAAGTATTTCTTAATCCATATGAATATTACAGATTGTCAAAGGTTTAAAAGCATTGCATGATATGAAAATCTACCATAGAGATCTGAAATCTGCAAATGTCTTCATGAATACAGATGGAACTGTCAAATTGGGAGATATGAATGTCTCCAAAGTTGCAAGGAAAATATTACTCTACACCTAAACTGGAACCCCCTATTATGCTTCTCCAGAGGTTTGGAAAGATCAACCTTATGATTCCAAATCTGATATTTGGTCATTAGGATGTGTTTTGTATGAAATGACAACATTAAAGCCACCCTTTCGAGCAGAGGATATGAATGGTTTGTACAAAAAAGTTGTTAAGGGTTATTATCCAAAAATACCTACCATCTACAGTTAAGATTTAAGCAATGTAATCAGAGCTTTGCTTTAAGTTCAACCACACTTGAGACCCAGTTGTGACAAAATTCTTTAATTGTCAGCAATAGTAAATAGACTAGATGACAAAGTTTTGGTTGAGGAGGAAGGAGCTAAATTTTTATTATAAACAATCAGAGTTCCTAGAAACATGCATTATTTAACAGATAGATTGCCAAAACCTAATTATAATCCAATTAGAATGACTAAAATTGATAAATAGTAATTCATCCAAACTTTGGCTATTTAGAAATTAAATTAAGAAAATTTAGAGGAGAATCATTCATTGCATGTTGATTTCTTGCCTCGTTTAAACAAAAGAAATGAAGAGAGTCTTGATAACTCGGTTGTCTCAAGAAATAACAAGAAAGTGGATGATATTCAATTGGACAATGTTATTAATAAGAATAACTAAATTAATTAAATATATGGTGTTGGCATTCATCCTAAGAAAAAGGATTTGAGAATTTCCAATAAGTCTTAAAAGCATGATCTGAAAGCAATAAGAAAAAATGAGTTAGATGGGGATCTGAAACCTTTGATTATAAAATCGTAAAATATTGTTTCATGATAGTTATAGCCCTAAAAATGCAGGTGATGATCGACAACCTTTATTGCCACTCTTGCCTAGCATTAAAAAAGATGTTTAAAGATAAAATGAGGATGAACAATTGAAAAAGATTAAACAAACTGAAGAATTAATCTAATAACTAAAATAAAAGCAATAGAAACACAAGAGAATCTAGAAATTATGATTAACTGATTGATAATAGAATATTTTAATATATCAAACTTTTTATACATCTGTTACTTCTAAAATTTCTCCTATTTTTTGATTTAATTTAAGAGTGTACTTTATATCTGTTCTACATAAGAAACATTATTTTGTAGTCTTCTTCAGATTTTCAGAGCAAGATGTACAAATACCTCCATGATTGCATGGACTTAAAATAATATCTGGTTCATTTTCAAAGCAAATTAAACATATATCACAAGAATCTTAATCTCTTGGGATTGATTTCATCTATTTCATCATAGTTAAGCATGGAGATTATCTAAAGTTAAGAGAGTCAGGTCGTAAAACATCACTACAGATTGGAATTGAACTTATATTTCTATTATTTGTTTCATTTATCTTTTTCCTTGATACTAATTTATAATATGAAGCAGAAACTCGAATGAACATAATTGGAATTTTGAGTTTAGACCATTTCTTCTTTGGGGGTTCTATTTAGGGAGATTGAGGATTTGGTATTTGAGTTTACCTATTTTCCAATTTTAAAACAATTCTATTTAATAATGAAATTTTGAATACATCAATTGTTTCCTAATTTTATTAGTAAAGTAACTAAATGAGATAAGGTAGAGAATTATAGAAATCAAGACAGTAATACCAGCTATTCTAATATTAATTTAGATAGTATCCTTTTCATAAAATTGGCATATCTCTTTTAATAAAAAGAAGGGAATAATTGTTAATCCAAAAATATAATAAAGTAGCCATAAGATGATAGATCCTTCATATTAGAATATTGTACCATCAATTTCAGGAATATCCTTTTGAAAACACTTTTCGACTAAAGTGATAAGCAATAAGACCATCAAAAATGTGTTGACTCCTAATGCTGTCCACGTAATGATGAAGGTTTGATAATATGAGTAAACAAAGTACTTATTCCATTTCAAAGATAATAACAACAATTATAGTATATAAAGAATTGAATAGGAATAAGCAATCTATATAAAATTTAAATTATACGATAAGGTTCTTTCTTTTGTTTCTTTTCTGTTGTATGGCTTAATGAAGTAATAGTGCTACCGTCACAATTATTTAAAGAGCTGGAATATAATACAAATTGATCTCCTTAATTTCAAAATGTATTATTATTGTGATCTTATAAAATTGGAGATTCAAAAATAATACTTTAAATGAAACACTTAAAACTTTTTCAAGAAAATGGATGCAAGATATTACTTTGGATATGTTTTTATCTAGTAATATAACAATGAAAGTGATCAAATCCATTAACCAAGCAAAGATAATTATGTATTTAGAATCAAATAGCCAGATGAGCTTTAAACTAAAGATTAGCATGTAGAATTAGCACACAAAATTGAATAAACATATACGATTAACTTCATTGGAAAACTATGATTAATTTTACAATACTTAACTTCTAGGTCGACTTATTAGGATCTGATTTGGTCTTGGGATTGACTCATAAACCTAATAGTTATAAATATAATTTAACTATTTGATTCAGATAACACTGTTGTATTTATAAAATAAAGATTTTTATTAACTTACAAATTATAAAGACAAAAAATTCATTATAAAAAAGCACTCTATCTAAGTTGTTATATTGTTGCTCTTTATAATGGATCTTACGAGAAACACATTAGAAGAAAGTTCTTTAACTCTTCAGAAACGTTGTCTGGAATTTTAGGTGATTCTTGATTAAATGCAATTGCGAGAAGTGTTGATGCAACATTATCAAAATCAAGTTATTCAAACCAAGGATGTTTCCCAGTTAACATCTCCAAAATTACACATCCAAATGACCAAATGTCTGCTGGAGTATCAATTTGTTCTTATCTAACGACTTCTGGGGCCATCCAAGGAACACTCCCTTGAAGAATACTCTGACATAAATTCTGTTTGATATGTCTGCTACAACCAAAATCTGAGATTTTAATGTCGCCGCATGAGTCTAACAAGATGTTACTAGATTTTAGATCTAAATGTAATATCCCTTTATTATGTAAGTATTCTAAGCCGTTGAGGATTTGATGAGTATAGGGTTTGATAGTTGACTCTGGCATTGGGCCAAATTCATTTAATAATTGAGAAATTGAACCTATAATAAATAAATTGAATCATACCCATTGGCATATATTCTTAATAAATTAATAAACTATCCTTAGTGGACACATGAGATATATACTTGATTATGTTTTGATGTTATAGGATTTATAGAAACGAAAGTTCAATCTAATTAGATTTGTATATCTTACATCTACTTTTTAGTGATTCTTGAATTTGAACAGTACTTTTTTACAAGCCACAACCTCACCAGTATTCATGTTCATTGCCTGATATACTTGAGCATTTGAACCAGAACCAATCAATTTACCTAGTTTGTATTGGCCATCCTTCTAAGCACAATCTTTAATTTGAATGAATCTGTTTATTGGCGCAAGGGCGACATGATGTTTGTTTTTTGTAGGAACTTTCAGAAATCTATGCTTCCCATTACTGTATTTATAATTAAAACATAAGTACCTTTAACTAGCGGCTCTAATTGTATTATTTACAGACCTCATAAATTTTACTTTATCTAACTAAACAATTATCTAAGAAATAAATTATATATATATATTTATTTAATCATATAAATATCTCGATTCTCATATCTTTAATTACAATTAATAAAAGAGTGTTTCTGAATCATTCTTTACTTCAAGATTTTCATATTATATCAGAAAAGCTAAGACATAAAACTCGCTCAAACATATATCAGCTGAATAATTAACTTCAATTAAATAGGTTAAAATAAAATAATAAAACTTATTCCAAATGTTGAAGAAATTGCAATAGTCAGCAAAGGGAGCATATAATCAGAGATTTGGAAACGAGAAATACGAGGAAATGGAAGAAGAAAAGAACAACAAGTAAGCAGATTCACTATTCTCATAATTCAATGCTACTCTCCAATTCAATCAGACTGATAACAACTGCTGTAATCAACTTATATATTTAAGAAATAAATAATAATCATGAGCAAGTTATCGAAGTTTCAGACAGAACATAAATAGATTTCACTAAAGCACTCATTCCAGAAGAACTGAAATAATAAATGCAGGAAGAAGAAATTAAGGAGATTGCCATTGAAAACAATAAAAAGAGTTACAAGAAGCCTAAAAAAAATGATGAAATGCCAGAATTTTTAACAAAAAAAATTTGTTTAAATGAAAATGGTGAAAACTACTACGAAATAGCAGCCAAAAAAGCAAAGGAATAAAATAGTACTATGTTCTAATTAAAACATTTTGTAATAACAAAGGCAACAAGTGTGCAATAATAGGTCAAAGTAATTTTTATTATATATATTCATAGAAATCTCTCAAAAAACTAGACGCTCATGTCAAAAAAAAAATTTTAGAAAAGAAACAACATATCAACCTTTGGATAGCAGGATAATTGGATGCTAAAATCGTATCTTTAATGAGTAACATGGAACCCAAAATAACGGAGAGTGTAAAGAAATCGGTTCCTTTTGATTTTATGTAAGACTTCATGCATGATACAGCCATTAATTTATGGAAAGATTTCACAGATTTAGTGAGATTAGAATTAAGGGCGAAATTTGATAGTAAGAAAGTTGAAATTAAGAAAAGAGAAGTTAAAGGTCCTTTAAATGTATTAAGGAATTTTATCCTTTATTCTCTTTATCCTGCAGATCTAACGACTAAAGATCACATGAATAGAATTTCTTTTAAGGTGCTTAAATTATCTCAATACCTACCATACATGGGCATATAACCATTAATGTTTTCTATCATTCTACTTTGTATCAACAAAGTAAATTATAAATTTATATATATAGGAAGAATATTAATTAGTTAATTACATAGCAGATTATAAATCTATCTAGTTTTTAACAAATGGAATAATTCCATGTCTAATTGCCTATTTCTATTATTTTTTCTATGATCAAGGACCGTCATATCATCAATCTATTTTTGTACTCCTTTTCACATTTTTGGCTCAGTGTATTAATGTTTGGATAGCTTTTTATTTGTTAAAAAGCTCTCATTCCAAGGGAGAAGTCTTAAAGGCAGAACTAACAATAACTTAGGAAGAGAAAGGAGGTAGATTAAAATACTTTTTAATATATGATTTAATTTGTTTAGTTGTAACTATTTGTGCATCAAGTATGATTCTAGAATATATACTTAGTTATTGTCTATTTCTCACACACAATGAATGACCCAAGATAATCATTTGGAGATTTGTTATTTTTTGCAAGAACCATATATGCATTTTTCAGTTTCCCTTTCATAATCTTTATGTTGCCATTTTTTGTTAAATTATTAACAAATGCTATTGCAACTGGTTATGATAAATATGGAAATTGCATATAAGCTATGAATTCTATTTAAATGACATACAGAGAAGCAGCTTTAAACAGGAAAGAAGACATAGATATTGAAGAAATTATTGATTAAGATTAGGATGACTAACATAATGATGATAGTAAGCTTAAAAATTAAAATCAAGGCCTTAATAAAACAGTTGGCTGATTTAATTAAATATTTATAAGTGTCACATTTTATGTAATTTATTATCTTTTTTTATTTAACTCCACTTTTAATTTTCTTTATGCCATTTAGTTTATTATTATGAGAGGATTCAAAAGAATTAAGTCCTCTTTCTTATATATACAAACATCTGATTTTCTTTAATTCATTTTTTTATCCAAATTGAAATTGCATTAGAACTTCTCTTTTAAAATCTCTATTTACTTTAAATATTTTTTAATTATTTCATTATTCAACAACATGAACATTCTTTTATAAATGATATAAGCAATATCTTCAAATTTTTAAAAGGCATATTGAAACAACTAATATATTGTTTAATAGTTGGACACGAGTTTTCAATAGTTATTGAGCTTGTTGTTCTTTCTGATGACGGAAATGATGACTACTTATGATTTTGGATATTATGGGTAGATACCATTTGAATCTTACACTTATAGAAGGTATATTATATTGCTAGATATATCAGTGGCATTATTTATTATAATGGTTTTGGATTTCATTTAAGAATTGCAAATTTCCAGTAAAAAGGGACTCATATATTAATTTCTTATTCTAATTAATTTCTCAAAAATTAAAATTATAAAAATGCGATGAGAAAATTGATAGAAGTAAAATTACACATAATCAAGCTTTATAACTTCTATTTTAGCTCTTTGCATTCCTTCCAGGGCCTAATGAATGATTATCCATCGTATAATTAAGTATCTTACATTCTTAAGAACTTTCTAGCTTCTTGAATTTTGCTACATTTTCTCTAACTTTTGATCTTGAATTTAATTATTAAACCTTACCTTGATTTTGGTATGATTTGAAACTTCTATAGGCTCCCTTCAAAATCATCTGATTCGGTTTGTACCCTAATGTTTTCACCATTCCTTTGGCCATTCAAAAATTTACTATGTGTATTATTAAAAGAGTAACTATTAATTTGAGTAGTTCTTTTATTAAAAGTAGTGCTATAAATATATAAATTTCATATACTTATTACTATTATTATTAATTTTACGTTATTAAGCAATTTTTAAGATTTGTAGGATCTACTTAGATTATTTCTTCTTCTCAGATGAAATTGTAGGAGTAGCTCTGAAATATTGATTTTTTTAAGTTTTATTGGTTACACTATCTCGATTTAGATTATTATTCTAACTAATCGGATTCATATTAACGATGTAATGATCAATGATTCTTCCAATTGAAGTGCTTGATTGATTTTAACCAGGGGCCTTTTGGGAGCTATTGATAGAGGAGAATAAGAACTTTGACTGTTTTGGAATGGAGGTGTTGAGTTTTTGAATAGTATTTTAGGAAGAGTCATTTTCTATTGATTCTGTCAATTTCAATAGCCTTTCATTTAAGGCCTTCATAAATTGGGGAGAAGTGGCATCAGTCAAACGCTCTATATTGTTGCAATTAAGATTATAAATTGTAGTATCTTTGAGAGATTAAAGAGAATTATCAGATGAGGATTCGTAATCTTCTTTAGGGAAGCAAAATGCATGATTAATTTAGCAATTCTAATATCTACCAAATGATTTTTTTAGTACTTAAATTCAATTTCCTGTTTAAAGTCCATAGGTTCTTGTTCTTCATCAGGTTAAGTTTTAATTATTTATTGCACTGGACCTTAGGGTTTGTTGATCTTTTATAAAATGTGATATTTCATTAAATCTTTGTCAATGTTACCTTATTTATTTATTTGAGGACTCTTTGATTTTTTAATTCTGTTGGACATTATAATAATATAGTATATAAATATATATTAATAATTAAACTAAATAAATATATTTGAGTCAAGCAAGAGGGTATTTTTTTATGTTTGTTTTCACTCTTGATTAATTGATAAGCCATTGCTAAACAATGTTCATAAGCGAGATCAGCTTATTCAAATACTTATTAATTTTGCTAACTTCAAATCTATCATACAATCCTGACAAATGATTAACATTGTTAAAGGCATTTTTATCATTTGCTAAACAGAGATATTAATACATTTCAAGCTTCCTATTTGGAGTCATATGACTCAATAATACCCTATCTTTTATAACCCCAATATTAAGGTGTGGATTAGATATCACTAATTTAGACATATCAAATTAGCCACCAGATTCCAGAATTTGTGAATTAAATTTAGGTTTCTTCTATCTGATGTTAGTATTGGCTTCCTCTTTAACACTTTTTGGATCAGGTATTTTCCTTTAAAAATACTTACCAGAACCAACAAATGCAACTTGTACTGGTTAAGGTTAAGTTAATACGATTTCATAGCATTCGTCATCCGATGTTACAACATCAATATCGACTACTTAATGTTCCCTATTAATTCTATTTGATAAACTTCCTTATTCTAAACGACTTTGAGCTAGAACTCTCACTCTTGAATCTGGAACCTTTGTATTAATCTACATACAAAATACTTCACAATATCCTCCAATCATCTTCTCATGAAATTGCTTGGCCTTTTCTATTTAGCCTACATAGAAGTAATATTTGCCAAGCAAATCGTAAGCATAGAGTTCGTGATTCTTTTCATTTAACTTCCAAGCAGACATCAAGTACTTAGTAAAATAGAGTTAGCTTAATTTGGGCCTAACTCTTAATAGACATTCTCCCAAACCCCTATAGGCTTTCATTTTGTTTCTATAATACTATTCATTATCGGATAGGCGTTTGCATAACTTAAAGTAAATTGCCCCAGATATTGGATTGAAAAATAACTACTCCATTTTACCGAAAATATAACAAAACCTCTATTGAATGCAAACATTCTTCTGTTTGAAACACTCCTACATTATTTCCTTCATTTCCTATTCACTCTTCTCTCTGTTCTATTTGTATTGCTACAAATATTATAATTTCTTAATTAAGATATCAATACTTATTGAGGCTTCGTTTAAGTATCTTGATACATAATTGTCAAACTCTATGGCGTCAATGGTTTATATGTCTTTGAGACTCGCTATCTCATCAGAATAACACTTGATAATACATGAGGATAATTATTGCAATCTAGTACTTTTCTGACATATATCTTAACTATTTGTTGAAGGAACCTTTTTTAGGTGAAAATAATCAGCCCTTTTAAAATTATTGCGAGATTTCTTCTACGATCGTATATTATTCAAATAAATTGGATTGACGATCTTCGAATCCTCTTCCTGTAACTCCATTCTATTTAATTCACTTGAGCTAGTTTTAAATTTGAGTGAAGTGTTAATCAAATATCTCCTATGCGATTTTTGAGTTCTTGAGAAGTCAGTTCTCGAAATTCCAAAACTATCCGTATTTGTACTTTCTAGTTTACTCTTCAATTTCTTCATAGTTTTTATATATTATTTATATTAGATTAAATTTAATGTAAAACAATTGCAAACTGTGTGGGTAGAGTTAACAAATGCTCATTTTAGAGAAACTGCAATTGAAATATTTTGAAGCCTTCAACTTCTATTTTGCCAAACCCATCAATGAAATCTTATCTCAAATTCCTAATGCTCCTCATGTAATCTATTTTAAGGATTATGTGATATTAGATGAGCAATAAGAATACATGAAAAGGTAGTCGAACTTCCTTAACAAGTAGATATTACAAGAAAGAAGAAGTCAAACCCAGACTAGATATTTTGACAGACTTTTATGTGACAAATTACAAAGAGATTCATCCCAACTTACTAGTTGTTGAGAGTCATGCTTTGCTGACCAAAAGAAACAAGAAAATTGATAAACTATATTATTAGAGAATGCAAGAGAGTGAAAATCACACTCAATCATAGAATCCTGTTGTTGTTAATAATGTTCTCAATTCAAAACTATCATCAAAATCTCAAATCAGTTATGAGACTGAAGAACACGATATATATTCCTCTGAAGATCAACCACAAAAACAAAATCGCTTAGATTTCAAAGGCATCAGTCTCCTCAACGATTTTGAAGAAAGCAAATTATATAATGAATTATTGGATAAGCAGTATCACAATATTAATAAAATGACCAACAAAAATAAATTACTCTCTCCAAACTTTTACATCAGATCTCCTCCTCTAAGTCAATAAAACATATAAACCAACCTCATTAAGGATCTGCATACAATGAAAAGTGTCCAGAGAAGGACCAATAATATGGATCTAAGGGAGAAGAAAGGTATTAAAATTTCTATATTCTCTGTAGCAATTTTCGCTAATTCCAAGAGCGAATCAAAGCATTCTCAATCTAGTTTCAAGATTTCAAAGATCAAAGACTCAGTTGATTAACAAGTTGATTAATTTTGTGATTGTGTCAACGGATAAATCGAACCATCTGACATGGAAGGTAAGAATAAGATGTCTAGAATTCAGAGTGATAATTTCACTATTTAAAAGATGCTTAAGGAATATTAGGGTAGTCAGAAAAGATAATTAAAATCAACAATTTCATAAGACTAATTAGTTGCAAGTACATCTACTCTTATATAAGGATTTTAAGGTTCTCAAAAAAGTATTAAATAAGATCAAATTAACAATAATGGTAGTATATAAAATATATCTTAAAGACAAGAATAAATTAAGAAAGTCTATTAACCTGTCTCATAAAAAAAAATAAACTAAAATTAATTAGATCGAATTGCAAAAGGAGGTTGTCTAACTGATAGAAATATGAAATAGTTGCCTATTTCTGAGGACTTGTTTACCAGGTTGCATGATATCAAAATCAAAAGTTCATAGAATGCAGAATCCTAGAAGAAACCTGAATTCAATTACATGATACCCTCTCAGTATAATGCAATGTCCACTTTCAAAGGAGCCAACAATAACAAAGCCAAATCTCAATACACCAAGAAAACTGCAGGATTTGATTTCGCTACCAAATCATAGCATTAGTAATAGGCCAATCATAGCCAATCTAAATTACTAAATATTAACACACAAAAAACAGATGATATTGTAAAAAAGTACATTTAATTGGCCACCCAATCTATATAAAATCATAAAAAATTTGATTTCAAATTGAATCTTTAAAACTTAAATAATAATAACGAACCTCATTTAGATGAAGAATTCTGTATTTATAAAACATTATTTTTAACTAGAAAACAAACGTTTGAATTTTCTTACTGAAAGACACAGTTAATAATAATAAGAAAAAGATTAATTTATTACTCATAGAAAAATTGTGATTAAATGAACGTTTTGATATTTTCATCATTAAGTTATATTCAAAAAATAATAATTTCATTCTAATTTTTCTATTTTTAATAATTCTTTAATTTTAGATAAAGAATTTATAAATTATGAAGCCAAGAAATAAAATAATTTAAATATTTATGGAGAATAAATATTAATACAAATATCGAATTAAGGATGGAATTTAATGTACAAAAGAGTGTGTTTGAATTAGTAAAACTATCTTTTCCATAATACACAGAAGAAACTACATTAATAAATTATAAGACATATTTATATAGGATTTTGAATTTAAAAACTAAATATTAAGAAGTAGATGATAACATAATAGATAAGGAAATAAATGAAAATGATAATGTATAAGTAAAATACTATAAAAATAGAAAGTACTCTAAAAGAGATTAAGAGAATGCTTAACAAAAGTACTGAAATCTAATATTCAAAAAAATTAAGAAATAATTCATTTTATAATCAGAGTAAGTTAATTAGGAAAATAAGAAATCTTGAACAACAGTTAAGTATAGCTACTGTTTGAAGATTCAAATAAAATTAAGTCTTCAATGGATATTGAAAATCAATAGACAACTAATCAAACTATCACCAAACTAGATAATAGTTTAATCAAAAGTATAATACTAGACAAATAGCAAGTAATAAATTACAAAAATATAGAATAGTATAACTTAGGAAGTGAATGATAGAGATCTAATGAAAGATATACTATTTTGCCTTTAGGGAATAGAAGGCTAGTATATTAAGTATGATGCATCATCAGATACTTTTTGCCTAAGGAAAGATGTTAATATTTCAATATCAGTACGACAACTAGTAAACTTGATTTCTGAATGCGGGTGGTTATACAAGAACATCTCCTCTTTTTGTCAGGTCCAATAACCAAACCTGATAGTTTAAGCACTTCAAAATGCGATAAAATTAGAATTGTCAGAATATTATAAATTGATAGCAAATCTTGAAGGTATGATCCTGTCTTCATAATGTAATGTAACATTATTATTTAGTAATCACATTTAAGAGAATTCACTTCCATCTCCAATCCTCATATGACTATATGATTCTAATAAATCAATTACTTTCAATTATTCAAAGTAATACTCCCCTTGGAACTACATCTTGTTTAATTATAAATGTTTTGGATCAATTTTCAAAGCATGGATGCTCTCATATAGCAGAACTATTCGTACGTCTATAATAGGTAAGTAGTTAGCCATTAATGAAGTATATAAATGAATGGATCTTTGAAGGAAATCTATTGGATATAGCTAATGAATTCTTTATAGAAAAGGATGATTAAAAGGCAATAACTAAGGATTAAGGAGAGTTATGGAGAAAATAATATAGAATTAATTACGACAAGGTTCCAGTTGTCATTTCTTATGATGAAGCTTATAAAATCTATGACACTGGTAGAACTATAAATTGGTTGAGAAAATAATGTGATAATAGGAACTGGCATTTAAAAATATAGCCACTTACCATAAATATGCTTTAGACAAAGGAATTATCATAATTAATAAATTAAGCTAACAAAAACACAAATACTCAATTAATTAATTTATTATTTGGCAAATTCAAATTAATAGATCATTTCAATATTATTAAATAGTATTTTCTTTTGGGTAATGGTAATTTCTCTCAATTATTGATTGAAACCTTATATAAGGAGTTATCAAAAAAAGGTCATTTAGTTTATAAACATACTTTGACTGGGCTAGTTGAATCCACACTCAGGATGAGCAATGCAAATTAGATTGTGTTATAGAGATTGTCAGTTAAATTGCTGGAAGCCCAAAAAAATGATATAGGTTGGGACATCTTTTGTTTAGATTATGAATTTGAAGAACCACTAAAAACAATATTTAATCACAAGACTATGCTAAATTATTATAAAATATTCAATTATTTATGGCGTATTAAAAGAGTGGAATATACTCTAATCTAATCATGGATGCAATAAATTAAAAACAAATGCTATTTAAACGTTAAGTCGAATGTAAATAAGGCTCTTCATTTGAGTTTGTAAATCATGAATTCAATGATCCATTTCATTAAAAGTTTCTTTAGTTACTTGATGTTAGATGCAATTGAAACTCCTTGGAAAAAGTTCATGGATTAAATTAATTAAATAGAAAATTTAGATCATCTCATACAATCACACGAAAATTTGTTGGATGAAATCATTGATAAAGTATTTTTGCATTAAAAACAAGAATAAATTCAGATAATCTTACTGAAACTATTCGAGATTTCATTCAGATATAAATAGAATTTAGAACATCTATTTCTGTATGTGAGAGAATTGATGGCTAAGGAAAGAAGCGATAAGTTTGAGTAATCAATAGGTCCAAAAGTATCATATAAAAATATATCAACCGACAATATTAACATTGATCAGGAGTTTAAAGGATAAGAAATTATTAAATTATTATTACAATTAAGATAAATGTATAGAGAGTAAATGTTGGAATTAATCAAGCATCTATAAAATGAAGAAAAAATGAAGTTTTTGTTATTGAAACTTGATTTTAATGAATACTACAACTAATTATCATAAGAAAATCTATTTTCATAAGGATTTGAAAGGTAAAATTTATTATAAATATTACAGATTTTTACAATAATATATTCCCATCCAAATAAATGAAACTGGCAGCCAGAAATTAATATCCGAATAGCCTCAAAGCTAATAATTATAACCTTTAATCCCACAATTAAGCCAAAATTCAATGACCTTTATTTAGCAAGATTATATTTAGATTAATGAAGGAAGTATTTATCTCTTTTATCATAAGTAAAACTTTTAGAAGAATAAAAAAAATAGAAAAAACTAAAGTAAAAATAATAGCTTTAATCCTTGTAAAACGAAGCAACTTCTGAGTTATAAAATCCTAAGTCCAAACCTCCGATGCCATTTCCATAACCATACTAACCTATAATTACTATGAGGTCTATTAATCAATAATCTTTAATTGCTAGTAATATTCTCCAATCTTAATCTTCAAAGAACGTCTAATAATAACTTTCATAATAAATTCTACAATAGATATACCTAAACCAAACAATGCAATAGTTGCAATAATAATAGATGTAACAACAATAGCAATATGAATACTTATAACAACAAGCTAAACCTTAATTACCCCAAAAATAGATTACTTCAACATCGTAAATACACTAGATCTAGCCTTCAGCTCAACCAAATTTTAATAATTCTATCCCCATTTTCCAAAATCAGAGCTAATCTTAAATTAGTGTATTATAACCTAGTAGATATGATATGTCATTATCGCAAGATGAAAACTTACAATCACTATTGGATAAAGAATTTTGTTTTCACGATGATAGTAGTGATGGAGATTTAATTTGAATAACATATATATAAATAATTAATTAATCATAAATTTTATATCTGTACTTTAGAAAAAAAGAAATCATTGTTGAGTTTTGGATTTAAAGAATTTCAGAGAAAAATCACTAGTCTTAAATAAGCCAAAAGGTGTAAACCTCATAAGAATGAAGTAAAAAGAAATCAAAGTGAATAACATTTCATCCCCTGTCTTAATCAAATACTAAATTTGTTATTGTAGTTGAGCCATCTTAAATTAGTAATAATCATCAAAAAGATAAAAATAACAATTATCAAAGACATTTTAAAACAAATGAAAACCTAATGAAATCTTAATTTTTCATTATGCTTTTATGTATTCTACATTTTTGTCGCTAACGATGATGACTCAAATTAGACAATTTACTTACATTTAGAACATTTTATACTTAATTACTATTATGGATTGTTTTAAGGAAAGATTTTCATTTAGAGAAAAATAATTAAATAATTAAAATTTGTATTTATTTTTTAATAAAGAGTTTTTATTTAAGTTTATAGAAAAATATCTTAATTATTCTATGTTTGACATCTTAGACTTGCAAAATTGAATGTGAATTTAATAATTATAAATTCACAATTTCAAACCTTCCATAGTCAGCTAGGTCGATGCAAACCAATTATGTTTAATTCTCTGGGAATCACTGTCTGAAATCAAATAGAAGTTGAAAAATCTCTCAGCCCTAGTGGATTTAATGTGATATTGAAATAGGATTTTGAGAATATTCCAGGATATGTAGAGTATGATTATGAGAAAATTTTAATTGCAATTAACTGCTAATTAAAAGCAGCTATATAAATATTGTTATTATTAATAAAATCGATAGTAGTCTTATTTATTGAGTTAGAAATTGATATATTAAAGCTTTAGGAGATAGAGTTTATTATGAATTGCTATTTTGATTCACTTTAATTAATTATAAAGATTCGTCATAAATTATGCCTCTATATTAAATTGTATTATTGATTCGTGTGGCAAATTAATTATATCAATGATTCAAGTTGATGAAAATCCTCAACCTTTAGATCTTACTCTTTATCAGGAGATCAATACTGAAAAGTATGAGGATATTCAAATCAAAATATAAAAGCTCGAATCTACATTTTTCTAATGTTTAAGTTATAGTAGATAGCAGTAATTGAAGCAAAATGAGAAACTACAATCTGATAATTCACAAGTCTAGGATAATGAACACAATACAAACAAAGACTCATTCCAATCCGAATAATTTGAAAAGTACATTGCTTAATACTTTGCTCAACTTCGCTCGTAATTTGGAAATACAAAATCGATCAGTTTCATGACTTCTTAATAGTTAAACCTATTTTTCGAAGAAGCTTTGGAATAATTAAACAACAAAACAAAGTTGTATTAGGACATTCTAAAACTTAAGCTTTTATAAACTTCATAAGGTATTGATTCATTTCTATTCATTACAAGATTTGTTTTCTAAAGTATACTCAACCAAAACAAACATAATACTTAAGTAATGGTACCTACACAATTATTGTTATCCATACCCAAATTAGTTGGAAATCAAAAAATTAATTGGCAAAACCCAACTATCCAAGAAGAAGGTATTCATTATTAATATTAAGATATTAAATTGGTTTATCAATGCTCGCAACAGCTTCAAAAGAAAAAAGCAAAAAAAATAAAAATATAAAATTTTAGTGCAAGACCACTATTATGCTTTATATAAGTCGAAAAAATAAAGCTAAAACTCTAATTAAGAATAATCAAATTAACAAATTTTTTTTGAAAATCAGTGACAAGTCTTTAATAAATATATAAAATAACCAATAATAATAACATAATATTAATAATATTAATTATTTAATATTAAAATTTTATTTTTGTTTCAATTTGCTATTCATACAGCTAATTCTTATCTGGTCGGCTAAGAATAGTTAATTTCATTTTTGTTGTAATTTTAAAATACTTCAAGCCCTCATAGACTAGAAAGCTGTCTCAATTAAATTTATTAATAAAAATTAGGTTAGTCAAAAGGCAAAATTATTTTACAAAGAAGTTTAAGGAGCTCTAAACTTTACAATGCAGAAATTTGAATTAAAATTACTATTAAATTAGATTTGAAATAATAACTATTCTATACATATCTTTAAGAATACCAATTTATATGATCTATTGAATAAGAACTAATAGGTTCCTATTAATTATTTATTTGTAATTGTTTTATTCTTAAAATCCTTTGGGACTTTCTGATATCTTCAATTATTATAATATCATCATCTTTATATTGTGTAATATTAAAGACTTCTAATTTAAGACATAACTATCAAAAGGGTATCTTAATAGAATATTATTTAATGTGTTATAACTACTTCTCCTCTTAAACAAGAATCGCTCAAAAATGTTAAGAGCTTATAAATATCCAATTCACCAAAATCAGAGTAATGTTTTTCAATTAATTTCATTTGAGTGAATGAAGAATGCAATAATTTTTTAAAATCTATGGGATTAATAATTTGAAGGGAGGAAAAGGGATTTTAGAAGAATCTAGTTTGTTCAAAAATGGTTGCCCTTAATTTAACTATAGAATTCATTAAATTACAATTTGATAAATTAGTTGACATTCTTAATAATATGCTTTATTTCCAAATTAGAAAATAGAAAATTTATTAAATATGAATATCCAATAATGAAATAGATTTTAGATATAGTATATCATGGATTCAATATTATTTAAAAAATAATTTCCCTTTTCTCATCTCCAACTATTTATTCAAAGAAACCGATCTGACTTCTCTAGTTGTTTTAGGTGCATCAACTTTGTAATGAGTAAGAAGATGATTGGTGTTAAGGCTTTCTTCATTATTATTAGTTATTGTAACTGAATGTTTAACATTTTAATCTAAGAATGTCTGGAGAGTTTTATCTTCTTTTATGGATTATAATACTAAATTCACATGATTTGGAAATAGTTTCTAGTAAATAAACACTAATAGTTTTTCATTACTAACTACCAATTCCAATATTTTGATTTTATCCTCTTTATAGAACTGCTGAAAATCTTGAATAGTATCTAAATAAGATTGATATTATTAGAAATTTCCTAAAGGTCTTTTTTTCTAAATTTCTCTCCTGACAACATCAACACATTCTAAAAAACAATATTCTAGATCACTTCTAATTATGCTTTTCTTATTTTAAGATATTAACAGTTTGTTAACTTTTTCGTTTAGGATTTTGTTTTAGTTTTAGTATTTTTATTCAATTATGGTCACATATCTTTTATAAATATTTTATCTACTTAGTGAATTTTTCAACAATTTCTTCATATTTAAGGTTCTCTTTGTTTAATTCATCAGCCGGAAACATTTCTTTAATTGAGGATTAATGATGCTTAGACAATGATGAGGTCAATTCGACTTTCGGCTGATATTCGGTTAACCTTCTTTGATGAGATTCTTCGATTTAATAAATAATGATACTTTGTTAATTAACAGGAGTATTTGTACAAAATATGTGATCTATCTATATATTTGGTAATAATTCTTTATCGATTTCTTATAATTTGACCTTTTTCATTAATGATTTGATTTATTATTCTAAGAAATCAATGGTCTTTTATTGTTCTGTCAATTTATATCTTAATTCATAGTTTTCCTTACTTTTCATTTCAACCTTTTGATATAACTTCAGACATTCCTCTCTAAAATATACCTAATTATTTAATCTTGATTACTAACTCATTGTCATTATTAGTGACATTTATTTTATTCTAAGTTTATATACTGCGTTGTTCTTCTGTTTTATTTCGTAATTCTTTTAATTCAGCTCTAATTTTTTTCATATGATTCTGATAAGCAATTACGAATTCGGCTTCATTCTTTAATTTAATCTTATTGACCAAATCCGTTAATTCATTCATATATTGTACTAATGATTAGAAAGCCTCTGCTGCTTTAACCTGTTAAGAATTTTCGTTCTATTATTGTCTCTCTTTATATAAATCCAATTACATAATTAATTTATAAAAAGGTTGTTAAAATATATAATGCACAAAAGTCCTCTTCTAAAAGAAAACATAAGATTAAACAATAACTAGAGATCTAACTATTCAAGTAAAAGCAAATAAAAAACGTCCTCTTTGGAGAAGAACTCAAATTCCAACAGATCCCTACTAAATGAAATTTAAAACTAGACTCCAAATTAACAGAAGAAAGTCACATCTACTTAGCCATCTGATCAAAAATTGCATAATTGTAATTCTACATATAATACTCAGAAGGTTAAATTCTGAAATCGCTAATGAAAATATAGAATAGAACCAACCCTATTTTAACTTAATAGAATTGCTATGCTGGCATAAAACTGAACTTTAATAATTACTTATGTAATATTATCTGCTATTAAAATTAGCAAATGAAGAAAAAAGGATAAATACAAATCAATACAATTCGTTAAATCAAACAGTTCAACCATCTCCTAAAGCCAAAACAATCTCCTTATCTACTTATACAGTAATCTGACTCATTTATTATTAGAGTACTTAGAGTCCAGAGGTTAGAGAGAAAGAGATGAGATAAGAGAAAATCACAACTTTCAAATAGTTAATACAATAGACTAAGCAAAGTCTAGAAAATATGAAAATATCAGACATAAAGCAATCTATAGATAAGATATTTGACAATACAATTCAGCCATTGCTTTAATTGAAAGTACTGGATTATTATATTTTAATAGAATGAAGTCATTAAATAAATTGAGAAATGTTTAAATGCTGAACAATATTAAATCAGATCAACCATAGACTCTTTAAAGAAAATGGAAGATGACATCTTGTCCAATGAGTTTAATATCATTGAATACATGACAATGGGACCATTCAATGAAATAATGCAGATTTATTAGAAGAGATTTTAAGAACATTCCATTTTCACTTAATAATTAACTTAACAAGAATTAGTTATACATTAGTTTTAAAAGCTGCATGATAATTTTACATAGCAAAATTAATTGTTATGTAAATAATTATCATAATCTTTTCAAACATATTTATCTTTGTTTATTTCATTCTAGAATAAGGATGAATTTTATGAGTTGAAGAATAATAACCACACTCAGCCATCTGCTTAAAACAATAATTAATACACCTAAGAGAACTTGTTTTAAACTTGTGAAACAAACAATTCAATCGATGAAGATTAAGTTATTATGAAGGATCAATAAGTAGTAAGAATTCCAGATAAGACATCCTAATTTACTTAGTTGCTCATGTTGAATAATTAAAAAAAATTGCTATTAGCAGAATCACCCCAATTCAAAAATTGATTATATATTTTAGTTAAATTTATTAAAAATAACAAATATAATTACTATATGATATCCAATTTATAATGTATCATGGTTTTGAAGTTAAATTTCTTAGTAGGTCATTAAATAAATTAGGTTTTTGAGGATACCAAATATTAGTAAATTTATTCAAATCTATACTAATTTTATTTTAATTTTTATTTTCATCCTTCATAAATTTGCTTTTATTTTTCTTTCTTTCAGATTTATAAAACACTATATTTTTTACATCAAGTTCCTATTCTTCTTTGTTTATTTGAGTAATTAACATAATTTTCTTCTTTGTAAGAGTGTTTCTGGAATGACTTGTGCTATCCTAATCAATTTCAATATTAAAATCTAAGGAGTTCCTCTAACTAACATTTCCCTGCTGTCCCCTTCTACCATCATTCGATACTACTGACTATTTTCCTTATGACAGAATCACACTCTGATCTAATTAGACCTTAAAACACTGAGAGGCAATATGGAAGGTAAGATCTATTTTACATCATTGTTTATCTGATTTGATATCTAAATCTTTGTTTATTTAATCATGTGGAGAATATCTAACTCAATTTATGGATTGCCATTTTGATTTAATAATTCAATTAAATTCTTAGTAGTTATTTCTGCTTAATTATTTAAATCATAAAAGAGAAAACAGACACGAATTTACTATTTTAAATCTAAATTTTCGATTTTTCTAATCAACTTATGATATTAGCTAAAAGTCAGAATTTGAGGAATTTTCAAAACTTTTACAATTTATTCACATATAATATCAGGGTAATATCTTTATAAATATTTAGCTAGTTATTATTTATTTATTCTGATATTCCTAACATACATTGATTTACATCTTAGCTTGCCATCAGATTCAACTTCCATTCTATTTATCTCTCCAAAAACATCAGCTAACTATTACGGTATTTCTTCCTTAGAATTGGATAAAATTTTATTCATTTTCTAAGGACTTAAAGTGTTTTTTCTTTCCTGTCGTAACAAGAATGAGCTAAAAAGTTTCGAACTACTCCTTTCTGTATCTTCATCACTAATCTTTTATTGCGAAATTTTCTCATTTTGACTTGTATTTGCAACTTTACTTAAGAATTTCTTATTTTAATCTTTATTAATGGATCTGCTTACTATTTAAGTACGTATTCTTAATTTATTCATGAGAGGAGCTTGAAGGATATATTAAATAGTTTACTCAATAAATTGTGTTAATATGCTTTTTTTACAAAGTCATTTAATTCATTATTTATCATTTTAATACAATTTCCTTATTAATTCGTTCTAATATATTGTCATAGTGAATATACTATGTGATTCATTAGTTGAGATGAAATAACGGATAAAAATACAAAATTATATTATTTTACTTTTATTCATTAAAGAATTACATGAACATTGGGTTACGCTAAAAAGTGTTTTTATGATGAAAATAAATTAATAATTAAGCATATATTAACCAAATTTATTTTATCAACCCAATTTCAAAAATTAAGTAATTAGTTATATTCGTATAATGATTCTATAAATATAAATTTATAAAGACAAAGAGTATAAACGAAATCATAAACAAGTTCATTAGATAAAGATTTATTAATTAGAATGATCATTATGATTGTTAGTAAAATACAATGATCTCTTTTTGATTTCTTTTGATTTCTTAATTTTTATAGATGATGATGAACTTTCTATATGTGTAAGCTTATGTGATTTTGATGTTAATTAGGTATCATTTTCTTTAATCTTCTTCTTTAGCATATTTTTAGTAATTGATTTTTTGTGTTTAAGATTGCCTTTTGGAATGACAGTGTCTTCATTGTTTTCAAGCTTGTTATTAAACATATTAATAAAATCAATAGGAATATTTTTAATTAAGTTTCGTTTTTCCTTCACCAACATTTCAAAATATGATGATTGATAGATATCTTCTAAATCTCCATTCAATTCCAAATATTGTCTCTTTAATTTATAAATAACTTCATTTCTTGAACATCTGATACAAGTACATTATCCCTAGAATGAATATAATTCATGATTTACTTTGCACAATGGACAAATCCATTAAAATTGAGTAATTTCATATGAATCAAATTCATGCTTCAAACATTTTAAACAAAAGTATCTTTTGCAATGAATCTATAAATCTATGATATGTCATAAATTGAATGTACTTTCAATAATGTAATTTGTAGAATAAAGATCTAAAATATATTATTATTGAGACTTTGCATTTATTTAATATCTCTAACACGTTAGTAAGTCCTCATTATATTCATGTAACCCCATCTAAAAATGATTATATGAACACTATTTCAGATTTTTAACATCAACCATCAATTTACAAGAATGACACATTTGCATCTCGAATACATCCTACATAATTCAATTTATTTATATACATCAGATCTGAGTCCAGGTATTTATTCAAGAAATTCATATGGCACTTCTCTTAACTTTTGAAGATTTGCAAAATGTTCCAAGTTGAGATCAATCTAAATTTGACTCAAATATTTATCGAAGATCACCGTAATAGTGTTGCCTTTGAATAAATTATCAATTGTATTTACTTTATTCATTGAAGATAGCTTTACCAATGCTTTCAGCAACTTGATAATCTTCATGTAAAATGATTAAATCCTTCAATAATCTTAGTTCTTCTTGGTGACTTCTAACTCTGGATCTGGTTAATTTTATTGAATGTTCTTTAACGATCTAAGAAGAATAAATATAGAGCAAAGTGTTATTGATTTCCTGGACATGTTATTCAAGGCTAATAATATGAAATTGTGATAATACTGTAGCAGGGAATTAGAATTATCAAGTTGTTCAAGTTATTATTCTAGTTATTATATTTGTTTGCTTAATTCATCCTTTGAATCTATCATGTGATGCAAATTAGTCAAGATTTAATTTTCTTAATGATAAATTATTTGTTGTTGTTATTCAGACTTTTAGGACATATTTTTAATGAGATCTTCAGTCTGCTATAATCCTTCGATAAGCTGAGCATAACAAATTTGGTCTATCATTTCATCAATTAAATTTTAAATGGGTTCTTAATGATGTTTTCTTTATTGTAAAAGTAATGAAAGTTTTTATTTTAAGTTGATGAAATTTAATTAAGATAGTTTAGATCTATTATTCTGTTTCAGAATTTTATCTAATAATTTATGACAATTTAAGTTTACATAATTAGAGACTATCTTATGAACAAAATATTTACATTTCTTTTTGAAGAGACTAAGGTCAGAGACGTTGACAAGTGAGTGAACCATGAAAAATTACTCATTGATTTCTCTCCAAAAATTAGAAGTGAATATTGATTCTCCATTTCTGTCCATTTTACAATATAAATATTAATTTTAGAAAGAATTTTTAATCTATAAATTAAAATCATAAAAATGTAATTAATTGTATATCAATTTCATTTTGCAGTCCATTATCGTTTGTTTTTCAAATTCCCTCTCTCTCTCCTTTTCTGCATTTATGATTATATAATCTCTCTAATCATATCCAAATTTCTTAAGAATCGAATCAAAAAAATTGATAGGCAAAAGAATATGAAATTCCTTCATATTCTCAAGCAAACTAGGTATAATTTACACTTCTTAGAGGAGACCAACATAACTCAAGAGTTAAGATACCTGATTTATTGAAATATGGCTTAGTCAGGTCTGAATAAATTAATAGAAATACAACAAAGTTCAAGTAGCAACTATTGTTTAGAGATCAATAGAAATATATAGATTGCTATATTCATTAATTACGTATTTATGATATTGAAATAAAGAATAGGGAAGAAACTAGTGAATGATAGTTAGAAGCGCAAAATCAAATAATAGGTAATAAAATAAGTATTCATAAATAAATGAATATAAAATCTAACAAAAATAAAGATTTGGCTAAAGTTGCTGACTTGATTTACAGATTAATTTTGATAGATAAGTTTGTTAGCTTAAACCATAATTCTTATTTATCAAATTTGTTGTTTAGTTGAATTGTAAAGTAATAAGAGTGTTATTATAATTATATAAATATTAATATTAATATCATATGCAACTCTTAAAAGTTTGCAAAAGGTTCTGCTCGATCTTATAGAATGTGCCTAAAGAGCTTGTAGATTTGAAACATGTTAACTTTTTGAAGGTTAAGACAGCCTACCTTGAATAACTAAAGGACTAATATATTTTGAGTTTAGAGTTTACAAAAAGTCCCAACGAAGCAGACGATGCTATGAATATTACGAATAATGTTGAACTCCAGATCGACCCAGAATTAACAGTGAAGGAATTCGTTGAGAATTGTCAAGAATATGTACAGTTCACATTACTATTTAGTTAAAAGATAATGTTACTTTGTATTCAATTGACAAAGTGCCATTAGCAGGTGTGAATACAATGGAACAAGTGATAAAAGAACCTTTCTATTTATTGACCAACAACCAGCATCTATTTTTTGTTAAACAATTATCAGGTTATGATAAGGACGATTATTCTTATATGTAAATAAATAATTAAATTAAGTAAATCGTATTTCACTCGTAAACATGTACCAATGTTGGAGAAGAATATTCTTATTTAATACTTGGTTAGAATGGATTATGTGTTATAGTAAAACTTCAAGACGACATTTTTCAAAAACTACTCTTCATCTCAATAGAATATAGAATACAATGATTTAGTAAAGGTGATTCTTGATTCTTATACCAACATGAGGAACACCTAATCAGATCATGAGACTGATATGTACAGTCAATATTTTGAGTTGAAAAAAGCAAAGGAAGTATTGGAGGAGAAGAGAAAGGAAATTATGGAGGCTGCAGTTAAGTTTGCAAAGATCTAGATGTTTGGTGGATTCCTTGTATTGTGTGGACACTTCTGTTTCATGGGTGCTGGTATATATGTGTACTACAATTGGGATGTGATGGAACCTATAGGTTACTTCTTGAATACAGGAGGAATGATCTATTTATCTTATCAATATTTCAAGTAAATTGCTTAAATGATCATAGGTTGAATGATGAATGGTCACATAGCAAATTCTCAAATTATTTGATCAATAAAAACTTTGTTAGATTGAGTAGATCTAATAATTTTGACATTGAAAAGTTGAATTAAATCAATAAACAAATTTAAGAAATCTAGGATAGAATCAAAACAAATATCATTACAAATTTATGATCATATATCCAAAAATAAATAATTAATATCACGATTCTACCAAATCCTTTAATGTATAATGTTTCACAATTTAATTTGACTGTTGATCTTGTTGTTATCTTTTATTTGAGTATTATTAAATAAGCGCACTTTTTATGCGAATATTTTCTTTAGTTTTATTGGGTTAATTATTAACAATATTATTAACATTGTTAATTACAGTATTTTAACCCCCATTAGTATTTGGATACTTGATGTAAGGTTCCTGCTATAAAGGTATATCCTAATGCATAGATGGTTAAGTAGAATTAGGATTCAAATCTAAGATCGTGAACTTTTTGACTTCCTTGACTGATTAATTTTACTGAACAGGAATCAATTTAGCCCTGCAGGAAATATTAGCAATCGATGATCCTCTTGCTTATGCTGATAAGGGTCTGATCTGCACATTTGATTTATAAGTATTTTATGGTTTAGAGTGTTTAATTTCAAGTTTGAATTTAGGTCCTTATTCTATTGAAAAAGAATTCTTCCTCTCTTCCTAAAATTATTTGTCATCTATGTCTTGAATGTAGAGTTCAACATGATTAGACTGAATCTTTAAGACCTATTATTATTGAGTATGTTTTTATTCTTATTGTTCTAATTGCTTTAACTTTTCCTATTCCTATTGTTCTTTTAGTTATCTCTCCTTCTCCAATTTCTACATTTTCTCTCTTTCAAGTCTCTCTTGCCTTTCCAATCTTTCTTATTTCTCCTTCTCCAATCGTTCCTATCTCTCCTTATCCATTCTCTCTTACCGCTCTCTGTCTATCCTCTCCCTTTCAAGTCTTTCCTTCTCTAATTTCTCCTATTGATCCTTCAATAACTGCTGGTATTGTTAGGCTCTAGATATTTGCTCATTTTCTATCTACTTCTGAGTTACATCTATGACATCTCCCATGTAGATGGTATCTGACCCATTACTAATTAAGTCTTGCTGTTGTGGTTTCCTGGTTTTCTTCATCTTTTCAGTCTCCTAGGCTTGCATTGCATACGATTTGGGATTTGAGGTTTATGGCCTTTATTATTAGTGCTATTGATATTACATCTAAGGCAATGCATCATCAAGTTGTCTATGTAATTAATAAAATCTACTATGAAATTCTCTATGGCTGACTCCTTTATTGGAAATATATTGTATTGACTTCTTATATGCTGGGTCTCAAGGCTGGAATCTTCTCAAGCAGTTTCCAAATGAACTGGCTGAGTCCTTTCATAATTTACTAAAACATATTGTACTTGTCGAGTACTGAGGAGGCAATGCTTTTGGTGCTCTATTAACTATACTATATCCCAAGGCAATCAAATTTTCACCCTAAAAGGGAGGCTCCAAAGCTGCCATGTAAAATACTACACATCCCAAAGCCCAGATATCAACCTTATAATCGTAGGGCTAATGCTAAACAAGCTCTGGGGACAGATACAAGGGAGTGCCCACTCGAGTGCCTTGGAGTGCAGTGTCAGAATTGAATATTTTGGATACTCCCAGATCTCCCAATTTCACATGTTTATCCTTTGTTAGAAAGACGTTGAGTGTTTTGATATCCCTGTGAATGATGTTGTTTTCATGCAGATGCTACAATGCTGAACTAAGTTCCCTGCTCATCTCCCAAATGGTTTCCTCTTGCATAAATTTCCTTCTCTCCTTATAATCTTTTAGCAACTAAATAGGTTATTCATGACTACTTTCTAAAGGTCTCCTCCTTCGGCATACTCCATAATGATGCAAAGATTGTCCTGCTCAATAAAACTCATGTAGTATGTTATGACATTCGGATGTTTCAGTTTCCTCAGAAGTTATGCCTCTTTGAGTGCCTCAGCTTTTAATATGAAACACACATACCTTGATGCTTTGGCTTCAGATGAGTCAGGTTGATCTTCTTGAGAACATAGGTGTTCCCATCCATACTAGATTTCACCTTATAAACCACTCCATAGGAACCCTTTCCCAATTCATTCAAAATTGTAAATTGGGAAAGATTGCTACCGATTAATTAATATTAACGACCTAGATTCTAACCACTAAATTACTATCTAAATCATGAAGCTATTGTATTTCCCTTTAATCAATGGTTTTTGGAACTTTCGCTGTGGTTGGTCTTTATTTCATTATATATTTATTTATATATATTATATTTCAAACCTCCATTCTTCTCTTTCTCATCACTCTCAATAATCCAATTCTATTTATCTAAATTTAATTTCATATTAAAACATTTCTCTCCTCACTCCCTTTATTTAATCCTCAACTTGCTACCCCTAAATTCTTCAAACAAATTCATCTTATCTCACACATTTAACATTTAACTTTATTTAATGACTAATATCAACATGACAAAAATAGAATCATAAAAATACCAAAACAAAGCAATTATAAATATAACCAAATTAATCATTCTAAATGAAATACTTATTCCACTTAAAACTTAACCATTAAATTTATTGTTAATCTAACTGTTCATTATGAAATTTCATAGATATAATATGTTATTTATTTTATTTTCTGTATCTTGATAACTCTATCATCTAATTCCTATAACAATTTCATCCACTGAATGAAACTCTTAAATATTAATGATTGTTTATCTTATATTTTATTAATAATATGATATTGTATGTACCTAATGATAAGTAAAATTGGGATAATAGTAAAAAATAATGTCTGATATGTTTAAAGAGATATTAAATAATACGCAAACTTATAGAGTAAGATATTTAAATTCATTTTTATAAATTGTTCATCATTTTCTTTTAAAACCGCACCTTCCACAGAAATTATGATCTTGTTCCATTTCGTAGCTACATTGTTTGCAATGGTATGTAGTAATTTTCTTTTGTTTAAGTTACTTTTCAATGAGCATTTTTTTATACATTAATTCTTTTTAATTTTTTTGGCAAAGTTCTAAATGGCTTTCTAGATTTCGAGGATTGAACTTTCTGCCGCAGACGTGACATTCTGCTGTTGTTATATAGCTTCTATCCAATGAACTGTTTTCTCTATTAGTTTTTTTTGGTCCTTGAGATTTTGGTTTTGCCATAGATTTTGATCTTTTCTTCTTAGGTTCTTCTTTTCCTTTTGCAACAAAGATCATTGGTTTCTCTTTGCTACACAATTTCAAATGCATTTTCAATTTTCCTTCGAAAAACTTTCTATTACAAAATTCACATTATTCGTATTAAATATTTTATACTTCCATTTTCTGTCTATTATATATATTATATTTAAATTTAATGAAATAACGAGATCATGATCGAAATGCATTATTCCCAATAAGCGAAGTCTCTCAATACACGTATCATCGATACAGTCCGCCGATGAGGCCGAAAATAGTGCCAAATTAATACATCAACAGAGAATAGAAATTAATTCAATTAAGTGCACACGAGAAATCAATACAAGATAAGAGATCCAACATATTTTATGAACCTACAAAACTTCCAACATCACCTCCTAAATGTATAGAAGATAGACCCAAATCTCCAAATCTTGATCATAGATAAAGAATGTTATATTAGAATGCATCAAATGTGTTACCTGGTTATAGTTATTAGAAGGTGAAATAGGTTTGTGAGACTCGAACTAAAATAGTTGAGGATCCAAATAATCAAGTTAAACATCAGAATCAAAACTTCTCGGATTTATTTGACAGACATTGTGGTGATACCAAAATCAATCAAAGAGTTCGATCTGCTTCTCCTTAATTAGATTGGACTGCACATGATAGTGTTAGAAATGCTAAGGATTGTACTACCAATGAATACACAACTAATAATAAGCCCAAATCTCCTCTCAAAGTAACTGAAATCTCCAATTTAGAAATCAAAGTATTTAATTAATTCTATTTTTAGTGTATTTAATAAGCGAAAGAATTGAAGACTTATTCCAAATTGCACGGCAAGAAAGCAGCTCCAAAAGAGATTGTTTATGAAGGTATGCTCAAATGGAAAAATAATTATAAATGAAATTGTTTCTAATTAATTTATTTATTATATGATATCTACCAATAGGGATTTGATTAGCTCGACAACTGATTCCGCTGAATACTCATAAAACATTTAACTGTCCAAAAGAAAAACCACCAACAAATAATTTTCCTTAAGTCTCTTTGCCTTAAGAAAATAGGAACTATATAATAAGAGAAGTTCATCCTACTATTCACCCAATATCAGCATTTCCAAGATTAAACCAGTGATTGATTATCGGTCAAAATTTTAACAAAACACAAAAAAATTGATCATAATTCTTAGCTTTTTTGAATCACTGTCCCAATATTCAAAAGAACAACTCAGATAACGTATAGAGTATTTCAAGTTAAAAAAATAAAACATCCTACCATTTTACCCAGATCAATACCTTATCATCAAGTGGAATCAATTCATTTAATTCCTATTATTCTTTTATGCAATTGTATTCCCCTTGCAATTGGCTAATCAGATTAATGTGGATTAAATTTTACTGGGAATAGATGGCATCTTTGCAATTGACATAATGATGAATTTCATAACAGCATACATTGATGAAAATTATAATTTGGTTAAAGAATTTAAATCAATATTCCTCAACTATCTCAAAACTTGGATGATTTTCGATCTTATATCATTACCCCAATATTAATTATAAATTCAACAATCAGAACTCCAAATGTTCAAACTCTTGAGATTAGTCAAATACTTTATCAAGAAACCACAAAAAAACTATAAAGGACAAATCTTTTACACTACCAATATCATTGACTCTTTCTCTTTAGATATCAATTATTATCTCTCAGAAGGGTGGATCTTTTTAATTAATGTCATTCTCAATGCATTTCTCCTCATCCATATCTTTGGGTGTATATTCCTCTTTCATGACCCCACTTACAATTATATTACCAGTGTCTATTGGGCATCATAAACCTTGTTTACAGAAGGATATGGTGACATACCCTAGAATTTCTAAATATCAGTCATCTGGATTATAGTATCAATCGGATATTATTCAGTAAAAATTGGTGATTTTGCTAAATTATTGATGCAATCCAATCTATCAAACGATGACAACCAATACTACTTATTCGATCGTCTGGCCTTACAAACCAAGATGCCAGATGATCTAAAGGATTCAGTCTAAAAATACATTAGAACCAATGCCTAATACAATCAATTTTGGGATTAGGACATCATTCAAATGGTTGATGAATTCCACAAACCCATTCAAACCTATTTCACCTTAAGTGTAATGTTGGATCTATGCATTAAAATTTAATTCTTTCTTTAAGATGTCAATCATACACAAAATCTCCTGAAATCCTGCAAGTTTATCACTTTTGAGAAAAATGAAATTATCTATAGGAAAGGGTAATTCTCGGATGAAATCTATTACTTGATCAAAGGAGATGTGAGAATAGTATCCAAAAATAGATATAATATCCTGACTATCTTGTAAGGTACTATCTTTGGAGAATTCGAAGCATTAAATGAGTAACCTCGATTTACTTATGCAATTGCTCAATAGAGATCTCTTATTTTGATTGTCCAATTGAAATCCTTTATTGAATGCTTCAAGCAAAGCAAACTCATAAACTTCGAGGTCTCCTAATTGTATGCCAGAAGAAAGCAACTCATACTTTAGTAGTTTAAGCTTGAAAAAAGTATAAAATTAATTAATTTAGATAAAAAGTTGAATTAAAAAGATTGAAACGAAAAAATTTAATCATTTTTGAAGACAATGACATCTCTCCTGAATTCCATAAGAGGAAAACTAATGATAATCATTTATAGACCAATCAAATATATCATTATAACTTGTTGAAAAAAATCATAGGACAAGCCAAACTCAACAAATAAATTGTCTATCAGAGATTCTAGTTTTATGTAAATAGAGTGATAGATTACATAAGATAAATAGACATCACTCCACCAGAAGATTGGAAGGATTTAAATGAATATCATACCATCACTAAAGTCATCCCTTTAAAGCTATTGCAGTAAAGAAATAGCCTTTTTAGATAATAAAATCGACAATCTAACTTCTCTATGTTATCATTCAATAAGAAACTGCGTCTTTCTAATTATATATTAGTCAGATAGTAGGAAATTAATATACAACGAAAAATTATCCTATTTAGTAAGATGTAGCGTGAAAGATTCAAACCAATAAAATAGATATTTGATAAATATGGGCGTGCATTTGAAAACCCTTCATCTGAGACTGACATTCTCAATTTTGAAAGTTCTACTTCATCAAAAATTGCATTGTTGCAATCCAAATATTGTTAATGGTTCAATGTAAAGCAACATGAAGAGATTAAAATCAATAAGAACATTGCGAATAGCATAAAAAAACTTAGTTAAGATCTCTCAAAAATAAATGATACTTGGCTATAAGGATCACTAATTAAATTTGACTTGCATAAGTATTTAAATTAAAAATGAATGTTTTTACTAATTACATATAATATTTCTATTCTAAATTTTAATAATATCTCTATTTAAGTTCGATATATAAATATTATATATTATACTATTAAATCAAACTAGATACCCTACATATTTTTATTATCTTCCAATTCCAAGTAGAAATCAACTATATATATATATTTAAATATAATTTATTTATCTATTATAATATTTTAATAAACAAATAATGTAAAAATACGTTGCTAAATATGTTGCTTTGAATTTTAAAAACTTAGTTATTGGAGGAGATTTGAAAACCATCAATCCCTTAATGATAAACGAACAATAATTTTTCTAGTACTATGATTAGATTTTCATGAAGGACACCTATATCTAAGATTGTCTAAAAAATTAATTATTGAGAATACCTGTTGATTTTTTCAAAGAAAGCAGATACGATGATTTTGCAGAAGATCATTCTGATTTCTTTGAATAAGAAAATTAGAAATAAAAATGATTCCCTTGATATATATGTTAATTTTTCTTTATACTTATGTTCATCATAAACTTTATTTTTTAGTTCTTCTCAATCCAAAGCTATTTCTGATCTTCCATTCTATACCTGATTCACTTTATCTCCTTCAATCATTCAGCTCATGGTTTTCATTGTTATTTATACCTTTTACTTTAATCATATACTTTTAGAATAATTCAGTGTAATACAGTATCAATAGTCCTATAAATAAAATTAAATGAATTCTTTACAAATTATAGATTCCACCTTGAATTCAGTTTCTGCTTGCAAGGCTACATAAATAAATATTCATAATATTGTATTATCTCTGTATGTGATTCATTGAATCTACTTTTAAATTAACACTAAATAAATTCCATAATCTTCATAATTGTGGAGCCAAGTTGATAATTCAAATTCAATTGTCATCTTATCTATTTGCTCATTTGTTTCAATTATTTCTTCAAATTTGCTTAGACCCTTAAGGTAATAATCATTCATACATATTATTTGATCCTGATCGAATGTTCTCTTAATTCAGTTAATAGATGAAAATACTTTAGTCACATAAGAAATATTTATTTAGATATCAAGATGGTACTAATACACGATTTAAAATCTCTTTTGGGTTAAAAATTAGATCCAATTTTACAATGCTTTGTTTTTAACAACAATGTATTTGAATATTGAAAGTTCTCTTTAGGAATTGAAAAATCGAATGGTTTAGTTTTTTGGAGTTGATTAACTATATATAAACAAGACCAAATCCATATATATTATAATAATCTTTCAATATGTTTTATAAAAATAATAATACAAAATAGAAATATTATAATCAAATATAAGATAAAGTAGCGGATGCTACAAGCATCTTATTTTTCTCTATTCTTTATACTGCTGGATGATTTTCATTGAAATATGATTTTAAAATAGTAACTGCCTTTGCAAATAACAAGTTAGCACTTTTAAACTTCATTCTATCTAAGTAAGCCAAAGCTAAGTTATTCATAATCAATGCTAAACCTATAGATTCAGTGTCACTAAATGATAATATTCAGTCTTAATACCCACAATAGGCGACTAGTTATTCATAGACTTCTATAGCATTAATGCTACTGCCTTATAGATGATAGATGACTCCCTGTAGATTCATAATTTTATATAATTATTCATGTTTTTCTCCATATCTATTAAGATTATAATGTGATAATATTAATACAATTTGATTAATCCTTCCTTCGATTATTCCAAGTACTCGAGAGCAAAGTCATACTCTTTTTCTAAATAATAGATGCAACCTAAAGTGTAATAAGTATAAAATATCCTGGGATCTAAATGATCTAATTTATTTTATAAGATTCAGAGTCCTTCATAGCAAATCTTTTTGGCATCTACACTATCATCTATTATAATAAATGTGTGATGAGTACGTAGTAGAGCATAGACAAAAGATATCTTAACTAGTAACTTGGCAATGTCTAACTTCCAATTGACTTATTCATAATAGTTTAATGCTTTTCTATAGTAATCAAGCGATTATAGATATTGGTTATTGAGTAAATATAGATTTGCCTTTTCTATATAAATTTTGCTGAGTACATCAAAGTCATTAATTTCAAATTAATTTAAACATTTATCCAAACATCTTATTTTAAATACAAATTGTGTTACTTTAATGCTTCATTGATTTGTCCTAGTTCTTTGAGAATCTGAGTTGCATAACAGAGTGATTGAACACATACTAATGTAATTGCTGAAATTTATAATTTTTCGGCTTATTGTTTTAATTTTTCATTTCCCTCTTTATAAACTTCCATCATTCTTTCTAATGCTAGTTTAAATTTACCATCTCTTAGAAATTGTAAACTAGTTCTTAATTTTTAGTTTAGCAAATCATTCTTAAGTAACAATTCGAAACTGTTAGCCTTAGATTTGTGAAATGAAACCTCTTCGTCCTCAGATTGTTGACTAATTTATTCATTCGGATGTTGTTCAGGTGTTTCGTTCGGGGTAGGAGAGATAATTTAATTTTTAGCTATTTTTATGCTTTAATTAGAAGATGTTGAAGAACCATGTTTATCATTGTTTTCTGTTAACTCGGAACTTTGGCTTACCTAATATTCGATCAAAGTCTTACTAGGTCCACTGGTTAATGATGTTTCGAGAATAAATCATTTTTCTTTTATTACAAAGGAGGCAATGCAAAGTTATGTTACTTTTTTATTACTATACTGACTTTAAATCCATTTTGTATCTTCTTTTATAAAAATTTGGATGCTTAATCCAATCCTTGTTTTTCAACTTATAATTCATGGAAATCTAATATCTCAAACTCTTCCATTTATTTATTTTAATTATAGAAATGCCATCTAAAATAATATTATTCTCAATTGAAAGAAAAAAGACTAATCAAATCTGTTTTGAAATAGTTAATATTCATTATATATATCAGGGAATATACTCTTTGTACAATTATTGCAACAATTCTATTGGATCAGAAAATTAGGACAATTTATCCAATTTTAGATTCTGACTATTATATTATCTCACGTCCCTTACTGACCTTAAAGACATCACATAATTCTATAAATACAGCAATTCCTACAATGTTTAATACTATAATACTTGGTCCATCTTGTTGTCATAATAGTTTATGATCGGAATCCCATTTAAAGGTTACAGGCAGAATGAGTAAGCTGCATTGTCAACTAACACCATATCGTTCATATTTCTATTTCCAATCACTCTCAAATCTTTGATGTAGGCACCCTCCTCTGTTTGCACACAACTATCTCTAAAAAATCGATGGGATATAGTATTTTTGTTTGGATCCAAATAGTCAATGACAACATTGGCATAACAAGAATGAGAAGCAGTAAACACTATAATTTCGAAGTGCTTGTTCAAAGTCTACAATACCTACTATGCATATGGTCTGATATTGATCGATGCCTAAATTGATAATTCTACTTTTATACTTCAATTATTTCTCCAGATGGGAATTTTATAGGTAAAATGACATCCCCAGGTATTTGAACAGACTCATTACAATGAATTAATGTTTCGTCTAAATCAAACACTATTGTTTTCTTATTTGTGCTGGGTAAATTCACTTTTTTATCCTCAAAACTATTTGTTATTTTGACTGATTTTTAAAAAATTGAAGCTTACATAGTTTATAATAGATGCTCTCTAATAAGTTCAATAGGTCTGTTGATTTCGATTTGCATATAACCTTTAATGATCGAAGAAAAGTAATATAAAAATGCTGTTTCATTATTTTTCTCTTATGAAGTTTTCCTTCTAAAGTTTTCTTTTATTGAATTGCTTGCCTTAGCTGATTCTGGTCTCAAATTCTTAAAATTAGTTTTATTGTCATTTAAAGGAGCCTTGACTTAAGTAACAAATGTTGATAGACTTGGCTTTTTAATGATAGTGCCTTCAATTTTATTTTCATTATTTATTAGAGTGCTTGATTTCAATTTATTTTATTGCACAGGTGTGTAATCTCTTTATTCTTTAGTTTGTTAGTGATTTTGTTATTCCTTTTATCCTCTGTTTGTAAAATCAATTGACACTGTTTTTTGAACTGAAGTTGAGGTTTGGTTATTTTTTGTATTTTATGCAAAAAATTTAGAAGCAAGATTATTTTTTGTTTGTCTTTAACTATTATCAATATGGGATTTAATGGATTGAATTTTATTCTCTAAATAGAGTAATTTGTCTTATAATTTTTAGTATTCCTAAGGGGATTATTTGGAAGATTGATTTCTTTCTTGATTGGATCGTATTTCCATATTTTCCTTTTGATCCTTATAACTAAAATATTTGGAATAAAAATTTTGGCTCTGCTTTTATAATTGTATTGAACTTTTCATAGTCTACAAAGTCTATTTTTATTATGAACTAGATTAATTTGATGAATTAGGTCTTTGTAATTCCTTGCTTGATCTATTGCCCAAATTCTTTTCTGATAGAGGACGTCTGATTTCAATCATGCTCAAAAGCTGTTAAAAAATTAAAATATTAAATAGTAATAAAGCACATTTTCAAAATTCATATTCTTTTATTTTAACTTTTTAGTTTACGCAAAACCTCCTGAATGGAAATTGGAACTACATCAAATCCTTACTTAGTTCCCAATGCTAATTTGGAATTCAATTCTACTTATTTATTTTTCGAGCCATAACTGCTTATCTTTCTGTTAAAGAGATATTATTAAGTATTTCCAAGAAGCACAATAAGATCAATAGAGTATATCTCAATGTAAATATTTTAAACTTCTATTTATTGTTATTTTTTTCATGATTCTACTCCTTTGTAATTTCTAAGCATTCATTCTATTAAAATTAGATGGAGTATTTCATTTTTTCTAATATACACTTATCAGTTCTAAATTTTAACAGTCTGATGCTATAAATCATTTTTGTTTAATTTCCTTGTAATTTTAATTTTAAGTAGATTTATTAATTTCTAATTAATCTCAATAAAATATAGAATCTAATAAAGTACTAAGATTAATTAGGGATTGAATGAATATTAAAAATAAATTAAGAATTTCAGTATAATTCAAGTTATTATGTATAAAACTCTATCCTAATTTATATTTAATTATAATCCATTTCGTTCAATGAAAGTAAAGAAAGCAGAATTAATATTTTGAATAGATAGGACCATTAATTTTGGTTGTTTAATTAATAATATAAATAAGTTTGTTTGTATTTTTGGATAAACATAATTAATTATTAAAAATAAATGACTGATATTGAAGAAAAGCCTATATTAAAAGTTGAAGAGCAAAAGGACTAGCGTGGGGTATGTTATATAAGTAATGTTCCACCTTAAATGCCTATAAGTAAAATAAGGGAACTGCTATAACCATATGGTATAGAGCGAGTATATTTTAAAAGTAAAGGATCTGGAAATAATAGAAGTTACAGTGAAGGGTGGGTTGAATTTAAAGATAAAAAGATTGCTAAAATGGCAGCTTTGTCATTGAATGGGACTAACATCAGTAACTATTTTGGAATAATGTTTTAGTTTAGAAGAAACATAAATAATTATCAGATTATATGTGGTCAATAAAGTATTTGGCAGGATTCAAGTGGGATGATTTGAATGAGAATTTTAATTATGAGAGGAGAGTGTAAAAGAAGAAATTGGATTTGGAAATAAACTAATCAAAGAAAGAACATGAGTTTTATTTAGAAAAAACAATAAAAAAAAAAGTTAAATAATAATGATTATATTTATTGTATTCTTTATAATCCAAGAAACCATATGTATACCAGTTTCAATAATCATGGAATATACAAACTAAGATATTGTTTACAACGAAGGCACACTCTAAAAGGAATTTGATATATCCCCAATATTGGAGAGAAGGTCTTGCACATCACCCAAAAATCTGATAAAGATTGACACCAAGAATAAGAACTTAACTTAAGAAGATTATGAAGTGTTGAATATAACAAATAATGATGATAAAACATACTAAGTATTTGTTGAGTAATCGACTCATACAAACAAATCGATGTAAAAGATAGATATTAAATATTAGAACAACAAGATAATTTACAAATGATAATTCTACATTATCAACTAATTAAAGTATGATATACTATTTGTATCAAAATTGCACTAAGTACAGTATCTAAAATCCTGACAAAGCCTGGGACTATATTTATGTAAAGGTAATCCTGTAGGAAGGCTAAGATAATAATCACACATTTCCATTTTAGTTTACATACACATGCAATGAAAATTATAATTTTATTACTTTTGATTGGAGTTTAATTATCTTGATATCAATAAGCATGATGTTGATGGCCTTGTTGACACGGTTTTCAAGAATATTGTCATTTAATCTGAAAGGATAGGATGGATAGTTTTAAGGTTTTAAGATAGATGTAACTATAACAATCTTTTATTTTGTAATGTATTCAATTGGTTTTTTTTTGGTTTTCAATTCCAATTACGTTGGAGAATTGAGTCTCGTAGTAAAGGTGTCTACATACTTAATGGGATTTACTTGTTCATTGTTTATAATCGATGAAGTATACTGTAAAATATAATTAGGCATTATGTTTGTCTCCTGATGGTTCAGTTTGGAAAAGAAAGGTCTGTTATAAGATTAGATTATGCGAAGTGTTCTCATTTATACTTGCATCTGCATTCATGACTTTATATTTATTAACAGAGGCCTGGTATTTAAGTGATCTAATATCCATTTTTATAATGTCCACTATAGCCAAACTGTTCAAATTCAAAAAGCTTAAGAGTGCTGTTTTCTTTCTGATAATTTGTATACTTTTGGATGGAACAGCCGCATCTTTAATTTACTTTACATCAGATGCATCTTATAATTCGTTAACCCTCAAAAAATTGAATTGTCCTATTGAGTTACAATTGCCATTACTTGAATTACAATATGATCGAAGTTGCGCTTGGATCTCCTTGTTTAGTATAGCTATTCCTGGATTGTACATGGGATTTACATACAGATTTGATAAAAACAAAAGAACATTTTCCTACACCATATTTACTGGATTGGGTTTGATTATTGGTTATATCATTTGGATAACTACGACTATAGTTTAAACCTATTCAATTCCTTCAAGTATATTTATATACCCCTCGGTATTGATCGGTACCATTTTGGTTGCTTTGAAAAGAAATGAGTTGCAATCAATTTGGGATACAGAATTCTTTGATGAGTTCCTGGAGAAATCATATAGATTATCGAACATCTACGGATAACACGATATTGTTAGCAATCTTAATTTAATGGAAGGATTGGATCAATGTCCTGATGAGTAACCAATTTAAAGTCGGATATTGAAATGATTTAATAGATTATAATATTGATATCAATTTCTACCAAATAATTATTCATTCTCTTTGACCATATTCAAATAGATTTGGCTGATTTTCTATTGCATATTCAACATAGACTCTATATTCTAATATTAATTCATATTCATAACAATTTGGATTTATTCATAAATATTGTTATTAATATATCCAAAATTATCCTGAGTGATTTCAAATTATTTGGATTCTTCTGGAAATAAATGCTATTTTAATTGTTTTTCTGTCAACACTCCTTAACCTTGTGCTTTTTGTTAGATTTATCCAGCACTCAATTACTTAAATTTTTTATCAATCTAATTATCTAATATTTATAATAATTTTAAGGAATCATCACGCATCTAGTCTCTCTTCTTTATTTTCTCCCTCAAAGTTTCCAACACTTGAGTTTAATAACCATATGAATAGTCTACATATTTAGTTATAATTAATCCAATATCTTCTTGCGCTTTGCTACATGTCATAAACATTTGATTTAGGTTTGTATAATAACTTTCGTCAACCTACTCAAACAATTATTCATTTTAATTCTTAACCCTTTATTAATAAATTAAAAACTAATCTGCCAGTAATTTATATTCCTAACCTAATTGCTTATATAAGCCCACAATCTTCTAAGAGATCTATCTAATATTATTATTTTATTCCATATCCTTACTGAACATTTTTGATTAATATGCGAAGAAACTCTCAATTTAGGAACTTACTTTACATTCTAATTAGCCATTTAAACTCATCAAATTCTAGATATTGCATTGTCTCTATTTCTATTGCTTTAACTTATTTTATAGATCATTCTCATTTTAACAACTAAAAAAATTATCTACCAATTCATCGAACCAGAATTGTCTTATGATTGTATTCATAAACTTCTCCAAAGCAAATGATCTGTAATCAGCTACCTTAATCTTAGAGCCTGATGCCATTTTTTCAGGAATTGGAGGGACATAAAAGTCTGGATAATTCTTAACTAAATATTCTCTAAGTTTTTCAAAATCAGAATATCTTCTAGCTATGACATAGTTATATGGATTCAAAGTTATATTATATAAGAAATACGACATAGAAAATAAAGAACCTGTCTACTCTTGATAACTGACAATCTTAACGTCTATATTAGGATTTTTATACAAGAAAGAATTCTAATTTATTTATATCTATTATCCTGAGTAGACCTTGTGACGCTGAACTACAGCTATGGTTGGATTTTACTACATATTGGCATATTGAGTCAAAGGCTATTGTGGATGCTAAGATTACTAAGCCAAACGTTCAGGTTATTCCTTTAAACCCTCCTATTTGGGAACATCTTATTTCATAGAGTCTTACTAAGAATTCTAAATAGGAGGAGGCGGTTTGTCATTTAATTGAGGTTATTAGTTCTAATGGTTGCTGAGGGACTAAGGATCTAAATTTACTTAGGTAGTTGAATCACTTAAATCAAATGAAATATTACTTATTCTATTTCCATGTCATAAACTCTTATTAAGCTATTAGAATTTCATCCATATTCCATAATTCAATTTAATCGCCATTAACTTTTTTACTTTTCAAATATTATAGAAATTCTGTCTTTTAGTAACCTTCGGCCTATATTGTATTCTCAATGAAACTATCCATTTAGTTTAAAAACGAAGTCTTGTCCATATATATAATTAATATATTTAATTTTCTCAAAAGTTTGTATTTATACTTGTAGAATCTACATCATATTTTATATCTAAAATACAAATAACTGATAATTAATTACAACATATCTCATTTATTATTTAATATTAATAACAATGAATTTCTTAGATCATTTCAAAGGCAGAACTTAAAGAATCCCAAGGGAAGGCTATCTAAACTTATTTGGGTTGGAATCAAATAGGGTCGTTTAGAATCCATAAATCTCAAAATCTAAACTCAATCAATCTCTTTAAAAAATACAATAAGAAGAAGCCTAATTGCAGTATGAAATTATGGAAATTGATGAGTATCAGTTAAAAAGATATTCAAAAATCTCTACAGAAATAACTACTCCAAGATCTTTCAGCTCAAAAAAGAATTTTAGTGCTATTAGAAGTGCAAAATTAATCTTAAAATACTGAATTCTGATGTCTACTCATACCATTGAGAATTTGTTAAATGAATGATTATATTATATATATAATTCTAAATCTTTCATATCTTCTATGATTTATAGTACTTTTTGCATTTCGCTTTTCCTTCATCTCCTTCGAAAGCCTTGTGTTTATGTGTTTTGTAAACGATAACTATTCAGCCGAAGTGTAAATCAAAGAAAAACTTTGTTAACAATTATCAGATGTCTACGTTTTTGCAGTTTCAGAAAGAGTAATATCTTATTTTTACATATTTTAAACCTAATCGCAAAAAGTACAAAAACAGTTTGTCAAATCTAGGATTAGATTGATAATCACTCCTCATTTCACAATCAAAAAATGATAAAATCATAGTTAAAATTGAAATTATTTTGAAACGATTTCCTTATATTCAATATGGATTTTCTTATTGAAAATGACAATCACAATTTGTTAATAAATTAGTTTAAAATATTTGTGATAAATATCGTTTAGAATTCGAATTTATATTTGAAGAGGATGAATCAACAATAGTTATATAAGAGGAGTGGTCAAATTAAAATTGAGATGATTCCTTAAACTTACTTTTCTTATTGAAACGAGGAAAGCATTAAGTGTGATGGGATGAATTATTTAAAAAAGTTTGTTTGTTGAAAGAAAAAGGATAAGTGTTTGGATTGAATGTTAAGGAATGGATTAGGGATTGAGAACATAGATATGATATGGAAGTGTATATATATGGCAATTAAAATAAATATAATGAGGGATATAAAATATATATTTAATTTTGAAATTCAAATTCAAAAATATTATTTAATTAATAAAATGTATAGAAGTTAGAGATTGAGAATGAAATCATAAAATCATTAGTCGATTTCACCTCCAATAATTAAGAGGAGGTTAAGAAACAAGAATGAATATGTTGAGATGAATGAAATCGAACCAACTGATAAAAAAAAATAGAACATTTTATAGGACATAGCAGCAACTAAATAAAAGAGCTTAACCAATTTTGCCTTGACAGTTACACCTAAATATGGATAAGAAAGAGATTATGATGATGATGAGGATATTCTATTTCACGTATTAAATTTGAGTAAGAAATTAGTCTAAAGGAAAAAAGAGACCATGGTCAGAACAGGAAGACAATTTGCTAATTAAATTGGTTTAAATGCATGGTCCTTAGAAATGGACATTCATAGCGGAACATCTGCCTGGGAGAATAGGGAAATAATGCAGAGAGAGATGGCATAATCATTTGAATCCTTAGATCAAGAAATCACATTGGGGAGATTACGAAGAATGGATTCTATTCCTATCACATAGAGTTATGGGAAATAGATGGGCTGAAATGGCTAAATAATTAATAGGGAGGACAGACAATTCGATTAAGAATCATTGGAATTCAGCAATGAAAAAAAGAATCCCTGAGATGGAAGATAGATTGAAAGATATTCGCAAGAGAGGAGGTACAATTTAAGTTAACAATCCTATAGGAATGTAGAATTCTGAATTGATGAATTCATTTACTTCCTTAGAAAGATAATTAATATAAAAATTGTTATCCTCCCAATAAAATGGATAGATGTCACCCAGATCCTACTCTCCTAATAATATGCCCAGAAGAAGGACAAATAAACAACAAAATTATTTGAATCCCAATTCAGTGAATTCTTATATTTAGAAAATGATGAATGAGATTAAAATAGATGGAATTGAGAGTTACTCCATGGAAACCAAAATGCTAAAGAAAAATGCTAAAATAGCTGATTCCATATTTTGGAATGAGGACAAAGTAGATGACTTACAAAACAATCTATATGAATACATATAAGAAAAGGTTGGGGCTCATAGTTATGATCAAGATGAGAAGGTTGATAGATGGATAAAAGACTTTTGGATTATGTGCTAAGATGTTTTTACTGTCTCTGTAATCAAAGACTTTTTATCATAAAGGCCTTCCTTCTATTATAATTATTTGCATAAATTCAAACAAGATAGTGCTAATTAAGTATCCAAGAACTTAAGTAGGATCTATGAATAAACCAATAATAGTGATGAATATCAATTGTCTTCTCTCAATTAATTTAAAACTCCTCTAAAAGAAAAACCTGATCCTAATCAAAACAATACAAATAACTCTAAGAACAATAATAATAATAACCATACCAATGATACTCATAGTCCTAGTATCATTTGTTTGGAAGTTAAATATGATGATCAATTTTAACATTAAATTGAGTCACCTTCAAAACTATTGAATTTACTCACTCCAAAACATTAAAATATTCATTAATCTAATAAAAAGACTCCAAATTTGAAATCAGAAAATAAGAGTGTTATTCAGCATTCTTAATTTAAAGATAATTTGAGCTTGAGTAAATTAAAATTTGATACTACTCCTCTTAAAAAGAACTCAGCCTTCAAATTTTATAATAAATATAATTAGTAATAGTAGCTATGAAAAGTTATTTAATATATTTTTTTTTATAAACAGAATTTCATTAATTATGTTGCTCTTTGTATAATAATACTCATTATTAAGCCTAATTTCTTTTTACAGTCCCAAAGTACCTATCTCCAAAATCACCTATTCCTGGAGCCAAGAAGTTGATATCTTTCAATAAGATTGGATCAACTTGAGCTGTAATAATCTTAATTTTAGGATATTCACTAAACAATTTACTTAACCCTTATTCACAACTAACTAAAGTTAAAAATGTTATATTTTCTTCTTTAACTCCGTGATGTTTTAAAATGTTTAAAGCCATACTTGCACTTCCTCCTGTGGCCAACATAGGGTCCACTAAGATTACTTGTTAATCCTTAATATTTTGAGGCAATTTTTAGAAAAAATATGAAGGTTGTGAAGTTTCCTCATTTCTTTAAATTAGTATTTATCCTATTGATGCTCCTGTCATCACCTTCAATGCTTCTATTAAAAATGCATTTCCTGATCTCAATATACTCACAAAGCAGATTCTGAATTATTTAACATAATTACTCCTCATCCTGAAATTTTAACTCATGAGCATCATAATATCCTAATGGAGACTATTTGATGTGCTTCTTTTTTTCAATTTGAGAGATGGCTTATTCAATCAAAATTCGAATTAAACGATCTGCATTCTTTCTGAAATCCTAAAATACTTGTTATTAATACCACAATATCTGTTTAAACATCTCTAATCACTGATAGAATATGTTCTGTATAGCTTCTATCTATGATCGACAGATTTGTATGTTTCTTTTGCAATTTCTATAAATCATGATCATTAAGAAAATGATAATGAGGTAATTGATCATCTTCATTTTTTCCTCTAATTTGATTGCACATAATAGTTGATGAACTCAATAATCCCAAACAGCCTCCTAATTTAATTAAATTCTTAAACATTATTTAAAACAATTAAAATTCCTTATTATACATCCAATTATTATTGTAATATTATGATTGATGGTGGCCAATTAAGAATATAAATATTAATTATTCATTCAATCTTTTTCATTTTCTATTAAAAGTTCATATAATAAAATTAAACAACTTGATTTAGACCCACTTCTTATATCCACTAATATATCTCCAATAGTTAGTGAACTTCACTCAAACAAATAGGATTACTTTTATCTTTTTAGATCTATATAATATATTTTAGAATATCAAATATTAATCCTTAATTGAAAAATTTGTATATCTACAACTTCAATCAAAAAATCTTAAAATATATCTATCAATTATATACCAGTAGTGTAATTAATTATCCAATATTGCTTTCATTCTACTTATGAACACTAATAATTTTTGTTTATTAATTTTGGCTCTTTTACATATTCAATAATTGAAGTATCATAAGGAATTCTAATATCTTCTCTTCAGTTGCCAATTATTCCTATTTAAAATACTCGTTACTTAATTTCATCCTCATACAATAGGATACAACGTGTTACTTATAAATAAAGTTACAAAGTTTTAAAGATTATAAATTTCATTCATTTATTTTTCTTATTTCTTTAGTATTCTTGATATTATTAAAATTTCAGTGCCCATCTTTTCGTGTCATATATTAAATCCCTATTCTTACTTCACTATATTCTCCGAAGAGATTTTAACTCCAGAAAAATCAGCTTAAAGGCAGTGTATAGTTTTTCATAATTGATTTAATATTTACAATACAATAAAATAAATTTAAAAATATTTTATGATTTCATAGAATTAATTATTTTTTACCTGAAAACTTAGTCCTACTTTATTATTTCATAGTTAGATGAGAATTATTATTTGGGCAGGTTACTTATGAATTTTTGTCTTTATCCAGAGCAATTTCCATCATAAATTATTAAGTAAACTAACTTTAGAATTTCACTGTATTTTTATTCTTTCTTTGATAAGAATTATAGAATCAAGATATAATAATTATATCCTTTATATTTAACTTAATGTGTTTAGATTAAAATCACTCAAACTCTGAATAAGCTTTATAAGATCCTGGGCCAGGACTCTTGCCACCTAAATCGAATGGTCCTTTTCTTGTAGCTTTGGGAAATGAATTTAAGACGGAAGATTTGAATCCATTTTTGGGACAGAACCCTGTACCTGTGATTCCTGTATTCGAGATATCATAGCTAGCTGGCTCAGGAAAACTCTTTTAGGCTATTGTTAAATAATATTGAAACTCTATAAGGTTTTAAATCTGTCTTAGTCTTTGCCTATGATTGCAGCTCCGGAGCTTTTGAATTTTGAAATGAATTGATTTCCTCTCTCATTTGTGATTTGAAGAGCTTCATAAGACCCAGGACCTAGGAATAAATGAATTATAAACCAGGAGTATTAAACTATTTTAAAGATCCTGGTTTGAGACCAAATGTAAATTTGGAATCTGTAAGGGAATTTGTTGAAGCGTATCTACCAGGACCTGGAGATAGGTAATTCAAAGAACCCCAAATTCCATGGGCTTTCATTTAATCTCTGCTATAAGCAAATGTGGGTCCCTTCTTCTTGTCGATATTGTTTTCAACAAAAGATTATATTTCATACATATTGGGAGCTGGGACTGGTTTTGCATCTTTGGAAAAATCATGTCTAAATATATGAACTTGATGTACTTGAATCCATATCCGATTCCAGCCATCCTAGTCCCCAAAGATTAAGGTAATTTGTAACTTAATTCATCAGTTCTATATTAAATGAGAAAGAGGATTACGCTGATTTATTCTAAATGGGTTCTCTTCTGGCTCTTGGAAATGAGTACTTTTATTTTGACAAAGAAGTGTTTAGACTTGAGTCATGGGTGGCCAAATACTAATTCATTATAAAATGTAATTATAAATATATATATTTATTATATATACATTTCATTCTTAAGATTCAGAGGATTTTTCCAAAACTATTAGTGTATGCGAATCAGGTTTTGAAAAATACTTATTATTGTTACTGGCTCCTAGATTATAAATATTGTTATAATTTGAATAATTAGAATATTTAGTATAGAGTTCTTTAGCTCTCTCTTAACATTTAAGTGTTTCGTGGTCTTTCCAAGGGAATCTTCGATAATTTTTAATATATATTAAATAGAACTTATGTTAATAATTTTAATAATCTGTTTAGTCATATTTTTGATTTTTTCATTGTTTTCACGAACACAAAATTGTTGAAATTAACATATTTTTACTGAGAAATTTTTATATAGAAAATAGAGAACCTCTTCGACAAATATAGTTTTCTTAGATATATTCATTCATCGTCTTCATCTTCGAATTCTTTCTGAAGAGTATTATGTCATCTATCGATTCTCGATCCAGAACTTTAATATATTCCTTTTCATCTTTTGTTTTATTAATCTATACGTAATGCTTCTTGATGATATTAGGTATATCTTTAGAAAAGGAGGATAGAATCTAGAAATTGCTAGGTTAACATACTATTTAATTTTCATTCGCAAACTCTTCTTAAACAGAGTATTTCAGAGGAAGTTTAACAAAGATTTCATTTCTTTTTTTACAATCACCTCCATATCACTTGTAACGGCATCTTATTCTATAAGTTCTGGAAACTGAAAACTTGATCAAAAGTTTCTTTCTTTTGGATTGGCAAAAGCATTCTCTTATGTTGGAAGCATATAGAAGTATTAAAATAAAGTTAAGGGTAATTGATATATGGTTATGCACACATTGATGGAAGCACGAGATGATTGTAAAAATTAGATATAATAAGAAAATATCTTTTGTCTTCATAATGGTTTCCATTAAAATACTAAGTTTTTTATAAATGATATTAATAATGTCATAATTCTGTTGAGGCTACATATTAATACTTATACGATAAGGGAGGCATTGGAACATGTACAAATCTCCCTTCAGGTGATTTCTCATAAAAGTTACCTGCAATTCTATTATATCATATTACCATATCCTTTAACCTCCTTTTTGATGAATTCTTTATCACGTTTCAAAAAACATCTATCCATACTATAAAAACTGCCATATTCTTTGCCATAGTTTGTATTTGATAGTGATTTTCTGCTTTACCTAATTGTTTTTTTTGCAATGCTCTCTTCATAACTTTACCTCTCAGGGACTAGTAATGGTTTCCCAGTCTTTTTGCCTTATTTTTTTATCGGAGGAGGCACATAATTCTAAGGCAATGGTGGCGGAATATATTTTGGTTTAGGGGGCTGAATCTTATATATTTTATACTAATGGAGGATCATCAGGCACAGGTTTCACTCCAATTTTTTAAGCAATCTTTGGAAATACTCCTTGAACATCCCAAGTGAGTTGAAATGCTCCCTTTCTATTATGTTACTCTAATTATATTCAATCTCTAAAATACCTGGAAAAATTCTTTTAGAACTTATTACTTCCTTTTTAGAAGGCAAACCATGTGCAACCTATATTTTTATTTATAAATACAATAGTCTCAGCAGTTGCCATTTTCATATATTTTATTATAATAAATTATTACGATTTTCATTTATTCCAACCAACTTAATCTAGAATTCAGCCATACCTAAATTCTAATAGGAGAATCAGAAGCTTGTAAATCCTAAGTATTAAAAGATTTTGTATTAATAACATATCTTAGTGAATAAGATAATAAATATAAAATATAGAAAATTGAAACAAAGCCCAATATTTTGGATCATTCTGGATAAGAACTGTAAAAATTGTAAATTCCTAATTAATTACAAAGACGGTAGATATTATTATTATCTAACTATTTTCATGGATTATCTTATTAATTTTTAAAGTTGATACTCTCAATCAAATAGCATATTGCGTAAAGAAATCAAATTTATATTGATTGCCAATATAATTATCGGATCTAAAAAATTAAAAGAAATCTAAAATTACTTATTTAAAATCTCTATTAAATCCTGATGAAAGACATTGGAAAGATAGGATACATTTCTATTCATCTCAAAAGAGTTTTGGAAATTCAACTTAATTGAAGCTAACAACTTTAATGGGACCAATTAAAAGATTAAAAGAATTGATAAATTTATTAATTACAATAGAGATTATATCATAAAAATTGCTTTAAAAATTTCTTAGTTCCATCAAATGTAATTGGTATTCTTCCTTTCAAACTTCTATCTAACTTAGTTTCTTTAGTCTGAACTTTTTAAAGACAATTTTAAGTTGATTAAGTACTTTTAATTAATAAATCCTCCTTGTTACTTGCTGATGAAATTATCAATTAAAAATTTTTATTTGCAGATTAAATTCTTTTACTGTTAAGAGTATTATTTATGCTGCTGCTTCTTTCTTCTATCTTTGGGATATTAGAAATAGAACTAGTTTTTTTATTTTTTTATATGACTGGCTCAGCTGAATATACTAATTCAATCAATTGATTATTTGAATCAGTAACCAACTTCAATGATGAGTTCTTGTGCATCTATTTACCACAAGAGATCTTATTTAAACTATCGATTTCATTCTATTATTCCCTTTAAGTAAGTGGTTATTATTTATGAAGATGAAAATTCCTATAGTTTAGGAGTTAACCTTGCTGATTAAATTTAAACAGTTTCTCATTATCTTTTCTATCGCTGCACAATTAAACGAAATTACATTCTTCTTTCAGTGACTTAACTCTATTTGAGGCTCCTTTTAAGTACTGTCTTTTGTAGTTGGTTTTGGTTATTGGCATCCTTTAAGAATCTCTATAATTCGAGATACCATTTGTTGAAATGGTTCTCAATCCTCTTAAATCCTAAAGTGAAACAGATATTGATGATAACATAAATAATATAATAATATATCATAAACAAATAATATTTTACAAAATAAACATAATTTCATTCAACAAATATATTTAAGGTTTCTAAAATCTCATTTTTTGCTCCTTCTGGGTCTGTTTGAGATTATTCCCAATACAATGAGAATGCTCCTACTAATTTAGCGTAGTCCTTATGATAATCATGAGCAATTTCTTTTAATTTCAATAATTGATTTTCAGCTAAGAGATTCTCCGTCTCAAACTGCTCTAATAATTATTAGATCATTTCTACTCATATAATAAATTATATTACATTACCGCAATAGTCTTAATATGCTTTTGATGCTCTCCACAAAATCATCAATATTCTTGGAATACAAATAGATTTCAAAAACACCCTTAATTCTTTACTCATTTTTTTTCTTACTTATCACATTCAACATATAATCATCAATTTTTAATTAACCATCTTTTTATAGTTTTTTTAATAGGTCTTCAAAAGCAATGGATTGATGCAATTTTTTAGGGGAATCCTATTAACTTAATTTTTTGATTGCTGCTATAAATCCATTCAAATCCTCATCCTATTAATATTGAGAATAGAGTTCGAGTATGCTGTTTTCACCCTAGCCACTTGCAATGGTTTCTAGTCTGCTTTTCTCTTCAGCTGAAAAGTATTGTTTTATTTTTGATAATATCTCTTTGGCTCCCAAGAAAGGTGTGTTTAATTGTGGCTGTTCCAATGGAGATAAGTCAGATCCAATTTAATTAATCTAATAATGATGGATGTAATAAGTACGTTGGTGAATTTACTATATTATTTAATGATCATCTAAAGGGTTTCCAACATATCTTAGGCATCTTGATTTTACAAATACGTTTCCAGTGTTCCCAATACTTATAAATCATTTTCTTTAAACATTTTCAATAGAAACACTTTTTCATTTTCTTATAGATGTTTTTATAATGTAAACTACCTCACTTAATTCATAAATAAATTATACATCTTGGTTTTTCTATAATCCTGAGTATCATTTTATTTTTCAGAGAGCAATTTGCTATTTAAAATATAGATTCTTTTACATCAATTTTGCTCTAGTATTCATTACAATTCGAGAGGATTCGAACCCTTTAATTATTTCATAAAGTTATTCATTATGATCCGAGAATAATTATTCAACTTATCTTAACTTTTGTTCATCCAAATCCATTTAACTTAACATATCTTAAAAATTTTAGTTAATCTCCTTTTCTATTTGAATAGAATAGAACTTTTAGATCTTGTTATCATATTAAATTCTCTATTCTTTCTTTCTTTAAATAAAATTTTCCTCACTAAAAATTAGATCTTATGCAGCCACATTTTATGATTTCTTCTAAGTCAATTCTTATTTTTAATCATTTTATTAGCTACTCAACTGTGATACTTCTTACTATTTCTCTTATTGCAATGGTTAAATTGGAAAGTTTTGGAATAGTTGAACTCTTTTTAATTCATCAGATATTTTCCCATAAGATTGATAATTGTTATTATTTTCATCCGATTACTCTGGTTTTAGCTAAGGAGGTGGCGAGAGAGATTCATTAGCTAGATTTTAAAAGTTTGGCATCAATACGCAGAATGGAGATGGAGCCTTAGGTGATTAAAATCTGAAGAGACTGATTTCCTTTGATTATTAATTCTTTTATTTTTCTGGATTTGTTAAATGTTGATTTTAATGATTAATTTATTATAGAGCTTTTCTCAAATCATCGATAAAATAATTCACATTGGTCTCATATCTAAAATGTTACAATGTAGCATAAATGGATCCTGATTTTGAATTTTTGTGTTCTTAAATGATAGTAATTTCTGAGTTTTTGAAATTTTATTTAAGTAATTCATTTAATTTAGTATCTGCATAAAGTTGCAAAGGCTTTAAAGAGACTTATTCTTTTTTGATTTCTTTATTATAAATATCTGTACACATTCTTATAACCACTTAATCTTTTTGACTCCACAAATGATTGATAATACCATATTATTCAGGTGTAAAGTTGTAATTATTAATTTCCATAATGAATTTTTTAATATCTCCCACAAACTCCGAAATATTATTATTTGCTGGTTATTTAGTCTATTTTAAATTTTAAAATGGTGAAGCAGGTCGTTATTGATTCGTAGATCTTTCAATTATGTTATTCAATCTTTCAGATAATCCTTATACATCAATTGTTCTTTGAAAATACTACAACAAAATAGCAATAATCTCCTTATTCTCCTCAATCAGAAGTCTTTTGACTAATCTGGCCATTGTCACATCTAGTAATTCCTTGTCTTCCAATTCAGTAACAACTCTAAACAACAGATCTTACTAATTTATTATTGATTCATAGGGATTTGATTGAGTATATGAAACTTGACCTTCAGGTATATCGCTCCCTCTTGATGCTTCACGTTAAATAACCTATGCTTATACTCTAGTACTATATCGAGAACCAATTAATTTAGAATTGTAGGAAACCTAATTGCTTTGAATTTAGGATTCTTCAACCAACTTTCTTATAGATTTGCTTCTTCTCTTTTCTTGTGACTATTATGAAGTCAATTAAGATTAATTTCTGATGTTTGAATTCCTTGCACTATGTCCCAAGATTTTAGTCTAAACAAGTTTTTAGAGTATTTCATCTATTTACTTCACTTTTTTATCATTATTCAATTGAATTGATACAATTCTTTTTATTCCTTTGTACACCTATAAAGTCTTGCTTTGAATATTATATTCTCTGTTTTAATCATACAATCTATTGTTGAAACAATAATAAAAATTAATCCAAGTATTTAGGTTGTTAATTATAGGCTCCAAAGCAATTAGAAAATCAAATCCTTATCCATCATTTTCATCAATCATATAAATGCAAGTGTATTGATCATCGCTCAGCATATTCTAAAACTCTTCCATATCATAAATAAAATCAATAAAATGAAGCTTATTGTTATAATCTGAAGTTACACTATATTTCTAAGATGTTTGATATAACTTATTATCTGTCATATGTTAGTCATCATCACTTACTAATGTGAAATTTTTGCACCTTGTTTAATTCAATTATTAGACAAATTATACTAAATCAAAATAATTGCCTACGCTTTAATTATTTAAGATTTACCATCTGAATCAATCAATCCAATAACTTTATTCTTTATACTAAATAATTGTCCTAATAATATTTATAAAGACTAAACATTTATTCTTCTATCCAAATTCATTTATTTTACTCTGCCCTAATATCTGATTGTCAGTAACATATATATTAATATTTATTTTTATTTATTAATCCCAAGAAATAAATATATCATAACAATTTTAATGCTACTAAGTTCATTTATACTAATTAATATAAGAGAAATCTTTGATATTACAATTAATTATAAATATAACATAAAAAAGTATTGCGATCATTAGTCTTTGCGTAATTTCAGTGATATTAAATACTCTTTAAACTCTCCAAACTAGATTGGCTTTGTTTTTTGAATGACTTTTCTATGGCCTTAGTAAGATGAATTAACTTCAGTTTGATGTTCTCATCATTTAACTTAGTAATTACAATTATATATACTTTTTAAATTAAACACTCCATCGATGATCTGATTTACCCTTACAACGTTTCCTTCTCTTACTAAATTGTCGAGATCATCTTGTTATATTTAAGGATTTTTGTAAAGTTTGCTTTTGTTGTGTTCAATATTAATTCTAAATAGTTGTTATTTATTTAACGAGATGTAACTATTTCTTCAAAATTAGCAGTCACTTAACAAGCAGTTTTAGCTATCTAATTGACTAGTTTCTATTGTAATTTATCAAAAACAATAGAGATGTCATTATTATCTATTTATTGTGAAGCTAAAAGACTTTATTGAACTTAGCCACTCATGTTAAAGTACTTTCTTTGATGATTTAGTTAAGTGAGTATTTTATTATATATAAAATTAAATTGTTATGATGTTAGCATCTTATCTATAATATTATCTTAATGAAACAAAAGTTTGAATTGCATTTAATATATTTCTTTTGTTTATTAAAGTTCTCTCTTTAAGATTTTAATTTCTTTTAGAATTGCTTGAAACTTTAATTTTATTCTATCAAAACAAAATGATTGAAGTTTTTTATTTTTTTGATAAAAGTCTTTGGAACTAGTATTTGATAGAATTTTCATATTTTCAATTTGAAGAATATAGTTTTTTTTCTAGTATTTTATCATTTGATCTTATAGTTATTAGTTTAGAATGCCTTCAACTTCTTTATTGAGACATTTGGATTCAATAAATTTTGTAATGATGTCCAAAGCTGTCTGATAATCGAGTTTATCATATTTTTATATTGTAAAATTTATCAGTTAATTTTCACTTAACTTTTAAACATTGAAAATCAATTATTATTCAATTTCATATAATATTTCTTAATGTTCATCTTCAGCAGATAAAATAGATTCTTAAGGAGCATTTTCCTAAACCAATTATTATTAGAGTTGCTAAATCATAGCATTTAATTTATCTATTTCGGAAGTGAATTTCAAACACTAAAATAATTTGAATGTCATACATCATTTTCTGCTGCCCATAATATTGCAATCATTTGCCTAACAGATAAATCTGTGTCTTTCATACTATCAATGATTGTTGCATAATCTTGCTTCAAGATTTATAAATGAGGGTCCTGGCCTAATTTTTGTATTAATTGATCATAATTATTCATATAAATAATAGTAATAAATGTTAGACATTACAAATATTCAAAAACATAAGAATTTTCAGTTGCTTAAATAGGTAGTATTAGAATTCGGGTTTTGAATGATAGTATTGAAACATAGAATTTACCAATTTTATAGTAGGATACTTTTTGATTATTCTCTTGTTTATTTATTAAGTATTTCACTTTTTCAGTTTTTACAAATCTTATTAAGCAATATCATCCCAAGTCAGATGTAGAAGTAATATAATGAGTCAGATTATTAAAGATTTGTCTACTTTAAATCAATATTAAATCAAGACTTGTTCTTTGTAATTTCAATGTTAATTTTGTTTAATCTGTAAATATGATCGGCAGGTCTCAATATATTTATTGATTAATTGTTAATCTATTGATATTTCTAATTTGAATATATATTATTTTGTTTATGGTTAGAGATCATAGGGAGTTTATAATACTATACTAATGTAGGAATGGATTGTGAATTATTGATATTTGCTGATTACTCAATAAGCTGATCATGACGTTCATATATGAGGATATTTATATTAAATAGTTAATTAAAATCATTCAAGAGTGTCAAAGAATTCTTAAATTGTGTTTTGTCGACGAGGTTTCCTTATTGGGATTTGAAACCAATCTTTGCCATATAGGTTCTCAACATAATCAGTAAATGTTACTAACTGATACAATTTGTTTTCTTTATTTTTTTTTGATTGTTTTTTAATATGTGCATCATCATTATTATTGAAGAAATCATCAAGATCATTCTTAACTTCTATCTTTAAGGTTGGTTGAGATTGAAAATTTTCATGTCTTCTGAAACGAAAGGTTTTATGAGGCTTTTATGTATCCTATGCACTTTCAAAATCATCTATTTTAGAGAGCATTTTCTTTAAATTGAATTCAGATGGTCTTTGTGTTTTAAGGATATTCTGACTCTCCATTAGGTTGTCTATGCTATCATATTTCATTGGAGATTAATTCAGAAATTGCCTTGATTTGTCAGGCGACTTCAACGGAGATTAAAATAAGGTTTCTTAATCATAATCTGAAGTAAACAAATTTTTGGTTAGATAGGATAGATTTGTTTTCCTATTAATCATGCCAAATTTATATATTAATTATCGATTTCAGAATTTACTGTACTCATAATTAAATTTATTCATATAAAAGAGATATCAATCTTGGCCACTTGACAATGTAGCTTCAATAGCTTGAGTATTATTTGATTAGTATAGTGTTTTCTATTCTTAAATCAATCGTTAGATATTTAGATCTCGTCTCCTGTGATTCAATTTAAATTGATAATGTTATTCCATAGGAATTCTATTGAATTAGAGATTTTATTCTTATTATCGAATTTTTGAGTAATGCCAACTCTTTTATAAATTTCGAACTTCTTCAAAATACTTCCTATTTTGTTCTAATAATGGTTAATGCTATGATTAATATGGAGATACTTGCGGTTTATTATGGAGCAATCCACAAAGCTTAGCATGTTTGATGATTTGATTCATCTCAGCAGCAGAGTATATCTTGGTGGAATTCATTTCTGATAGTTTTCTATTCACACTATATGAACTATTTCTGCTTTGGAAACTTTCATCATTGCATTTCATAGATTGAGATCTCTGTTTCGAAACTCTGTCTATGTGATCCAAATAACCAGGAGTTATATGGTTATCCATTGGTTGAGCTTCTGAGACTTTGAGACTATTCATCATTATGATTATAATACTTTGAAATTCCCAACAGATCCCTATATTTTCGAATGTATTATTGTTTCCACTTTAATTTATTAGGATTCTCTAAATTCATTAATTATTAATATTATCATATTTAGTATTTCCTTATATTTTTATATAAATATAATTAACAAAATAGAAGCACTAATAAAATCCTGAAAATTATTGTAATATATAGATACAAAAATACATGACCACTCCTGTATGTTTAATATTAATTAGCTTAGATAGAAGTTTAATATTGAAGATTGTTCAGAATCAGAAAAGGAAGAAACCCAAAAGAAATCATTCGGAAATCAACCCTTATTTTAAACATCTTTATTTGAAACTACACATACAAAACAATTAAAAAAGAAACCTTTAGCCAAACTCACTCTCCAAGATTTCTTAACAAATTATGATCAAAATTTTGATGATGTTTTTGGGGAATAAGAACTCCAACAACCTAAAGAACAGATAAGTAAAAAGAAGAAGAAGAAACCTGCATAAGAGAAAAAACAAAAATCTGATTCTGAATCTGAATTCAAATCTATACCTAAAAAGTAAAAGATTATAGATTCTGAATAATCAAACGAAAAACAAATTGAATATACTCTTGTAAAAGAACAAACATCAAAGAATTAGAAAAAACACAGATTAACAAAAATTAATAGCAGTAAATTAACATCTGAAGAGAAATCCAATGAAGTCAAAAGATATGATCCAAATTCTATTGATCTACCAGAAAACACTAAGGCTATTAAGAAGAATTACAAATTAAGGAAATTTCTATTTAGCTTCGGTTTGGAACAATACAATCCTGAAGATGATTAGGAATAAGAAGAAGAAAAGGAGGAATAAGTTGAGGAATAAAAAGAGAGTGCTAAAGAATTGAAAAATAAGAACAATAAAAAGAAAAATAATAATAATACAAATGATAATAATGATAATTAAATAGAATAATTGGATATTGAATAAATCGAAAATAAAAAAAGGAGAAAACAACCTGAGAAGAAGAATAGTAAGTTAAAAGAAATTGAAAAATAGAAAGAATAAAAATAACCAGAAGTAGATCTTAAGACTATGCTTAATCTTGATACTTTGAAATTGAATGTCTACATTCCAGAATGCAATCCTAAAGATAATGTTGATGATATTAATTAATGATTATACATATTATCTTATCATTTTTATTATAAATGGTGATGCCATTTGGTTTTCTCAGATAGAATGCCTGGATTTGTAACATTTCCAAATTTCCCAAAATTACCATAAACATTGTGAGCTGTGCTTAGAAAGTGTCGTTTCACATTGAAACTAAATTAATTCTCATTGAATACTGTCTTTCTCCTAATTCTACTTGAGATGCATTTTTAGTGAGTATAGGAGCATCAGGTTCAGGTAATCTGGATCTGAATGAACCTGTATGATAGGGTTCCAATAATTTATTAGTTGAACCAACATGTAAATAAGGTTTGACTTTATAATCATCACTTATATAAAAATTGAATGGATTACGCATAAGTTGATGTTGTGTATGTAGATTTTGTTTCGTGTTCGGCTGGAGTCTTGTTTGCAATTTCATAGAATGGAACAGCCTTTTGATATTACTGTTATTACTTCTGGGTTTCCTTGTTTCATTCTCACATAAGAACATGAACTAACTTTTGTGCTTTTGAAAAAGGCTGCTGATTTATCTAACTTCAAGGATGGATGGAGTACCATTCTGCCACTATTAATCGATTGTTTAGTCTCGGACGGTTGTGACATTATATTAATTATTTATTTTATTTAATGAGATCTAATCATTAATACAATTATAATTATAAATTAGACTAAATATTTTCCAGAGAAAAGTAATCAATCATTTATACATTCATTAGGTCTTATGATCTCCATTTGAAAAAATTGAGTGAAATTAAAAGCAAAAAATCTCATTCGTAATCAAGAGTCTAACATATAGAAATCTTAGAAAAAAGAAATAATATCAGACAATAAAGAAGGCGTTTTGATCTCAGTGGTATGTTTTCATGAAGATTTTATTAAATTTAGAACAATCAGAACGAATCAATAAAGGAAACAGTTAATTATATTAAAAAATAACAGAAATCTGCAATAGGCCTATGTAATAAGATTACTATAAATACGAAGATGAAAATCTACATCATCCTCATAATTTAAATTTAACTTTTCGCAAAATACAAGCCTAATAAATTTAACATGAAAACATTAAATTAGCTGATCGACTCATGAAACAGGAACCTGTCCTAAAAATGGACGAATATTCTCATTAATATAAGGAAAACAAAAGGTTGATGCAAAGACTTTAAAGATATCAATAATGTCAACAATATGTTAATTCAATTAGGTAATCTTCTATCTATTTTAGAAATAATTTGACTCTATCTAATCGTGATACAACAAATAATAGTTCAATATCCTAGAAGAAGAAGGATAAATTGTAGTTATAACCAATACTCAAGTAAATAAACATATTTAAATCCTAGTGTCAAAAATAAATCAATTGATGTAACAGAGTTAGAAAAAATCAATTATTTAATAAATCATGAAGACGAAGCAACTTTAAAGGAACTTCTATAATTATAAGAAAAGTAATAATAATAAGATGAAAAGAATTAGACAAAGTAAGAATTGCCTGAAATTCCTCAACTTAATGAGGAATCCTAAATTGAAACTATTAGACAAGATGAAATAGTAGAAAACCAAATCTAATAATAGATAGATAATGAAGTCAAACAATAAAGTGATGATATTGATTAATAATGAATTATTTTGTTTTCTTAACAGTTTTACATAATAATAATATTAAATTTTATTTATTTATTAATATCAATTTAACAGTCATATGAAAAGTAAAGATTAAGTTCTCAAATAAGTATATGAAAGTATTATATCATTATATCTAGATGACAATAAAACATTTGGTAAAAAAAATAAGCCAAGAAATGAAGAACCAAATATGTTTGACATTATGAAATGGCCTCTACAATAGGATGAACCTTGGGATTTTAAAAAGAAAATTTAAGTGGAAAGAGAGCCGGAAACCAAAAAGGTAACTGCAAGAATTAATCATGAAAATTAACATTGGCAGACTGAAAATAAAGATAATTTTAGAAAAATTGAAAAATTAAAAGTTGATGATTCTTAAATTTACGTTTAAAGTAAGTGTAATTTTCATAAAATTTCTAGAATTAGATGATAAAACTATCAAAAATATAGCCAAATCATGCGAATGTTAAAATAACAAAATATAATAAACAAATTAACTTTAATAATATTAATAATAAGAAGATTTAGATGAAAAATATAAATTACCTTTGAAATGGAATCCAAAATAATAATCTGCATATAGAGATAACTATTAGGTGAAAGATATAAAGGATTAAAATGAACTTATGTATTAATTGGAATAAAACAATCAGAATTTTAAAGGATAATACAAAGCATAGCATCCATAAGGAGGATTTTATTATGAAGAATCGAAAAAAGAAGAAGAAGAAGTAGTAAGTTCTGAAGAAGAAGAAGAAGAAATTAATGATTAATAGAACGATGACTAAGTGAAAAAGATGACAACCAAATTCATCAAGAAGGCGAAGACTTTAGATCCAAATAATCCTGAAGATGCTGAAAAATTGAAAAGAAGAAAGGAGAGAATTAAGAAGTTTTAGGGTGAAACAAGATGGATAGCAGATTCAGCATTCACAACATATTTTGGTAAGCCTGCATGGGGTCCATACGGATATAATAATGTGAATCCTGCAGTTGGAGGAATAATATATGGACAACATCTCTTATCACACAATGTTTAACCTCATAGAAATAAGAATGATCCATATTACATTTAGACTTATCAGAATGCATTAAGGAAAGGAGCTGCTGTTGCTAATGTAGAACCAGAACCTCCTAGAAATTGTAGAGAAGAGGATAGATTAAATCCTGAACAAGTAGAGGCATTAAAATCAAGGAATCCTTTGACTCCATAACCTTATTAAGAATTAAAGAAGTAATTAGATTCAAAAGGTAAATAATTAATACCAGAGTTCAGCATTAAAAAACCAGATTTGGGTAACACTTTACGGTTTGCTTCGGAAGCAGGAAGTGTTTAAGGTGAATCACATCCATAGGAGAATTAGAAAAGTCATTAAAAGATAAAGAGGCCACAATCAGCCTTGGATAATAGAACTCAGAAGTCATAAAATGAAAATAAGTCAAAAGTTAGTAATGATTAGAAAACAAAAGATTCAAAAAAGAAATTGGATAAGAAAGTTTAAATACAATCTGAATCAAATTTAAAAGTTGATGATCATTTGGCTATTCCTGATAAGGCAAGCAACAAGTTTATTGAGGAATTAAAATAAAAGAAGGAAAAGGCAAACAGATTGACTTGCAAAGTCAATGAGATAAATCCTTCATTATTGAAACAATCACCTAAGTAAGAGTAGAAGAATTAAATAACTGCTGATCTCTAAGAAGTCAAATCATTTGATGATAAGTACTATTGATTTTAATTAATAGAAATCCCCCTCCAAGTTATTTGTAATCATTGGATCCAATTGAACTGAATCCTAAAAACTACAAAGGAGTTCCTTCTGACTGGTTACATAGAATTCCATTTGCAGGTAAGAAACAAGATATCATAAAGAATGGATAATAAACTAAAGAATGTTTTGATTATGGTTTTTGATTATATAATGGTATCTATTTAATAAGTTTGGTATCTTATATTATCAACAATCCTTTTATATGATGACTTCACCTCCAAGACCTCAGCCAGTAATGCCAGGAAATTATCCCACAATCAATTATTCAGTCAAGACCACAATAAACATATCCTCCTAAACTTACTTAGGTGAATTTGAATTTATTTTATCTAGAAGGGGTATTGTTAACCATAATACTAATAACCCACTTTTCCACTTAAATAATAGCCAGTAACTTTGCCATAGCAACCTCAAAGAGTTCAATATCAATAGCCCCCCTTTGGTTCTACATCATTACCTTATAAACCATGTGCTATTTATGCACCAAATGCACCTGCCCTACCTAAATTTATAATCCTTGATAAAAATTTGTACTTTTATTTCAGATTATTTATAGTAATGTCAATAACCAGTTTAATAATAAGTACTTCTATGAAATGTACAATAACCTTATTCTCAAACGTATAAACCTCCTTCACAATTATTCCAACCCATAGCCTTCACATTAATAGTGTTAATTAAATCCATAGTATTAGCAATAATTAATTTAAAAATCTATCTAAAATAAGGCGATTTAACCACCTAATTTAATTAATACCTCAATATACGCCTAAACAAAGACCTCCTGAATAGATTTAACTATAGTAATAAAGATCTTAATAGAATTAACAGAAAGATTAGAATTTAGAAGATAAATTTAAGATGCAATTGATAAAGCCAGGGATTCAACAGAGAAATATCAAAATCCATAATAACCATAAAAGAAGGCTCCTGATGATTAATAAGATTAATAGTTATAGAAGCTTGTCCTTTAATAAAAAGAAGGATATATTTATAAAGGCTAGGAAGATGAACCAGCAATGAAGGAATAATTTGGAGTCTTAACAGATTAAAATGGTAATGAGGTTTACATTGGCTATATTAGATAACTATTAATTTCTTATGAATAATATTCTAATTTGATTATCATTTCAACTACTAATAATTTGAAATTATTTCTAAAATGCTTATGAAAATTTTATTAATTTATAACGCAAATTATATATCAAATTTCAATTTTTTTTTTATTAATACACAGGAATGTAATGTTTTGAATGGCGATAGCTTCATTTTCCACTTCATATTCGTCAACTTTCTAAGAAGCATTATCTTGAAGAAACAACAATAATGAGTTTTTAGAAATTTTCTATCTATGTTAAGGTTTAAAAATCTTGGAATTCAAATATTCCTTTGGTGTTTCCCTCTCCTGAGGATTTGCATGCATCATCGATTTAAGCATTTCAATGATATCCTTATCAAAATTAAGATTTGGAATGTGATATTTCCCCTCCACGTTATTTTTAAGTATAGTTTATAAGTCATTTCCAAAGGGATTTTAGTTAAATAACCTTTAGAGATAAATATTCATTGATACATATGATGCAAGCATACGCCTAATTGAAATATATTGGCCAACGGCGAGATCAGGTAATCATGCTTTATATATTCAGGAGGTATAAAACCTATAGAGCTACCCTTTCTAAAAATATGATATTAATTTTTACATAGGCTTTTCTCTATTACATTCAAAGGTTGATAATTAAAAATTGCTCACAACAATTTAATTAGAGTTGAGAGAATAATTAATCATATCCAAATTAATACCATTTTGTATTATATGAAGCTCCTGGAAAATGTTTAATACTAACAATAACTTGTTAAGATACCAATTAACAATTATTCTACAATCTCAATTACAAAAGAAAGAGGTAATCCCATTTTTTACCTTCTTAAAATCTACTTTAAAGATATTAAATTTTATTTTTCGTAGATTAAAGAATAGTAATCACCATCATATTGTATTGAGACCATTTTGATAATGTAAGGACAGCTCTAAGAATTCAAAAGTTGAATTATCCTGACTTCCTCAGGTACTCTAGCTTACCATAGTTAAGTTTTAAATGTATTCGACATATCCATGTTTTGAGAATTGAAATTAGAAAAAATTCTTTTTTCAATGTACTGTTTACTATTTTTCTTATTTGTTACTAAGTTCATCTATACTAAATATTATATATACTTCATACAATGAATTGGTTTCAAGGACTGAATTCAATTTAAATATATTACTTTTGTTAAAAATGAACTTACCAGAACAAAAGTTATACAGCTCTTCTAGTTAATTCCTGGAACCTTCTATATGGTATTCTTAACTTTAGTAGGAGAGCTTAAAATAAAATTCATTCTAGCAAGTTCCTTCTAGATAATCATTCCAATCCATAATTGCACTCTCATCACTCCAATAGATAAACAGCTTAAGATCTAAATTTAATGGGTCCTAAAAATTTAAGTTAGTAAATACCAATAGTTTTAATCCTTAGGGCTCTAAAATGATGTAAATTTAAGTCTTTCTCTCCTTAGAAAAGTTTAACCCTTTAATGAGATATAGGTTATTTTGATTCATTATAATAGTTGATAAAGTTTTAGAATTTTATATTAAAAATTAATTTTCTAGTTATTTTGTGAGGCTATGAAAGAAGAAGCTGGATAGTAAAATAATATGACGGAGTAATTATTACAATTATAAAATAACAAACAAACAAAAATAAAATATTAAATTACTTATTTTATTTTTTAAAATGCTTCATAAGTTGAATCTAAACTTAGTGTTATCAGTTAAGAAGATTATGAAAAGAATTGAATAACACAGTTAATTCTATATTTTCAATAATTATATTTTAGACATTTAAAAATTTCGTAAAATTCACACTATATTGAAGACTATTTCGATTATCAATCTCAAATTTAGACAATATTTCAAGTAAATAATAAATACTACTAAAGGAATTGTGATATATTATATTAAAATTAGTATTTTAAAATAAATAAGGAATAATTTTTCTGAAATTATAGTATTGATTCAAAAAATAATTATAAAACTTAGAATTAATTCGTTTTTAATATAAATCGTTTTTTAATATTAAGTTTATTAGATATGAAATACATGATTGTTGTATTGATAGCTTTAGCAGCTACAAGTTATGCTTCAAAAACTTAAGATCAAATCTTAGCACTTTTATAAGTAAGTTGAATTAATTATCTGAATAGACTGGAACAAAAGCAAGTGATGCTATTGATACAGTGTTTGGATTGTTGAATGATTTAAAATAATCAAATATCGATGCTTAATTCGCAGCAGATTAAAAGAATGAAACAGATGAATGGGTTGGTGCTTAGTAAATATAATTAATTAATTTTTAGAACAATTGAATAATTCACTAAAATCAAAGCCTTGAATTAAAAATTATTCTAACAAGCCGTTGAAAATAGAGCTGAATACGAATAAGTCTTATAATAAACCAAAAATTATTTGGCTTGGAATGAAGCCAGAAGAGATTCAATTGCAGCTAAAATTGAAACATTATAAGATAACTAATGCTTCAGCAATTAATTATTTGTCAAATCCATTAAACACAACTAAGAAGCTCTTGAAGTTATCAAACTACTTAAATAAGATGTTGCCGGGTATATTATAAATGGAGATTCATTTGAATTTACACAAATTCAAGCTCAATCAGTTGCTGAAAAATTAAAGTAATACAGCAATTTGTTCTAAGAACATTAAATAAAATCATTCTTAGCTTTAGCTTAAGAATAATAAGTAAATTATTAAAATATTCAAGGAATAATCATCTGGAAATGGATCAACATTGGCTGAAAAAGTATTGGGTGTTCTTGAAGGATTAGAAAGTGAATTAGAAGCATCATTAGAAAATTTGAAATAAAATGAAATTAATGCATCTTGGGAATTGGCTGGATGGGTTTCATTATCTGAAGCTGAAATAACAAGTTTGGAAGTAGAATATGAAAGAAAATAAGTATTTGCTGATAGAACTGCTACTGTATATATAATATTAATGAAATTAGTAAATTCAAGCTGCTCTAGCTTAATAAGCAAAATCTAAGATTATTTTATAAGAATCATAAGATGCCTTAGATTAAGCATAAGCTGATTTGGAATCCAAGAGAGCTGATTATGAAGAAGCAAAGGCTAAAAGAAATGAAGAGAATGCCATTTTGGATGAGGTCATCATCATGTTCAAGAAATAAGTCGCTTCATGGTCTGGAAGATGATATTAATGATAGATATTCACCAAATAAATTTCACATATTCATTTCTAACATTTCAATTTTAATTTTTTCAATTACAGTTTCAATCAAAGAAACCATTTCTTATTCAGTAGTTTCTCTTTCTTTTCTATTTCGCTTCAATAATTCAGTAATTCTAAATTGCACTTCTCGTAAACTTTCAACTATGTCTTCCTCTTTGGTTTCTCTTTCTTTTCTCTCTCTATAATAATCATTAGATTTGATAATACCTATCAAATAATTCTCTTAGGTCTGATATTTACTCCATAAATTAATGGTATATTCTTTCCTCAACCTCTCTTCTTTCGTCAATTTCATTTTACAGATCATCGGCAATCTTTGGTAAATCTTCATTCAGATACATATCCACATATTTATGTGATTCCAAAAGTTCAACTCCTTATCTATTCACATCTTAGGATATGAAATCTATTTATTAACTAATTGCATAAGTTAATTTCTTCTCTTAATCGACTCTCTCCTTTTAACTAGTTTCTAATAATCTTTTTGCATGCCTTTCCAAATCGACAATCATTTTTTAAGTTTCTTATTCTTATCTCACTCGACTAATTTTCAAATTATTAGTACTTATCATTTTCACTATCTAAGAATACTTATAATTCTTTAAATTTATTTGCCAATTAACTAAATATTGCTTCTTTTTATTAAGATGCATTTCTTAAATTAGATTCAAACTGGGCTATCAATTATGCGATAATTGAAAATCTGCTATTTTTTCTATAATTAATTATTGAATTAATTAATACTCATCCTAAACTTGGTTCTATATATTGTTTAATTTCTCAAAAATCCCTGTTACTCTAGTTTATACATTGTCATTCATTTCTTTGAATTATAATATTTATTAACTATTTAACAGAATTTTTTATTAGTTTAAATTTTAATTCAAAGATGAATTAAATAATAAAAATAGTTATTAAATTTAATGAACTCAAAAAAAGAGTACTTAAAAAATGTGTTTGATTAACATATTCTCAAAGAATAAAGAAACAATAAGTATGAACCTAGTAGTAGCTTATTGTAGCCAACATTTTAAAATCTAATGCATTCCCTGCCATCTAATATTTCACTTTCCTAAATAAAATATTAAAAATATAGATCTGCATCCACAAGTTTGGAACAATCGAAACCCCTGCCAAGTCCAAGTTTTGGAGGTTAAATGACAAGATCTCAATAATTTAGAACAAATAATATTTTAGGAGATATAAAAAATAGAAAATATTGAAAAATTAAAACACCATTATTTAATACTAAAAAAATAGAAATTAACAAATAATCATGTATTTATGAATAGATGCATATCAACTATGCACTTTCTAATTCTCTTCTCATCTTCTTCAATTTTTTATCTTACTGAAAAGTCTCAACAGAAATGAGTAAGTTGAATATATATTGAAATATTAAATTAATGTAAAATATAACCATATAAAATTATCAATTTGACTTTTGGTTGTTATTGTAATAAATATGCAATAGAGAGTTAATGTTTGAATAAACTAATCGTAATTTAAGAGAAAAAATAACAATAATTAATTATAGTCATGTATATTTTAAAAAGGATAGGTTTATGATAGTTATTTATTTAAGCTTAACGATACTTTTAATGTATACCGATTTTTGTATTTATTTTATGAATTAAAGTAAAATAGAATAATTAAAATTATTAGTTTTTTTGGGGAAAGCACACTTTTAATTTATGAATATTCTCTTAAATAGGTATTTCACGAGTTTATTGCTCAAAAAATGAAGGCTTGTATTATTAGACTTTGTAATTTATCAAAGAGAATCAATAACATAAGAAAATGGATTTATTTTCGAAATATGCTGTCTCGTGGAGCATATTTTTAATAATAATTATAGATATCATTAGAACTTAAATGAAATTATGTCAAATTCTACTATTCTTGAATTGCTAACTCTTAGTGCTTACAATTCAAAACTGCAAATATTCGATTACGTTAGACCTAATGGCAAAATCAATTCTTAGAGGCCATTACAAGGATGTAGCCTCTGAATCCAATGGGGCAATGGTTTCAAGTGCAAGATAAAATCAATTTCTTGGGATCACCAACTAAAATCCTAGTCCATTAAGAGATTCAATATATGCTGTTTAAGTGAATAATGGGCATATAAATACATTTTATTTGCTTGAAGTTTCATTTGCATAAACTCATGAGATAAATTAAATAATGATCTGGTTCTACGATTTAGACAATAGAAACAGTTATTTCAATCTAACTGTCAAAAATAAAGACAACATTGAAAAAGTAGTGTTTGAAGGTTAACACGTGTAAAGAATTGTCAAAGTAAGCATTCCAGATCAAATGGTATCAAGTTTAAAATTAACATATATGTCTGGTGGCACATTTGCTGATTTAGTCATTTTCAAAATATAAGCTTATTATGCAAATAGAAGCTCAACTTGAGAACTTAACTTCAGTGATCATCAGGTTTAACATTAATACGATTTTATATTACAATTTTAGAATTTTTTTCAGTTTTTTCATTAGTAATCTTATACATTAAATAATATCCTATCTCTTTCTACTTAAATTAAATGAATGACAACTTTTTTAAAGCGATACTTCTGCAAAAAATAATTTATAAAACTCCTTAATTTTGAATAATATTAATCAAAAAGAAAGGAAATTCAATTTAATCATTGCTTCTAACAATTAAACCTTATTTAATTGAATCATAGGATTAACTCTTAAAATAAAATTTACATTTAAAATTCTACAGCTTTACGTCTCCATTCTAGATCTAATTGTGATAAAATTATTATATTTGCAAGTGATTATAAAATTAAAGGAAGAAGAAAGATGTAAGATTAATATATCCAGCTTTGCTGATGTACACTCTTAGTATCTAGAATGAAATTTAATAATTTCAGGCAAATGTTCTTATTTTACTAACGATTTTAAGTCAATTTAAATAATAACTTGAAAAAATGCCAAACCTTGAAATTAAACCAAGATCTAGATTAGTCTTTTGACTTGTAATTTACAGTTGCTGAAAGTCTAATTAAATTCATATATATATTTGAATTAAATTATCGCCTTTCCTATAGAATTTAAAATATTTTTTTGAAATCATTATTTATAATCCAAAACGCTAAATTTAAAAATTGTTGATTTTTTAAAAACTAAAAATATTTATATTTTAATTCCTCTACATAATTAAGTGATTCAATTTGAAATTGTGAATGTCAATCATTATAGCAGTTTTCCTTTTGACATATCTTATTTAATAACTTAATTTTGCTATTCAGATTTTTAAGAGGGTCCATAAAAAAAATGATCCAATATAGAGGATTGAAGTTTTGCAAAGTGTTTGATAAAGAGATAGTGTTTTTATGGAAATTAAAATATCAAAGCAATTCTAATTGACTTTTATAAAATCTAGAAAGTTAAAACTATATGCTTGAATTCAATTTATTTCAATTTTAAGTTATGTATTANTATAAATACATTTTATTTGCTTGAAGTTTCATTTGCATAAACTCATGAGATAAATTAAATAATGATCTGGTTCTACGATTTAGACAATAGAAACAGTTATTTCAATCTAACTGTCAAAAATAAAGACAACATTGAAAAAGTAGTGTTTGAAGGTTAACACGTGTAAAGAATTGTCAAAGTAAGCATTCCAGATCAAATGGTATCAAGTTTAAAATTAACATATATGTCTGGTGGCACATTTGCTGATTTAGTCATTTTCAAAATATAAGCTTATTATGCAAATAGAAGCTCAACTTGAGAACTTAACTTCAGTGATCATCAGGTTTAACATTAATACGATTTTATATTACAATTTTAGAATTTTTTTCAGTTTTTTCATTAGTAATCTTATACATTAAATAATATCCTATCTCTTTCTACTTAAATTAAATGAATGACAACTTTTTTAAAGCGATACTTCTGCAAAAAATAATTTATAAAACTCCTTAATTTTGAATAATATTAATCAAAAAGAAAGGAAATTCAATTTAATCATTGCTTCTAACAATTAAACCTTATTTAATTGAATCATAGGATTAACTCTTAAAATAAAATTTACATTTAAAATTCTACAGCTTTACGTCTCCATTCTAGATCTAATTGTGATAAAATTATTATATTTGCAAGTGATTATAAAATTAAAGGAAGAAGAAAGATGTAAGATTAATATATCCAGCTTTGCTGATGTACACTCTTAGTATCTAGAATGAAATTTAATAATTTCAGGCAAATGTTCTTATTTTACTAACGATTTTAAGTCAATTTAAATAATAACTTGAAAAAATGCCAAACCTTGAAATTAAACCAAGATCTAGATTAGTCTTTTGACTTGTAATTTACAGTTGCTGAAAGTCTAATTAAATTCATATATATATTTGAATTAAATTATCGCCTTTCCTATAGAATTTAAAATATTTTTTTGAAATCATTATTTATAATCCAAAACGCTAAATTTAAAAATTGTTGATTTTTTAAAAACTAAAAATATTTATATTTTAATTCCTCTACATAATTAAGTGATTCAATTTGAAATTGTGAATGTCAATCATTATAGCAGTTTTCCTTTTGACATATCTTATTTAATAACTTAATTTTGCTATTCAGATTTTTAAGAGGGTCCATAAAAAAAATGATCCAATATAGAGGATTGAAGTTTTGCAAAGTGTTTGATAAAGAGATAGTGTTTTTATGGAAATTAAAATATCAAAGCAATTCTAATTGACTTTTATAAAATCTAGAAAGTTAAAACTATATGCTTGAATTCAATTTATTTCAATTTTAAGTTATGTATAAAAATGCAGATTGAGTATCAAAAAGAAGATATAAAAAAAAAAATAGTAATAAATATCTCTTCTCAATATTAGATTATCTCAAATAAGATTTTTAACAGATATTAGAGAGGGATCATATTTGTAATGAATCTTGTCTCGATTATGGAGAGCTTCAAAATTGGTAAGTGAGGTTGTTTCGAATTCCCTTAACATATGTCAATACAACAAAATCCTAATAATTATGATTCTTTATGGTGAAAAGGTGACAATAATAGATAATTAATAAGTGTATGTTTAATCACTTATTATTTCTATTGTATCAATATCTGATATAGTGCTCTATTCAAAGAAATTAATTTATATAATTAAGAAGTCTTAGAGGAAATTTAAATTTGAAAGAGAAAGAATTATATAATTAAGAAATGATTCGCAACAAAATGTATTTAATCGAATAACTATTTGCATTTGGGTTGATATTCGATTTTCTCTTTAAATGTAGTAACATATGGTTCACTATTAAAATAGATAGAATTTCCCTTTTATATATATATAACCACTAAGGTATAGGCAGGTGAACTATAAACTGGCAAAACCAAATTGCTTTATAATTTTCATTAATGTATAATAATTTACCCAAAAGGAACACTTAGGAAATATAAGGGTAATAATTATTGTTCATTTTTAAGAAGAAAGGTCCTCTCAATTAATTATGAGCTTTCAGGAAGTTACAATGCTCCAAATATTAGATAATATTGGCAATAATATAATGTAACGCTTGTATCTATTTCTTTATATTAGAACAATAATTTTGAGATAATAAGCATGGTTGTTTCAGGAAATTGCCACCTACACAATATTAAGAAAGCAACGAATTGAAATGTGATAAATTAAAATTTAATGTCCCAATTTGTTTTCGAAAGAATTTCTAAAATTAAAAGAAATTATGAAAAGGAAAAAGTAAAAATCTGGCTTTCAAATAATTAGAGTTGGTTACGTTAGTGAGGATGACTATAGAAGCCAATAATGCTGCAGCTTTTGGTTAATTGAAAACATTCAACATAAAAATCCAGAATTTTTCCTGCTTAGCTTCAATTATCTTCTGGCGTTCGACTACTATTCTAAAATAATAAGAATGTCATCCAATAGATGAATCTTTACTAAACTTCTAATAAAAAGGGAACTAATTAAGGGCTTCCAGATTGATGGCATCACATAATTGCTTTCTATAATTGACAATTCTCTACCAATTACATGATACTCAAGAACAGCATGGAACAAGATATAGAAATTGAGGAAAGTTTTCCTGATCCTTTTACCAACTCCAAAGTGTAATACTGCAAGCTGGTCTTATAGTGCTTATATGGACACCTCAGCACTTAAAGTTCAAAGCAAAGACAACAAAAAAAGGAGCTGTGATATCGATAACCTGTACGTTCCTTAAGGTGCCTCTTTCATTCCTTATTTCTGAATTATTCCCTTTATCTTTGGCTGTTTTATGTTTAACTTTGTTTTCAAAACCTATTGTTTTTCTAAAAGTTTCAGAATAACTACCTATTTACAAATAATTTAAATTTGGTTGCAAAGAGTCCTTAGTATAAGTATTCAAAAAATCACTTAAATGTGGTAGAAATTATGACTACATAACCCTTAAATATGAGAATGATTATTTGTTTATATTTCACCCATATTGAAATTCTATTCATTATTATTACGCAATTCGATCTAAAGGGAAGCAAAGTCCTTAACTAGAGAAAATATAAAATTGATTTGAGTTCATCTCCAACCTGATCCAATTTAGGAACATGATCTTAGATGGACTTAACTTCATTCTTTATTTTATGTTTGTTAATTTATATATAGAACCTTTTCTAAAGTTTATTAGGTTTTTGGAAAATTCTAAAATTTACAATTACTACTTTCAAAGCCTTCCTTTTCCATTCACTCTAATCCCTTAAAATTAAGAATAGCCATAAATTACTTATTAATCATGCAAACATATATTTGAAATTTTAGTCTGGAGATAAAATATTTTTCTTTCATTGGTAAGTATATTTCATCTATTCTATCACAATATCCTCTAGTACTCTTATTTCTTTCCTACAAGTTCAATTCTATTCTAGACTTAAAGCATCCATGATTACCCAAATTTCATCAAAAAAAAATACCTATTTTATTAGCAAGCTATTGACCTTTCTAACATCTTCTACTGCTCCTATAAAAACAACCGAAATGTTCTTCNTAAGTGAGGTTGTTTCGAATTCCCTTAACATATGTCAATACAACAAAATCCTAATAATTATGATTCTTTATGGTGAAAAGGTGACAATAATAGATAATTAATAAGTGTATGTTTAATCACTTATTATTTCTATTGTATCAATATCTGATATAGTGCTCTATTCAAAGAAATTAATTTATATAATTAAGAAGTCTTAGAGGAAATTTAAATTTGAAAGAGAAAGAATTATATAATTAAGAAATGATTCGCAACAAAATGTATTTAATCGAATAACTATTTGCATTTGGGTTGATATTCGATTTTCTCTTTAAATGTAGTAACATATGGTTCACTATTAAAATAGATAGAATTTCCCTTTTATATATATATAACCACTAAGGTATAGGCAGGTGAACTATAAACTGGCAAAACCAAATTGCTTTATAATTTTCATTAATGTATAATAATTTACCCAAAAGGAACACTTAGGAAATATAAGGGTAATAATTATTGTTCATTTTTAAGAAGAAAGGTCCTCTCAATTAATTATGAGCTTTCAGGAAGTTACAATGCTCCAAATATTAGATAATATTGGCAATAATATAATGTAACGCTTGTATCTATTTCTTTATATTAGAACAATAATTTTGAGATAATAAGCATGGTTGTTTCAGGAAATTGCCACCTACACAATATTAAGAAAGCAACGAATTGAAATGTGATAAATTAAAATTTAATGTCCCAATTTGTTTTCGAAAGAATTTCTAAAATTAAAAGAAATTATGAAAAGGAAAAAGTAAAAATCTGGCTTTCAAATAATTAGAGTTGGTTACGTTAGTGAGGATGACTATAGAAGCCAATAATGCTGCAGCTTTTGGTTAATTGAAAACATTCAACATAAAAATCCAGAATTTTTCCTGCTTAGCTTCAATTATCTTCTGGCGTTCGACTACTATTCTAAAATAATAAGAATGTCATCCAATAGATGAATCTTTACTAAACTTCTAATAAAAAGGGAACTAATTAAGGGCTTCCAGATTGATGGCATCACATAATTGCTTTCTATAATTGACAATTCTCTACCAATTACATGATACTCAAGAACAGCATGGAACAAGATATAGAAATTGAGGAAAGTTTTCCTGATCCTTTTACCAACTCCAAAGTGTAATACTGCAAGCTGGTCTTATAGTGCTTATATGGACACCTCAGCACTTAAAGTTCAAAGCAAAGACAACAAAAAAAGGAGCTGTGATATCGATAACCTGTACGTTCCTTAAGGTGCCTCTTTCATTCCTTATTTCTGAATTATTCCCTTTATCTTTGGCTGTTTTATGTTTAACTTTGTTTTCAAAACCTATTGTTTTTCTAAAAGTTTCAGAATAACTACCTATTTACAAATAATTTAAATTTGGTTGCAAAGAGTCCTTAGTATAAGTATTCAAAAAATCACTTAAATGTGGTAGAAATTATGACTACATAACCCTTAAATATGAGAATGATTATTTGTTTATATTTCACCCATATTGAAATTCTATTCATTATTATTACGCAATTCGATCTAAAGGGAAGCAAAGTCCTTAACTAGAGAAAATATAAAATTGATTTGAGTTCATCTCCAACCTGATCCAATTTAGGAACATGATCTTAGATGGACTTAACTTCATTCTTTATTTTATGTTTGTTAATTTATATATAGAACCTTTTCTAAAGTTTATTAGGTTTTTGGAAAATTCTAAAATTTACAATTACTACTTTCAAAGCCTTCCTTTTCCATTCACTCTAATCCCTTAAAATTAAGAATAGCCATAAATTACTTATTAATCATGCAAACATATATTTGAAATTTTAGTCTGGAGATAAAATATTTTTCTTTCATTGGTAAGTATATTTCATCTATTCTATCACAATATCCTCTAGTACTCTTATTTCTTTCCTACAAGTTCAATTCTATTCTAGACTTAAAGCATCCATGATTACCCAAATTTCATCAAAAAAAAATACCTATTTTATTAGCAAGCTATTGACCTTTCTAACATCTTCTACTGCTCCTATAAAAACAACCGAAATGTTCTTCTCCATAGATTAGGCGTGAATTTTACATATATCCTTTATTTTTTTCATTCTATAATTGGACTAACTATTAAATTTTGCAAGCTATTTTTATATAAAGTTTTCTTTTTCTAGAATTCTTTGCAGATTCCCCATTATTGCTAATTGTAACTAAGCATTGATTTGAAATTTCGTTCTAAAGGGTTGTGATCTCTTTCTTTCTAATTGTTATTGACTTTTAAATCTTGGAGCTATTGAAGGTGATACTGAGTTGTTATTCGATTTTTGCTTCTCTAATAATCAAAAAATAATATAAAATCATATTATTTGTTTATTCAATAATTTTAGAAGAAAATTAAAAATAGAAAGTTTTAGATTGATTAAGAAGGTGAGAAATTTTGAATCCAAAATTGAAATAATAATGTACTAAAGGAGATACATTCCAAAATTAAGTTTGAGCAAATTAATCTAATAATATTTTTTCATATTATCACTTATTTCCATTCTTGAAGGATTCTATTTTTAGTTGTTTTTTTTGCTCTTAGAGCTAGAATTTGTCATTGGGATTATCTAAATTTCTGCATTATTGATTATCGCAGATTAGAATTTATAAGGAAATTAATATGTTATGAAATAACGGGAAACCTAACTTAGACCCTCTTGTTTTTAATTGAAGGTAGACTCAAAATTCTGTAGTCTAGATTTATAAGTGAGAAATAAATTAGATTTGGATATGAAAGAAATTTAAAGTTCTCTATAATTTTTTCTGTGGAGTTTTTCAATTTGGCATGGATCAAATCCAAATTTATTTAAATAGATTGAACCTCTATCAGCCTTAAATCCTAAAATAAATGATGAAAAGAGAAAATCTAAATAAGTAATTCTAATGGTGGTAATCTAGTCTCAAAAAGTACAAATAAAAGAAACCAACTTCACAACTCCAGTTTGAGACAAATGGAATCTATCACTTTAACTATCACACAAACTATCAATTCATAGAACATAGAATAGAAAAGCAAAAATGATTCGATCAGACATATTTCTTATTCAGAGTTTTTCAGGAAGATAACCAATACTGTAAAAGATTGTGAAGAATCAATTAAAAATTGTATAGAGTATTAAAATAGAATCCTCCATGCAACAATTGAATTTAATCATATTGAGCCGTTCAATCTCCTCTATTAAACTTATGAATGCTTATCTTGAAAGCATTTGAAAAAACTAACCTTTCCTTATCAATGAATCAAATCACTTTACTCCTTATACACTTTTAATCAATTCTTCTATTCTTCTGTTCAACACTTAGGAATTTTTTTTAAAAATTACAATACAAAAAACTTCACTTCTTTTATTTCAGATAAAATGTGGCGAAAACTCTCAAGGATCAACACATTCAATTTAATCTCTTCTATTAAACATGCAAATGCATTATCTTGAAAGCATATGAATAAATTATCTTAGCTTGTTCTTATCAATGAATCAAATCATCTTCCACTCCTTGTTCACTTTTTATCAATCTGCCTATTTTTCTGCCTGAGCAGAGTTTCAATACTTAGAAAATTTTTAAAATAATTGCGTTCAAAACCTCAATAAAAGGTATGATAAAATCTAATTGGCTTGAAATACATACATTATTTAACAGCTAAAAAAGAACCTTTAGATTTAAAACAAAAAAATGATTGTTTTTTTCATCAAGCAAATTAGAACTCAAAAATGCACATTCTATTCTCATTGCTTTCAACTAATATAATGAAATAATAATTCTAAAAAAATAGAAAATATACATCATAAAGACTAAAATCTACAAAAATGTAATTTGATAAAAGAAATTAATTACATTATTTGATTTTCAGATTTTGACTAGGAATCCTTCTTCCGAAGCATCTAATTCTAAGATTTGTTTGACTATTCTTAAATATTTAAAGAGTTTTTTCAAATCAACTATTTACTAAAAAATATTATTCAATCGAATATTATCATTTCATATATATAAATATAGTCTTAATTCTGATTAAGGCCTTAAATAAATAAGAAGAATTAATATTTATATTAAAGTCCTTTTAAGCTTTTACAGCATATTTCGTATTAACATAAAAATGATTCATTTATTTTTTGATTAATTTTGTAAAAGTCCCTTAAGAACTTTATTTTTTAGAACTTAAAAAATTCGAATTTGAATAATAAGAACAGAAATGGATGAAAGAAATTAATCAATTTAAAATAAGAGAATAGAAATTTAATGATTAAAGTCAGAATACCCCAGATAAATCGAAAGAATATATCCTAGAATTTTTTAGTTCTTGGAGCCTTAAAGTCATAATAGAATAGTTTTTTTTTATATTCCTTTCAAATAGCTTAGAGGATCAATACATGATCTATTTTCGAAATAACTTGTTGACCTAGATTTGGGCTATATTATAGTTGAAATCACCGCACAATATGAGGAATTGATTTATCATTTAATTCATTATATATAATATAATTTCATTAATCCATTTTTTATTTTCTAAATATTATTAAAAAAACATTAATGATGATTAAATCTATAAGATAGTTAACAACTGTTATTACCAAAATAACCAAGGTTTTTATATTAATAAATAAATTTAACGTATATCTAAGGAGTTAAAATCTCTATGGATGGCGGTAAATATGCCCCCAGAATGTGTAGAACCAGTTCTTATATCATAAAATCTATAAATAATTAAATCGTTAGTATTTCTTTCATCTGATATGCATATTCATGAAGGTTGTATTATTTTATGAAAGAAGTTTCAGTTCTATAAGAACTTATTTTATAAGTTATAAAATAAATTTAAATTTCTTTATGTGTTGTTATTCTTGGAGGGTTAAAATTTATATTTGATATCAATGGTTTCATATTTCCCTAATTTTAAAATCTTCCTTTCTTCTCTTATTTATCATTTATCTTCCATTATTGATAGGTTTAAAAGGAACTGTATGGTGCATTTTTTAGCTGTTCCTCCTAGGAATCTGAGNGTTCAAAACCTCAATAAAAGGTATGATAAAATCTAATTGGCTTGAAATACATACATTATTTAACAGCTAAAAAAGAACCTTTAGATTTAAAACAAAAAAATGATTGTTTTTTTCATCAAGCAAATTAGAACTCAAAAATGCACATTCTATTCTCATTGCTTTCAACTAATATAATGAAATAATAATTCTAAAAAAATAGAAAATATACATCATAAAGACTAAAATCTACAAAAATGTAATTTGATAAAAGAAATTAATTACATTATTTGATTTTCAGATTTTGACTAGGAATCCTTCTTCCGAAGCATCTAATTCTAAGATTTGTTTGACTATTCTTAAATATTTAAAGAGTTTTTTCAAATCAACTATTTACTAAAAAATATTATTCAATCGAATATTATCATTTCATATATATAAATATAGTCTTAATTCTGATTAAGGCCTTAAATAAATAAGAAGAATTAATATTTATATTAAAGTCCTTTTAAGCTTTTACAGCATATTTCGTATTAACATAAAAATGATTCATTTATTTTTTGATTAATTTTGTAAAAGTCCCTTAAGAACTTTATTTTTTAGAACTTAAAAAATTCGAATTTGAATAATAAGAACAGAAATGGATGAAAGAAATTAATCAATTTAAAATAAGAGAATAGAAATTTAATGATTAAAGTCAGAATACCCCAGATAAATCGAAAGAATATATCCTAGAATTTTTTAGTTCTTGGAGCCTTAAAGTCATAATAGAATAGTTTTTTTTTATATTCCTTTCAAATAGCTTAGAGGATCAATACATGATCTATTTTCGAAATAACTTGTTGACCTAGATTTGGGCTATATTATAGTTGAAATCACCGCACAATATGAGGAATTGATTTATCATTTAATTCATTATATATAATATAATTTCATTAATCCATTTTTTATTTTCTAAATATTATTAAAAAAACATTAATGATGATTAAATCTATAAGATAGTTAACAACTGTTATTACCAAAATAACCAAGGTTTTTATATTAATAAATAAATTTAACGTATATCTAAGGAGTTAAAATCTCTATGGATGGCGGTAAATATGCCCCCAGAATGTGTAGAACCAGTTCTTATATCATAAAATCTATAAATAATTAAATCGTTAGTATTTCTTTCATCTGATATGCATATTCATGAAGGTTGTATTATTTTATGAAAGAAGTTTCAGTTCTATAAGAACTTATTTTATAAGTTATAAAATAAATTTAAATTTCTTTATGTGTTGTTATTCTTGGAGGGTTAAAATTTATATTTGATATCAATGGTTTCATATTTCCCTAATTTTAAAATCTTCCTTTCTTCTCTTATTTATCATTTATCTTCCATTATTGATAGGTTTAAAAGGAACTGTATGGTGCATTTTTTAGCTGTTCCTCCTAGGAATCTGAGCTATATTCATCATTTTATTTTTATTTGTTGATTATTAATTCAACTTATCATTGTTTGAATATTTCAACTATGATTATATTTAAACATTTTAATGATTTTTAAAGAGGCTTGCCTTATTGAAATTCTAGGATTTTTTTTTTTAATCCTTCTTTAAGGTTTTAGTCTTTTATTTTTATTTCAGTAGAAAATTATTGGTATTTTTCATAAAGATCTAAGGAAACATTGTTTTTATCACCCATAAAGGGAGATTTTCTCTTTTCAGAATAATATATTATTTATACATTTGATTTATCACATTCAGGATTTTTAATTGTATTTTCCTTCTTTTAGCAATTTCAAACTCCATTACACTTAATTTTTATTGTTAAGTGATCTCTAAATTCTATTTTTCAATATACCTAATATTTATGATATAATGTCTATATAGATTTACTTAGATCCGTATATATTCTTCTATATCTCTAATGCTCAATCTCTAATTTCAATTAATTCATTTCATTTTAGATTATTCCCTTGTTTCGTAGAAACTTTTATTTGAATTCTCAATCGTTAATAATACAGTTGTTATAGTCTCAACCATCGCATCATCCGAATCTTATTATATAATTAGAGACTTTGTCAGAATAGAAGATGTTTTGAATTCCAAATTTAGAAATATACTAATTGAAAAAAAGTTGAAAAAAATATACAAAATATTAATCAAAGCTCAGTAACTTTAATTTTAATAATGAAAAAAAATTAAAATTGAACATGGAAAATTTATACAAGTTTTTTTCATATAATATTAACAAATGATTGTTATACCACTTTGATTCTGAAATACATTGGGAAGTTTGAATCCTAATTTTATGTTTATGGGTGACATAAACCCGAAGCGAAAAACCTTAAAAACCTTGTTAGATAAAAAGTGTGGAATTTCCACTGAAATGTCTAGTTCATAAAGCATTATGTGATTAAGAAAATCGGGAAGTAAAGGATATGTAAAGTTGCGAAAAATAATAAAATATTGTTATTACTATTTACCTCTAATCACATGATTAGTTCTTTCATTCCAATATAATTAAAGTCAAGAGTAAGCTCCAACAATAGAATTTTTAAAGCAGTAGATAGGGCGTAACCGAGATAAGTTCTAATAATAATAATTAAAGGTTATTTTATTAAAACGCGTTTATTTTACGGCATAACTAGTCATGCTCCTTTTGTAAGAAATATTTTTCTCGGTCATAATTGTTAAAATTGTTAGTAAAAGCTATTTATTATGTGATTTATATTGAATGAATGCTCAAAGATATAGTTCAATTTGAATTCTATAATAAAAATTTTCTTAATACATAATTAAGCAATATGAAATTAGAATTGCAGTCAAAGATTAGTGAAAAAAAAATGATTAAGTGTTTCAATTATTTAAAAATAAACCAACATAAGAATGTTAATTATGTTCATTTGACAATACTAAAGGTAGTTATAATATTTTATGAAGAAGAATACTAGTTTATTTTACTTTCTCATCCTGATTTAGAAGACACGTAATAAACAAAGATTTTGGATAAGTCTCCATTTCTAATTAAGTACGTCATGTTAAAAGTAATTAGTTACTGTCTGATGAGCTTTTAAAATAGAACAGAAGCACATGACTTTAATAGGGAAGAATTAATCATAAAGGGGCACTAAAAACAATCAAAATTCTGTAATTGATTATAGTTCAAGAAGACTTCTCTATAAATTGGAAATAAATGTAGAAATTAATAATCTTTTGAATAGACTTGTTTGTAAATATTGCCTCAGGAATAGTTAAAATGCTTCAAATTAAATGGTTTGCAATTTATGACTAAAGAAACATTGTTATAACAATTCTGAATTTAAAAGAAAAACTGTTTAACACACAACCGGAATACATTATCAGGATATGTCTCTATTTCAAGTATAAGTAAAAGCGGATTCTTATTTCAAAGTATTTTCAAATTTATATTTAGATTTTATAATTTGATATGACCTCTTTGATGTAGATATTTTCGATAATTATAAAATTTACCTAATTTGGATATCAAATCATTTTAGGAGTAGATGGACCCTTTAAAATTATATGACTCCTAGAAAAATTAAATTATATAATTATTATATGACTCCTCTTCTCAGATAATTTTCCAAGCAAAAATTACTAACTTGAATCTAATTATTTACTTGCTAATTGTTTTATGTATTTAATTTTACCAACACTGAAAATTTTGTTCTATTGAGTTCAATTACAAGAGAATCAAACAAATAATTCATTTAGTTACAATTGAAGCATAATAGTGTCTTTATAATTGGTAATAAATTTAAACAACTTACTCTCCACTTTAGTTTTAGAAGCTATCATTCAAACAATTTGAAGATTTTTATCCTGAGAAGGAAGCAAAGATTATTGTAACTTATTAATAAGGAAACTTTATTAGATATTAAGAGATTATAAAGTACTGTAAGGTAATAAATTGATTTTTAGAATCATTTCATAACATTAGGATCCTATTAAGAAAAAGAAGAAATACTAGTTTTAAAATGTAATTTTTCAGGGGTTCACCGATTTCCCCATCAATATTCAATATTTGTTTAGATGAATTTCTGATAGAGTTCAAATAAAAATGTCATTTAATAAGCATAATTATATTGCTTATGCAGATGACTTATTATTCTGGATAGAACATTCATACGAAAAGTTTTAAGAAAGTATAAATTGGAACTTGCGAATAAATAAGTCAAAAATCAGCAATTTTTTTACATAAAGAATCAATCAAAAACGACAACTTCTGAAATATTAGGCTTTCTAATTTTAACAAAATATTGCTATCATGTTGTTGAGTTAGAGAATGATGGAAAAATCAGAAACCACATTAAAACCTTATCAATTCGAAAAGCCAAAATATTAATTTGGATTATCGTGAAATAAAAATAAAGGGTGCAATTCTTGTGATTAATTCTTGCTTTATGATTCTAAGAAATTTGTTAATTTTATAATCTGAAACAACTGAATAATTGATGCAAGAGCTCCAAAATTTCCAATAATTCATACACAAAGTAACCTATGTGCATAAAATAAATGCGCCTAGTAAATAAGCCACATATTTCTGTTACCAATTATTATGTATCTAAGATATAGATCTATTTTAGAAGAATATCTACTCTAAAGTAAGCAGCAACTTAGGATGAAAGATTTAGCCAATATAGACATTGATGGAAAAAAATGAATACAAGCAATAATACCTTTTAATTTACGGATAAAAATTTCAATTCTGATAAAT